TAACGATCATTGATTAATGCTTTCAAATGTGTAAAAATAATTACTCACTTAATTATGCCTGTTACCCTCAATGGAGCATAGACCGCCGACAAGTTTTCTCCAGCCTACTATGTCTTAGGCCTTCCATTTGGAGTTATGTCCAATTTTGGTTCATTCTTTTCATGTGTGTCTCGATTTCTCGGTGTAATGGGTTCCTTGAACTTCCTCATTTCGTTTGACCTTGAGGGTTCCAAGTAAGAAGTTGTCTTGTAATGCAACTGAGTGCTTGTTGCAGTGTATACCCTATCCACTTCCAGAGTTTCGTCCTGATTTCTTTTCCCTGCACCGCAATCTGGTTTGTTCTCTCCCACAGTAGGTTGTTGGTGATGGTATCTGGCCAATGGACCCAAAGTATTTTGCATAGACACGTCAGGCAATTTAAAGATCCAATTCGTAGATTTGAAGGTTGGGTCAAAGAGTAATTTAAACTGGCCTGGAAACTGATTAGATGAACTTTTTGATGATTATGGAAGATTTTAAAAGTTTGTATAAGTTCAGGCAACTGGATAAACTAACAGTTGGTAGTAAAGGATGTTTGTGGAGATGGTATGATTTTCAAAATTTAAACTTTAGTTAAACTACCATTGAAAACATAATAGCACCAGATAGCCATTTCATCTTAGTATAGGAATCTTAAAAAATTTGATTCCTGGGCTTTCTTTTCCAATTCCGTTCAATTGTTGTTCATGCTTCTCATGTTTGTCACCATTTTCCAGCGTAATGTCTTTTTAGCCTAGCTCTTCACAGTCGGACTTGAGGATTCCAAGTGAGGGCTTGTCTTGCGACATAGTTGAGTGCTTTCTGCGATGTGTCCCATCCACCTCCAGCATTTCGTCCTGATTTCTTCCTCTACCACAATCTGGTTTGTTCTCTCCTACAGTAAGTTGTTGGTGATGGTGTCTAGCCAATGAATCCGAAGTAGTTCGCGTAGACAACTTGAAATGAATCAATAACGAGCACTTAAGACTTCTTATTGAACAGTTTAGTCACGGACCAATCACAAAGATATAACTCACAAAAATATACTCTTTTTCCTAATAAAGCCATTTTCTTATGAGAGCCAGACCCTTTATTGAAGTGAATATAATATTTTTCATTTCTTTTCCCGTCTCAATCTTACTCTAGGCGAACAAGAACGTGTACAGAAGAAAACATTTACCAAATGGCTAAACACATATTTATCTAATGTAAGTTTATGAATAACGATCACCTCTATATTTATTGATGATTATTAAAATCTGTTGTGTGTAACATTGATATCTTAACATGGCATCATAGTCATAAATCAATACAAATTAGTGGTTTACAGATTTAGTGTCCTTGTGGCCGGACCATTGTGGTGGATACTACTCGCAACGTGACACAGTTAGCAGTGAATTTACTGCTGAAATGAAATGTATGGGATCCGGATGTACAGCATGTTTTGAAGATTATAAGACATGTAGAAGAATGTAGCACATAAACCGTTTGTTTTATAAATGGATGTTTTAAGATAAAGTGTACATATTTTGCTAGTAAACTCTCTTCTTTAAATTAATAAATCATTTCGTCTGATCTTAACGTTTTTGTTCAACTCTTGAACATGGTATGGTGAATGTACAATGCTAAGAAGTCTCACAGTGAGTGCTTCCAAGTTTCTTATTGTCAACTAACTTAGATCAGTTTGTAATGAAATGAGTTAATTTCCCATTATACTGAAAGCATTTATCTGATTTGAAATGCTATCCTATTTTGCGTATTCCAGGATAACAACTAATAACCTAAACTGTTTGTGATACATTTACAGCACTATTTTGATTCCCTGAATCATGCATTAAAATATCTGTAGAAGAGGTTTACCTTTTATACTGTAATTACTGTTGCACTATGTTGCACATAATATTGAATTATTAGCTCATAAGTTATATTCAAAGTTCCAGTAGTTTATTGAGTTTATACACTCGACCTGTTAGTGTGTTTTGATGAAAACAATGAGAAATAACATGGGAATTTTGATTAAAATTTACTGCAGTGGACTTAAATGACTGTCTTGTAATCATTTTGTAAAATCGTACGTTGTGGAAAGGAATGATTACCGACTAGCTCCGATCATTATTTATTTCACAGTTCGAAACTATGTTATTTCGTGCTATGATTAAGCATTGGATTTTCCCCGTCGAAATGCAAAATGTTGCTTCATAATTGGGTTGCATCGGCACCTAAACTAGTGAGTGATAAGAAGTGAAGTAGTTGAGCGTGTAGACCGCCGCTTCACTTATCATCAGTGCTGATAGCCTGGTATCTGAAGAAATGTCAGCACTGTTGACAAGGCTTTTGCCAACTTGCATTACTTATGGCATAGGCGAGATATCCATCTGATAACCTTTGGATGAGTGTACAGAGCAGTAGTTCCCTCCGTCCTACTTTATGGTTGTGAAACATAGCCAGTGAGAGTAGAAGATATTCGTAGGTTACTTACTGGTTTTCGATCATAGGAATCTTCGAAGCATTGCTGGTGTATCCTGGGACGACCGAGTAAGCATTGCTGCTGTTAGGAAATGAGTACTAGGTAAGGATGGTAGATCAATTGATGAAGTAGTCAAACTTCATCAGTTGAGGTGGTTGGAACATGCCCGAACACCGAATACATCGACGAGCGATGATTTGTTGTGTAGGAGCATGTTGGAAGAAAGAATTTTACTGAGTTAAAAAGTTCGACTATATATATAAATTGGAATTTAGGAGTATGTTAGAAGAAAGCTAGGGGAGGCCAGACGAAAACATGGTAGAAATACATGAATTCACTGACAAGTGGACTGAGTCATATTGGTAGGTGTAGACTACCTGGTCGAGGTCCGCGAGATAATAGTAATCGATGGTTAAAGACCTTGAACGACATGGTTCAAAATCGTTTGCAATGGCGCGGGTGCATCCATTATTTGACTTTTCTCAAATCCAGATCCCCTGGATTCTGTATCACCTTTATTTTTCTCTTTTTAAGTTTGTTTCACTAGAATACTTCTTGAGTAATTTATTTGAACCGTAATCTTTCCGATTATAGCTAATACTTTTTACTACCTCTACTAGTATGGGATTTGAACAGACAATCGCGTCTCTGTTATAATGTGGTATGGTAACGTGAATTTATGCATGAACGTACGAAGTTCTACATTGTAGCTGACTGACTGATCATGCAATGTTTTATTATACGTTTGAATACAGTCACGTTTATGATACGTTCATACATTCAGATCATTACTGATGTTTTATTGTTAATTTACTCGAATTTTTTCTAGGCAAATCCCCCATTTAAAGTTCAAGATTTATTTGAAGATATCAAGAATGGAATATTACTAATTAGAATTTTAGAAGTATTATCAGGAGAAAAATTAGTAAGCTTTTCTTTCATGCTTGTTAAAATAGAATACACTTGTTTTTCACCTGGATGTTACCACCTGGTTAAAAAGATTGTTATTAAAGGTGGATAGTGGCTAGCATTGGAATCGAAGATGCGTGTTTCGTCCCATTTGAGACTCAGTGGTTGGATCTACCTGCATCTGAGAGTTGATGTTAAGTGGATAATGCAGTAGTCCCCGGGGTGAACATTGACTCGCAACTGCTGGTACATCCTACTGAAGAGCTTCAAATGAGAAAAAACGTGCAATTTCAACTTCTACTATTAACCACTATCCACCTCTGTTTATAATAATGCATTCATTCGTTTAAGACATGACTCTGTTTGCTTCAAAAAGGATTTATTTTCCAACTTTTCAATAAATATACCAGTGAAATCTACAGCTACATCTTTTATTTGAATTATAAATAAGGAGTTAGATTTATCCAGATGATTTTCTCTGAACAGCTCCTCCAATGATGCTTTTATCTATTCAGAAGAAGGGGGTATTATTCTGCCAACGTATTTGGAAAATTCATTATTTCTTTCATCAATTGATACAGGAATTCAATGTGCCAATGTTTCATTACTTCGTCATTATTAATATGACTTAACTTGCTTCTTTTTTCCCCAATTTTTTCTTGCTCCATCTACTTACAGTAGATGACAATTTGTACTGTCGGCAGAGTCAATCAAAATACATCACGTTTATCGATCATAAATTAACCAGAAGTAAAAATATGATTAGATTATCTATTTTTCAAACTGAGCATTTGTCATTGACAAAAATAGTTGTAAAAAAAATTTAAAAAAATGTCGTGAACATTCTTCATTTTAAATAATTTATTATAACAAAATTTCAACCAAATCAATATTGATTTATTTCTTATAAGTTATCATTGAATATTGAATGTTCATTTGTCTTTATAATCTACACTCTACTCATGAGAGGTATTTATTTCTTCCTTTTCAACTTAATCAAATGAGCATTGAGAATCAAATTATGAATCAGTCATTGTTAAACCATCATTAGAAATCTGGAAGTAGAAGACAGCCGTTTCGTCCCTAGTATGTGACTCATTAGTAGTGCACATCCATGACCTCCAAATGCAGGAATCGAACACCATTCCTTCGGTATAACACTAGAACACTAAACACAAAGACCACTAACATGACGTCCACCGGTGTTAATGTCTAACTGTGATCAGTATAAGGTATGAAGCACGGTGGATGCGTAATGTAGAAGAGTCCCATACTAGAACGAAACGGCCGTCTTTCAGTGCTGTCAGATTTTGATCGATTCATAATTTCAATGAAACTCTTGAATCTTCATAGCTCTATTATGTCATATTTGACCAAATGCAAGTCAGTATAAATAAATTGTAATTTACTGTAGTGATTCGATAATATTGGTGAGATCAACTTGGCAGTAATATAAAGGTAATTATATAAATCTCTTATTTGGTCACTGAAAACATGCAAACCAACTTATATTCTTTTCATTGGACATTGAACTTTTCCATAATCAGATTTTCAATTTTCTTTCTCTTTGTAATAAATAATAAAGCGTTCAGAAAATCGACCTCAAATGAATCGGATACATTGTGTGTCAAATATTAAAACTGCGCTGGAATTTTTACATTCCAGAAATGTAAGTGGAAATTGATTACATTATAGTGAACATTCATGCAATACATTTATATATAAAGGCTGCATTAAACTTTGTGCTGCTATTCGACCTGTTTTTCAGTGGTTCTTTAGTTTAAACTTCATTTTAGCGACCAGCAAGTAGTGATCTGAGGCAATATCAGTTCCTGTCTTGGTTCTTACGTGCTTCATAGTTCTTCTGACGTTTTTTGTTGATACAGTTATGGTCGATTTAGTTCTATGTGATGTGATTCGATGAAATCTCTGTAGTATTGTGTATGCATTTTTGTGGGAATATGGTGCCATCGATGACCAGGTTGTTATAGGCATAGAAATGTCTTATCGTTTTCATTCCTTTCTTCCAGTCCATTTCGTCTTATGATGCTTTCATATCTACTGTTGTCCATTCCAACCATGGCGTTTAGGTCTCCTGTCAGAATGCTTAAATTCTTTACTGGACGTTTCTTGACGATTGATTGCAGCCTCTCTCAGAATTGATTTTTATCCTCGTCATTGTTATATTTGGTGGGCGCATAGCACTAAGTGGTATTCATCGTAAACCCCTTTTCTCTCTGATGATCCGGGGTTCATGACATTATCATCTTATCAGTGCTTTTTGTGCTTCTTTGGACAGCATCAGTGCAACTCCCAGTGTGTCTGAAAACGTTTTTTCTTCATAACTGGAGTACAACCCCATCTCTCCTGAAGCTGATCTTTTTTGTCAAGCCTGCGTCTAATGCGTTCCCTTTTATTTCAAGAACCACTTGATTGTATTTTTTCATTTCTGTAGCAACTTGAATAGTTCTTCCAGCCTTTCACATTGTGCGAACATTACATTTGCCTATGTTAATGGTCGCTCAACCTAGTGACTTCCGAAGAAACTCGACTTTCATCACGAGACGTCATAACTCGTCTAAATGGAGAACTTCTGTCTCCCACGACAGAATTTATATAGCTAACTATGGGCCTAATTTTATTAGGGTAAAGAAGTCTTCTTAGAATAAAATCACAGCCCTCTTCAGTTCTGACATGATGAATAACAGTCGGATGTCAAACCTTACAACTTCTTGTCATTTATTTATATAAACACATACTGAGAGAGTGAGGACATTTCGTAATTTTCATTATATAGAACACTTCGAAGACCAGATTGATTTTAGTAGTTCAGGGTTCAGTTTACCACCTAGCAATCAATAGATATTTTGTAACAGCTTAGTGTTCTCTAACCCGCCCCTAAATAAAAATCAATGTCATAAATACTTAGCTGTCATTTGTGCATCAAATCTTATCGATCGATTTTGAGTGTGACCATTAATTCGATTAGGTCAACATCATACTAAAGATTGTTAAAGGTTGCATAGTTGATGTGTAATAATATTAGTTTTTTTAAAAAAAATTTCTATAATCTTTTTCTTGTGAATTATGTAATAAATTGGTGTTCTTTTTAAATTTTAACATTTTCAAATTACCAAAAAAAAGGTAAAATTAGTCAATGTTAATCCGACAGATATTGCCGACGGAAAACCAGCTATTGTTCTTGGTCTTATATGGGTTATTATACTGTATTTCCAAGTAAGTCAATGCACGTTCAATCAGTTTATTTGTGAATTAAATGTACTTACTTACTTACTTACTTAAGCACTTACTTACTTACTTACTTACTTACTTATGCACTTACTTAAGCACTTACTTACTTACTTACTTACTTACTTACTTACTTACTTACTTACTTACTTACTTACTTACTTACTTACTTACTTACTTGCTTACTTACTTACTTACTTACTTACTTACTTACTTACTAACTTATGCACTTACTTACTTACTTACTTATGCACTTACTTACTTACTTACTTACTTACTTACTTACTTACTTACTTACTTACTTACTTACTTACTTACTTACTTACTTACTTACTTACTTACTTACTTACTTACTTACTTACTTACTTACTTACTTACTTACTAACTTACGCATGTTACCCTTAATGAATGATGTCGTTAACCCCATACCTAACCCTCTGTAGGATCCAAACTGAGGTTTGGGTTGAGGAATAACTGTCTAGGTAGTTAAGATACTCGTCTTGCCCAGTTTAAATTCAAAACTAGTGATTTGGATAAGTAATGGTTCTAATATTCATCATAAATATAAATATACATCATTACCTAAACAAATATTATCCTTTCGTTATTCCACCAACAATTGTTCAATTAATCAAATCAACAGAAACAAACAAATTGTATTCTATCCTTTTTGGATAGATCAGATCGTTCGACAGATAATATTCGGTTGCTTTATAACACAGAGTGATTCTTATTCTGCAAGGGTACTTCAATTCACAATCAAACTGCACAATTCCAGTCAGTGCAACCAATCCAATCAAAAGAGTAACAAATCATTATGGCTGTCACCATGATTAAGTATCAGCTTAAACAACATAAATGCACTTCAGAAAGAAACAGAGAAACTCAGTGACGGCAAACAAAATAGAAACTATAATAAGATAAAAATATTATCATCTCCGAAATATAATCGAACAGACTAACAAAATGTACAACTGAAGGAATCAATAAGGACATATTACAAATGTATACATGGAGAGATTTTCACAAACAAAACCTTCAAAAACTGAATCTTACACCCTTCTCCTTTATCCGGGTTCGGGAACGGCAGTAACCCTAGATGGACTTCAGGAGGAGATAAGAATTAGTTTAGGACGTATTGCGTTCCCACTAAGATGAGATACATGGCAGAGAGTAATCGACCGAAAATTCTCAAGTTTGTACTCTCCAGAGAATAACATATCCATAACCTTGACTGAAGTGATGTAATATAAATGCAGATTTATAGTAACAACTAAACAGAGATTCCTAAAAACGTTTCTCCGTAAAATGGTTCTTGAAATCAAATCTGTAGACTATAGCATAATCTTTGGTAGGAGAATATTTTTTCCCAATTATCGAATTGGATAAAGATTTTCAGTAATTTAAGCGATCCCGCTAATATGTCACACTAATTAGAAGTCACTCAGCTCATATCTAAGATATTTACCGTGAATATGTAAGATTGTAGATTGGTTCAAGTAAGAAATATCAAATAAATGGCCCTCAAAGTATTTTACTCACAATGAAGTCTATAACTCCTGAAAGCGATTATTCAAACGATCATAGGAGCGTAATCTTGAGAAACTTAGTACTTATGCGACACAGTTGGTTTGGGATTCTTGATAAAATTATACTGTCAACTAATTCACTTCAGTTTAGATGTTATCTATTCCGGATATAATTTTTTTCCGCATGTTAACCAAATATCGATTCCTGAACTGCTTACTTCTAACTGTCAATCACAAACTTTTTTGTAAAGAGTACTTGTTGAAATATTGGGTGCTGAAAAATCCCACAAAATATATCAATCCCCATCTCGAGTGTGAGGCAGTTATCTAACGAAGGTAAAAGGTCAGGCTGCGCAATACCTTGGACTGATTGAAGTTAGACAATAACATTGCTGGATGCCAGCTCGATGGTCTTGAGGTTAAGCGTTTTTACGTGAGTATGAAGGTCCTCGCTCGAGGGAGTCGTGGACGCGCACTAGAACGAAGCGGTCGTTCAATGCTCTAACAATGATCGATTTTTATGATTTCAATGAAAATCTGTATACTTAAAACTTGTTTATTTTTTTATTTATGGCAAGATTGAAGAACAAGAAGAGTTATTATTGAAAATTTTGGATCTTCCAGCTGGTTCACTGAAAACAAGAGGTTCAGCGAAACGTGCTTTACAAACATGGGTACAGGAAATTTTCGCTGGGTAAGTATACAAACCAGCAAATGTATTTTATTTATAATTTTCACCAAGAATAATTTTAAAAAATTGTATTTATAAGTGACAGAAATTGTGATAATTTTATATGATTACCATTGTTAACTATCTGACAGATTTTCAATTTATTTGAAACTATCAAATGCAACCTTTGTACTGATGTCTACATCATGAACAATGATTGTTTGGTTTCGAAATATTGATCTCTCAGTGCTTACTTATACTTAGTGGGGAAAAAACAAACATTTTTTTATAAATCTTATGTGTTAAGCTGAAAATTAATTTGTTTTTAGAATTTTTCAGTACCAAATATAAATTGTTGCGGTAAAGACCTTTCAGTAGAGAAAATTTATAACTCAGATCAGGTGGATGATTGTGAGCTGCGATGGAGTTTCGTTTTTTCTCTGAGTTGCGATGCCTTTTGATTGTGGAGATTTGATTTTTCTTTTTCTGAGCACAAACTTAAGGTAGACATAAATACTTCCGAAGGAGAACAGTGAAAGCTCCTCCCCAAGACATCGCAGCTCAGAGAACAAACGAAACTCCACAACCCTTCAGTTCATTAAATTTTAGTTGCTTTTTGAAAATTTTGTCAGTAGTATAATTGTGTATATATGTGTTAGTTGGTTCGAAACAAGGAACATTTACAATTACAGTATATTCTGTTTACAATAACCATTGGAACAGAATAAATCTTATCATCTTTACAAATAAATTAATCTTTCGTGTTTCATATTCTGAGACGTTATTATTGAGTTATTCAGAATATAACTAACCTCTGTTGGATTAAGAAATACAATTACAGTTGAATCATCATTGAGTAGTGAATAATGTCAAGTTTATTTGGTTCTGTAATGACTGTCATAATCAGTCAATCAATCAATCAATCAATAGCAACGTAGAACTTTGTACGCACTTACGTACATCAGTTTAACTTGCCATACCACATAAGCACAGAGATGTAATAGTCAATTCAAATCCCATAGTAGTAGAGGTAGTAAAGGATCAGGATTAGAAGATATTATTCAAGAAGTAGAATCTAGTGAAATAGACTTAGAAAGATACAGATAAATTGATGAGGAATTAAAAAGTTTAGGATTCGAGAGTACACAACTGCGCTATTGTAAATGATTTTGAGCCATGTCATTCAGGATCTCTAACCATCGATTACTATCATCTCGCCGGCCCCAACTAGGTAGTCGATACCTACTAACAAGACTCAGTCCACTTAACAGTGAGTTCATGGATTTTTGCAATGTTTTGGTTTGACCGCCCCTAACTTTCTTCCAACCTACTCCTACACCACAAAATTTTGCTCGTCGAGTTAGTTGGTGGTTCAGCATTCGTCACTTATGTGCCATCCGCCTGAAATGATGAAGTCTTAATACTTCATCTAGTGATTTATCATCTCTATCTAGTACTAGTTTCCTAACGACAGCATTGATTACTTGGTTGTCCCAGGATACACGAGCAATGCTTCCGAGACACCTATGATCAAAGACAAGTAACCTGCGAATATTTTCTACTCTGACTGGCCATGTTTCACAGCCATAAAGTAAGACGGAGCGAACTAATGCGCAGTACACTCGTCCTTTAGTCAGCAAATGGATATCTCGCCTACGCCATTAGTGACGCAGGTTGGCAAAAGCCAGTCGAGCCTTCTGTATCCGTAATGAGATTTCGTCAGTCACCAGGCCATCGTCACTGGTGAGAATTCCAAGATAAGTGAAGCGGTCGATGCGCTCAACTACTTTACTCCCTATCACTAGTTCAGGTACCGATGAAACCTAATCTTGAAGCAACATTTTGCGTTTCGAGGGGGAAAACCGCATCCCGAATATGCTTGCATTGTTGTTTATGGTAGTCAGAAGACTCTTCATTTTGTCAGCTTCTTCACCAAATAGAACTATATGATCGGCACATTCTATCTCGACAAGCAATTTTCCTGGTAGAAGGTCCACGATCATAATATAAGACGCGTAAATATTTGTGACGACAGTAGGGTATGTTTATTAAAGAAGAACCTGCGGTTCATTAATGATCATCTTATATGAACTTACGTGAACTATTGTAACACATTTATCAAGTATATAGGTTTGCATATTCATCTATGAGCTATGATCATTTTTTGTGTGTATGAATGAAACCTCATGATAATAACAGTTCACTATTCAGACTGAAATAATCGATAAAATAAAGTTTGAACATTGAACAAACTATTCAAAATTCAATCGATACAACCTTGAAATAGTAGGATACTCAGCGGAAATTGTAAATTCCTTGAAAAAAAACATTTTGTTAAAACGTTTTACTGCTTCTTCTTCCTCCTCCAATGTTTAAAACTTTTATAGTTCTTTCAGAAAAAAAGGATTGTAAGTATGAAATCACTCTTTGTTACTCTTTGAATGTTTTGTGTGTTATTTATCGGCAATAACAAAATAAAAAATGCACACACTTCTTCTTTGTGATGCGGTTCACATGCTTTTTTCACCTGCACAATCAAGAAATTAAGCAAACAAAAAAAACTATGTGTTTTGCTGGTAATTTTTTTATTTTTAATGAAAAACAAGGAAAAAAAATATTACAAAAAAATTGGTTCACTTACTATGCTTATCAGTTTTAAATATTTTTTAATTGGTTGTCAGTACATGCAAAAAAGTTGCAGTTTGTTATTGAGAATTTCTGTAATTTTTTTTTGAAACCATGTATCGATCAATGTTAGACTAGACTACCATTAGAAATCTAGAATCATTGAAAGACGACCGTTTCGTCCTGATGTGAGACGACTTACTCATCAGTGGTCTCTACGACTCCTTCAATTCGTAGGAATCAAACCTAAGACCTTCAGCCTTGCGTGTGGATTCCTAACCTCCTAACCATTGAGCTGGTATCTAGTGGCTCTAGTGAGTTCTAATGAGAAGTCGTGACCAGTGGAGTTCAACCCTGTTTGCGTGTGAAGCACTACCTATCAAAGATAGTGGACGACATTATAACATGTACCGTGTTAAAACATGTTGGGATTTAAACACATTGATAATACTAAATATACACGAAACTGTAACGTAAATGAACCGTCGAGAAAAGTGTGAGTACTCAAATTCTAAGTTAATATCGTTTCTACTGTTAGGTCTACAGTTTATGAATATGAACGCGCGTGAATTAGCAACGTGTATATTTTCAGTATTGAAAAACTTTTCATTGATTCATTGATTCATCTCCATTAGGAAGTTCTTTAATCATGGAAAAATTTGACTAACTTATCAATACATTTTTTGGTTGTTTGAATGACTGAAACACTAATCATGATTCGAATTTCAGAAATTCGTCGTCGAAGAGGTTCAATGTATTTTAAACAATGAATCATTGAACATGAGTTCTGGGTTGGAGAAGAGTGTGACTGAGCTTACTGGTCCAATAGACCACCTTTATTTCTCCACATTTATGCACTAAGGTTGACACAGTAATTAGAGACACTAAAGAAAACTTGGTTCTTATTCGCATATCAAAACCAATGTTAGGGTTATTTTGATCATAGAACTTGGTACTATTTATCAGTGAAAACGTATTTACTGAGAATCAATGAAATTACGAACTAACAAAGGAAAAATGGAGACTCAAGTATTTCGGAAGCCAACCCACACAGACTTAATTCTCAAGTACAACAGCAATAACCCAAGAAATCACAAAATCAACTGTATACAAACGTTGTTCAAGAGAGCGAAAAGACACTGTACCACACTTGAAGCGCAAAGCGACGAAGAAAAATATCTAATGACCATCTTTCAAAAGAACGGCTATCCACGCAAGTTCATCAAAAAATCATCAACTGAAATCATCAACAGAACCGAAATCAAGTACATCAAACAATAAACGGATTATCACACCATACATAAAAGAACATAGAGCACGACTACTCAGACCATTAGAAATAGGTGCAATACAAAGCATACAACAGAATCACTTCAATCAATCCTATGTAGACTAAAGGACAAAATGACAAAAGAAGAAAAACCAAATATCATCTACAAAATAAACTGCTCAGATTGTGAAAAACACTACATAGGACAAAGTGGACGGCCTCTTCAGCTTCGTTTACGTGAACACCCATCAGCAGTCAAACGCCATGACATTTCTTCACTTATATCAATACATACGGACAATTATGAACATACGTTCCATTGGAACAGTGTTGAAATGCTGGATAGGGGAGCACAAAGAACACTAGAGAATTTTTAGAGGCGTGGCACTCCGGTCAATCAACAATCAACAAACACATCAACAATGACCCAATTTATCAACCTATCAGAAAAATCATAGGTGACATAGGATCAAGAAACAGATCAAAAGGAGGATACAATCAAAACAAAGGTGCAAACAACAACAGGCTTAAGATCTATAACAACCAATCAAGATCGAGATTAGCAGGAAAAGCTACGAGTCATACATGAAGAAATTTGAATACTTGACCTCCGCTATCAGAAGTTTGTAATGGTGATGTTGTTCAGCAGAAGAACAATGAACGCTTCACAACCAAAACATTCAGCTCAGAGAAAGAAACACCACTACAATCATCCACCTGAGCTACAACTTTAAATCAGCTATGATTCCTTAAATCTCGAAATTACTATCCATTAAAATCATGAATCAATTATTGTTAGACCACCATTAGAAACCTGGAATCATTGGACTGCTGTTTTGTCCTAGTATGGTACTGTTCGGCAGTGTGTAGATGTTAGGATATTCATCCAATATCCTAAGAGAATTATAGGTCAATTCCTATTGTTTAATTCCTAATGGTCAATTTTCTGGTCGTCCTAGATATCAATGTCACGTATTCCAATGTTGTCTCCTATTGGTTGTCCTGACTATCAATGCCACTTCAAATCTTGCTTCCTATTGGTCATCCGGACTGTCAATGTCACAGACTTCGATGCTGTTTCCTATTCGACCAAAATGTATAAATACGCATTATCTGCAGCGTTTTATGACCACGACCAGGACCAGGGCTCGGTCCCGGATCCCTAGTTCAGGATCCTGATTCACTTTTGGATTCGGACCTCGTACTTTCTGGATGCTTGTAGAATACAGATTCTACTCCACATTCAAGTCTTCTTATTTTCACTCAATATTGGGGGGTTGGAATAATCGGATTTGAGTAGCATGTCGTGTCGCTGGATCCTCGATCGTCACTCTCGTTTTCCGACTACGTAAACTCCTAATAGTTCAAGCATATTGAGTTGACGTGTTTATGTGCAGGCATAACACTAGATTTTTAGAGTTATCATTATTTATAAGTTACAAAACTGATGATTTGATAATCAGACATCATGTAACATGACATTCGCTATGCATTTATTACTTCTGGTAAATACTTTGTGTACAATTTATTTCTAATCTATATCTACAGATTATTAACTGACATTTTATCTTTATGCTCATGTATACACTTACAAATCCTTTTCTATCTGCTATCTCTTACCTCTTATAAATAACCATCATCATTGTTTTTTTTATTTAGAAAATACGATGTTCAAATTCGTGATTTCGGTCCAAGTTGGCGTGATGGCATTGCATTCAATGCAATGGTACATAATATTGATTCAAGTTTAGTTGAAATGGATAAAGTGAAAACTAGAACACCGAAAGAGAATTTAGAACATGCATTTACGCAAGCTGAAAAACATTTAGGCATACCAAGGCTATTAGATCCTGAAGGTGAGTATGAGAATAAATATGGATTCAATTGTTTCTAGTTGTTTTTTTATCTAATTTTTTTAAAATGTTCATTCGTAATTAATAGTGACAATGTGACTAACTTACTTACTTAGTTATTTATGCCCGTTGAGCCTCGTGAAACATGAGCCGCCGAACAGAATTCACCAAACTGCTCTGCTGTGGGCCTTCTTTTCCAGTTCTATCCAATTGCGGTTCATTCTTTCCGCGTCTGACTCTAATTCTCGGAGCAGTATGTTCTTTGGTCTACCTCTTTTCTCTTTTAGCCTTGAGGATGCCAAGTGAAAGCTTGTTTTGTGATGCAGTTGGGTGCCTAACTCAATTTATGTCCTTTCCATCACTAGTGCTCTTCTGTAATTTCCTCCTTAACTGGAAGTTAGCTGACCTGTTCTCTCCCATTATAAGTTGTTACTGATAGTGTCTAGTCAACTGATCCAAAGTATCTTGCGTAGATAACTGTTAATAAATAGCATGAATCTAGTGAATGATGACTTTTGTGATTCTTCAAGTTTCCACTCCATACAGTAGAATGTTTTTGACATTTGTATAGAGAATTTTAATTTTGGTGTTGGTTAATAGCTGATGTATGGAGTTACGGATGTCTTTCAGTTGTAGAAATGCTAACCTTACTAAGCCTATCCATGTCTTTACATATTTGTTCTACTGCTTACTTAAATTATCATTATAACAATAAATAAGAGTATTATTTCCTGTGATTTAGTCTAATTTAGTGCTACTCTGATTTTGTATAGCGAGCACCATCCAAATCACACTTGATTGAGAAACTTTTGGAAGATGTAGAAAACTATATGCATACATGGACAGTATCAGTGATAAACAAGGTGGATCTGATACAGACGTAAAGACGTTGTATAATGATAACCAGATTTAAAAAATATCTGATCACTTTTATTACATATAGGTGGTTTTCATTTCATGTGAGATTGAAACCCACGGACCATCAGATATTTGTTTTATCTTAGCACTATACACCTTGACAGAGCGTACTCACGACCCTACAAAGGCTGAACCCTACGACATCCTGGTCTCATGTTGAATGCCCAGTCATTTGACCCACAGGGTAGGTATTCAGAAATCACGCTTTGTACTCAGTCATGTCATGTAAGTCTTTTTGACCTACCCTTACTGTTTAGCGGTAATCAACTTACCTAGACATAACAATACATCTGTACAAAATAAAAATCACAGTTTTTTCTTCATTTCATCTATTGAAACACAGTCACAATTTTTTTTTCCTTTTAGATGTTGATGTTGATAGACCAGATGAAAAATCCATTGTCACATATGTTGCACAATTTTTCAAAGCTTATCCAGATGCAGGAAGACGAAGATCTGATTCAGTAGGTATTTCTTCTTATTTCATTCATATCAATATAAATAAATTTGTAGCGAAAAAAATTAAAGAGATTTATGGTTATGATAGCGTTATTTATTCGACTGGGGACGTTAGATCCCCAGAATTTTCTTGGTTAAGATCCTAAATTTAGATTTTGTGGTTCGATCAGTTGACCTTGTGATCACATTTCCCACCAGGAAAATCCTTGATTGTTGTTGGTTGATGTATTATTCTGGTACGCTATTTTTGTGGCTCTTCCAAGGATGCTTCTATGGTGTATGAATAAACTTGATTTGTGTGCTTGTCAACCTTGAGTGATCTGGGTGATTGTAGTATACACTTCCGACGCCATATTTAGACTTCTTCTTCGACTTGGTGGGGCCGTGAGACGCTTGGATTAGAGTAGCTTACTGTGTCACTAGATCATTTGTCTTCATTTTCGTTTACCGACCAAGTCGAACTCGTTATAGTTTCAAGTATTTCAATCGACGACCATAACAGAAATACGTATGAATGACTGAGCATTTGTTACACATAAGAAGCAACTGAGATAGATAGTTGTAATGAATTTTACAAAAAAACTTGTCGTTTTACATACTTCATGCTCAAGTAACTGATCACTCTTGACTTTGTTCAATTTGTCATTCTTTACAATTAATGATTATTAATCTGTCCATTCATAAAAATCATTACACCTTGATGATTGAAATCAAAAGTAATCGGTTACGTAATATAACAGGGGGAGTTCAGCTAGAGTAAAGATTTAATCAATTTGTAATTTATGTTGGTACAATAATAGATTTGTTCAACGTTTTAAACATGAAAACTTATCCTTAAAATGAAGGTATCTTGCCTTAATATTAGCTGTCAATGAATTTGTCAGACATGAAAGTGTGTAAAAACAGAGTTACTACTTTCAACTAACATAAAAAGTTGACAGAGAATTCATCAAAATTGAAGATTTTCTTCTGAATATATATAGTAAGAGACAAATAGACAGTATTTTTGTCAATGAAAGAAAGTTATCTGCAGTCAAATATTAAAGTTGGAAGTTTGTCTGTTACAAATATTTGACAAGTTTGATTATTAGAACAACACATATAAGGGAACAATATTTATGTTTTCGATTAGATCGTCATCAGGCTTTACTCTTTTATATACATGAATATTTATCATGAAAATGCCTAACCAATCAAGGCAATTCATGAGTCAATAATCACAATGAAATGAAATAAATTACGTCACTACACATAATCATAGGCAAAAGTGCAAGTTGATAACTATATGGAAGACAGGTGTAATGATAGTAGTAGTAAGAATCTATCGTGTACCTCCATCATCGTTTCCCAACGGAGTTCGATACCGTCTCCTACACATAGCAGAAGCCATAGGAATTCATACATTCAACCCCAATTTATGTGTTCAGAAGAAATTCGTGATGCCCCTATCTCTTCCGTGGCCGGATATGACGTAACTAACGATTTAAGAATTAAATTTTTTTTGGGGGGTTTAAATTAATTTTGTTATTTTCACATCCTGTATTTGTTAGTAATTCTCTGCCTCTTTCCATTTATTACGTATTGGTTTTAATGTTTTGTGATGATCGATTCATGGTTTCAAAAATGTGTAACTTAACAATCTTCACAACCCCGTAATGCAAATTACCTGTGCTCAATAGTGACTAGCTTCGTGAGGAATCTTCTCCGAGTTCTAGTGGGAAGACGTGACCAGTGAAGTTCAACCTGTTCGGGTGTAGACAGTAACTACCGAAGACTGTGTATGAGGTTGCGCTACTCCGTGAATATGATCAAGTTAGACATTAACACCGTTAGATACCGGCTCAGTGGTCTGTCGGTTAGGGCGTTCGCGCACAATACCGAAGGTCCTGGGTTTGAATCCTGCGGGGCACAGGAGTCGTGGATGCGCACCGCTGAGGAGTCCCATACCAGGACGGAACGGCCGTCCAGTGCTTCCAAGTTTCTAATGGTGGTCTAACATTGATCGATTCATGGTTTCCAAAATGTGTAACTTAACTTAACTTCACAACCCCGTAATGCGGATTATTTTAATTCTATTCATCCACTTCTACGACTTTTACTATTATAGGATTTGAACCGGTTATTCTATTTCTGTGCTAGTGCGGTACGGTAACTTGAACTGATGTACGAATGGTATAAATTAATTAATTCTTGTTTGATCGAATGTTAGATCATATTCATAACAATACAATGAGTTGCTGTCTATTTCTAAAATCTCTATGAACCCCTTAGTGTGTGTGTAGTTATATGATGAAGCTTATCGTAGCTTTCGAAAAAGCTAATTAACCTTTCATTCCCGAGTTACTATTCTCATATCTTTTAACCTTGTCCATTATTCACTCATAGTCTTGATTGTTTCTATTCAAGTGTGAGTGTACCGCTTACTTCGCTTATCGCATATCTGGCTTATTTTTGTCTGACTATAAAAATGCTTAGTTATACCTCATTACTTTAGGTTGGAATGCTCACCTTTTCCAATTCACTTCATTTTGCTTTCAAGCTTCATGTTCTTATGTCTGTCCGCATGCATAAACAGTAGTCTGAAATAAATTCATCCAATCCAATCCAATCCATATTTGGCTTCTTATTACTGCCGTCGTACAAACGGAGTTCGAAATCAAAGAGACAATTTACTTCATAGCAGCATACTGAGTTATTTGTAAATATTAGAGTCAGATCACGGCCCATTAATGTAGTGAGCAGTACATAGAAGCCATCGAAATGATGAGCGCGGCGACGAACATAGCACAGCCCACAAAAATCCATTTTGAAATCATGAATCAGTCAATGTTAGATCACCAGTAGAATCCTCGACGGACTCTTAGTTCTAGCATGGGACTCATCAGTAGTGCGTATCGGCGACGTCCGTATGCAGGATTGATGACGTGTTATACGAAACGTAATATCTTTTTAAAGTTTTTAGATTATTAATTTCAATGGGCACAAAAGTCGGGTAGTCTGTTAATCCACGGATTGTAATATCACATACAAAACTAGTGTAATTTAAAACTTATCAAGGTGAGGAACATTTTCATCATAAGTGAGGCATTCACTTTCATGTTTTCATTTATATAATTTGCGATAAATAGTTTGTGCATCAGAAATGGAGAGATGAATGGCAGTTCCATGCACAAAGTCGTACAGGGAATGTGATACTCACTCTACTAAGACATGAGTTGCCTGTTACTTTCAGATGAATATTTAAAAAATAGCTTGCAACGGAAATCGCTTAAATGGTTCCACATTTTTAGGATCTCTTTCTGTCTGTAATCTTTACCAACACTTTCAATTACGTAATCGAAATAATGTTCTGTGATTATTTCAAGTCTTTTTATATCAAGTTTGACCTATTAAATCTAATGTTGAACTACTGATTAGAAATCAAGTTATTTTATTATCCTTACTACTACTACTACTACTAGTACACTTGTCGTCCTACGACTTGTACTTTTACTAGTTTGTATAGTCACGTCATATATTTCATTGTAATGATTGACTTATAAATTACCTTGATTAGTACATTAGAGAAAAAACCTCATGACAATTTAATTGAAAAAAAAATATTCTACACACTTAAATGTGCTATTACAAAATTTTCAACCTGTCAAATAAATCTTTTTCATCACGTTACCAAAAAATTTATTACAAAACTAAAAAACATTAATCATTGTCAAAGCTCACTAGCAATGTCGTAAAGTAAAATGATGACAAGTGACAAATATCTACTGAACTACGTTTCAGTAGTATAAAATCTCATACAAAAATTGTGTACTTTTTTTCATCTTCATTGCTAAAAATATTTATCACACATTTTGTTTATTTTAATGTATGATTATCTTAAAGCCAACAAAAACGGATATAAAAATGAAATTTGACAATTTGATGAAATTTGTTCGAGAATCTGAGCTGAAAATCAAAACAACTCGATCTAGTCGTTCAAGTTTAAGTGAACAATATCAAGTAAATTTTTGTTTTAGTTTGATCTGGGAATTTTTTCCTTGAAAACGTAAATGATAATTATTTTTATTTTATGAAGTTAAATTTAATGAAAATATATTAAATTCTCATTAGGTTAATGGAATATTTTGAAAGACTGACTCTTTTTAAAAAAAAAAACATTTTGTTTTGAGTATTACTTCACTTTTTTCTGGTGTGAAGCCGTGCTCACCAAAGACAGTTGATAAGGTTGCGCAAGACCATGGTTTAATCGGAGTTAGACATTGAAAAATGTTGGATAACAGCTCAAATTTTCTAGAGGTTAGGTGTTCGAGCGCAAGATCGAATGTCCTACGTTCGATTCCTGCGAACAGCTTGAGTTGTGGATGCACACTGCTGATAAGTCACGCACCAAGAAGAAATGGTTCTCCAGTGTTTGACTTTTGATCGTTATGACTTTATGTTTCTGTTAGTGCGAAGGTTTAGTTTTGATAGATTTAGATGTAAACATATACACAATGGGATTTGTATGAAACGCATGAACAGTAGTGAAATGTCGGACAATGGATTGATGTTTGCAACAGGAACAGTCCAGTTCGATATGATGGATTGATTTTTTTGCAAATTAACGATTTACGATATGGTTTTCCAATTTTACCAATTAACTCTGTAATTTGCGATAAATACAATTCGGTTGCCCTCACCTGTGTTCTCCTTCACTACTAATCTACCTAATAATGATAATTCTAAATTGATCAATTGTTCACTTTAGAATGAAAAGAAACAGTGAGTTAATTAGTTTTTTTTAAGTGGATTACATTGTAGAAATGATTGCATACCTATTTACGCCTCTGGCTCTTTCTGAATCCATGACTGCCGGGCAGCATTCTTCAACTAATTTTAAACTGCGCCTTCCTTTCCAGTCATACACAATTGCTGTTCATTATTTTCATGCGTGTCTCCGATTTTCGACAAATGGTAATCCCTGATCTACCTCCTTGTCTTTGGTCTTGAGGATCCTAAGTTAGGCCTTGCCTCATGACACAGTTGGATTATTTTCGCAATATGTGACCTATCCAGATATTTTTCACAATTATTTCATCCGCTGAAATCTGGTTTGTTCTATTCCACAGTAGGTTGTTGCTGATGTTGTCTGATCAAAGGACCCTTTGTGTTTTGAGTAGAAAACTGTAAATAAACAAACACTTGTATCTTCCGGATGTGATGACTTTCATGGTTCTCCGATTTTTCACTCTATACAATAAGACGGTTTTGATGGTTTTGAAAGTTGCTAATTCGGTGTTGGTTGGTAGCTGTTTTGAATTCCAGATGTTGTTCAGCTGCAGAAATTTCGCCCTTAATTTACCAATATACACCTGCATAAGATCCACGTTTCTCATCGATGATGCTGTCTAGATGTGTAAATGTTCCCTCATTTATCAATGTTTCTTCATAAAGTCTGCTTTGTATCTAAGGTTCCTAATTTTTCTCTTGTGTATGTTAGCACCTACTGGTACAAAGGATGCTGCTACGCTGACCATCTTCCAGGTTTCTAATATTGGTCCAAGAATGATCGATTGATGATATCAATGTGTAAAAACACTAATCTCCATAACTCTAATTGAGATTCGTATTTATTATTGTTTTAGGGATGGAATAGCCGGGTGATATGCGAAGTACAGATCGTAAAGCTTCCTTCTAGCTGTCCACTATATTCCGTACTTCTCCTGTGATGTTGAAGTCTTCATTGTCCAGTCAGTCATCAGAAGAAAGAGAAAGGGTGAGAGTAAGCAACTTTTTCTCACAAAGCTCTTCACTTGTAATAAGTCTGTGATCTGCCAACAATGCTCGATTCTATTTTAAAATAAAACTTAATAACTGAATTGAAATTAAGATATAATTATAACTTGTATCATTTATATAAAGCATCGATCGTAAACCAAACTCACAAACGAGAACCACAGTTAATACCTATTTATTTATACATGACATAAATACAACAAGACAAGAAATGAACATAGAATAATGCGAATTCAATTTTCATTTGATGAGCGCGCATCAGTTGCTTGCACTTGTGCATATTTTGATCTTCTTTCTATGGTTCATGAAATATTTCTTAATTTTATGAGAATACTAATAATAATGAATACACCTTCTCCTATTGACAGATATATGATGAGATAATTACAACAAAAGAAATGGAAGAAGAAGGTTTTGAATCATTCAAAGATCAATGGTATTCCGGTTTAATATCACATATTGATTCATTGATCAATCCAAGTGAAGTAGAAATTCTAGAAGAATCATGGTATCATTTAACTGATATATTGAATGAATTTTTATGGGAGATAGATGAGAAAATACCCGGGGAATTTGGTCATATTGCAAAATGGTTAAGTCAAACTGAGAAATGGTTTCAACAAGTTGGTTTAAAATGGTATCAAAAACCAATTGGTACACAAGCAATGGGATTTAGCGGTACAATGAATGAATCATGGCGTCCATCTAGTGCGGAACCACCATATTCACCGCCATCCATTGAAGTGATCGATAAATTACAACATGAAAAATTAGTAAGTAACAGAAATAAACTATAAGTGAACATGTCATTTGTTTTACTTATTTTTCACAACTGACACTAGTTGGTTTATGTAACAATAATATGCAGTCAATCACGCTCATATGATTTTGAGATGGTGGAGAAAATTTGCAGCTGAGGTGGATGGCTGTGGTAGTATTTCGTTCTCTGAGCTGGTTGTTTTGGTTGTGAAGATTTCATTGTTCTTCGGCTGAACAACATCATCAGCAGCACAAACTTCAGATAGAAGAAGTGAAGCATTCGAATTTCTCCACGTTTGACCTGTAGCTTGTTCTGCTAACCTCGATCTTGATTGGTTGCTGTTGACCTTAAACCTGTCGTTGTTTGCACAGTTGATTTGATTGTATCCCGCTTTTGATCTGTTTCTTGATCCAATGTCACCTATGATTTTTCTGATTGGTTGATAAATTGGGTCATTGTTGATGTGTTTGTTGATTACTGATTGACCTGAGTGCCAAGCTTCTTTGTCCTCCCCCTATCCAGTATTTCCACATTGTTCCAATCAAATGTGTGTCCATAATTGTCGGTATGTATTGATATAAGCGAAGCGTTGTCGTTGCGTTTGACTGCCAATTGATGTTCACGTAAACGGAGCTGAAGAGGTCATCCACTTTGTCCTATGTAGTGTTTTTCACAGTTTGAGCAATTCAACAATAGAGTCTACGAACAAACAAAAAGAACACCAATGGGATCACCAATATCAAAATTCATCGCGGAAGCTGTAATGAAGAGACTAGAAGCGTCCGTTTTATCAGTGATCAAAATGTGGGTTTGCTATGTAGATGACACATTCGTCATCATCAAAAGGAACGAGCTGGAGAACATATACAATTAGATCAACAACGTCTTCGATGACATCAAATTCACGATGGAAAAGGAATCAAACAACAGTCTATCATTCCTGGATATACTAATCACCGGAACTATCACAGGAAAACTGGAAACTCAAGTGTTTCGGAAGCCAACCCACACCGACGTAATTCTCTACTACTGTCGAAACAACCCAAGAACCCACAAAATCATCTGCATACAAACTTTGTTCAAGAGAGCGAAGACACACTGCAGCACAAATGAAGCACTAAAAAACGAGGAAAAGCATCTTGTGACTATCTTCCAAAAAACGGCTATCCACGCAATTTCGTCAAAAAACATCAACCGAAATCATCAACAGAAGTAAGATCAAGTACAGCAGTCAATGAACGGAACATCCTACCATACGTAAAAGACATATTGGAGCATACAGCACGACTACTGAAACCATTTGGAATAGGTGTGGCACACAAACCAACAGAATCACTTCAATCAATCCTATGTAGACCGAAGGACAAAATGACAAAGGAAGAAAAACCAAATATCATCTACAAAATAAACAACTGCTCAGACTGTGAAAAACACTACATAGGTCAAAGTGGACGACCTCTTCAGCTCCGTTTACGTGAACATCAATTAGCAGTCAAACGCCACGACAACGCTTCGCTTATATCAATACATACGGACAATTATGGACACACATTTGATTGGAACGATGTGGAAATACTGGGTAGAGGGAAGGACAAAGAACATTAGAGAATTTTTAGAAGCTTGCCACTCAGGTCAAGCGGTAATCAACAAACATATCAACATTGACTCAATTTATCAACCAATCAGAAAAATCATAGGTGACATAAGATCAAGAAACAGATCAAAAGGGGGATACAATCAAAACAAATGTGCAAACAACCACAGGTCAAAAGTCAACAGCAACCGATCAAGATCGAGGTTAGCAGAACAAGCTACAGGTCAAACGTGGCGAAATTCGAATGCTTCACTTCTTCTATCTGAAGTTTGTGCTCATGATGTTGTTCAGCCGAAGAACAATGAAATCTTCACAACCAAAATATCCAGTTCAGAGAACGAAATACTACCACAATCATCCACCTCAGCTGCAAATTTTCTTTCACCATCTCAAAATCAAACATAATTGGTGTAAAGCAGTTCACCTCTACCAACCATATAACATATGAATTGTACTGTATTGTGAATTGTCAAATGATAAATTGTGTGGACGGTTCACGTACATGATAAAAGTTGATTTTCACATCAAGCTGTTCACGAATCATGCAGCATTATAAGTACATCAATATGTGTTATGTGTGCGAACAGTAGAGGAATCATACAACTCATTTCTGTAATAAATTTGAGCAGATATAAAACAGTTTTCTATTTGGAACAGAAAGAGTGATGAATATTTTTATGCGGAGTGTTATTAACACCAAAGTGTATATGACTTTTTCTATCGAAATCATTTCTATATTTTATAATCCACTTTCTTGGGTAGCCATTTAGCAGAAGAGAGGTTCCAACGTTTGTTAAAACTCTATTAACAGTAGAGAGTTAAGCGTTCGCACGCGAGACCGAAGTTCCTGTATTTGATTTCCGGATGCGACGGTTCGTAAATACGCACTGCTGATGAGTCTCCTACTAGGACGAAACGACTATTCAGTTCTTCCAGGTTTCTAATGGTAGTCTATCAATGATCAATTCATCATTTCAATAAAACTCAACAATCTCCACCACTGTGTATTGAAAATAATACTACGATTTTCAAACTTGCACTGTTTTACATCGATAAGAAGCCTTGAAATAGAATTATGAATTTATTTTTCAGTTCTAACTTGACTCACTTCTTTAAGAAATTATCAAAGAGATGTACATATTTTTTTACTCATTCATTGTTTTTGAAGCAATATTTTCTCATGAATACGATCAGCCATGAAAAGTGATAATTCTGTGTTAGAATTTTCAGCTATACAGAGTATATTCCAACTGAGTAGGCAACATATCACTAAAAATAAGATAAACACACTGACTTTGAATGATAAATGAGTTCTATAAATCGATTTTAAATGGCTGACAATCATCACCACCAAGTTGTATTTTTTCATTTCTGCAACAAGTTTAATGGTTCTTTTCGTCTTCCGCAATGTACAAACATTCCATGTACCTATACTAATAATTGCTCTGGTTGTTAGAAGGGACATTGGCCTTGTGAATTCCGAAGAAACTCTGTTTTTTCTATGAGATATTATAGGTGTTCTAGACGAATACCTTGGAACTGCCAGGGCAGAGCTTAAATAGTTTGATTTATTTTTCTGGTCAGCGTTGTTTTGAGTGAGATGGTTTTCCACAGGATAGAATCTATAACCCCATACCCAACCTTCCTAAATTATTTGAGCTTGGGACCGGCAGTGACCCCCAGATAGGCTCCTGAAGGAGTTATTCATACTGACTAGATGACATGTATATATCATCAGAAAAATGAGATACAATCAATAACTTTTATTAAGTTAAGAGTATTTTTTGCACAGTTTAATGATTGGATCAATGATTTGTCTAAAAAATCCTATTTTCATTTAACATTTTCTCTAGGAACTATTTGGAACAAACAATCATAAACTCAATTCTATACGTGATGATTTATCTCGTGTGATTGGAAGTGAAAAATCAATTAATTTGCCTAGTTCATTGATTGATCGACTGAGTACACGTCTATCAAAAGTTACAGGTTATGAACCAGGAAATAGTGCTGTATTGAGTGCAGCGAAAGCTCGAAGAATATTTCTCGATATGTTGTATAATGTAAATCGTACAGAAACTAGTATAGGTGTATGTATACGTAGTCGTCGACGTGAAAGTGCCACAGGTTTTGAACATCGTTTTTGTAATTGGTTAGATCTTGTTGATGGGAATATAAATACTGAAACTAGAGAGATGGTCAATGGAATACTTACAGATTATCAGGTAATTATTATATTTATATATGATATTCAACATTGAACATGTAATTTCTCGATAATGACTGAGGTACACAATACAGCTGAAACTTAAAGCATTCAAATTACGGCGTTGTGAAGATTGTTAAGTTACTCATTGAAATCATGAATCGATCTATGTTAGACCAATAACAGAGACCGGGAAGCACTGAAAGATGGCCTTTTCATCCTGGTATGGGACTCGTGGGTATCCTACTACCCCGCAGGATTCGAGCCCGCAACCTTCGGTTTTGCGCACGAACGCCCAACTTCAAGACCACTGAGTGGGCATCTAACGGTATTAATATCTAACTTCAACCAATTCAAGGTCTTGCGCAACCTCATACACGGTTTTCAGTAGTTACTGTCCGCACCCTAACAGGTTCAGCTACAAGGTGCAGGAGTCGTGGATGTGCACTGACACTGATGAGTCCCATACCAAGACGAAACGGTAGTCTTCCAGTGCTTCCAGTTTTCTGATGATGGTCTAATATTGATGGACTCATGATTTCAATGAGGAACGTAAAAATCTTCACAACCCCGTAATGCAATTACCTATGCACACTAGTGACTAGCTCTGTGGGGAATCTTCTCTGAATTCTAGTGAGAAGTCGTGACCAATGGAGTTCAAACTGTCCAGGTGTAGACAAGTATAAAAATCTTGACTACTAAGTTTTCATGATTGACATTTCATGTAAGCCTTTGTTTACGAAGGAGGCTACTCAAGTTACCTCAGAACTGTAAATTTCTCCGTCAAATATTTGATAACTTAGTTACATTTCTGTCCGGGACGTTAGATACCCAGAACTCGCTTGATAAATGACTTATTTTGGATTTCACGTTTGCCAGCATAGGCTGATCAGTTGACCTTGAGATTTCAATTCCCACCAGGAAAATTCATGGCTGTGATTGACTGCTGTGTATTTCTGTGTGCTGTTTTTGTGACTGTCCCAAGGACACTTCTATGATGTATAAATAAACGAGGGTTGTGTGCTTGGTTGCATTGTGCTTGCTGGGTGTTTGTAGAATATACTTTCTACGCTTATCAAAACTTCTGTTTTTGGCGTTTTCGGATCAAGGTAGCCTATCTGGACGCTGGTTTATTGTCTCGTTCTCGTTTATCGACTAAGGTGAACTCGTAATAGCTTCAAGAGTACCTAGCGACGAACCTAACAAATGTGTATGAGCAAATTTGCGGGAAAATCACCATTTAAGGAGCTAGAACAGGCTTTCATAGTGGGATTAAAATAAATTTGTGCAATGATTTTGCTGAAATCTTTTGGTGAAATGTCACAATGAGATATTTTTTCGAAATGAAAACGTCCCTTACTATGTATTCATAACTAATTACCAATTTTCACTCATTTTTTTACAGAACTTATTCCTGATATTGCGTGAACGGTAGACTGTTAAAATTAAATTCAGTTTAAATTGTAACAGATTCCAGAAAATGCCTAAACTAAAGTTGATTCATAAGTTTGATAAAACATCATTTGCTTTGAACATAGTTTATTCAATCATTGCTAAGTATTGTAACGCATTCTATAATCATTTCTATTGAACAATTTAGTTGGTCAACTCGGTATCGTGTGCCGTTGCAAGTATGAGGTACGTTGTCACTTTCCGGCCGCCCACATCGTGGAAGGGTGGTTCTTGGAAAATCTGAAAAGAAAATCGGGTTAGCACCGGTCTTAAAGACCTACGGTCGTGACTTCGGAACCCAAAGGACAACTACTTGGGGCCGATCATGCATTGCCTTCCTATGAGAAATTTTTAAAGTGTTCGCTCTGCTCTTTAAATGGCCTCACCACCGAAGACTAAAATCCTTGAAGTAAGGTCGAACTTTTCAAACCCTTCCTTCCTTGTGAGACCGCAACATCACTTCAGATGCTGGTTGTCAGAGGGAAACACCTTACTGTTATCACAGCCCTCTACAATCAGCAATTCGACTTCGTCCTCAAACCCTAAGTTACCGCTTTTAGTTTCATTGTTCTCCAATCGACCTGTCTGTCATGGTAGAACCTTCAGGAACATATATTCCAGCCAATATAACTTGTTTAGGTCATCACGCCATGCAAGGCCGACCACCACATCACAAGATAACAGCTAAGGTCGAAAACTATTGAATAGAAAATGTGATTATACCCATTATAACTCCAATTTCCTTTCTTTTTATTTCATTATTACTCAAATTGTTTTGCAACAAACCAAACAAAAAACCAACAACCCAGCTTTGTTTAAAAACAGAACATGTCCCCGAGAAATTAGATCAATGCAAATCGGATTTAAGTAAACAATTTAATTTATTAACTAAAATTGCACAATATGATGAACAATTAGTACCAGACAAAGCATTGGATATTATACAACAATGGCAAAATGATTGTGAAACCAAATGGAATGTCCATAAATTCAATCAATTAATACAATTAGGTGAACGGATTAAACAACGTTTAAATTTATGGGATAAATTAGATAATCGTGCTAGAGCTATTGAAGTAGGTTTTGTTAATGTCTGTTTTGTTCATGTTGTAGGTGTTGTCGTTGTTAATTATTATATATATTGATCAAGTTAGACATTAACGCCGTTAGATACCGGCTCAGTGATCCGATGGTTAGGCGTTCGCCTACAATGCCGAAGGTCCTGGGTTCGAATCCTGAGGGGTGCAGGAATCGTGGATGCGCACTGCTGAGGAGTGTCATTCCAGGACGAAATGGCCATCTTTCAGTGCTTCCAGGTTTCTAATGGTGATCTAACATGGATCGATTCATGGTTTCAAATAAAAATATATATATACTGTTTATTTGAGTGTGATCATTGAGCAACGCTGTTATTAGGACACGGGTGCTAGGTAAGAATGGCAGATCAATAGATGAAGTAATGAAACTTCATCAGTTGAGGTGGTTGGGACATGTGTTGCGTATGCCCAACCACTGAGCTTTGTTTTGTAGTGTGGGAATAGGTTGGAAGAAAGTTAGGGGCGGCCAAATCAAAACATGGCAGAAATCCATGAAGTCATTGACGAGTGGACTTAGCCATGTCGGTAATTGTCGACTACCTGGTTGGGGTCCGCGAGATGATAATAATCGATGGTTAGAGACCTTGAACGACATGGCTCAAAATCGTTCGTAATGGCGCCGGTGCATTTATTCTTTGTGTTCTCTCTAATCCTAACCTTCTGCGTTCTTCAACACCTCTAGTTTTGACTTTCTAAACTTTTCTCACTGAATCATACTTCTTGCATAATATCTTCTAATCCTAACCTCTCCAATTACTTCTAATACCTTTACTATCTCTTCTACTATTGGATTTGAATTGACAATTGCATCTCTGTGTGCTGATGTGGTATGGCGACATGAACTGATGTACTTGTGTACGAAGTTCTACGTTGCATCTGACTGACTGACTGACTGAGTGCGATCATTAGGAACAACTCTCAATATGGATTCTATATGGTTTGATTCCTTGAGAACATTTAATTAAAGTTATAAGTATGTGGTTAGTCATACTGTTCGCTTGTTTTTTTACAAACTAGTGATATGACATGATTGGTTCTATTGGAAATTAAGTGTAGTTTGTCCTTCTTTACTTAGGCCGCTGACCAGTATTCTCCAACCTACACCTCCTTAGACCTTCTTTTCCAGTCTTATCCGATTGATATTCATTGTTGCATAATGTGTTCTTAGGTCTTCCACTTTTCTTTTGGCTCAGAGGATTCCATGTGAGGGTTTGCCTTGTGATGCAGCTAGGTACTTTCCTTAATGTATGTCCTATCCACATACAACGCTTTCTTCGTCTACTGGAATCTAGTTTGTTCTATCTCACAATAGGTTGTTGCTGATGGTATATTATGACCAAAGGATCCGAAGTGTTTTGCGTAGACAGCTGTTAAAATAAATACTTGTATCTTCTGGATGATAGCTTTGGTAGTTTTCAAAGTTTCCACCCCATGTAGAACAACTTTACTGGCATTTGTATTGAAAATTGTGACTTTGGTATTAGTTGTAAGTTGTTTTGATTCATGGACATTCTTCAATTGAAAAGTTGCTATCCTTGCTCTTCCAATTCGCTTCTTTACATCTGCATCAGACCCATCTTGCTTGTTGATGATGCTGCTGCCAAGATATGTAGAGATTTTTACATCCTCTGAAGCTTCTCTATCAAGTGTGATTTGTTTGATGGAGCGTAGCTAGATTCAACGTTAAAATCCATTGATTGAGTGTGTAAGACTGTAAATATAAGGCTATTGTATTGACTTACTACATAAGTTAGACTAAATTTCATTCAAATTGTACAATTCACCTGCTTGATATCACGTCTATCAAGTCTAAATTAGAGATGCACTTCTAACTGTTCGCTGTCTGTAATTTCATCATACCACATCATGATTACAGAGTTAATTGGTAAAATAGGAAAACCATATCGTAAATCATTAATTTGCAAAATATCAATCCATCATATTGAACTGGACTGTTCCTGTTGCAAACATCATTCCATTTCACTGTTCATGCATTTCATACAAATTCCATTGTGTTCCCACTCTTCCTTTCTTGTTGATCTTCGCCTATCTTCGGCTGCCAGACATTACGTTTTTACTCGCGTCGTATACTACTTACAAGTAGCGCGCACCACATCATTGTTATCATTAAAGATATATATCAGATAATTATCAGATTGTAACTAATGCCTTAACTATCATTTAATTCTTGATTGTTTTGCTAGTATGAAGGAGATATTTACTCAGTTTTAGGAAATGAAGTATCGCAACGTTGATTACAATCTAACTTCTTTTTACAATGTACTAAGTGCGTCATGAATGTTATATATATATATATATATATAATGTGATGCAAATTAATAGATCAGACAAAGTTGATAAAAATAGTTGCATATACTTACTACTTACTTTATTGTAATAAACTTCCTTATGGAAATTTTTAATTTATCGTTAATCATTATCAAAATAGAAACCAGTTATCGTGTTTATGACTGGTTGATAAATTAAGCACACTGTCAAAGTAAAAAAACGTTTCTTACTACCATGAGGGTATTAAGGATAACGTAGAACTTTGTATGTATGTACATCAGTTCAGGTTGTCATGACCCATCAGTTCAAATCCCCTAGTAGTAGAGATAGAGGAAGTATTAGCAGTAATGAGGAAAATAAGGGTTTGAAGACACGATTCAAGAAGAATAATTCAGTGAGATAACTTTGGAAATAGAAAGATAAAAATGATGAGGAATTCAGGAGGTTAGAATTCGATAGAACACAATGAATGAATGCACCTACGCCATTGCAAACGATTTTGCGTCAGGTCGTCCAAGGTCTCTTACTATCGGTTCTAGTCATCTCGTAGGCACCAACCAGGTAGACTACATCTACAAACATGACTCAGGCTACTTGTCAGTGATTTCATGGATTTGTGTCATGTTTTGGTTTGGCCACCCTAAGCTTTTTTCCAACCTACTCCGACACTACAAAACATAGCTCGACGAGGCATACGTAACACATGTCCCAACCATCCCAACTGATGAAGTTTCAATACTTCTTCTATTGACCTGCCATCCTTACCTAGTACTCATTCCCTAATTAAAGGATTGCTCACTCGGTTGTCCCGTGATACACGAGCGATGCTTCGAAGACATCTATGATCAAATACTGGTAACCAACGAATGTCCTCTACTCTCACCAACCATGCTTCGCATCCAAATAGTAGGACAGAGAGAACTGCTGCGCAGTAAACTCTTCCTTTGGTTAACAAACGAATACCTCGACTGCGCCACAGGTGACGGAACTTGGCAAAAGCCAATCAAACTTTCTGTATCCGTGCTAAGATTTCATCAGTCACCAGGCCATCGGCACTTATGAGACTCCCCAGATAATTGGAGCGGTCTACAGGCTTTACTACTTCACTTCTATCACTGGCTCACTTGCCGATGCAACCCGATCTTGAAGCAACATTCTGTATCATGGGATGGCATCTGATTTCAATTTGTACTATCAATTAATTCTGTCATGGAATAAATCTTTCATCTAATTTCCGTACATTATTCTGAGGCTAAATCCGTTTGTGCGATGGTGGTAATTAGAGGTCAAGTAAGGATTGAGTTGTGTGAGTTCATTTCATGCAATCGTTCATGCAGATAGATATTAGGATAGAAAGCTGGGAAACAAATCGAAGTCAAGTAGAATTGGCGAGTGGAACAACTCAGTATGATGATTTATGACTGGGTTTTTTAGTCGGACAAAAATAATCTAGACATATGGTAAGTGAAATGAACAGTAGACATAATTACTTACATACCTACGCCTGTTACCCCCAATGGAACATAGGCCGCCCACCAGTTTTCGCCAACCAACTCTCTCCTGGACTTCCCTTTCCGGTTCTTTACAGCTTTTGTTCATTCCTCTCATGTCTTTCTCTATTTCTCGGCGTAATGTGTTGCATGGCCTTTCTCTTTTCCTTTTGCCTTGACGGTTCAATGTGAGGGCTTGTCTTGTACCGCAGTTAGGTGCTTTTCGTAGTGTGTATCCTATCCACTTCCACCACTTCTTCCTGATTTCCTCGGACACTGGAATTTGGTTTGTTCTCTCCCACAGTTCGTTGTTGCTGATGGTGTCTGGCCAACGAATACGAAGTATTTTGCGTAGACAACTGTTAATCAATACTTGTACCTTCTGGATGATGGCTTTCGTAGTTCTCCATGTTTCCGCTCCATACAGTAGAACTGTCTTGAAATTTGTATTGGAAATCCTGATTTTGGTTTTGGTTGAAAGTTGTTTTGAGTTGCAGATATTTTTCCACTGTAGAAATGCAGCCCTCGCTTTGTCAATCCGCGACCTTACATCTGCATCGGATCCACCTTGATTGCCGATGATACTGCCAAGATATGTAAAGGTGTTAACGTCCTCCAAGACATCTCCATCAAGCGTGATTTGGTTGGTGCATGTTGTGCTGTATCCTAGAATCTTGCTTTTCCCTTTATGTATGTTGAGACCTACTGCTGCAGAGGCTTTCGCTACACTGATTGTCTTCTCTTGCGAACAGTGGACATACCATAAAACTAAAAACAATCAAGGTCATAAGCGAATGTTTAACAAGGTCAGAGGTTGTGTGAATGATAACTCAAGAAAAATCGATCGATCATTTTTTCCAAAGGTTTGATCAAGCCATTTGGGCTCCACAGTACTAGTATACATTACATCTGATAGAATATTACAGACTGGCATCAAATTTTTGTCATAGCGCTACAGACGACCTGTTTCTTTTATTCTTCTACTGTGGTGTGAGCTTCTAATAAGTAGTATATGGCGTGAGTGTCAACGTAATGTCTGGCAGCAGAACATGGGGGAAAATCAGGAAAGGAAGAGTTAGAAGAACACAATGGAATTTGTACGAAAAGCATGAATAGTGACAATCGATTGATGTTGTTTGCAACAGGAACAGTCCAGTTCGATAGGATGGACTGATAATTTGCAAATGAACGATTTACGATATGGTTTTCCTATTTTACTGAGTAACTCTGTAATTTTCGTTAAATACAATTCGGTTGCCCTCACCTGTGTTCTCGTTCACTACACTACTCATGAAACCAGAAAACATTTCAAGTGATAATTGATGAGAGTTAATGTAAAACCAGATGGTGAGAACAATATTTGTGCTAAACGTGATTTAGAAACACGTAGTTTAACACTACCTTAAATTGTATTGAAATATCAGAATTCTCATACAGATTTTTTTAATAGTTTGCAATGTATTTATCTTAAAGAGTCAGTCTAATTGACTGTACTTAATTCATGTATCTAAGTAAATGGTTGCTCTGGTTATCAGTAGGGACATTGGCCTCATGACTACCAAAGGAACTCGGCCTTCATAATGAGACATTATATCTCTTATAAATGAAGATTTTCTAACTGTCAGGGCAAAGTTTAAATGGTTTGAAATGATTTCTTCTTGTCAAGGTTGTTTTTAGAGATTTATTTTTTCTACGCGATAGGATCACCAACCAACCTCACGCTCAACCCTCTTACTTTATCCGGGTCTGGGAATGGCTCCAGGTGGAGTTAAAAACGAACGATAACATATTACAGTATCTAATCTTGACACAAGAACTTTGTTATTCAATTTAGATATTGTATTTATGACAATTCTGACCGGTTATCTTGATATCCTAGATAACCTTAGGATAATTAAATCTAACAGTCTAATCTCATATTAACTTTATCTACACTTTGTTTATATCCGAATTTCTTATTTGTATATATGTCTGTTGTTTTTTTTTAGACTTGGCTGTCAAAAATGGAAGATTCGACATGTTCAGACAGTGATTGGTTTAGTCGACGAGATGAAATATTCCGTTTGTTAGAAGAAGCTAATGAAACTGCTCATTATCTTGGTGAATCAGCTGATCATTATAGATTGGAAATGTTCAGGAAAAGAATTGAAAAACTAGAAGCTGATGTAAGTAAATATACCGAAATAGATTACGATTGGTATATATGTGTATTTACAACGAATGGCGTCATTATAGTGGATTTACAGTTCTGATAACGATCTAATCTTGATTAGGCCATTTCTTCCTAGTACGAGACTCTTGAGCAGTGCTCATCCACTATCCCACAACCTTCAATCGAACCTAGAATCTTTAGTTTCGCAAGAAAATGCTTGATATCTAAATCGCTCTGTCCGGAATCCAGTAATGTATATATCTAACATCAACGGATTCACAATTTCACACAATCCTCGTCCATTGTCTACAGTGGATAAATGTCTCACACTCGACACAGATAGAACTTCTTTGCTAATACTAATTACTGGTATGTATTATGTATTTTAATCCTGATAGATTGCTAAATTTAGTTGTATTTTTATATGAACTGACTGGAGAAGTTTGTGAAATTTTTGGAAAAATCCAGTGAAATCACCAGATGTAACTCAGTCGTCTGGTTCATTTCTTACCACACTGTTTGTTATTTCCATAACATTTGCATGATTTATGTATCCTTCAAGAAGGACATCAAGATATGTTGTTTATTAAAACCTAGTTCTATGTCACTCATCATTAATTAAAATCAGTTGGAGAGTCATTGAAAGCTAAGGAGAGCTGCATAAATGTACCAGCAGTGTTCGGTCACAACTTGAATATTGATCAATCACAGCATAAAGTCATTAGATCAGTGATTGCCTGTAACTAGTGAAACGTATTTCAAGTTTCCACACTCATTTATATTAGTGATACTAGGCGTATTCTGATCCTCATAGGTAAAAAAGTGGCTCGTACGTTTTAAGCAGTAGCTTTCTTCTCACACGTTAATAATAAAAATTTCTGGTAAATTTCAATGAGCAAGAAATCTGTCCCCGCACATTTCTCTTTAAATAAAAGAAAGTGTTGAAGAACTCCAAATTTATTCCTTAAAAACATCTATAAGAGTTTAAAAAACGCATAGGAAACATTTTATCCTATCAGTCTCAAGCAGGACTTTCTCAGAAGCATTGAGAAAATGAAGAATTGATTGAATGGTTCCAGAAACTGTCACAAGTGTGATGTGAGCTACTTATAAGTAGTATATGAAGCGAGTGTCAACGTAATGTCTGGCAGCAGAAGATGGGGGAAGATCAAGAAAGGAAGAGTTAGAAAACAATGGAATTTGTGTATGAAACGCATGAATAGTGACAATGGATTGATGTTGTTTGCAACAGGAACAGTCCAGTTCGATAGGATGGACTGATAATTTGCAAATGAACGATTTACGATATGGTTTTCCTATTTTACTGAGTAACTCTGTAATTTTCGTTAAATACGATTCGGTTGCCCCACCTGTGTTCTCGTTCACTACAAGAAGCACACGATTACATGTAACTCCATAAATATTCACAATTTCCTATAAATAAACTAACCTTGATTAAGGTGTTTTGTGCTTCTCATCTTTTCGTGTGTTCAAGTTTCAGTGTAGATTTAACCTTGGGTTATTGGAAGCGGCTAGGTAATCAAATTCAACTTTCTTTTAGCCTACTTATCAAATAAACCCATATTTATCAATCTAATATGATATTTTTTTTAAAAAATAGGCTTTAACAAAAAGACGAGCTAATACAGAAAAAATTGAAGCGAAACGAATAGCGGATAAATTGAAACTTGAACAAGAAATTAATGATCATTTAAATAAAGTTGAATGTTGGATAGATTCAGTGAAAGAATTAATTGATAGTAAAACTAGTTCTAAAACAATAAATTTACGTGTACGATGTACTTCAAATGGATTATCAACTATTGTTGGACAATTACAAAAAGTTTTAGATCAACAACCACAAGTGAGTGAGTTTATGTGCTGAAGTGGAATATAGTTTTAGTCAGTCAGGTATATGAATGATAATTTGATTGTTTTAGGTTTATCTTTTGTCTATTCAGCAAGTATTTTACTTACTTACTTACTTACTTACTTACTTACTTAAACCTGCCATCCTTACCCTGCTACCCCGACCAGCATTCTTCAACCTACTCTTTCCTGAGACTTCTTTTTCAGTTTTATCCAACTGATGTTCATTCTTTTCAATGTATGCTTCCGATTCTCGACGTAATATGTTCATAGGTCACTCATTCTCTTTTACTTTGACCTGAAGGATCAAAACTGAGGGCTTGCAGCCTTGGAGCCTATTTAGGGGCTTGATAAGTTCGTCACTAAGTATGCTTGAGGCTATTATGAGTTTACCATAGTCGACAAACGCGAATAAGACAATGAACCAGCGTCCAGGTAGGCTACCTTGAATCCCAAGGCTGAAGTTAAAAGGCTTTGTAAGCGTAGAAAGCATATTCTACAAACACCCAGCAATCACACAGTACAATCAAGCATACAACTCTCGTTTATTTATACATCATAGAAACGTCCTTGAGACAGTTACAAAAATAGCACACTAAAATACACAGCAGCCAATCACGGCCATGGATTTTCATGATGGGAATTGAAATCTCAAGGTCAACTGATCAGCCCATGCTGGCAAACGTGAAAACCAAAATAAGGCATTTATCAGGCGAATTTCGGGGATCTAACATACCCAACAGGGCTTACTGCCAGTTTCGAGGCCGATAAATGAGGAGGTTAGGGTATAGGGTTAGAGACACTTTACCTCAGAAAATCAAGTCGCTAGAAAAACACTAACCCGAAAAACAACATTAGCAAGTATGAGTTAGATTTATTTGCTGTTGTATTAATAATAGTAGTGATGACAGTGAGAATAACAACTTATTCCTATTATTTTATATTACAGTAAGGAATTCTCACTGTTTGTTACTGTTTGATACGATCAAATCATTGTCATATTGTTGTGCACGAAAACCCAAGTGAGGGCATTTAGACTGTTCAGACTTCAGTTCACTTTACGTTACCTACAAATCGCCTTCTGTTCTCATTCTTTCCTTCTCGATCTTTTGCTGTCAGACGTTTGATTTTCATTTGATATCATATACTACTTATGTGAACATAAGTAGCGTACACCACAATATATCATATGTATTAGTGTAGAGCCATGACAAAAAAAAATACTAATTGAACATAAATTGATTTGCTGTATTTATCTTTTTTTGCCATATGGCAAACGAGAATTTTTACCGCAAATTAGATACTGAATATATATAAATTTCAATATAATCTTCTCTCATCGTCTCTAAAAACACAGTCAAGATGGAGAATATGTCGACAAGTTCAATGTTTCAATCTTAGATTCCCTAGTATTTAGCATAGCAATAGCTTTTAACCATTTGAAATCATCAATCAATCACTGTTAGACCAACATTAGAAACCTGGAAGCACTGAAAGACGGCCGTTTAGTCCTGGTATGGGACTCATCAGTGGCAGTGCGCATCCACGACTCCTGCTCCTCACAGGAATCGAACCCTGGGCCTTCGGTATTGTGCCCGAACGCCTAACCATTGGACCACTGGGCCGTCATCCAACGGTGTTATTTTTCTTCTGTAATTGCTGCCTACACCCGACAGGGTTGAACTCCATTGGTCACCTTTTCTCAACTAGAACTCCGAGAATTTCGTCACGAAGCTAGTCACCAGATCAATCAGAGTTAGACAGTAACACCGTTGGATGCCGGCCAAGTGATTCGATGGTTAGGCGTTCGAATCCTGCGAGGAGCAGGAGTCGTGCGTGCACACTGCCGCTGATGAGTCCAATACCAGGACGAAACGGCCGTCCAGTGCTTCCAGGTTTCTAATGGTGGTCTAACAATGATTGATTGATGATTTCAAATGTGTAAAAAAACACAAACCTCTAAAACTCTGCTCCAAAATAGCTTTTAAGCCTTTCATAATATTGTGTGAGATTATACAGTCGAGATTTATAATTATTCAGTTCACATAAATCTAAAACAGAAAAATTAATCGTTGTAATCAACTGGGTTAGTCAATGATCACTGTACTTTTTAATCCTAAGAAAACTACCATAAGATATGTAGTCTGTTTAGTAAATAACGACCTAATATGAAATTTTAGGTGAAAATTGCGGAAATCTATCAAGCGAATCATGAACTATAGAATGTTGTTTATCGAAAATAATGCATTTACGAAAACACATTTATTATATAGTGGATTAAAGGATAAGTAAAGATCATGAAAAGTAAAAAATTAATGTATGGCCAGTATAACAATCCACCTCATGGTTCATTCAGATCACCAGCTGATGATGAACAGATAGACATGTATGAAGAAGATTCAAAAACTGAGAGTGTGTGTGTGTGACTACGTTGGATTATAAGTAGGGCTCCTCATCATTTTAGTATGATGTGTTAGATTCGGTGTAAGGTTCATTACCATAGTGGCTCACGATATAACTCTTAATAATTAAATTTACTATGAAACAAAATTCTCCCTTCCGTTTCCGTATGTCATACTCAAGTGAACCGCGTTATAGCGAAGGCGGTAATTATCAGTCAAATACGGATTCGGTTGGATGAGGTTATTTTAAGCAAACCAGACAGGTGAACATATTGCTTGCAAGCAAAGTGATATGAAGTAGAGAAGGAGGGCCAGACAAGTAATGGGCAAAATAAGCGTGCGATCACACTCGAATAAAAACACCCATGATAAAAGCCAATATTTGGCGGCCAAACCAAAACATGGCAGAAATCCATGAAGTCACTGACAAGTGGACTGAGTCATGTTGGTAGATGTAGACTGACTATTTGAGGTCCGCGAGACGATAGTCACCAATGGTTAGAGACCTTGAACGAAATGGCTCAAAATCGTTTGCAATGGCACAGTTGCATCCACTCTTTGTGTTCTATGAAATTCTAAGCTTCTGAATTCCTCATAATCTCTACCTTTCTCCTTCTAAATTTATTTTACTGAATCATACTTCTCGGATCATATCTCCGTTCCTTAATCTTCTCCATTACTGCTAATACTTCTATTATTGCTATCACTCTTGAATTTGAACTGACAGTTGCGTCTCTGTGCTTATGGGGCATGGCAACCTGAAATGATGTACTCACGTACGAAGTTCTGCGTTGTATCTCTCTGTCTGTCTGCATAAATAATAACTCGATTTTAAAATGGATAAGTTAAGTTGTCTGAAAGCTTGAGACAAACCTAATAGGCTTGGCCTAAAGGAACACACACACACACCACCGGCCTTAGAAAACCACAAAATGCTAAAATGTCGAAATAGAGGATGGCCTTGATCAGTATAGAGAGTGTTTTGAAGGGTGATATCTATTAGTTTTGATAGAACAATGAGAATGTGATGTATTTAAGACTAACATTTCAAACAATCTGATTTATTAATGTTTATATGGAAAAGGACTAATTATTTTCAACATTTTTTACGTTCAATCATTAAAAAATCCTATTCATTTCATTGTCTTTGTGTTTTCAATGCATCAAGATTACAGAACATTTACAAAATGCTACAATTTTAAGTCAAGATTCAATCAACCAGTCAACAACAACATCAGCTGAACAAATTGAACGATTAAATCATTTAGAAGAACAAGTTGAGAAATTTTCCAATCTTTTAACGATTAAATTAAAAGATTTAACTGATATGACAGAAAAAACTTATGAGCTAGAAAAAAATTTAAATGATATTCATACACAAGTGAAAGAATTAGAACAGAAACAAGCTAGCATATTAATGAATACTGATATACGTACATGGGAATGTTCACCATTGTATCTTGATGTAAGTTTTGAATGAAATAATTAAAACATTTTTTTATCCCATATTAATATTTCACTGATTAATGAAAAACTAAGTCTTAGATGAATGTAGGTTTTATGAATACAGCTCCCGACTTTAACTGCTACGTTGACGTTGTGGTTGGGTTTGCCTATCATGATGACCTAACCGAGCTATATTGGCTGGAACATATGTTCCTTTAGGTTCTATCATGCCAGGCAGGTCGATTGGAGAACGATGAGACTAAAAGCAGCGACTCAAGGTCTAAGGGCCAGGTTGTATTGCTGATTATAGAGGGGTGTGACAGCATCTGAAGCAATGCTGCCTCCTCACGAGGAAGGAGGGATCGCGCCTCACCTTACATTACGGATATCTGTCTCCGGCGGTAAGGCCTTTTAAACAAGAGAGGAGCTAACAAGTTAACTTTCTATTAAAAGGCCATGTATGATCAGCCACAAGCAGTTTTTGGTCACACTCTTAGGTCCCTAAGACCGGCGCTGATCAAACTTACTTATTTAGGAAGTACCTTTTTACAGTGTGTGGGCAGCCAGGAAGTGAAATCTGCCCTCATTCCTGTCACAGCATTCGAGGCCAAATTGGTCATAGTGAAAAAATTAGCTGGTTGATTATGACTAGAATATAATCACATCTTTTAGTCCGAGTTACTAGTTGCTCTTGTTATTTAATGACAGCATCTGAATCGTAATATTCCCTAGCATACTACAAAGCGCGAAATGATAGTTTTTCATGCGAGTACTTTTCTATTTTCAGAAAAGTCAAGTTTATGGTACAGTAACTTTGTTCATATAGTTTGAGACTATGACCTCGGGTCATATGATATTAATGAGCTGTTATTTAAAGGAAGTTCCTTTCGTATGAATGAATGTAGTCATATTCAGCTACAATGACCACAAGTCATCTTACTGGTTCATGGATAACTCATAAATACTATCATTATATACCGTATCAGATAAAATGTTATATGTATACCTTTATAAAAGAACCCTGTAGGAAATCGTTTGGATTCACAAATAAGTTTTGTTTTTCTCTGGAATTCAGTCGATTTGTCATACACACTTCCTGATGCTTTCTTGAGGAAAGTTAGGGATATATGTACACAAATCATGGATTTATGCATGAACATTGAGCAGAATATATTAACGGTGGTTTTATCACGATGAATAGTCAATTCATTCACAATATGCCCATTTACTCAAGGAGGGTTGCTTCTTCTCGTGTGCATGTTGAAACCACCTGTTGCAGAGGCTGATGCAACACAGCCTGTCTTCATCTGGATTTGTTGTTACTGTGTAGGAAGTATAGAAGAGCTAAATCATCTGCGAAGTTCAGATTGTCCAACTGCATCCACGCTGTCCACTCTATTTTTTCTCCTTCTTCAGAGATTTTTAAATCTTCTTTTTCCAATCAACCTTCAGGAGAAAGCGAAAAGGCGAAGCCATGAATTTAGATTAATTTATAAATCTTCTGAAGACCGTTCATGTTAAAAATTTTGTAAACTTAAACTTAACTTGAATGTTTGCTTAATGATTACTAAAACAATATTAACCTCACGTACTTAGAATGATGTTTACTGAACTTTGCGATCATATTGATGGTTTATTGACTGCTTAAAATGAAAACTAGTGTTCATTACTTTCACTTAACTTTTACTGATGAACCTCCAGGGAGTTGTTTGATAAATAAATGACATATCAGAGAAGTAAATTTATGAATATATTTATTTTCAGAAGATTATGATGATGATGATGATGATGATGATGATGATGATGAGTAGTTTAAGAATTCCTGTTTGCTTTATGATGAAATAAGATTCTTATCGTTTTTTTTTAAAAAAAAAAACTTTTTCAATAGTTCAATGATTGCCGTGGACATTTAACATTTACTACTGGTCAAATAAATGATTTAGAACGTGCGCTTAATTTACAAACTAATCGTGGTATGGCAATTTTAAACAAATTCAACGTTGAAGAATTGTATCAAGAGATTAAAAGTCTGAATGAACATCTTAATGTAAGTGTGATATTGTTGTTTTATTGTAGTTTTTATAGTTCAACACTTTGAAAATCTTTAATATTTCAAACTGTATTGTTTATACACATTTGAAATCATCAATCAATCATTGTTAGACCACCATTAGAAACCTGGAAGCACTGGACGGCCGTTTCGTCGTAGTATGGGACTCCTCAGCAGTGCTGATATGTTGTGTAGATTAGTAGTGAAGTGAAGTTGTAGTGAACGAGAATAAAGGTGGGGCAACCGGATTGTATTGAACGAGAATTACAGAGTTATTCAGTAAAATCGGTAAACCATATCGTAAATCATTCATTTGCAAAATATCAGTTCATCATATCGAACTGGATTGTTCCTGTTGCAAAACATCAATCCATTGTCACTATTCATGCGTTTCATACAAATTCCATTGTGTTCCCACTCTTCCTTTCTTGATCTTCCCCCTCATCTTCTGATGCCAGACATTACGTTGACACTCACGTCATATACTACTTATAAGTAGCTCACACCACAAAGTTGCCATCTATGGATAGAAATCTGATAACTAGCAAGCTACTGGTCAGTTATTTATATTTTTTCATTATCACTACTGCACCAAAAGTCAAATCCTTGAAGTGATAGCTTTACTTTCATTCCACTGAATTTAAATTTATTTAATGGTCGTTTTATGTTATTTCACAACAGTTGAAATATTTTTACTACCTCTACTACTTTGGAATTTCAATTATCAATCACGTTTCTGTGTTAATGTGGTATAGCAACGTGGACTGATGTACGTACATACCATGTTCTGATGAAGTAATGGTTGAAATTTACTGTTCATAGTTTCTTACTAGAACACTGGGAATTGTCTTTTGAATTTAGTCAGTGGTAAGAACATAATGCTGTGTTATTGATATTGCTGAGTTTAAATTTTACAGCACGGACTGATTGGTTAAGTTTCGCAGTCATAGGTGCTACCAGTTAATGTTTTAAAGGCAGTGTGATTGGAGTGTTTGATTAAGGGTGAATTATATCATAGTAATTTAAGAAATTTAGTGAACTAAGTAGATAAATCAAATAATTTTTACACATTAAAATCATGAGTGAATTATTGTTAGATTATCATTAGAAACTTGGAAGCACTGAATGGGCGTTTCATCCTGTTATGGGACTCATCAACAGTGCTTCCATGTTTTTTTAATGGTTGTCTAATAATGATTCATTCATAAACTCAATCAAAGGTTACTAATAGAGAATCATGAATTCTTCTTCTCTACCGGTTCAGTACTAATTAATTTGCATATATGTATAATAATAGTGATATTGTTTGATAGGATAAATGTCCGTGAATTCATAGCGCATCCAATCTTGAACGTTCAATATACGTGTGCACCAATGAACATTTCTCCATTCATTTACTGAGGGAATAGTTCATATGAGCGCGCCCTGATGTTGACTGAGGATTTTATTTGAAGTTCTTAAGTTCATGTAATTTGGTCATTTAAGTTGAGCTACAGTGTCGTGTTCATAGTTGACATAAACGGACAGCTTTAAATGACTGAAATAAAATCCCCAGTAGATATGATGTAATAACGTTCTCCATATTATGCTTTCTGTAAATATTCAAGTGCATATATATCTTGCAAAAGTAAGATTTATCACAACTCTAACTAAAAAAATTTCCGTTTACGACCAAAAACAATTCACATTCAATGTCATGCAGAAACTTGGTGCTTTATTTTGAACTCGATTAATCCAGCTGTTCATGAGTTAAAGCCACCCACTAGAACTTTCAAAAAATACTTACAAAAGTCCAAATCCATGGGTGAACATGTTTACTATGTAATTAGTACCCTTTGTTAGTCCAATGCAGACAAAAGTATATTAAAAAAACGTAATTTTAAATTTTCCTCTTTCCGTGTATCATTCTCATTGCGTTCGAATACTACTAATCTACTTTTTTTCTGAAATCTCTTTCTTTCTAATTGTATATTTGATCATTTCATATTATTTTCGATAGAATTTTGAAAAAACCGCCAAACGTAAATTCAATAATAAACAATCAATTAATGAAACATTTTCAACATTAAAACAACAAATGGATGAAATACAAACTGCTTTGAAAGATTTAAAACATGCAACATCAACTGGTACAGAGATAAGAAAAGAAAATTTATTGAATTGGTTGGAAAATTTAAAAGTGAATCCATTTTTTTCTCTTAATCAATAATATAATCTGTATATTTTAAATGAGGTTGTTTGTAGCGCTTTCAATGTTCAAGATTCAATGTATTGAGTCATTCAGTAATTAAATTAATTTGTATACTTAAGAGTTTGAAATGAAATCTTTCAAGATTATTAGATTTATCGAGTTAATGGGCGAAAAATTAATCAAAAAATGTTGAATATACTGAACTTATTGGGGATTTTAATGAGATGTGGTGATACAATCCAGGCATGAACAGTTGATTAGAATGAACATTTAAACTGACAAATTGATGAGAGAGAGACCTACAACATAAAGAACAGTTTTTAACTAATGAATTGAGTACCATTCATAAAAGTTGATATCCAGTTTTAGAGAAAAAAAACCTCACATTTGGATGATATTGAGTTGATAATCAGTGAGTGGAATGATTACTCTCTAGCCAACCTGAATATACTTTTGTATAACTATAGATCAGATGGTAAATCAGAGTAACCTTCAAAACTTTGTATTGGATAAACAAAATTGTTAGGATATTCATAAAATATCCTAAGAGAATTATTTTTCAATTCTAATTCTATTTATTGGTCAATTCCTGCCGGTCAATATTATGGTCCTGCTAGCTATGAATGTCACAGAATTCAATCTTTTTTCTTATTCGACCTAATTGTATAAATACGCATTATCTGTAACGTTTTATGACCCGGATCCTGATTCTCTTCTGAACTCGGACCTCGTACTTTCTGGATGCTTGTAGAATACATGTCCTACTTCATATCAAGTCTTCTTCTTTTACTCAATATGGGGGTTTGGGAAAATCGGATTAGAGTAGCCTGTCATGTCGCCGGATTCTTGATCCTCGCTCTTTTTTTCCTACTAAGGTAAACTCATAATAGTTCAAGCATATCAAATGATGTGTTCACTTGCATGCGTAACACATCGATTAGTATTTGACTGATATAATTGCCAGCTGGTTATACATGTTAAGTCCTGAAAGCTTACTAGATTATACAAAAAGTAGCTATATTTGGCATAAATCTCAATGTCTTGTATTTTTACCACTATTGATACGACAGACAGTATTTGATTAGTATTTGCAGGTATGCAGATTTTTCAATTTTCAAACTTGATGATACTGTAAAGTGTCCCTGGAACAACAGCTTCACTGAGGGGAAAAATGTCATTAGTGAGTTATCTTATTAAATCATTCTGTAGTAAACGAGAAGACAGGTGGGGCAACCGAATTGTATTTAACGAAAATTACAGAGTTACTCAGTAAAATCGGAAAACAATATCGTAAATCGTTCATTTGCAAAATATCAGTTCATCATATCGAACTGGACTGTTCCCGGTTGCAAAACATCAATCCATTGTCACTATTCATGCGTTTGTTTCATACAAATTCCATTGAGTTCTAACTTTTCCTTTCTTGATCTTCCCCCATCTTCTGCTGCCAGACATTACGTTGACACTCACGTCATATACTACTTATAAGTAGCTCACGCCACAATTCTACTAAAATATATTTATATGTAGTCGATAAGAGAAACAAAATCAGGTTCAAGCAAATAAGGATCGCTATATACATGTGACTTTTTAGACTATCATCAACTGACAGTCAACTTCAATTAGTTGAATCGATTAAAAGCTGACTAACACGTTTATTCACATTTTCGAGAGTTTCGGCCTTAGAAATATACCAATACGATTAATTCGGATTTAAGGATGATTATCAGTTTTTTTATCCGCTCCGTTTAATTTTTTTTTATAGACACTACGCCGTAAATACACAGAAAGTATGAAAACCAATGATAGACAATGTCAAAATCTTTTAAATTCAACTGCTTCACAAGGTGATAGTGATATGTTGTTGGGTGAAATGAAGATGAAAATTTTTCAAATGGTAATATTATTATTATTATTGTGAAAGTGATATAAAGCATTTTTTTAATGTTTATGAACAATGAGATAGTTCTCGTACAAATCTTTTGTTTGAATGGTTATTTTATTGAAAATGTACAATGAACCACTGGGTTGAAATGATTTATTCATGATTTCCGGATCAAACTACGATCTTCATAATACTGTAATCCAAAATCAAAAACTATTCTCACTAGTGACTAGTTTCGTGAGCGAATTCTCGGTGTTCTAGTGAGAAGACGTGACCTTGTCGATTGTAAGCAGTAACTATTGAAGACAATAAGTGAGGTTGCGAAAAATCGTTAGATTGATCAGAGTTAGATATGAATACTGATGGATACCAGCTCAGTGGATACCAAGATGATACGGCCGTTTTACAGTTTGAAACATGGCCGGTAAGAGTTGAGGATATTCGTAGGTTACTGGTATTCGATTACAGATGTCTTCGATGTATGACTCCTGGGACAATCGAGTAAGCAATACTAGTGTTAGGAAACGAGTACTAGTTAAGGATGGCAAATCAGTTGTTGAAGTACTGTATCTTCGTCAGTTGAAATGGCTGGAGCATGTGGTACGTATTCCCAACGACCGACTACCTCGACGAGCTTTATTTTGTGATGTAGGAATAGGTTGGAAGAAAGCTAGGGGTGGCCAAACCAAAACATGACACAAATCCATGAAGTCAATGACACCTGGATTGAGTCATATTGGTAGATGTAGACTAACTATTTGAGGTTCGCCAGATGATAGTAATCGATGGTTAGAGATCTTGAACAACATGGCTCAAAACCATTTGCAATGGTGCAGGTGTATCTGTTCTTTAGCTTCTTCTCTGCATTCTTTATCATCTTATTCTTTCTCTTTTTAAGTTTATTTGACTAGATTAAACTCATTGAACAATATCTTCGAACCCTAAGAATTCCCGATTACTACTTATACTTCTATCAGCTCTACTACTAAGGCATTTTAATTGACAATTTGGCCTCTGTGCTAATATGATATTAAGACAACTTGAACTGATGATGTACATACCATCCAAAGTTCTACGTTATAAGTAACTAACTGACTAACTGATCGAATGATTCTCCTTACTGATTGTCTCATTCCAAAAAATAAAACCAAGAATTTTCAACTTTACTCAGAACATATTACTTTACTTACGCCTATTACCCCCAAATCGAGCATAGGACGCCAACCAGTTTTCTCCAACCAACTCTGTCCTGAGCTTCCCTCTCCAATTCTGTCCAATTTTTCTTCATTCCTCTCATATATTTCTCTATTTCTCGGCGTAATGTATTCTTTGGCCTACCTCGTTTCCTTTCACCTTGAGGGTTCCATGTGAGGGCTTGTCTCGTGACGCAGTTAAGTGATTTTCATAGTGTGAGTCCTATCCACTTCCACCACTTCTGCCTGATTTCCTCCTCCACCGGAATCCGGTTTGTTCTCTCCCACAGTAGGTTGTTGCTGATGGTGTCTGGCCAACGAATCCGAAGTATTTTGCGTAGACAACTGTTAATAAACACTTGTATCTTCTGGATGATGGCTTTGGTAGTTCTCCAAGTTTCCACTCCATACAGTAGAACTGTCTTGATATTTGCATTGAAAATTCTGATTTTGGTGTTGATTGATATTTGTTTGGAGTTCCAGATATTTTTCAATTGTAGAAATGCAGCCCTTACATTGCCAATCCGCGCCCTCACATCTGCATCGGATCCACCTTGATTGTCAGAACATATTACCATGTACAAGGAAAAAAATGTAGCACCAAAAACCAACTGGTCATTTTCAACTGATCATTTAAACATTAACTGGTCATTTTTATTTACTTTCTTAAAAAATAGAAACCGCCTTTTTGGAAATGATTCAATTTTCTAAATCCTATTCACTTTCTTCCCTTGTAAAAAAAACCTACAGTCTTCATTTTCTGTCTTTATAAGGAAATCAACTAGATATATTTATTATGCAAGACAAAAGACAAAAGGCGTTGCTCATTGCTAGTTAGTTTTTTTTGCAAGAATTCAGCGTACTACTACTAATACTACTGATTTATATACACACACACACATGCAAAAAACATTCCTCTCTCTCTCTACAGACCTGATATTACAATAGGTGTACAAATGTGTAGGTTTTTTTTAGTAAATGAGTCATTTCTGTAAGAATGAAAAGAGTAAACACGCCCTTCCGTTGAATGATTCCATCACTAATGTCCACTGGTATTTTTTTTTATTGAATCGTTTTAAAGTACATTTATTCAGTATTTTCCTCTTTTTTTTATCAAACACAAGTTACGCATTTATATGTATGTAATACAATTGTTACTACTACAGGCGACATGAAAATTAATTTATCTGTAAAAATATATATATGTTAGATATCTAGTGAAAAATAGTTAAATAGAATTTACTGAATTCTTAATGATACTAATGTATCAGTTTATCAGAATAACTGATATATACTACTATTATTATTATTATTATTATAGTTTTAACTGTAATTTAATGCGTAAAAAATCTTTTTTATAAGAAACATTTTCTAGGACATAAGTATTTGTCATGTGTATTGTATTAGCTGAACTTACATTTAGAGCTTATTTTAGTGTTAGATTTTTTGAAATTTTAAATTTTTTATGTTTACGCGCCAAAGACACGCTTATTTTGACCTTCAGCTTGTATTTCCCACCAGGGTGAACCTTTAACTGTTATTGGTTGATGGATTATTTTAGGATGTTATTTTGTCGCTCTCACCAAGGGCGTTTTTATGATTGTATAGATAATCTTGAGTTGTGTGATTATCGACCTCATACTTTCTGGTTGCTTGTAGGATACATTCTCTAAGTCTTATCAAGATTTCTTGATCTAGTTAGAGCAGATTAGAGTAGCCTGTCGAGTCGCTGAATCACTGATCTTCGTTCCGTTTACCAACTAAGGTGAACTCTTAATAGCTGCAAGCATATCATAACTTTAATGAGAGTAATCTTTTATAGTAAACATTTTTAGGACATAAATTTTTGTTAAGCGACCTTATGTGTTGTATTAATCGGGCACACATTTACAGCTGATATCAGTCAGTGATGTCTTACATTTTTTGGTGATCCACAGTTCTATGATCTGCTTAAGAAAATAATGACTCTACTGTGGACCAAGCCCAGAACATTCATTCACACAACAAGTGCTTAGTCTCTAGACTAACATAGAGATATAATTCTAGGAGTTTCGGTAGAAGTCGTGACTAGTAAAGTTTCGTCATATTGGGTAATGTAAGATGGTCACATAAATTCCCGACTCACTGAAGGTAAGCCTGTAGATTACTGAGTGAGACTATTGGTATAAAGTTCATGAGCTTGCCGTTAGATCTATAGATCGTGGATCTGAACTCCAGTAGGGACAGTAATACACACTACTGAATGGTTCGACGCTTCTTCTTTCCAGTTTGTTTTATGTTCCCAGTGTTCGTTTATCTAAGAACATTCAACAATCCCGACAAACTTTTATATTAATGACAGTAATAACGGTGTAACTAACTACTGGTGATTTGTAGCACAACGAAATATTTCAATTTTGATGAGACTCTGTCTTCCTTAAATTTGACTCAACCGAAGGTAAGGTGAGAATGATCATGATAAAATTAAATTTAAATTAAATTTTTACAACGCAAACGGTTGATGAACTATGCATTAATATTCTTCTATGACCATATTCTATATGAAACTTGTAGTTTTCGAATAATTCTCTCTTTTGAAATTTGAAGATAATATATTAACATCGAAATTTCTTGATGTATCCACTAAGATGCTAATGCTTTAAGAACCAATTTACACAAGCATGAAAGCCATGATGAATCAAGAAGTTGAGTTGTCGAAGGCTAGATAATTAAATCAATCATAACTGAAGTACATCTGTTAAAAACTAGACTTATTATTCAGATAATTTTCACCATAGGGTTGTGTAGATTATTTAATTTCACTGAAATGAACAAACTTTGTATGCAGCTGATTTTGGAAACTCATGTATTTCGGAAGCCAACCCATACAGACGTAATTCTCAACTACGGTAGAAACAATCCAAGAACCCATAAAATCATCTGCATAAAAACTTTGTTCAACAGAGCGAAGACACACTGCAGCACGTATGAAGCACTAAAAAACTACCCAGACCATTTGGAATAGGTGTAGCATACAAACCAACAGAATCACTTCAATCAATCCTATGTAGAGACACCAAAGGACAAGATGACAAAGGAAGAAAAACCAAATACCATCTACAAAATAAACAACTGCTCAGATTGTAAAAAAAACACTACATAGGACAAAGTGGACGTCCTCTTCAGCTTCGTTAGTGTGAACACCAATCAGCAGTCAAACGCAACGACAATTTTTCGCTTATATCAATACATACGGACAATTATGGACATACGTTCCATTGGAACAATGTTGAAATGCTGGATAGGGGAGGACAAAGAACACTAGAGAATTTTTAGAAGCTTGGCACTCAGGTCGATCAGTAATCAACAAACATATCAACAATGGCCCAATTTATCAACCAATCAGAAAAATCATAGGTGACATTAGATCAAGAAACAGATCAAAAGAGGGATACAATCAAAACATAGGTGAAAAAAACGACAGGTCAAAAGTCAACAGCAACCAATCAAGATTTAGGTTAGCAGAACAAGATACAGGTCAAACGTGGTGAATACTTCACTTCTGCTGTCTGAAGTTTGTGCTGCTGATGATGTTGTTCAGCCGAAGAACAATGAAATCTTCACAACCAAAACATTCAGCTCAGAGAACGAACCACCACAACAACCTATCTTTATATTGGTTCTATTTGAAATTTGAAAATAATATATTATTGTGGTGGTGTTTTGTTCTCAGCTCAGAGAACAAAACACCACCACAATCATCCACCTGAGCTACAAGTTTTCTCCACCATCTCAAAATATATTATTATCTACATTTCTCGATTTGCTGTCCAGTATAGTGCTGATGCTTTGTGATCTTATTTATGTAAACATGAAAGCGTTGCTGAAACAAGAAGTCTAGTTGTCGAAGGCTAGATAATTAAATTATTCATAACTGAAGTACATCTGTTAATAACTAGACTTATTATTCAGATAATTTTCACCATAGGGTTGTGTAGTTTATTTAATTTCACTGAAATAATGAAACGATCAATGTAAGATCACCATCAGAAACCTGGAATCACTGGAAATGTATTTCGTCCTTGCATGAGACTCATCAGCAATGTGCACATACGACCCTCGTACGGGGAATCGAAACCAGGTCCTTCGGTCTCACGCTCGAATGTCTAACCTCTAGACCACTTAGACGCGTCCTACAGTGTGATTGTCTAACTTCGACCAATGCATGGTCTTGCTCAGCCTCTCCCACCACTGTCTTCGGTGAGCACCGCTCCACACCCGATAGAGTTGAGCACTATTGATTACGACTTCTCACTAGAACTTGGAAAAGTTACTTCACATAGCTAGTAAAAGAGTCTACGACCTTAATCAAGTGTGGAATTTAGAAAACTTCAGTTGCACTTGCATTTGACTTTCTGTGTATTCCTCAGATAACATGGACTTTGTCTAGTTTTACTTAGTATACCCCAATGTCTCGTTAGAGATAATAAAGAGGACTTATTAAAATAGAGCGTTTTCATTAACAAAACTTTCGCAACTAATGCATTAAGACTCCTCATACTCATTTCTATAGAAATCATTTGAAATTTACTTTGAAGTTAAACGTGATGCTAGTTGCTTACTTACATACTTAAGCTTGTTACACCTAATGAAACATAGGCCCCCCAACCAGTGTTCTCCAACCTATTCAGTTCTGGACTTTCCCTTTCATTTCTATCTAACTGTTGTTCATTCTTTTCATGTCTGATTTCAATTCTAACCGAAATGTACTCTTTGGTCAGTCCTCTTCTCATAGCAGAAGTGAAGTATTCGAATCGCTCCAAGTATGAGTTGTTCATTTGTTCAGAAGAAAAACGATCAAAGCTCCACAACCAAAAAAACATTCAGCTCATAAAACATGTGGCTGAGATAACTACTTTAGTGGCCCATGGGCTCACTATTCTATTTATGACATTGTAATATGCCATGAAATAAGTCTCCCATTCAGTTTTCATATATATTATACTTAGGTGAACCCCGTTTGTGCGATAACTTTAATTAAAAGCCAAATACTCATTCGATTGGATAAGTTTATTTCACGTAATCGTTCATGCAGACAGATAAGAGAACACAAAGCATTTAAGTAAAGCAAAGCAAAGCGAATTGAAGGAAGCCGGCGAGTCAACTCAATGTAGTGAGGCATAACTAAGCATTTATAATCAGACAACATAAGCTAGACATGTAATAAGCATAGTGAGCAATGCGTATACACTAGAATAGAAACAACTAAGATCTGAGCGAATGATAGACAAGGTCGAAAAGTATGTGAATAATGACCCATACAAGAAAATGTTAATTAGTACGTCTGAAAGCCAAGCAAGTACTGTGTGCTCAACATAAAAGTACACGCATTACAAACAAAACTCTGTCATCATCATCACCATCCATCTGAACTACAAATTTTCCAACCCCCCGCCCCACCTACACCCATCATCTTAAATATCATCTACTTTTATTTCTTGTTTTCATTTTATTTAGAAAACTGATCTCAATGAACAATGCGTGGAAATTGATCATGACCTACAAGGATTAGATGTTCAATTAAATCAATCATTGAAAAATTTGAATGACCTTGAAGAGAAAACCAAACAACTCGATCAATGGTTAATCAATCAAGAAAGACGTCTGACAGCTTTATCCACTGGTCCTACAACATTACCATATGATAATACTGTAGATAGTATATTAGAACGTATAAAATCTCATCAACAATGGGTAGATGAATGTAAAGTAGGTCAATATGGATAATTAATTGATTGATTGATCATTGAACATTCTTTTAAATGATCAATATTGTCATGTCCAATGTTATTGATCATGTTGTAAGGTTGTTTTTCTGAAGTAACTGCCTTTATTTTTATCATGTGTTGTCAAATATTGAAGATTGATTAATCTAAAGAGGCTAGACACTATTGGTTTTGCTTGATATTTGTAAACGCTTGTATGTTTGACTGTTAGCCATCATACATTCCTGAGTTTCTGGAAAGGAAAGAAGGTTACTTAAGGCAGCTCCACACATATTGCGAACAATCTGGTCACACCTGAGCACTTGTCAAGGCATTTTATATCAAGATTAATTAAAGGTCAATTAAATAAAAGTTCAAATAGACATAAGGTGATAATTGCAAATAAAGGAGAGAGAGAAAATTTGCATTACAGGGGTTGTGAAGATTGTTAAGTTACACATTTTCAAAACCATGAATCGATCGATGTTAGACCACCACTAAAAACCTGGAGGCACTGGATGACCGTTTCCTCCTGGTATGGGACTCCTCAGCAGTGCGCATCAACGACTTCTGCACCCCGCAGAATCCGAACGCAGGACCTTCGATATTGTGCGCGAACGCCCTAACCGTTAGACCACTGAGCCGATTTCTGACGGTGTTAATGTCTAACATCGATCGATTCATGGTTTCAAAAAATGTGTAACTTAACAATCTTCACAACCCCTGTAATGCAAATTACCTGTGCTCACTAGTGACTAGCTTCGTGAGGAATCTTCTACGAGTTCTAGTGGGAAGACGTGACCAGTGAAGTTCAACCTGTTCGGGTGTAGGCAGTGTCTACCGAAGACTGTGTATGAGGTTGCGCAACTCCGTGCATTTGATCAATTTAGACGTTAACACCGTTAGATACCGGCTCAGTAGTCTAACGGTTAGGGCGTTCGCGCACAATATCGAAGGTCCTGCGTTCGGATTCTGCGGGGTGCAGAAGTCGTTGATGCGCACTGCTGAGGAGTCCCATACCAGGAGGAAACGGTCATCCAGTGCCTCCAGGTTTTTAGTGGTGGTCTAACATCGATCGATTCATGGTTTCAAAAAAAAGAGAGAAAATTAACGTAATATAAAAAGAATAAGATGGGGTAGGAAAATTGTCACATTACCCTAAGCTTAAAGATTACCAGGGTAAATTAAAGGTTATGACAAATTGTTTCTGCTCATATATAAGGGGGATTTTAATTTTCGAATAGCCAAGGCCTCCATAAACTTCAAAGTTCATCTTTCCACATTTCTATACAATGTTTTGAAGGCTGTCTTGATGTCAATTTTATGTACCCTGTCTCAATTATGTGTTTTGCGATCGATGAACATGGTTTTCTATTTCCCAAGCTAATCGGCTCATCTGACGTTAACTGATTTTGAAGCCTCTTAGAGGTACATGTTCCGTAACCCTTGATTGCAAAGTCCAATTACTCCTCCCTATGTATGTGTGTCCACACAAACATGTAAATTGATAAATGCAATGGGATGTGATGTAATCATTCGAGCAACGTTTAGGTCTATGTGAAATCATGGACTTGGTCTTTTCAATGATAATCAGTTTAGCAGCGTTGTATGTTTTCTCTATGGCTGCTTTAAGTATCTGTCTTAATACTAGACCATTTGCTTCACTTCAAAATGGTAAAGTGATATAAACCTTTTACTTTTCAGCAGAATGAAAAACTATCTTTTGTCTTAACTGATTTCTATACTTATTGATGAACTTTAGCGCATAGCCGTTTGAAATCAATGCTTCAGTTAGGAATTTCACATCATCTTCAGATCAGTTACGTGTTCTCACTGTTCTATCATATTTTTCTCTTCCGGGTTTATGAAACACAGACATCATGGGATTTTTATATACTAACAAAAGTAAATACAATGCTCTACAATACTACCATATCTGATATATTTACAACCTGACAAACAATTTGTTAGAGCTGACCTGATCAACAACTTATATTCTTGAATATATCGCTGATTCATAGTTGTAAACATTCTTATTCATTCGAAAATGTTTCATTCAAGGTGTCTTGATGAAGAGAATGAAGAGGAAGGGATAATTAAAGGATAAAATAAGTTGTTACACTTATAGATATGAAGATTAACTCTTCTTTCATTGTTTAACAGGCAGTCAGTCAGTAAGTTACAGCGTAGAACTTCGTACACATGTAGATTAGTTCAAGTTGCCATACCTCATTTGCCTAGAGATGCAATTGTCAACACAAATCCAATAAAAGTAGATGTAGTAGAAATATTAGCAGTTATGAAGAAGACTAGGGTTCAAGGCGTAGAATCTAGTGAAATAAACTTAAAAGGGAAAAGATAAACATGATGAAGAATCCAGAGGATTAGTATTTGAGAGAGCACAACGAATGGATTCACCGGCGCCATTGCAAACAATATTCAGCAATGTCGTTCAAAGTCTCTAACTGTCGACTGCTATCATCTCGTGTACCCCAACCAGATAGTTAGTCTACATCCACCAGCATGACGCAGTCGAGTTGTCAGTGACTCCATAGATTTTTGCCATGTTTTGGTTTGGCCGTCCTTAGATTTCATCATAAACTATTCCTACATCACAAAACATAGCTCAACGAGGCAGTCAGTGGTTAGGCATTCGTCTAACTCTGATCAATCTAAGGAATTTTCAACTGTCTATATATTCACTTAATATTATCCAAGTAAAAATTATTTGGCTATTGGTTTGTATTTTATTTTTACTTTCTAGAATTTAGTTGAAAGTGTGAAAAAATATTCACAAAAATCTGATCTACTTCCTAGTCGAGATGATGCTGATTCAGTATTTGAGACTCCAACATCCCCACTGTCTGATATGGTAGGAGTATTACACAAAAGAATGGAACATTTAGAAACCAATATTAAAGTAAGATGATTGGTTTTGCTTTTTTTTTCTATGTTAATCCCCTTTTTCAATCCCATTGTTGTATAATGTCTAGTACTATGCCATATATACATGGATTCGTTCAGTGTTTGACTAGACCAATTAATCTATTCAGCTTGAGTGCATTATTCATACATGTTTTGACCTTGTCAATTAGTTGCTTATAACCCTGACCGTTTTTTATGTGAGCACATGTCTGTGGCTTATTTTTGTATCGGTATAAATAAGTAGTCCAGTTTTATCACATGGATTTCAGATATAGACTTGGTTACCTTATCAGTTCAATGAAAAGGATTGACATAGACCTTAAGGCTTATGCTTTAAAAACAAAATATCTGTAATCCGTATACAATAATAATAGTAGGTTAGTATAAATTTCTATACTACAAATCATATTTAAGCTTACGTTAATTTATGAAGCAGAAAACGTTACCGCACAAGCTGCATACACAGAAGCAAATAGGGAAGTGAAGAAGAGCATCAGAGCTGACAAACGAAAATATGTGGAAGATCTAGCAATGACGGCGGAAAAGGCTGAAAGAGAAGGAATCTTGAGACAATCGTACGAAACTACAAAGAAGCTCGCCGGGAACTAGCGTAAACCAGAATGACCAGAGAATAGCAATTAAGGCAAAGTGATCAGCGACACTGAACAACAGCAAAATAGGTGGGTAGAGCACTTTGAGGAACTCTTTAATCGACCAGCTCCACTGAACACACTCAACATCGAAGCAGCATCCAAGGACCTCCCAAATACCATTGGCGCACCTACGATTGAGGAGATCAGTATGGCCATCAGACAAATCAAGAGCGGCAAATCAGCAGGACCAGACAACATTCCAGCAGAGGCAATGAAAGCAGATGTAGAAGCAACTGCGAAAATATTTCACATCCTCTTCAAGAAGATTTGGGATGAGGAACAAGTACCATCAGATTGGAAAGAAGGATACCTGATCAAAATACCAAAGAAAGGCGATCTCAGCAAGTGTGAGAACTACAGAGGCATCACTCTTCTTTCAATACCAGGCAAAGTCTTCAACAGAGTAATGTTAAACAGAATGAAGGACTTCGTAGACGCCCAACTTCGAGATCAACAGGCCGGATTTCGTAAGGATCGATCATGTACTGACCAAATTGCTACATTACGGATCATTGTGGAACAATCAATTGAATGTAACTCATCACTCTACATCAACTTCATCGACTACGAGAAAGCACTCGATAGCGTGGATAGGAAAACACTGTGGACTCTTCTTCGACACTACGGGGTGCCTGAGAAAATAGTCAACATCATACGGAACTCTTATGATGGATTAAACTGCAAAATCGTGTACGGAGGACAGCTAACCGACTCTTTTGAGGTAAAGACCGGTGTGAGGCAAGGTTGCTTACTCTCACCCTTTCTCTTTCTCCTGGTCATCGACTGGATTATGAAGACGTCGACGTCTGGAGGGAAGCACGGTATCAACTGGACAGTTAGGACGCAGCTGGACGATCTGGACTTCGCAGATGACACGGCTCTTCTATCGCACATGCAACAACAAATGCAAGAGAAGACGAACAGTGTAGCAGCAGGTCTCAACATACATAAAGGGAAAAGCAAAATTCTCCGATGCAACAAAACATGCGCCAACCAAATAACTCTTGATGGAGATGTCTTGGAGGACGTTGACACCTTTACATATCTGGGCAGCATCATCGGCGAGAAAGGTGGATCGGATGCAGATGGGCAAAGCAAGGGCTGCATTTCTACAGTTGAAAAATATCTGGAACTCCAATCAACTTTCAACCAAAACCAAAATCAGGATTTTCATTACAAATGGAAGACAGTTCTACTGTATGGAGCGGAAACTTGGAGAACTACGAAAGGCATCATCCACAAGATACAAGTGTTTATTAACAGTTGTCTACGCAAAATACTTCGTATTCGTTTGCCAGACACCATCAGCAACAACGAACTGTGGGAAAGAACAAACCATTCCATTGGAGGAGGAAATCAGGAACAAGTGGTGGAAGTGGATAGGACACACACTACGAAAAGCACCGAACTGCATCACGAGACAAGCCCTCACATGGAATGCTCAAGGCAAAAAGTAAAGAGGAAGGCCAAGGAACACATTACGTCGAGAAATAGAGAAAGATATGAGAGGAATGAACAAATATTGGACATAACTGGAGAGGGAAGCCCAGGACAGAGTTGGTTGGAGAAAACTGGTGGTTGGCCTATGCTCCATTGGGGTTAACAGGCTTAAGTAAGTTAGTAAGTATGCTTAGTGATCTAGCGACGGAAAATACAAACACGAACAAACACATGCAGTTTTGTAATATGTCGTGATACAATGTTAAATAACTGCTTTATTATCGACAGTGTTGTTTAAAAAAATGATTGTGTTTTTTTAACTGAACCGAAGAATATACATCTTAAAGTCAGTCGTTAGTGAGCATATACCTATTATTGATTTCAGAAACTTGACTTTTATCGGCTACTATGTGCTAGATGGTAATTAATTGCATCTGAATTGTCCCCATGACTTTCACTAAATCCTGAATCATGAGATTACTTTCTGAGCTAAAACAAACTCATTGAAGAGAACAGCTCTTTTTATGTAAACCAAGTGTCCCAGTGAAGGTTATGAAATGCTCAAGAGTAATAAATATCAAGGACAAATGTTAGTACGTTGTATTTAAAGTTCACAGTTCGTTGGGTTTTCCAGTTTCGAATTCATTGATTTTATCAATGTTAATAAGCTAAAATTTGAGAAAATCATTTTGGCACACTTTTAGCAGACATTCGAGGTCGATAATCGAAGAGTTAGCTGAACAACATGACTCTCTGTAACAAACGACGATGTTGCATTCAATGAAAACGGAGTCCGTACAAGTCCAGTTTTAAAAATTGAGAGTATCCAATAGGAACATGATCATTGTGATTCAAATGTTTCAGAATCAAGCTTCCAAGATTTCATCTCCTGTGTTTATCGGATTGACTGTGTTTTACAGGTTTTATATCACAGACATAAAGTGGAGAATCGAAAAAGCTGAAGATATCATGGCTTATTTTATGTCATTGGTTTGTATGGTTAGAAATGAATGATGTATATCTGACACGACTTCTTCATAGTCATTCAATATAACACCCAACCATAATCAGTTGACACTTTTACCAATCTACAAATGAACATTGAAACTGTTTTACTCAAACAAATTTATTTGATAAATTATGTTGACTTTTAATTACCTTAATTTTAAATTATTCGAGTGGCTAAGACAACTATTGTCTAATTTGAAAAAAACCTTGTAAACAATGAATAGATGACTTTTCCTACAAGTGAATATTTTGAAATCATGAATCGATCAACGTTAGACCAACAGTAGAGACCTGGAACCACCGGACACCCGTTTCGTCCTAGTATTGTTCAGGCTCATGAGCGCAAGAACATAGGTCCTGAGTTCGATTTCCGCAAGTAGTGGGAGTCATGGATGCACAATACTAATGAGTTTAATGTTGATCTACCATTGATCAATTCATGAATTCAAAAAGAAATTCAACAATCTCCACAAGCCTATGATCAGAAAACATTGTATATTTGTCTATTCAACTTTTAGGCGCACAGCTTTTTAATGAGAATTGCTGATACTGACTGATACTCTGAAGTAAAGATGATCGAATATAATTCAGACTTACAACGAAGCTAAAATAGAATAAACTGTGTGTAGCTACACATGTTTGTTGCACATTATTACTTAGTCGTAGCAGTTAATGGTACATTTCGTTAACACAATTTCTTATGTCTATATTAGTCATTTCTTGTATTATCTGTGCTGACGGTCTGAGGGCGAAGTCGTACTGCTGACTGCAGAAAGGTGTGACAGCAGTAAGGTGTTTCCTTCGGACAATCAGTATCTGCAGCGATGTTGCCCGACCGTAGCTGCTACCTTGACGTGGTGGTCGGGCTTGCCTATCGTGATGACCCAACCGAGCTATACTGGCTGGAACATATGTTCCTCAAGGTTCTACCATGCCAGGCAGGTCGATTGGAGAACGATGAGACTAAAAGCAGCTACCCAAGGTCTGAGGGCGAAGTCGTACTGCTGACTGCAGAGGGGTGTGACAGCAGTAAGGTGTTTCCCTCGGACAACCAGTATCTGCAGCGATGCTGCCTTCTCACAAGGAAGGAAGGGTCAGAAAAGGTCGGCCCTAAAAATGTCACACCTCCCCTAACTCACGGATTTCCGTCTCCTTGGGTAAGGGTGCCCACTAAGGGCCTTTAAGAACGGAGCTAATCCTCAAAAAACATTTGATAAAAAGGCCATGCGTGACTGGCCTCAAGCAGTTGTCCCTTGGGCTCTGCGGTCACGCACCAACACTAATCCATCTTCCTTTTCAGGTTCCTCAAGAAACAACCTTCCACGGTGTGGGTAGCCGGGAAGTGACAACCGCCCTCATACCCATAACAGCACCAGAGACCGAATTGGTCAAAATCAAATCCTTCCTACACCCCCTAGTACCTCTCTTATCTCCACGACTAACTCTTCTCACATTCATTCATCACAGTGCACAGCTAATGCAGACGATACGAGTTCGCGAAAGGTCGTTCCTGGTCTCCTTAAACCTCGCTCTAGACTACATGTTGGAGCATTTAATGTACGGACATTGTGTCAAATAGGGCAACAGGCTTCCTTAGCTAGGACATTAGAATCACGTGCCATCGATGTATGCTGCGTCTCGGAAACGCGCATACAGGATCCGAGTCACGTCATACACTTGACCACACCATGTCAAAATAAAGAAGCAGCTCGATTTACCCTTCGTGTATCCGGTAGCCCTGATGCTGCTTCCAGGGGTCTTGCTGGCGTAGGCATAGCTTTGAGTCGTAGGGCAGAACAATCTCTCCTTGACTGGATCCCAATAGATAGTCGATTGTGCGCTGTCCGACTAAACGGGACAGTAAGGACTCGGAAAGATAGGGACACTCGCCGTTGCCTCTTCGTCGTATCTGCCTATGCCCCCACTGAATGCAGTTCAGACGAGGTTAAGGATGAGTTTTACAGAAAGCTTTCGGACCTCCTCCAAAAAGCTAGGCGCTCTGATATAGTAATAATGGCTGGTGACTTTAATGCTCAAGTAGGTAGACTAAGTGAGCAGGAGAGACACCTAGGTGGATGTTATGGTGTAGCGACTGAGAGAACAGACAATGGTGACCGTCTGTTGCAAATATGCTCAGACAACCGCCTATTCTTAGCAAACACTAACTTTAGGCATAAGGAAAAGCATCTGTTGACCTGGCGACCTCCAAAGTCGTCTCAACGTTGGACTCAACTAGATCACATTGCCATCAGCCACCGATGGAGGGGTTCGATAGAGGACTGTCGCTCGTTCTGGAGCACATGTCTAGATTCAGATCATGCCCTAGTGCGAGCGCGTGTTTGTTTGAAGCTTACTGGGCGTAGGAAAGACACCGTAAGAAAGCCTCTTAGGGTTTTACTTAATGATAATAAGGCGAAAAATATATTTCAGGAACAACTAGAAAGACAGTTGGGCGACCAATTAAGCGATCTCCATCCGGAAGCAGGATGGAATGATATCAAAAAGGCTGTGGAAACAGCAGTGATATCTGCTAGTAAGGTTGACCATAAGGCTAGAATGAAACCGTGGATCTCAGTGGCATCCACCGATCTGATGGATGCTCGAAAACGCATCCCACCTGACTCTGAACATGATGAAGAGCGTAGTCAGCTTAGGTGCAAACTTATAAAAAGCCTACGTAACGACCGTGAACAGTGGTGGGTGGCGAAAGCGAGAGAGATGGAAAAGGCAGCGGCGATAGGCAACAGTAGACAACTTTTCCGACTTATCAGGGAAACTGGTATTAGGAATCCTAGTGTAAGCGAGACTATCTCAGAAAATGACGGGACTATTATTTATTCTCGATCCAGGAGACTGGATCGATGGGCAGAACACTTTAGGGATCAGTTCAACTGGCCTCAAGCCACTCTTCGGTTACCCACGATCTCCAGTCATCCTGAATGGCAAATCGACCTAAGTCTCCCTAGTCTTTATGAAGTTGAAAAAGCTTTAGGAAATCTGAAGCGAGGACGAGCTGCAGGTCCTGATAGACTGACCCCTGAGATATTTAAGGATGGTGGTCCAGTTTTAGCAGCTAGGTTGACTGAGATCTTAGGTAGAATCTGGGAACTGGACGTAATCCCATCCGACTGGTCTCAATCACTGATTGTCCCAATCTATAAGAAAGGACAGAAGTCTTCTTGTGACAATCACAGGGGAATAAGTCTAACTAATATAGTATCTAAAATATTGGCCTCAATAATACTTCGACGCTTAACGAAAGCTCGTGAAGAGCAGACTCGAGAAAACCAGGCTGGTTTTCGACCTGGACGTGGCTGTATAGACCACATTTTCACACTACGACAGGTCTTGGAACACAGACACACATTTAGGCGTCCTACAATAATTGTTTTCCTGGACCTTAAGGCGGCATTTGACTCAGTGGATCGTGAGGTTCTGTGGCAGTGTCTGTCATCGAAAGGTGTACCAAATAAGTACATTAACCTCATACAAGCTCTCTACTCAAACACCACTGGTCGAGTGAGAGCTTATGGCGAACTGTCACCGGAATTCTCTACATCAAGTGGTGTCCATCAGGGATGTCCACTCTCTCCATTCTTGTTTAATTTTATCATAGACATGCTCCTAGAAATAACCTTATCCTCGTCTGAATTTTCTGGAGTAGACCATCTACCAGGTGGCTCGCTTATTGACTTAGAATATGCCGATGACATTGTCCTACTTGGTGAAGACGCTGACAAAATGCAGAGTCTTCTGACTACCCTAAGCAACAATGCGAGCATGTTCGGGATGCGGTTCTCACCCTCGAAATGCAAAATGTTGCTTCAAGATTGGGTTGCAACGGCACCTGAACTAGTGATAGGGAGTGAAGTAGTCGAACGTGTAGACCGCTTCACTTATCTCGGGAGTCTCATCAGTGCCGATGGCCTGGTGACTGACGAAATCTCGGCACGGATTCAGAAGGCTCGATTGGCTTTTGCCAACCTGCGTCACCTATGGCGTAGGCGAGATATCCGTCTGCTGACTAAAGGACGAGTGTACTGCGCAGTGGTTCGCTCCGTCTTACTTTATGGCTGTGAAACATGGCCAATGAGAGTAGAAGATACTCGTCGGTTATTGGTTTTCGATCATAGATGTCTTGGAAGCATTGCTCGTATATCGTGGGACAACCGAGTGAGCAACGCTGTTATTAGGAAACGGGTACTAGGTAAGAATGGCAGACTAATCGATGAAGTGGTGAAACTTCATCAGTTGAGGTGGTTGGGACACGTGTTGCGTATGCCTAACCAACGACTCCCTCGTCGAGCTTTGTTTTGTAGTGTAGGAATAGGTTGGAAGAAAGCTAGGGGCGGCCAAACCAAAACATGGCAGAAATCCATGAAGTCATTGACTAGTGGACTTAGCCATGTCGGTAATTGTCGACTACCTGGTTGGGGTCCGCGAGATGATAATAATCGATGGCTAGAGACCTTGAATGACATGGCTCAAAATCGTTCGCAATGGCGCCAGTGCATTTATTCTTTGTGTTCTCTCAAATGCTAATCTTCTGTATTCTTCAACACCTCTAGTTTTTACTTTCTAAACTTATCTCATTTAATCATACTTCATGCATAATATCTTCTAATCCTAACCTCTCCGATTACTTCTAATACCTTTACTACCTCTTCTACTATTGGATTTGAATTGACAATTATATCTCTGTGTTGATGTGGTATGGCGACATGAACTGATGTACTTACGTACGAAGTTCTACGTTGCATCTGACTGACTGACTGACTGCAGCGATGTTGCCTTCTCAAAAGAAAGGAAGGGTTAGAAAAGGTTGACCCTAAAAATGTCACACCTCACCCTACCTCACGGATTTCCGTCTTCGGTGGTAAGGGTGCCCACTAAGGGCTTTCAAGAGCGGAGCTAATGCTCAAAAAAACTTTAATAAAAAGGCCGTGCGTGACTGGCCTCATGCAGGTGTCCCTTGGGCTCTGCGGTTACGCTCTCAGGTCTCTGAGACCAACACTAATCTACCTTCCTTTTCATGTTCCTCAAGAAACGCCCTTCAATGGTATGGGCAGCTGGGAAGTGACAATGCACCATCATACCCGTAACAGCGCGCGAGACCGAATTGGTTACAAACAAATCCTTCCTACATCCCCTAACATCTCTATTGTCTTTATGACTAACTCCTATCTCTATTTAGACTGTACTTTTGAACATAAAAGTTTAATAAAACGTTATCATCTTTGGTAACAATAAAAAACATAACTTAGAGTATTGTTCTCTCAATTCTTACATGGAATTCAACTGAAATATTTACAGCCTAAATCGTCTGTAGATCTTAATCGTTCAATACCAAAACTTTCAAGGTTCATCTATTCTATAAAAAATCTATGATGATATTTTCTGCAATGATGATGAGACATGTAGGAACTAAACAAACCTAGTTAAGAGTAGTTAGTGTATGTTGATTCACACAGCTGACACAAATGTACGTAGTTTATGCTAATAACCATGTATATTTGAAATGATGTTATTTTAAACAAACTGTAAGCTATAAAGTTATACTGCTTTCTAGAGCTGAAGGTTTCCAATGAGACTAGAGGTTCGTTGTGAACATTGTGAATGGCTTACCATTGCTTTGGCAAGTATTACTAACAGTCCATATACAATACTGGTTAGCAGGGTGATCGATTTCATTGGTGGTTGTCTTGCAACATTCCTGAGAATCATTGTCATCGGGATGCTGTATTGCATATCACCATTGCTAATAATAATGAGTTTGTAACAGTCATGTAAGCGGGTTGGCTCGAATTGGCCTGTTCATGCTGTGCATATTGATTGACACAATCATGGATCGGAAATAATCACTATACATATGAACTAGTGTATATAAGTGTTGTGAGTAGTCCACCAGGGTGTCAGGTACCTGTGTGGGTGCACCATGGGATTGAGCCGAACTATTTCCAAAAACCAATGTAAAATTACCTTTGCCAAATGATGCGATAATTTATATAAATAAATAAAATATTTTTTTTTAAATACAAACCATCACTAATCAATATTGTCAAATTTCATTGACAATAGAAAATTTACAATGAAGCAGAAGAACAATTGAAAAGGCTGCAATCATTTTCAACACAAATGGAATCTACACGTAAATGGTTAAATAAACGTTGTAATGAACGCATTGAAAAATTAAATAGTCTCGCACAAAATGAAGCAAATCTAACAAATCTGATGGATAAATTAGAAAGTAAACAGAAATATTTAGCAAATTTTACTATACTACTTAATAAAGAAAGTGAAACATATTTGACCCAATGTCAAAATGAAATTCAACATTTGATTGATTCAAGTGGACATTATGATACAACAGCGATAGTGATGTTGGCACGTCGTGAATTGTCTAATTTTCAATTGGAATTAAATAATATTCAAGGAGAGAATGATAAAGAATTGAAAGAGGTAATGATTATTTGTATTTTTCAATTAGAGTTTTAGAGATTAGTGTTTGGTTGGACATTGATCAGAGTTAGACAGTAACACCTTTGGACGCGCGCAAGATCGAAGATCCTGAGTTCGAGTTCTGTGAGGTACAGGGGTCGTGGATGCGCATTGCTAATAATGAGTAGTCTCATACAAGGACGAGACGGCCGTCCAGTGCTTACAGGTTTCTAATGGTGGTCTAACAATGATTGATTGATGACTACTTGTATATTCTATTTCTTTTTCTGTGGACTTCTGTGGACTGACTATAGCATGTTGAAAAATTTATAAAGATGTTTGTAGATGTTATGTGATGACAAGATAGATTTCAGTGAGGCTGTGAATCAGCATAATCTTATCTGAATGTGAGTAGTAGAGATTCTGTCACTACTTAACTAAACACATACTCTTAATAAATATGAATGTAGACTGGGCGAAAGTTCGGAGTGATCTGTAAGCAGTTAAACGATGGTTTGAAAAATGTAAGCAGGTACACATCCCTACACATAGGAGTTGTGTGGTAGTTGCATTTATTGGTTGGATGACATGTTGAATGATACAGCCAGTGAGTTAATTACTCTATATACCAAACAAGATCTTAAATTTTATGATGGAGTTTCGTTCTCTGAACTGAATGTTTTGGTTTTGGTGTATTTATGTCAGGTCATAAGTCATTTTGACTAGTTGATTGACTGATGATAGCGTAGCTCAAATCACGATACACTCGTTCGATGTGAAGACCGGTGTCAGACAAAGTTGCTCACTCTCATCTTTTCTCTTTCTCCTGGTGATCGAATGGATTATGAAGACGTGAAAAGCTGGTGGGATTTACGGGATGCAGTAGACAGCCAGGATGCAACTGGACAATCTGGACTTCTCAGATGATCTGGCTCTTCTATCGCACACGCAACAACAAATGCAAGAGAAGACGACCAGTATAGCACAACATACATAAAGGGGCAAGCAAGATTATCCGATGCAACTCCACTAAATCACTTTTAATCCAGATGCCTTGGAGGACGTATAAACCTTGACATACCTGGATCTGATGCAGATGTGAAGGATAGGATAGGCAAAATGAGGGCAGCATTTCTACAGTTGAACAACATCTAGAACTCCAAACAAATACCAAACAACACCAAAATCAGAATTTTCAATACAAATGTCAAAACAGTCCTACTGTATGGAGCGGAAACTAGGAGAACTACCAAAGCTATCATCCAGAAGATATAAGTATTTATTGACAGATACCATCAGCAATAACTTACTGTAGGAAAGAACCAACCAGATTCCAACGGAGGAGGAAATTAGGAAGAAGCGATGGAATTGGATAGAACATACACTGCAGAAAGAACTGCGTGTTCTCAAGCTCGGTTTATAAATCAGAAGATGAACTCCAAGTATCGTATACGTTTATTTGAGGCACACGACATAGCGAAGTGAAGAAGCGAATTGGAGAAGGCTAGTGAGCCAACTCAAAGAGATAGAGTATGACTAAGAATATATAGTCAGATAAGAATAGGACAGACATATAACAAGCGAAATAGGTATGCACACACATGAATAAAAGCGACGAATGATTGACAAGGTCAAATGACAAGTGATACAAATCATGTGAGTTCATGGGAAAATTACGAGATTAACATTAAAGCGAAAAGGATGAGTAAGTGCGTAAGCGTAAGCAATGCTCAGTCGTATAAGCTCATACAAAGCAGATAATAAAAAATAACAATGGTACATATGAGTTGTTGCTATACAAATGGCTTGGTTAAATAAATTAATCGAAAGGGCTTAACCAAGTTAGATGTAAGAGAACTGGAATATATGTGGAGGCACTACAACTTAACTGCGTCACAAGACCAGCCCTCACTTGGAACCCCCAAGGTCAAAGGAAAAGAGGAAGGTCAAAGAACCTATTACGCGGAGAAATTGAGAAAGATATGAAAAGAATGAATAAAAAGTGGACAGAATTGGAAGGGAAGATCAAGGACAGTGTATGTTGGAGAATGCTGGTCAGTGGCCTTTTTCTCCATTGAGGGGGGTGGTGGTAACAGGCGTAAGTAAGTAAGTAATTATGATTGAATACGTCTATGTACTAAATTCACTGATCTGATATTTTCCAAATTTATAATTAAAATTCTCGAAATATCATTTACTTTCAAATAATTCCTTTCACCTAAATAGATCGAAGCTAAACTCACTCGTCTATCGAAATTAATCAATAATATTGACAATGAAGAAAAATGGTTGAATGAATCCGAAAACAAACTTCTCCAAGATCATAATCATCTCAACAATACTCAATCTCTAACTGATCTAAATGCAAACAATCAAACTGAGACGGATCGTTGCAATCAATTGCTCAATCAAATTAATACACACAGTCAACAGATTGATGAACATTTATACCCTGAAGCACAATCATTAGAAGATTTAACATCTTTACAAAGAATTGACAATTTACGAAATAAACTTAATTTAATCAAACAAAATTTAGATAAAATAATTTCTACTGTAAATATACAAACTAAATCAATTCATACATTTCAACAAGCTATGGATAATTTTAAATTAAATCTTAAAAATCTTGAACGTCAAAGAAATTCAATTTTAGGATCACAAACAATCAGTTATGTGAATATGGAAAGTGAAGGTCATCTGCTGGAAACATCTTATGTGAATATTAAGAAACAAATTGAGGTAAGTACAATGAATGGTTAATTCGGGAATTTTCGTTCATTACAAAAAACAGTTTGCAGAGATTATTGAATTTCATTGAAATAATCTTACCAATCAGAGGTAAACAACCAATGAAAATCTTTAGCCAATGTATGATTGTATTCGGGACATTAGATCACCAGAACTCACTTGATAAAGGGCCTAATCTCGGATTTTCATGTTTTCGCGCATCAGTCGTTTAGATGACCTTGAGCTTACATTTCCCACCAGGAAAATCCTTGACTGTCATTGGTTGATGTGCTATTTTAGTAAGCTATTTTGTGGCTCTCTCAAGAGAGTTTCTGTGATGTAAAAATAAACTCGATTTGTGTGCTTGTAAACCTTAAAGTTTATGAGTGTTTGTAGAATACACTTTCTACGCCATATCAAGACTTTAGCATGGTCTTGGGACGCTCGGATTAGAGTAGCCTGTCGTGTCACTGGATCAATTATCTTAGCTCTCGTTTACCGACTGAGGTGAACTCGTAATAGTTTCAGGCATATCAATTTAAGAGCATATCAGATTGTTCCACAACCACACAAGCAGGAATGAAGCCCAAAACATTTGGTCTGTACGTGATGTAGATCAGATCATGCATGATGGTATCAACATACAGATTGATTACACGATGAAAATTCATGGTTCATGGAATTATTAGAAGTTCACTCATAATTATCAATCTAATCGAACTTATCTAAATAGTATACTTTCGACATCAGTAAATTAATTCAGTTTACAAACAGACTATTTATGAATACAGTCGAAAATGTGCAGCGTGAAATTGTTTTTTTTTCCAAAGATTCGTTAAGTATAATAAAAGATATCCGATAATGGATGCTTCTCTTTTTTACAATCCAAACTCTGCCAGCTACCGTAATATTTTGGATTATACTTGTTAGGCGATAGCTCGCAAACCTTTTATATATATGCGCTTAAATAGGTTATGGGATGAAGTTGATGTGTTAAGACATACAGAAAGAGGTACTTTGTTGAAGTATTTTGATGTTAGGAAACAAGTTGCCAAAATATTCAAGCAGAGTGCTTGAATTTTAGAAAGAAAGTGCAACTTTTTAATCCTAAGTAAAAGTCATTGACTGGTTAGAACAGATGCAAAACACAAAACTTCATCGAGATATTGGTATGATTAGAAAATCGGCAGCTTGAGAGTGTAATAAGGCCATTGTTCAGTCAGTCAGTCAATCAGTCAGTTACATCGTAGAACCTAGTACGTAAGTACATCAGTTAACGTTGCCATACAACATTAGGACAGAGATACAGCCTTCAATTCAAATCCAATAGTGGTTCGGGGTAGTAGAAGTATTAGCGGTAATGGAGAAGATTAGGATTCAAAAATATTATTCAAGAAGTAGAATATAGTGAACAAAACTTAAAAGAAAAAGATAAAGGTGATAAGGACTTCAGAAGGTTAGAATTCGAGAGAACATAAAAGTGGATGCACTTGCACTACTTCATCAATTGATCTGGTGTCCTAACGACAGTATTGCTAACTCGGTTGTCCCAGGATATATAAGCAATACTTCAGGGACACCTATGATCTAAGACAAACAACCTACGAATATCCTCTACTCTCATCTGCCATGTTTTGCATAGTAAAACCGAGCGAACTGCTACACAGTAGCTTCGTCTTTTGGTTAGCAAACGAATATCTCGCCTTCGCGATCGGTGACGCAAGTTGGCAAAAACCAATCGAGCTTTCTGTATCCGTGCTACAAGGCCACTGTTATACAAATAGATAATGTACTATTCATTGCAACCTCTCTTGTTGATGTATAAAGTCATCTGTCTTATAAATCTTGATTTTTTCAAACAAATTTATGACAAACCTCCATTTCTGTGTCAATAATTTTTAGGATCTTCGTACAAATCAATCTGAATTACGAACACAATTCAATCAATTAGAACATCTTAGTAAATCAATCCAACCAATCCCGATTGATTTATCCCAATGTCAACATGAAATGAATCAGTTCAATCAAAAACTTGATCAAGATTATACAGAAATTCAAACAATTTCACAAGAATTAAAACAATTAAATCAATTACTTGAAACTTGTAAAAATTATTTAAAATTAAACATGGACAAAATATTAACGATTATTAAGAAAATAAATGCACCGGTTTGTTTAAATGATTTAACAGAATTGAATGAATTATATAAATTTTATCAGAACAATTTTGATGAAATGAAATTAATTTGTCAACAAAATCTTGGTGTTGAATTATCTTGTGAATCACCATCGAATCGTAATAGATCATCAAAACTTTCTTCACTTGAAGATGAGACCAATCAAAAATTCCATCAATTAATAACAACTTATTCAAAACTTACAAATTTTCTCAATTCACAACAAGAAGATTTCAATCGACAAATTAATGAAGCGACAAGTGAAGCATTTGATAATTTAACTGAACTATCACAATTAGTCAATAGTTTAAACATAGTATTAACATGTTCTAAAGAAGCGCTAGGTAGTTTAAATTCCATTGAAAAAGAATATCAAAATATTTGCTCAAAATTATCAACAGAATTATCAAATGAAATGTTAATTAAATCATTAAATAATTTATTAGATCGTTTACAAACTGAATCAGGTCCAAATCAAGTCACACTGACTACATCAATACAAAATGTTTCATCAAAAAGTTCTTATTTGATTAGAGAGGATATTTTGTCGAATTCGTTAAAACAATTTATTCAACAAAAAGATCAATTGGTTAATAAAATGAAAGAAACAATTGAAAAATGCGAACGACATTGTGACCTTGAACAGAATTTCTTAGTTAATTTAAACGAATTAAAAAATGAATTAATTGAACTTTCAAATTCATTGAATAATGTAGTAGTAGTAGTATCAAATTCATCAGTTGGACAAAATATCAATGATGCCGAATTTGAACGACAAATTAATTTATTCACTGAACAATATACAGCATTAAATACTCGTTATAAAAATATACAACGTAATTTTACAGAGACTGGTTTGAAGAGTAATAAAGTGAATGATTTGATTTCCATGAATCTGACAACTATTCAAAAAATCAATGAACATTTAACAAATTTAAAACAAGACTATGATTTGAAAAAAACTAATTTTGAATTGATTCAAACAAAATTAAATCAGTGTAAAGATCAATTGAATAAGATTCGTTTGGAAATTTCTAGAAATGTGAATAAATTCACTGTGAAATCAACAAGCGATTTATTATTTGAACAAATATTAAATAATTTCATAACAGATTTAAATGAATACATTGATGATTTAAATCAAATTCGCGAGATGATCAATAAAACTGATAATAGTTTGCGAGGAGATTCATTGATTAAAAAAAAGACAACTACTGATTTACATAAACTTATTGTAGAAATAATAGATTTAAAAAATAAAATATCATCAAACTCGTTATTATTAAATTGGAATGATTTTCTAAATGATTTAGATAATCTTTTGGAATGGATTCAAAATACTACTGATGAATTAAAAGTAATACAATTAGATTATAAAAAACTTTTAACAAAAATGGAAGAATTTGAAAAATCTTTCAGAGAAGTTAAACAATCGATTGATGAAAAATCACAAACTACTGAAATTATTGATATCACATATATGTTGAAAAATCAAAAACCAACAAAAACCAAATTAATTCATGATTTAGAGTCGATTAAAGATTATCAAATGTTTAATTTATATAATGATTTAAAATTCATCAAACAGCAAGCTGATCGTTTATTTACTAAACCACAATCGACAACACAATGTAAATTTATGGATGATAAAATTATTGCCGAATTTATCAACCGTATGAGTCAATCGTTAGAATTACTATCATCTAATTTAAACAACACCATTATACAGTATAAAACTAAATTGAATGATGAATGTGAAATGTTACAATTGTTTAAATCAATTAATGATTGGATTTTAAATTATGAAAATGATTTATCCAATATTGAAGCAACTATTCAACCGATTCATCAACAACAACTGCAACAATTACACACTCTTCTTCACCAACACATAAAACTATTGAAAAACAATTACAAGATGTGCATAATTTAGAAATGAAATATTCACAAGGTGAAAAATTATTCCAACTATTAATGAATAAACTTAATGACCACCACTATCAACAACAACAAGGTGCTAGCAGTAGTTCAGAAATTGAACAATTACATGATCGTATTATAGAATTAGGTAAATCACGATTGAACAGTGCTAAAGTTGATTTATTACAAATCAAAGAGAATTTAGATCAACTTACATATAAAGGTAATAGTATTGATGAACAACTTACAAAATATGAACAGAAATGTGATACATTTAAACAAATGTCAACATTAGTGAAAATTAGTAAATTAGACGATTTAATGACTGAAGCGAAATTAACTGATATAACATTGAAATGGAATGAATTATTCATGGAATTAGAACGATTTAAACATGATACATTAGATCCTTATGAAGTGTTACATAATAAAGCTACTTTAAAACCATCTAAAGATTATGTGGGTGATTTTACAAAACGTTATGATAAATGTTTAACTGATGTAAAAGTTAAACTTGAAGAAAGTAAATGCATTGGATTGAAATTAGGTAAATTGAAAGAAAAGATAGAAGAGTTTAATGGATCTTTTGAAGCAGCCTATATAAAGTATAAAAAGTTATTAAGTCAGTTGAGAATTGAATTTAATGAACAATATACTCATTGTAAACTAAGTGAAATATGTTATTCAATACAAAAGGCGATGCAGCAATCAATTGTCAATTTAAAAGAATTCAACTCAAATATCATTGAAAAATTACAAACTACTTATAAAGATATTAGTAGTCAAGCTGTAGAATGTGAATTAGAATTAGCTATTGAGAACTCATTGATATTTAGTCGATTCAATGCATTGAAATCTGAACTAACAGATTATATACATGATCTTGATGAATTGAACAATGAACTTATCAGTTTGACCACAGATCTGGTGAATTATGAACAATGGTTTGAAAATTTAGAGAAACAATATCAACAAACCAAAACAGAGTTTAATACAACGGAAAAATTGTTATTTAGTCAAAGTACTATCTATCAATCAATTACAGTGTTATCAATGAGTGAATTAGAAAATGAATCGAATAATAATTCAACTAGTTTAGGACAACTTAATCTGCAGCATCAAAAATCATTGCAAACACTTCTTGAATTACGAAAAACTTCCATGGAATATAATCCACCATTTAGTCTCCTTTCAGAAAGGCTTTCAACACTTATTAGACAAATAATCAGTACACATAAGTCGGTTTTGAAAATGCACACTGATATACAATCAGATCGTCAAATTGGAAGCAATCGTAGCATTGATATAATTGATCAAAATTGTCACAATGTTAAAGAGTCATATCAACATTTAATAAATCTTATTAATCAAGACGCCAATACACTACAAATCAAATCAACTTATTTAACTCGATTAATACAATCAAACAAAGATTTAGATATATGGATAAAAGAATTTTTACAATTAATCAATCAAATGAAACAAGAACCAAGTGATCATCAAAATCGAAAATTCTATTTATGCAAACAGAATGATGGTAGAACAGATCAAATTCAATTAAAATTGGATATTGGTAAAACTTATATTCAACCAATCCATGAATGGGTGGAACAATTAAAACAAAATCAAGAAATCGTGAATAAACCAATGAATGATTTATTAAATCAACAAATTAAACGTTCCAATCAAATTTATCAATATGCAATGAAACTGACTGAATTAATGAAACATGAACAGAATCAACATAAAGAATTGATGAAAAATGTTGAATTAGAATTTCATTCTATTGAACAATGGTTTAAACAATGGCAAGAGAAATATGCCTTGATGAAATTGAAAATCACTAAATTATTGACAAAACAAACTGGTTTAGATGATTTTAACAAAATTGACATGGATATTGATCAGTGTATTGATAGTTTAACTGAATTACACAAAGAATTAACCACGAAACAAACTCTGCTGTCAATGACTTATGAAAATGATTTAAATGCGACAGCGGAATTCAATCATCAATCGGCTCAATTGAAATTATTATTTCAAGAATTTAAAGAAAATACATGTTGTATTGAACAAAATATGATTTGTTTAAAATGTGTAAAAGTTAAATTCAAAGAATTGTGTATTTATTTGAAAAAAGCTAAACAATGGACTGGAGAAATTTCGGAACAATTACCTAGAATACGAGATGGAAAGGTGAAGTGTATATATATATACATATTCAATCAATAATTTTTGTGGGAATGATTTTGTTACATCGTAAATGTTTTACTTAAAAAGTGTACTTCAAATCAGTGTACGGTAAACGGAATATTTTTCAGTACTCTTGAAAATATTGTTTAGCAAATTTTTCTGCCATATTTGATAATCAAGTGTTCACTGACGATTACCAATGAATAATTAGAAACCTGGAAGTACTAAATGACCATTTTGTCTTGGTATGGGACTCATCAGTAGTACGCATCCACGACTCCCTCTACTTGCAGGGATAGAACCTAAGACCTTCGGTCTTGCCTGTGAACACTTAACCTCTAGATGACTGAGCCGACATCCAACAGTGTTAAGGCTTAACTTCGATCAACCCGTGGTCTTGTCAGCCCAGTGGTACAGAGGGCAAGCGTTCTCGAGCTAGCGACTAAAGGTCCTCAAGTTTGAATCCTGTGAGTAGTAAGAGTTGGCTGAAATTCAATTAAGTGTGAATAGGTTAACCATTGGTTAATTAATACTTATTCCCAAATTTTATGAGAACTAAATGTTTGGACTGTAGATTCGTGGCTGTGAGCTAATTAAACATGGGATCTTATTTTCGGTATTTACTGACTCCTTAACATAAACAAATGCTGTGACATCCGCATAATCGTTTAAACAACAATCATGGAACTACGAACAATCATGTGACTTGTCCAGAACGAATAAATTTCTAGCTATGCATAGACTTGCAGTCATGAAGTATCAAGGTTTTATTAATAGTTTCTTCGACAAGTTACAACATTCTTCAAAATATCTAATTTGAAAAAAACTAGATTCAATTAAAAAAAGAAAATGAGATTTCACATATCTGACAAAAAAGCATGACTTCCAAGACTAACGAAAAGTACATTAAACTCTAAGTTCTAAAAGTAGTGAACTTGCTTAATAGATTATCGGAAAAATAAAGTTTAACGAGCACGATTCTATAAAGAAGCTGAAAAAAATATTCGAAGGAATGATCTTGTAAAAATATTGATTATTGTAAAATAGGAAACATTATCCCCAACAATACACAAGCTTAAGTAATGCTGAAAGATCACTCAGACTATTGAACAGTACTGTAACAGCTGAAAAATTAGACATCTTAATAAGTAAAACACGCTTTTTGTAACATAGTGTTGAACAGCGGCGTAATTCTTTTGTTTTCAATGCTTAATTTAGTCATTCAATTACAGTGTGTAGAACTTCGTACATAAGTACATAAGTTCAGGTTGCCACACCAAATTAGTACAGAGACGCCAATTACCAATTCAAATCCGATAGTAATAGAGGAGTTATTAGAGGTATTAGCGGTAAAGGAGAAGATTAGGTGAGATAAATTTAGAAAGAGAAAGATAGAGATGATGAGAAATTCAGAAAATTAGAATTTCATAGAACACAGAGAGTGGATGCGATTTTGAGTCATGCCATTCAAGGTCTCTAACCATCGATGACTTTCATCTCGCGGACCCTAACCAGGTAGTATACACTTACCAACATGACTCACTCCGCTTGTCAGTAACTTCATGGATTTGTGCCATGTTTTGGTCTGGCCGTACCCTAAGCTTTCTTCTAACCTACTCCTACACCACAAAACATAGCTCGTCGAGGCAGTCGGTGGTTAGGCATGCGTAACACATGTCACAACTATCTGAACTGATGAAGTTTCAGCACTTCATCTGTCGATCTTCTATCCTTATCTTGTAATCGTTTCCTAACGATAGCATTGCTTACTCGATTGTCCTAGTAAGATACATCAGCAATACTTCAAAGACATTTATTATCGAATACTAATCACTGACATTCTAAACATTTCCCAAATGCCTACTACATAGATTTTACATAAAAAAATGATATTTCTGTTTTGTGTTTTTTACTATTGATAGAGTCCAATCAGAATTTCACCTTATCCACCATCTAGAAATGAAACAAATAAACCAGGATATTGGAAAACAACAACTTATCCAACTGATATCATGCATGCCACAACAATCACAACACCAACTGGCAAAACAATTTCCCTAAGACAATCCATCAATAATGAATTTCGATCACCTACACCATCATCATACACAGTGACTACTCATTTATTACAACAATCACGTTTTAAAATGGATGCATTAAGTAATTTCATTGAAGAAATCACTAAATCTGCATCAATCACAGCAAAAGATGTCAATAATCTCTTGGATGAATTAGAAGCTAATCTTTCAGAATTACGTATTGATTGTACAATGATTACAACAGAAATTGAACAAATTCAAGGTCAAGTAGAACAAATTCTATTACGCGCCATTGATGAGAAACAAAATTTAGACATTTTAATTAATCAATTAAATCAATTAGAGGATACATTGAATCAATGTAAACAATGGTTAATGATAAATTTAACACAGATGAAAAAATTCACTCAACAAATCATTGTGGGCATGAATGATTTAACATTGATGAATAATAATCAGACGGTTGGTGAGAAAATCGATCAATTATTGATCGATATTTATTGTCCACTTGATGGAATTATACAAAATTATCAGGTAAAAACAAAAACAAAACATGAATACTTACTTGTTCAATGTTGAAAGAATTAAACTGAAACTTTGAAAATTTTAAGATATTTAGGTTTCAGACTGGTTTTCAGACTGTTAGATGTAAACTTTACCACTCTTACTTAGGTTTAGTCAAATGGTTGATATCACTAGTCGTTACGTGTGGATTGCAAAAGTGAAGATCAGTCAGTAGATGAAGATAACAGAAACTTTTATATAAATTAAAACTTTACTTTTTTACTAGGGATATCAAATTAAAACATATGTAGTGTGTGTACTTTAATGTCGAGCCTACAGGGTTTGTCTGAGCCTTTGAACTTATTAACTTAATCAATCTTGTGTAAACCAAACGACAAAGTGACAAGAGAAGAAAAACCAAATATCATCTACAAAATAAACTATTTAGAGTGTTTAAACCACTACAGAGGACAAAGTTGACGCCCTTTTCAGCTTCATCTACGTGAACACCAATTAGTAGTCAAACACCATGACATTGCATCCCTTATTTCAATACATGCGGACAACTATAGATATACATTCGATTGGAAAAATGTGGAAATACTGGATAGAGGGAGTATAAAGGACAATAGAGAATTTCTGCAAGCTTGGCACTCAGGTCAATCAGCAATCAACAAACACATCGACATTGACCCAATGTATCAATCAATCAGAAAAATCATAGGTGACATAGGATCAAGAAACAGATCAAAAGCAGGATACAATCAAAACAAAGGTGCAAACAACAACAGGTTTAAGGTCAACAACAACAACCAATCAAGATTGAGGTTATCAGAGCAAACTACGAGTGATACGTGGAGAAAATCGAATGCTTCACTTCTGCTATCTGAAGTTTGTGCTGACACTGTCATCCAGAAGAACAATGAAAGCTCCATAACCAAAACATCCAGTTCAGAGAACAAAACACCAGCACAATTTATTTCAAAGCATACTTAATTGTTCATAAATATTCAAGTCAGATCGCATGCCACTAAAAATCTTTCACATTAGGTTTAACCTTGTGTATGACTTTGAACATTTCTACCATTAACGTGATTTTACAGATATGTAACCAACCAAGAGATGAGCGAATGTTTGACAAGGTCAAAAGACAAGGGAATAACAATGCAAGAAGAATGGATGAATTCACTTGTTCAAAGTCTGGGACAAGCCTTACGGGCTCGATACTATACACATACATGATTGTTTCGATAATCAATAAACATTCATTGTAGTACTAATGTAGTGAACGAGAACACAGGTGGGGAAACCGGATTATTTAACGAAAATTACACAGTTACTCAGTAAAATCGGAAAACCATATCGTAAATCGTTAATTTGCAAAATATCAGTTCATCCTATCGAACTGGACTGTTCCCATTGCAAAACATCACTCCATTGTCACTATTCATGCGTTTCATTCAAATTCCATCGTGTTTCTAACTCTTCCTTTCTTGATCTTCCCCCATCTTCTGCTGCCAGACATTACGTTTTAACTCGTGTCATATACTACTTATAAGTAGCTCACACCACACTACTACAAACGATACGTTAGTCTGAAATCATTATGAACAATACGTGAATGTTGGGCGATGTTAGATCCCTAGAACTCGTTTGATAAATGTCTTTATTTTGGATTTTATTCGTGGGCTGATCAGTCGACCTTTAGATCACATTTCACACCAGGAAAATACTTGGCTGTGATTGGTTACTGTGTTATTTTAGTGTGCTATTTTTCTGACTGTCCCAAGGACGTCTCTATGGAGGATAAATAAACGCGATTTGTATGCTTAGATTCATTGTGTGCCGGCTGGGTGTTTGTAGAATACACTTGCTACACTATATCAAGACTTCTTGCTAGTACATTTGGGTCAAGGGATCCGAGTAGCCTACCTGGATGCTGGTTCATTGTTTTGTTCTCGTGATTCGACTAAGGTGAACCCGTAATAGTTTTATGGATACCTAGAGACGAGCGTAACATTCAGCATCGTTGATTTTCAGCTATTTAACGTTACATTTCAAGATGTAATAGGTTAGTTTCTCAGTTTCATTATGATTAAATATTCAAGCCATAAAATATATAAAAAACGATTGGTCCCTTTTGTAAATTACGTCTTCTCACTGTTCTATTATGAAATACATGTATAGATGCAAATGTTTATTGTTTTGATAAAACCCACCAACAAAATCATCACTTTCTGTATACATCACAAGATAGATTTTCTAAAACTTTTTATTAGAATCTTCTGTAACACTTGAGGAGTCGGATTTGTTTAACTAAAATAGGTGAAGTACAATTATTGACGGAATAATATTGTTAGGATATTCATGCAATATCCTAAGAGAATTAATGCTCCATTCCTATTGGTTAATTCCTACTGATCAATTTCATGGTCGTTGTAGATATCAATGTCACGTACTCCAATGTTGTTTCTTATTGGTTGTCCTGACTGTTAGTGTCACAGACTTCGATGCTGTTTTCTATTAGACCTAAATGTATAAATACGCATGATCTGAAACGTTTTATGGACTGGACCTGGAACCGTAGTCCGGGATCCTTACCTTCTTCTGGACTCGGACCTCGTACTTTCTGGATGTCTGTAGAACACATGTTCTACTTCATATCAAATCTTGTCTTATTTTACTCAGTATGGGGGTTGGGACACTCAGATTAGAGTAGCATGTGGTGTCGTCGGATCCTCGATCCTCGTTCTCGTTTTCCGACTAAAGGGTAAACTCATAATAGTTCATGCGTGTCAAATTGAAATGTTAACGTGCATTTGTAACAAATTACTTTCTGAAATATAGCCAATTTGATTTTTAATTTTGTCTCTTTCCAATTCTAGGTATTTCAAAGTGAATTAATGTCACAAAAATCAGAATTAATTCAATTGAATAGTTTATGTGAATCGATTCAAGAAAAAACGAATGATTCCGGTGTAAGAAATGCTTTAAATCAATTGTTAGTTCAATATCATAGTTTAATTAAAAGTTGTGAGGTAAGTAGTTTTATTAATGAAATATCAATTATTCTAATGTAATCACTGACAAAATTCTCTAGACTTTGGCTAAACGGATCAAACCTATGTTAGAAGCTTGAGAATTCAACTGTTAATTACTGATTTTCAGCTCAAGTGGATGATGTTTGGGTTGTGAAGTCTTCTACCGGGGAATGAGACTCCACCATAACTGATTTTTACTGTCCATATGTTTTTATAGATTTCTGTAATAAAAATAACAACGACGTCACCTATTACTCTGAAAGAAAATGTGTATATTGACAAGTTCATAATGAAGCATTAGACTATTAAAAGCGAACCCAAGGAAATTCTAAATGTGACCAAAAAGTCTCTGTACATACGTCTACAATTCGGAGGGAATGCATCTAGCGAAATTCAAATGCGAAAACTGCACAAAGCAGTCCAAAAAACTATTTTGTTCTTGTTTAAGCCACCGTAGTAGTGTGTATGTAAGACCAAATACGAGTTCAGATTTAGGATATTCAAATTGTTTCAACAAGAACAGCAACATTCAGTTCTTGAGTATAAAATATGGTGCTTCACAACTTTATGGTGTCAATGAATCAGCGATATACATATTTATTCAATTAGAGTTATGGAGATCAAGGTTTATACACGTTGAAATCATCAATCAGTCAATCATTATTAGACTACCAACCTGGTTTTCAGGTTTCTGAGCTCTGCTGGGTATGCATCATAAATAATTCTTAAAATTCCATGAAACAAACATTGCGTTGCTCAATCGTCTAAAGTTTGATAGTTACGCCTGTTACCCACAGTGGAGAATAGTAATACTTACTTACAGAGTCTTTTAAGCCAGTTAGCCCTAATGGAACATAGGTCACCGACCAGCATTTTCCAAGCCTACTTTTTCCTGGGACATCTTTACTATGTCTGCTCCCAATCATCCATGACTCAATGTAAGATTTCCTCATCCCTTTGGCCTTGAGTAACGTAAGTGAGAGCTTGTCATGTAGCGCAGTTAGGTGCTTTCCATAATCTGTATTCTATCAAGTTCCAGTACTCTGTCCTGATTTCATCCTCAGATGGAGGAATATGGTTTGTTTTCTCTCACAGTAGATTGTGTGCTGATGGTATCTAGTCAACGGAACCGAAGTATTTTGTATTTATTACGGATGATGGCTTAAATAATAAGAAATAGCGAAGTTAATTTTTTAGATGTTAATATATGATTCAGTCAGTCAGTCAGTCAGATGCAACGTAGAACTTCGTACGTAAGTACATGAGTTCATGTTGCCATACCACATCAGCACACAGATGTAATTGTCAATTCAAATCCAATAGTAGAAGAGGTAGTAAAGGTATTAGAAGTAATCGAAGAGGTTAGGATTAGAAGATATTAATCAAGAAGTATGATTCAGTAAGAAAAGTTTAGAAGGTCAAAACTAGAGGTGTTGAAGAACCCAGAAGGTTAGGATTTGAGAAAACACAAAGAATAAATGCACCGGCGCCACTGCGAACGATTTTGAGCCATGTCATTCAAGGTCTCTAACCATTGATTATTATACTAGGATCCTGTATGCGCGTTTCCGAGACGCAGCATACATCGATGGAGCGAGATTCTAAAGTCCTATCTAAGGATGCCTGTTGCCCTATTTGACACAATGTCCGTACATTAAATGCTCCAACATGTAGACTAGAACCAGGTTCCAAGAGACCAGGAATGCCGTTTCGTGAACTCGCATCGTTTGCGTTAGCAGTGCATTGAGCTGAAGGAATGTGAGTACAGTTAGTTGTGGAGAGAAGAGAGGTATGTGTGGGTGTAGGAAGGATTTGTTTTCGACCAATTTGGTCTCGCGTGCTGTTACGGGTATCAGGGCGGTTGTCACTTCCTGGCTGCCCACACCGTGGAAGGTTGTTTCTTGAGGAACCTGAAAACGAAGATAGATTAGTGTTGGTCTTAGAGACCTGGGATCGTGACCGCAGAGTCCAAGGGACAACTGCTTGAGGCCGGTCACGCACGGCCTTTTTATGAAATGTTTTTTGAGTATTAGCTCCGCTCTTAAAAGCCCTAAGTGGGCACCCTTACCACCAGAGACGGAAATCCGTGAGATAGGATGATGTGTGACATTTTTAGGGCCGACCTTTTCTAACCCTTCCTTCCTTGTGAGAAGGCAGCATCGCTGCAGATGCTGGTTGTCCGAAGGAAACACTTTACTGCTGTCACACTCCTCTGCAGTCAGTCAGCAGTACGACTTCGTCCTCAGACCTTGGGTAGCTGCTTTTAGTCTCATCGTTCTCCAATCGACCAGCCTGGCATGGTAGGACCTGCAGGAACATTTGTTCCAGCCAGGATAGCTCGGTTGGGTCATCACGATAGGCGTGCCCGACCACCACGTCAAGGTAGCAGCTACGGTCGGGTAATATATGATTCTGTGTTCGTACATCATTTTATTCAAGTACATATACAGTTTATGAACTGTACCTATTTATTCTTCATTGTCGTTGTGACAGTTTCACACATCTTACTAAACTAGGCTTATACTGACTTCTAATTGTAAAATAATTTGTATATTTTTAGGATGTTTTATCCAAACTTCAACTTGTTTTCATGGAAAATAGAGAATTCCAAGTGTTATGTAACAATATTAGAAATTTCCTTAATACTTTAACAACTGAACTAAAAAGTATCAATACAAATGATCAAGATTCAAATTTATCTGGAAATCATTTAAACACAATCGCGGTGAGTTGTTTATTGGAATTTTTCTTATTGTAGTTACTAAAACAATTGGTTCGTATTTTGAAGTTTATTCAAAGCATAGATTACTTGTCAGTAATAAAAAAAGATGGTTAGTTCATAGGTGCATTTATTACTTATATGGTCAGAGATCCGAACTCTTACATATTCTTTACTTCATATTTATCCCACTTGTAATGGAGGTCAGTCATGACCAGAATAGATAGTGATAGTGATGTCCTTATCCAGGAAACTTAATAGTGTAGGTTTAAACACTAAGGGAAACGTTAGCTCCCTCAAGAAGGCAAGTACATTTCGCTGGCATTTGATGCACACTTTGGGCTTCTTTTTACTGGTTACCTAAAGATGACTAAGATTTAAATCACTCATGGAAGCAGCAGAGGATAGATAAACATATATATTTAACTGAGACGATGATTTATCAAACAAGTTAAATTATAAAGATTCGTTCTCTGAGCGGGTTGTTTTGGTTGTGGGGAGAAATTCGAATGCTTCACTTCTCTCTGAAGTTTGTGCTGATGATGTTGTTCAGCCGAAGAACAATGAAAGCTCCACAACCAAAACAACCCGCTCAGAGAACGAAACACCACCACAATCATCCACCTGAGCTACAAGTTTTCTCCACCATCTCAAAGAACGGATCATCAGACATTTGAAAATGATCTATTGAGTATCAAGATAGAATAATATCATAATTCGCATCTATGTGATCAGTTTTATTTCATAACAAATATCCATGTATAGATAATAACAGAATGATGGGGTTGTGAGTATCATATTGAATATCAAATGATATGTTGAATAATCAGTAATATATAGTCGCGGGAATTGAGAACATTATGAAAGAAATATTGATTTTTTTGAATAAATTGCAATATGATTTCTGTATGGTGTCTTTTTGTTGGGGGTTTTAGATCCCCAAAATTCTCTTGATAAATGCCTTATTTTGGTTTTCACGTTTGCCAGCATGGGCTGATCAGTTGACCTTGAGATTTCAATTCCCACCAGGAAAGTCCATGGCTGTGATTGGCTGCTGTGTATTTTAGTGTGCTATTTTCTTAACTGTCTCAAGGACGTTTCTATGTTGTATAAATAAACGAGAGTTGTATGCTTGATTGTATTGTGTGATTGCTGGGTGTTTGTAGAATATACTTTCTACGCTTACAAAGCCTTATATTTCGCTTTGGGGATTCAAGGTAGCCTACCTGGACGCTGGTAAAAGTCTCGTTCGCGTTTATCGACCAATGTAAACTCGTAATAGCCTCAAGCATACTAAGTGACTAACGCTACACTTTTGATCAAAATGTATGGATAATTTATACTTAATGTTAGTTCTGAATAATGATTTGTCTGAGCTAGTAAGTTAATACAGTATAGTGGCCAGTGCCTCACTAGTTTCGTTGCGGTTGATATTCGATATTTTCTCAGACTCCGTATGCTGCTCGTTCAGACAACTGTTACTAAAATAACGCCTCATGGTTTTGTAAATCAAAAAAAAGAGAAATACGAAGCGTTGAATACGTTTATTCGGCATACCACAAACTGACCATCATACCAGGGACACACGAAGCAAAAATTGATATGCAAGTGTCAAAAGGTAGGCAAGCGAAATGTCCATATATATCTACATATATACATTGGGAAATGGATGAGAGTCATCGAAATATTTAACAGGCTATCATTAAAGTGAATAGGATAAATATGTTGTACGTAGGCGGTAAGCAATGTTCAGTCGTACCAGACAATAATCAAAGCACAATGGTACAAATAAATTATTGCTACACAAATGACTCAGTTAGATAAGTTAATCAAAAGAGCTTAACCAAATTAAATGTGAACAAACTGAAAAGTATGCAGAGGTACTAGAATAATATCAATTAGCATAATAGTAAGAAATATCACTAATTCGTTGTTTACAATTTATTTGAGTTGCAGTAAAGCCAAACTGTGGATAACTTATTGTAAGATAATCAAGACATTATATTGTTTTTAATCGAAATACTGCTGCAAGCATGCAAACCGAAGCAGACAGTTTTCTAATGGAGGAAAGCTCTATTATTACACATTAAACTGAGATTTCATCCCACAAGATAGCGTGATCAAATTTACATAAGTGTAGTTCATTGGTCGGAGGTAACCGAAAAAGCTGCTTATGTTGTGGTGCGAGCTACTTATAAGTAGTAGTGTATGACGTGAGTATTAACGTAATGTCTGGCAGCAGAAGATGGGGGAAGATCAAGAAAGAAAGAGTTAGAACACAATGGAATTTGCATGAAACGCATGAATAGTGACAATGGATTGATGTTTTGCAACAGGAACAGTCCAGTTCGATATGATGAACTGATAATTTGCAAATGAACAATTTACGATATGGTTTTCCAATTTTACTGAGTAACTCTGTGATTTTCGCTAAATACAAACCTTTGCCCCATCTGTGTTCTCGTTCACTACAATGTTATTTACTACGCCGGGTATTGGTAGGAAAGGTTATCTTGATTACTGGTCAGAAAAAAAACAAGAAGTAAATATCTAGAAAATCAGGTACAACCACTTAGTTAGATGATTATTTACACTGCGCAACAATTGAAATTCTCAGCTTAGAACCTTGTATCTATCTAAACTGATGCATGTTAACAGATAGGTAAGTAAAAATACTTGACTTAACTTTTCTAATAAAATATATCGAATCACCTAATGATGCGTTTTGTTTTTTCTGAACAGAGTATACGTGAAAAATTACGTTCATCTCAACCGAAACTTTTAGAGCTTAGCGACAGAGCAGATCGAATTTGTCGAGCTTCATCAACTGCAGCGTTAACAATCAACCAAATGTTTGTAACACATGCTAGTCTATTGGATAGTACAGATTCAATTAATTCACCTGTATTTCTAGGCTACAATCAACATCATCAGCATCAACAACTTTCAACAAATCGATTTGGAATAGACAATTTACAAACAGAAACTGTTGGATCTAGAGCTAAACGACAATTGAATGAATTTAGAAAAGAATTTAGTGAAATTAGTCAACAAATAACAGAGGTGAGTGAATTTATGAGTGAATATAGTGTTGTGAACGAGAACACAGGTGGGGCAACCGGATTGTATCTAACGAAAATTACAGAGTTACTCAGTAAAATCGGAAAACCATATCGTAAATCGTTCATTTGCAAAATATCAGTTCATCATATCGAACTGGACTGTTCCTGTTTCAAAACATCAATCCATTGTCACTATTCATGTGTTTCATACAAATTCCATTGTTTTCTAACTCTTCCTTTCTTGATCTTCCCCCATATTCTGCTGCCAGACATTAAGTTGACACTCACTTCATATACTACTTATAAGTAGCTCACACCACAATAGTATCTCATCATAAAATGATAAGCTAAATATTTACAAGAATTTCCATATTAACTTCATGGGTAATGTGAATCTTCGACCATCTTTTGTATGAGACATGAGTGAGACATCAGTCAGTCAGTTATAATGAAGAACGGAGCGAACTGCTGAGCAGTAGACTCAACCTTTCGTTAGCAAACGAATATCTCACCCATGCCATAAACGAGGCAGGTCGGCAAAAGCCAATCGAGCCTTCTGTATCCGGGACCACTGATAGATGGCTATTTTTTCCTGGTATGGGAATCACCAGTGACAGTGCACACCTACAACTCCTATTATTTTCAGAATGAAACCAATAAAGCTGGAAAATCACAGTTAGTACTCAATTGTAGTTGACAAAGTTTCGACTTAGTTAAATAGAAACATTGCTGACGACGAAGTTCTATTTGGTGAAGACGCTGACAAAATGAAGAGTCTTCTGACCACCTTAAGCGACAATGCAGGTGGTTCACCCCCTCGAATGTTACTTCAGGATTGGCTTGAATTGGTACCTGAACTAGTGATGCGGGGTGAAGCAGATGAGCGTGTTGAGCCCCTCACTTATCTAGAGAGTTTCGTCAGTGCTGATGGCTCAGTGACCGACGAAATCTCAGCGCGGATGCAAAAGGCTCAACTGCGTCATTTATGGTGTAGGCGAGATATCCGTTTTCTGACTAAAGGACGAGTGCACTGAGCAGCAGTTCGCTCCGTCCTACTATATGAATGCGGAATATGTTCGGTAAGAGTTGAGGATATTTTTAGGCCAGTAGCATTCGATCATAAGGTTCTTCGAAGCATTACTCGTATATCTTGTTGTGACAACTGAGTAAGCAATGCTGCCGTTAGGAAAAGAGTACTAGGTAAGAGTGGCAAGTCGACAGAAGAAATACTGAGAAATTCGTCAGCTGAGATAGTTGGGACAAGTGTTATTTATGACAATCACGGACTACCTCGTCAAGCTCTGTTAGAAAATGTAGGAATAGGTTGGAAGAAAGCTAGGGGCGCTCAAAACAAAACATGACAGAAATCCGTGAAGTCACTGACAAGTGGATTGAGTCATATCAGTAAGTGTAGACTACCTGGTTGTGGTCCGCGAGATGATAGTAACAAATAGTTAGGGACCTTGAATGATGTGGTTCAAAATCGTTTGCAATGGCTCAGGTGCATCCATTGTTTGTGTTCTGTCAATTCCTAACCTTCTGAATTACACATGACCGTCTTTGATCTCTTTATAAATTGATTCCTCTGGGGTATACATTGGTCATTAAACGTTTTGATTACTGTTAATACTTCTACTACCTCTACTACTATGAAATTTGAATTGAGAATTGCGTCTCTGTGCTAATTTGGTATGGCAACTTGAACTAATGTCCGTACGTACGTACGAAGTTCTACGTTGTTGCTGACTGACTGACTGACGGACTGACTGAAACAGAAGCATTGATCATAAATTCTGATATGAAATAAATCTTTTCTAATCATATTATTTGAATTTTCTTCACTGAAGCATTAAATAGCTCCTTTTTTCTGGTACTTCATCTGTAAAACAGTAATTCACAAGTCTAAAGGTACTTACTTACTTACGCCTGTTACCCCCAATCCAGCATAGGCCGCTCACCAGTTTTCTCCAACCAACTCTGTCCTGAGCTTCCTTCTCCAGTTCTGTCCAATGTTTGTTCATTCCTCTCATATCTTTCTCTATTTCTCGGCATAATGTGTTCCTTGACCTTCCTCTTTTCCTTTCTCGTTGAGGGTTCCATGTGAGGACTTGTCTCGTGACGCAGTTCGATGCTTTTCGTAGTGTGTGTCCTATCCACTTCCACCGCTTCTTCCTGATTTCCTCCTTCATTCGAATCTGGTTTGTTTTCTCACACAGTTCGTTGTTGCTGATGGTGTCTGGCCAACGAATCCGAAGTATTTTGCGTAGACAACTGTTAATAAACACTTGTATCTTTTGAATGATGCCTTTCGTAGTTCTCCATGTTTCCGCTCCATACAGTAGAACTGTCTTGACATTTGTATTGAAAATCCTGATTTTGGTTTTGATTGAAAGTTGTTTGGAGTTCCAGATATTTTTCAACTGTAGAAATGCAGCCTTTGCTTTGCCAATCCGTGCCCTCACATCTGCATCGGATCCACCTTGATTGTCGATCCGATGCAAGTCTAAGTGTAGAGAGTGATAAAGATTTCAGTTGTGAAAAATGACACAGTATATTTTTATTATTTTGTAAAAAAGAAAACTATTACTTATGCCTAACTCATAATGTTTTCAGTAAACATTGTTTAATTTTAATCACGTTTTTTTTAAATAAAATCAAGAATTTTAATAAACATTTTACTTTATCAATCAACTTTCTCTCTAACAAACATTTTTTTATTTCAAAAATTAAAAACTAGTATCAAGAAAAATTAAATCATTTAGTCAATGAACAGAAAAATTTATCTGAACTATCGAATGATTTACGTAGTTGGATGGAGAAAACTGAGAAAAAGTTAAATATTCTAGAAGCAGGTAAATTAATGAATTCAAATATAGAGGAGAGTGAACAAAATATCAAACCATTAATGCATGGATCTATGAAATTCAATGAAAACAATTGGAATTCTTATATTCAACAAGTAACGGTAGGTTCAATTTAAAAAAAATGGCTTATAAATTGATATAACATAATGTATGATAGCCAACTATTATAAGGTTGTGGAGATTGTTGGATTTTTTTTTGAAATCATGAAAGAATGAATCTTCGGTAGACCACCATCAGAAACATGGAAGCACTGAATGACGGCCTTTTCGTCCTGATAAGAGACTCATCAGTAGTCCGCGTCCACGACTCCTGCTACGCTCAATAATTGAACTCTAGATCGTTGGTCTTTAGTGCGAACGCTTATCCTCTGGACCACTCAGCTAGCATTCAACGGTGTTTATATCTAACTCTGATCAATCCGTGGTCTTGCATGACGTCAACTACTGTCTGCAGTTAGTGTGGTGTGTGCTACTTATACGAACGATATAAGTAGTATAAAAAGGGTCGTGAAAGAAGAACTCTCACAGTCACTAGAGGAAAACGGAAAGCAAATGGAGCAAAAGCAAGAAGTAAATGGAGTACTAACCAACAGGAAGTAAAGGAAGCAACAGCAGGAATGGAAGAAGGCTGGAGCGTTGGAAGTCACGACTCAAAGATGGTGTGCAAATAGAGTATTCAATGTAATGTTTTCGTTTTTAATTGACTAAGAGTGTAAATTTGCAAAATACAGTCTATTGCGCCTGCCTCAGTCTTCTCAATTGGTGTCGCTGCCTCCACACAGGATGAAGATACCATGGCCTCGGGAGTTTGAGGACGGAGATGTAAGGAGCCTGTTGAACGAGTTCGAGGCCGTGGCGGAGCTGGTCGGAGTCGAGGAGCGGAGGGCGAAGGCGCTGGTGCTGGGGACTCTAGTAAGAGGCAGGGCGAGAGCTTCGTACGATGGTTTGGAGGACGCTGACCGGGAGGTGGTGACGGACAGGCTGCTAGTGGCGTTCGACAGCCCGGCGGATAGGCAGGACGCGCTGCAGAAGTCCGCGAGAGGCGAGACTGTCGGTGGATGGCGACCCACCCGTGCTGGCAGTGAAGTTGACAAGATTGCTGCGCCGGGGTCTGCCGAATTTGGATGAGGAGTCGCAAGCACAGCTGCTAGCGTCGCAATTCATTGAAAGTGTGCCTGCAGAGGTTGGCCAACAGTTGAGACTGGTGAACGTGGCACAACCAATGGACGTCACCGGGCTGGCGAAAGTAACAAGACAACTGATGAACTCGACAGTCGCCTCGGTGGTGTGTGAAAGACAGGCTGATGATGTCGTGAAGAAGATAAAAGAATTACAACGAGAGGTGGCAGCATTACGAATAAAGGGTGACAGAAATAATAAATGCTATATTAGGAAGAGGAATTGCCCAACAAAACGAAAACATTAGATTGAACACTCTATTTGCACACCATCTTTGAGTCGTGACTTCCAACGCTCCAGCCTTCTTCCATTCCTGCTGTTGCTTCCTTTACTTCCTGTTGGTTGGTACTCCATTTACTTCTTGCTTTTGCTCCATTTGCTTTCCGTTTTCCTCTAGTGACCGTGAGAGTTCTTCTTTCACGACCCTTTTTATACTACTTATATCGTTCGTATAAGTAGCACACACCACATGAGGACTTTCGGCATCCTGTGAAAAGCGGGAATAGTGGATGCACACTGCCACTGATGAATCCCATACCAGTATAAAACGGCAATCTTTCGGTGCTTCCAGGTTTCTAATGGCGAGCTAAAAATGAACGATTCATGAAATCAAAATAACCAACAACATCACTGACTAGTTTGATGATTTACACTGATTAACTATTCAATGCACTGGTTTTTTTTGGGAAGACTACTATTTTCAGTAATAATTTCTGGTAATTAAGTTTTTCTAAATAAATTTTGAAGCAAGAAATTCTAGTACCTAACTAATCATTCATTTCTATGGGTTTTTTTTCCCTATTTATGAAAAAAATCTCACTTTCTTTAGGCTTTAAATAAAGAACTTAATGAATATTCACAGAAAAATGAACAAATTTGTGAAACTTTGTCAAATACTACAAAGCCAAATGGTCAAACAAATAAATTGAATCAACTCACAGGAAGATTTACTGAAATGAAAGAAAGAATTCAGGTAAATAATGTGTGCACTAAAGTAGTTTGGATGAAATTCAAGCTGTTATTTTGACTTATTGTTCATAGTCATATAATTAAGATTATTTGTTATAACCTGTTATGTAGTAGCTACTCGAAATCCTACCTATTGACCAAATTCAGGTATTTCAGTACAAGCCAAATTACTGTTCCTAAATCTCCAATATATATCAAAACACAACAGCCTTTAGAAGAAGTTGTTTATGGGTTGTTGAGTACAGAAGGAATAATAAGCTTTACAGACAATACCGATTTATAAAGTTAGAACCAATAGGAAACAACATTTGAAGTATGTGATGTAGATAGTTAAGAGGACCAATAGTAATTAACCAATAGGAATTGACCAATAGAATTAGACTTACAAAATAATTCTTTCAGAATATTTGACGAATATTATTAATAATGATACTAACCGATATTAATCTGAATTATTGAGATTTCTATATTATATTAAAGATTTGAATATTTCAGCCATTTTCCAAGTTATATTCCACTGTGACTAGAATTTAAAATGTTTAATTCGTGTAATTACGTTCTTTTTCTTCCTCAGAACACTTTTATGACTCTAATAACAGTTGTTAGTTTCCGTAACTGGTCTTGTTTACTGTCAGGAAACTAGCATCGATCTAATTAGGGATAAAAGAGTAGTAGAAATTAAAAACTTATTTCTACCATTCTATGGTCGGTGGTTTCTTGTATGTAGTTTGAGAGTGCTATAGGATATTCATAAGTATATGATGTGAAAATATACTAGAGTAATCTTTCATCTGATAATAATGGCTTTATGTTGTACGATTGAACAGAAATTCACTTATAATCTTATAATCAGCTTCACTGTATCTTATTATGGAGATGGTTGTTTTACATTGAAATCACGAATGAGTCATTGTAAGACCACCATTAGAAACCTGGAAGCACTGAAGGATGGCCGTTTTGTCCAGGTATGAGACTTATGAGCAGTGCATATCCGTGACTCCTACTACTCTGCACATTCGAACCTAAGACCTTCGATTTTGCGCGCTAACGCTAAGCTTCTAGACCAGACGGTGTCACCATCTATCTCTGATCAATTTAAGAATATTGAGCAACCCTACTCATTACAGGGCTGAACTCCAATGAACATGGCTTCTCATTAGAACTACGAGAAGCCAGTCACTAGTGACCACTTTTTAGATTTTGCATTACACTATTATGGACATCGTCGTGTATACATTGAATGAGTCATTGTTAGACTACTATTAGATACCTTAAGGCACTGGAAGTCGATTAGCAGCAGTCATGGATGCGTATTGCTGACGAGTCCCATACCAGAACGAAACGACAGTCTCCCAGTGCTTTCAGGTTTCAAATGGTGGTCGTCTAACAATGATTCATTCATGATTTTAACTATATTTCTTTTAAGAATATCAAATATAATCATTTCTTCATTTGTTTGCTAGCAATTTGTCAGCTGGATCAATACTATTCAACAGAACTATACAACTTTTCGTGAATCAGCACAAACTACTGAACGATGGATGAGTAGTATAAATTTTCGTCTTATGTCAGCTGGTCATAATCATACTAATACTACTAATAATAATAATAATAATCTAACAGGAAATTTAACTGCTTATCAAGATTCCACTACACAAATTGATCAATTATTGAAAGAAATCGATAAAGAAGGCAAAAATCTTTTAGAGAACACTCACCACTTAGTTCATTTACTGATACATATTATCACTAAAGATCAATTGACAATGTCGAAAACGAAACGGATTTGTGAATCTGCTACATGTTCCTATCGTGAAATTCCTATGGATCATAGTATAATTGATAATTGGAAATATTTAGTGAATAGTTCAAATGAAGAAAAATTATTCGATAAAATTGTATTGGATAGTTTAGAAAGAAATAAAGAAATTCAAATTAATTACATGAATATACATTCGAATGCCCAATCGATTAAGGTAAGTGAAATTTGTTCCTTTTTTCTCAAGGTGAAACTATTTGTGAAGGAGATTTAGTAATCAGTAACCTACAGATAGTTTTCTACACCTTGTGGTTGGTTTCTGGATGTAGTTTGTGAACTTTGTAGACTGCTCGTCGTACTTACTTACTTACGCCTGTTACCCCCAATGGAGGATAGGCCATCAACCAGTTTTCTCCAACCAACTCTGTCCTGAGCGCCCCTCTCCAATTCTGTTCAATGTTTGTTCATTCTTCGCATATCTTCCTCTATTTCTCGGCGTAATGTGTTCATCGGCCTTCCTCTTTACCTTTTGCCTTGAAGGTTCCATGTGAGGGCTTGTCTCGTGATGCAGTTAGGTGATTTCCGCAATGTGTGTCCTATCCACTTCCGCCGCTTCTTCCTGATTTCCTCCTCCACTCGAATCTGGTTTGTTCTCTCCCACAGTTCATTGTTGCTGATGGTGTCTGGCCAACAAATCCGAAGTATTTTGTGTAGACAGCTGTTAATAAACACTTGTATCTTCTGGATGACGGCTTTGGTAGTTCTCCAAGTTTCCGCTCCATACAGTAGAACTGTATTGTCATTTGTATTGAAAATCCTGATTTTGTTTGACAGTTGTTTGGGGTTCCAGATATTTTTCAACTGTAGAAATGCGTCCCTTGCTTTGCCAATCCGCGCCCTGTCATCTGCATCCGATCCACCTTTCTCGTCGATGATGCTGCCCAGATATGTAAAGATGTTAACGTCCTGCGAGGCATCTCCATCAAGAGTGATTTGGTTGGTGCATGTTGTGTTGCATCGGAGAATTTCGCTTTTTCTTTTATGTATGTTGATACCTACTGCTGCAGAGGCTGCTGCTACACTGGCCGTATTCTCTTGCATTTGTTGTTGCGTGTGCGGTAGAAGAGCCAGGTCATCTGCAAAGTCCAGATCGTCCAGCTGCGTCCTAGCTGTCTAGTTGATACCGTGCTTCCCTCCAGATGTTGACGTCTTCATAATCCAGTCGATGGCCAGGAGAAAGAGAAAGGGTGAGAGTAAGCAACCTTGCCTCACACCGGTCTTCACCTCGAAAGAGTCTGTTAGCTGTCCTTTGTGTACGATTTTGCAGTTGAATCCATCATAAGAATTCCGTATGATGTTAACTATTTTCTCAGGCACACCGTAGTGTCGAAGAAGCCTCCACAGTGTTTTCCTGTCCACGCTATCGAATGCTTTCTCGTAGTCGATGGAGTTGATGTAGAGTGGTGAGTTCCATTCAATTGATTGTTCCACAATGATCCGTAATGTAACAATTTGGTCGGTGCACGATCGATCCTTACGAAATCCAGCCTGTCGGTCTCGTAGTTGGGCGTCTACGAAGTCCTCCATTCTGTTTAACAATACTCTGTTGAAGACTTTGTCTGGTATTGAAAGAAGAGTGATGCCTCTGTAGTTCTCACACTTGCTGAGGTCGCCCTTCTTCCGTATTTTGATCAGGTATCCTTCTTTCCAATCTGATGGTACTTGTTCCTCATCCCAAATCTTCTTGATGAGGATGTGAAATATTTTCGCAGTTGCTTCTACATCTGCTTTCATTGCATCTGCTGGAATGTTGTCTGGTCCTGCTGCTTTGCCGCTCTTGATTTATCTGATGGGCATACTGATCTCCTCAATTGTAGGTGAGCCAATATTAATTGGGAGGTCCGTAGATGCTGCTCGTCGTGATAACCGTTAATAGATAACCCGTAATGGTGTATGCAATTTAGGAGATGAATACGAAGTGTTGTTTATGTTTGTTGTCTCATCACACACACAGATCACAAAATCACAGGCACACGGAGTGCTGAAGAAGCAAGTGACCGAGTGAGCCAATGAGCAAGCAGGTCAATGAACAGGACATAGGCAAATGAATGAATCGTCGAAATATTTAAACAGTTAACATTAAAGTGAATAGAATGGATATGCATGTAGGTGGTAGGTGACGCATACTCATACCTACTCATACAAACGTGACGATATTAAAGGCATAATGGTTTACAGATAAGTGATTGCTGTACGACTGACTGTCTGTTAAATAAGTTAATCAAAAGAGCTTAACCAAATTAAACGCAAACAAACTCAAATGTATGTGATGTTGTGCTATATCCTATGTTTTAATACTCTTTACAGTATCCTCTTGAAATAAGATGACTTTTTGTTACTCCTACACGTAAACACGTCATTTTGATATGCTTGAATTATTACGAGTTTATCCCTTAGTCGGAAAACGAGAGCGAGGATCCGGCGACAGGACATGCTACTCAAATCCGATTATCTCAACCCCCGTATTGAGTGAAAATAAGAAGACGTGATATGAAGTAGAACCTGTATTCTACAAGCATCCAGAAAGTACGAGGTCCAAGTTCAGAAGAGAATCAGGATCCCTGACTAGGGATCCCGGACCGAGTCCTGGTCCTGGTCATAAAACGTTACAGATAATGCGTATTTATACATTTTGGTCGAATAGGAAACAGCATGGAATTCTGTGACATTGACATTTAAGACGACCAATAGGAAGTAACATTTGAAGTGACATTGATAGTCAGGACAACCAATAAGAAACAACATTGGGGCGTGTGACATTGATATCTAGGACGACCATAAAATTGACCAGTAGTAATTAACCAATAGGAATAGACCAATAATTCTCTTAGGATATTGGATGAATATCCAATCATCATCATTATAGATCCAAAGAAACGATTATGTTTCATATTCCGAAATTTTCTCTTTATTGATTTACATAGAATCGACTAGATGATCAACTGAATCGTTTCAAAGCTTACATTGATACATTGAATTCCACAGCTACATTTATATTAAATGATTTACAGTCTTGGTGGAAACGATTAAGTGTGATCAGTCAATCGTCAGCAGCAGTAGCTGCTGTAACAGGATTAACAACAATCACTAATCCACTCATTTCAACATCAGATCCAATCTCTTCAAATGTTACAGGATATACAAGTTATCCAAATAAAAGTTTTATCAATTATCAAATAGATCGTTTAAAACAATTGACAATTGAAAAACCTCCAACAAAAGCCGTTAGTTTAGAAGATGTTGGTCATCAATTAGCTATGACATTAGCTATGCAATCACAATTGATAACAATGAAAAGAGAATTATCTACACTTGCATATAAGTAAGTCAAAATCATACTATTTTTTGGTTAAGATAATATAATATACTACTTACTAGAGTTCAGATTTTTTCGGAAATTGATGCAGTCCTGCTAAATATATATCACTACTTACATACTTACTTACTTACTTACTACTTACCCTTAAATGAAGTATAGGCCGCCAACCAGCATTTTTATTAGCAAGTTGGTTTTCCATGGGATGGAGTCGCTAACTCCATACACGATCCTCTAACTTTCTCCGGGTTTAGGACCGACAGAAACCCCAGAAGGACTGCAGGTGGAGTGAAGTGGATATCGTTTCTGCCGACAGATACGAAATAGGACAAATCACGCATCTCACAGTTCAGCTATTTTATTTTTGGACATGTATCCTAATGGCTATTTCAAAGTAACTCCTACAGGATGTATATATACTAACCGAAACGGATCAAATTCCACTCAAGTATAAAAAAATTAGATTATTGTGGCGTTTCTTTCTCTGAGCTGGATGTTTCAAGTGTGGAGCTTTCATTGTTCTTCTTCTGAACAACATCGTTATCAGCACAGACTTCAGATAGCAGAAGTGAAGTATTCGAATTTCCGCACGTTTGACCTGTAGTTAATTTTGTTAACCTCGATCTTGATTGATTGCTGTTGACCTTAAATCTGTCATTGTTTGTACCTACCTTTGTTTTGATTGTATCCCCATTTTGATCTGTTTCTTAATCCTAAGTCGCCTATGATCTTTCTAATTGGTTGATAGATTGGGTCAATGTCGATGTGTTTGTTGATTACTGATTGACCTGAGTGCTAAGCTTCTAAAAATTCTCTAGTGTTCGCTTTGTGCTCCCCCCCCACCTGAGCTACACATTTTCTCTACCATATCACAACTAGATTATCCAAGCAATTTAAAATTCATGTTGTATTGTTTCTGTGTGCTGTGTAATGTGAGAACAATTCACTGATGACTTAAATTTACTTGACACCAAGACATGGCAGTAATGAACACTTTACTATTCTTCATATAACTAAACATTTTTAAGACATTTTTTATGTGATTATGTATGATAATTTTCAATTTGTGAAGATTAGTCAATTAAGACATTTCGAATCATGGAATGATTTTCCGTATATAACCAATGAAAAGTAACACAAGACAGGTGTTCCATTCTTAAATGGCACTGTCCAACATTTCAAACCCAATAGACTAAACCTAAGACTCTCTGACCTCATTTTGTACGAGTTAACTTTAAATCGATAGGCTTACATTAGTTGGTCAAACTCATAAGCAGCTAACTATATTTTACTCGTATTGTGGTGTGAGCTACTTATAAATAGTAGTATATGACGTGAGTGTCAACATAATGTCTGGCAGCAGAAGATGGGGGAAGATCAACAGAAAGGAAGAGTTAGAACACAAGAGAATTTGTGTATGAAACGCATGAATAGTGACAATGGATTGATGTTTTGCAACAGAGGAACAGTCCAGTTCGATATGATGAACTGTTATTTTGCAAATGAACGATTTACGATATGGTTTTCCGATTTTACTGAGTAACTCTGTAATTTTCGTTAAATACAATCCGGTTCCCCCAACTGTGTTCTCGTTCACTACAGTATAATCTTTCATATTTTAAGAGTTTTAAAAAACAGATTGCCGTCTCTGTTACCATTTCATCCTATATTCTCTAAACAGATGTGGAATGTCCTCAATGGACATTGAATATATTTCACAAGAAGCTGATAAAAGCATGATGGATGATAATAAAGGCAATAGTTCAGATCAAAATTTATTGAAATTATTGGCCAGGCATGTACAAAATGCAATCGAAATAGAAAATAGAAAGGTATATCATTTTAGTGTTGTAAATTTTATAATGAATGATATGTGATTATGTATTTCTTATCCATTTGTCTCTTGTTGTTTATATCATTTAAGTAAAGTTCTAATCGGTAAGAAAAAGGTTTAACTCTACAGTAGATGAATTGAAGAAATTAACGAGAAGTGGCGAGAAATATCAGCTGTTACTTCTTTTCTAGTTGTATTTGTGCGCTGCCAAAAAAATTCGATTTGAAGTCTAGTCCTAACATTAAAACGTTTTACAATTCATTTTAAATGTTTTCACAATTCTTTTTCATCAATATGAACTTACTCACTTTGACTAGTTGGGTGTACATTTCATTTACGAAAAGTTATATGGTTAAAAGATTCTAGACCTAAATTTTTTGATATTCGGCACTCATTGCCTAGATGTATGCACAATCTTGATGCGGGGCTGGTGCTTCCACATGGATCTGACCGCATTTCACAAGCATACCTTAATGGCGAATGTTAAATAGCAAGAAACCTAGGTCCAGAGTTCTCCTTCGATTACCTTCAATCATCTAACATCTTAATATATCTAAATCAATGTCGATTTCTGTATTGATTATTGTGTGTAGATGTATTTGTAAGTTTAAGCAATGATTGGGACTGATTCAGTTTCCTAGTTGTTAACGTACTTACTTACGCCTGTCACTCCTAATGGGGCATAGGCCACCGACCAAAATTCTCTAATCTACTCTGTCCTGGGTTTTCCTTGGCAGATCTGCTCAGTTGCTGTTTATTATTCTCATGACTATCTCCCATTCCCAAAGTAATGTGTTCTTTGGTCTCCTTTTTTTCTTTCGACCCTGAGGATTCCAAGTGGGGGCTTGTCTTTTGATTCAGTTAGGTGCTTTCTTCAATGTGTGTCTTTTCCACTCCCAGAACTTTTTCCTAAATTCTTCCTCTGCTGGAATTACTTACTTACTTTCGCCTGTTTCCCCAAATGGAGCATAGGCCGCTTACCAGTTTTCTCCAACCAACTCTGTCCTGGGCTTCCCTCTCCAGTTCTGTCCAATGTTTGTTCATTCCTCTCATATCTTTCTCTATTTCTCGGCGTAATGTATTCTTTGGTCTTCCTCTTTTCCTTTTGCCTTGAGGGTTCCATGTGAGGGCTTGTCTCGTGACGCAGTTAGGTGCTTTCCGCAATGTGTGTCCTATCCACTTCCACCGCTTCTTCCTCATTTCCTCCTCCACTGGAATCTGGTTTGTTCTCTCCCACAGTTCGTTGTTGCTGATGGTGTCTGGCCAACGAATACGAAGTATTTTGCGTAGACAACTGTTAATAAACACTTGTATCTTCTGGATGATGGCTTTGGTAGTTCTCAATGTTTCCGCTCCATACATTAGAACTGTCTTGACATTTGTATTGAAAATCCTTATTTTGGTGTTGATTGATATCTGTTTGGAGTTCCAGATATTTTTCAATTGTAGAAATGCAGCCCTTGCTTTGCCAATCCGTGCCCTCACATCTGCATCGGATCCACCTTGATTGTCAATGATGCTGCCCAGATATGTAAAGGTGTTAATGTCCTCCAAGGCATCTCCCTCAAGAGTGATTTGATTGGTGCATGTTGTGTTGCATCGGAGAATTTCGCTTTTTCCTTTATGTATGTTGAGACCTACTGCTGCAGAGGCTGCTGCTACACTGGTTGTCTTTTCTTGCATTTGTTGTTGAGTGTGCGATAGAAGAGCCAAGTCATCTGCGAAGTCCAGATCGTCCAGCTGCGTCCTAACTGTCCAGTTGATACCGTGCTTCCCTCCACATGTCGACCTCTTCATAATCCAGTCGATGACCAGGAGAAAGAGAAAGGGTGAGAGTAAGCAACCTTGCCTGACACCGGTCTTCACCTCGAGCGGGTCTGTCAGCTGTCCTTTGTGAACGATTTTGCAGTTGAATCCATCATAAGAATTCCGTATGATGTTAACTATTTTCTCAGGCACCCCGTAGTGTCGAAGAAGCCTCCACAGTGTTTTCCTGTCCACACTATCAAATGCTTTCTCGTAGTCGATGAAGTTGAAGTAGAGTGGTGAGTTCCATTCAATTGATTGTTCCACAATGATCCGTAATGTAGCAATTTGGTCAGTACATGATCGATCCTTACGAAATCCGGCCTGTTGATCTTGAAGTTGGGCGTCTACGAAGTCGTTCATTCTGTTTAACAATACCCTGTTGAAGACTTTGCCTGGTATTGAAAGAAGAGTGATGCCTCTGTAGTTCTCACACTTGCTGAGATCGCCTTTCTTTGGTATTTTGATGAGGTATCCTTCTTTCCAATCTGATGGTACTTGTTCCTCATCCCAAATCTTCTTGAAGAGGATGTGAAATATTTTCGCGGTTGCTTCTACATCTGCTTTCATTGCCTCTGCTGGAATGTTGTCTGGTCCTGCTGCTTTGCCGTTCTTGATTTGTCTGATGGCCATACTGATCTCCTCAATCGTAGGTGCGCCAGTATTAATTGGGAGATCCGTGGATGCTGCTTCGATGTTGGGTGTGTTCAGTGGAGCTGGTCGATTCAATAGTTCGTTAAAGTGCTCTACCCACCTATTTCGCTGTTGTTCAATGTTGCTGATTACTTTGCCTTCCTTGCTTTTCACTGGTCGTTCTGGTTTACGATAGTTTCCGGCGAGCTTCTTTGTAATTTCATACAATTGTCTCAAGTTTCCGTCTCTTGCAGCCTTTTTCGACGTCATTGCTAGATCTTCCACATATTTTCGTTTGTCAGCTCTGATGCTCTTCTTCACTTCCCTGTTTGCTTCTGTGTATGCAGCTTGTGCGGTAACTTTCTCCGCTCTTGTTCGGCTGACATTGATTGCTGCTTTCTTGTTCCTCCTTTCTTCAATTTTTGCGAGAGTATCAACAGAGATCCATTCCTTGTGATGCTGCTTCTTGCGACCAAGGACCTCCTGACATGTTGAAGTGATTGCCTCCTTAATCCCTTTCCAACTGTTCTCCAATGTTGTGTCCTCTCCATTGTGTAGATCCTGAAAGGCCTGGAACCTATTGGTGAGGGCTATCCTGAATTCGTTGAGCTTTACAGTATCCCGAAGAAAGGCCGTATTAAACTTGTGTGATGTTGTCTGCCCCGTTGTCCAGTGCTTCTTTAGTTTCAGTTTCATTTTGGCGATTAGCAAATGGTGATCTGAGGCTACATCAGCTCCTCTCCTGGTTCTCACATCCTCCATAGTCCTTCTGAACGTTTTGTTGATACAAATATGATCAATCTGGTTTTGAGTAGTGTGATCCGGTGAAATCCATGTAGCTTTGTGTATGCGTTTGTGCGGGAATATTGTGCCACCGATGACCAGTTTGTTGAAGGCACATAGGTTTGCAAATCTCTCACCGTTTTCGTTCCTTTCTCCCAGTCCATGTCGTCCCATGATGTCTTCATATCCAGTGTTGTCCATGCCAACCTTGGCATTCAGGTCTCCCATAAGAATCGTCAAATCCTTTGGTGAACATTTCTCGACGATTGACTGCAGCTTTTCGTAGAATTGATCTTTGTCGTCGTCATTGTAGTCATTGGTAGGTGCATAACATTGGATGACGTTCATTGTAATGTCCGCTTTCTTTGTTTTGAAGGATGCTTTAATGATCCTGGGTCCATGAGATTCCCATCCTATCAGTGCCTTTTGTGCATGTTTGGACAGCATCAATGCAACTCCTTGTGTATGTGAAACATTTTCCTCTTCATGACCAGAGTATAACAGCAGTTCCCCTGAAGCTAGTCTCAGTTGTCCTACTTGTGTCCAATGTGTTTCACTGATTCCAAGCACCTCGAGATTGCATCTTTTCATTTCTGCCGCAACTTGAAATAGTCTTCCAGTCTCCCACAATGTACGAACGTTCCATGTACCTAAAAAAATGGTTGCTCTGGTTGTCAGAAGAGGCATCGGCCCCGTGACTTCCGAGGGAACTCGGCTTTCATCACGCGACGTCATGATTCTTCCTCCAACTCCCAGGGCAGAGTTAAAATGGTTTGAATTATTTTTTCTGGTTAGCGTTTTTTTGGCAAGTTAGTTTTTGACGGAATGGGGTCGCCAACCCCATGTCCAACCCTCCTCCTTTACCCGGGCTTGGGACCGGCAGTAGCCCCGAAGGTTCTACTGGCGGAGTTTCTGCTGGAATTGCCAACTAGTAATTAATTTCAAAGTTAGTTCTATATTTGTGATTAGCGTTGACCTCCTGTGATGGCTAATGATTTTTATAAGCAAATGTGAGTAAATGAATCAATAATTTATTAGATTTGACTGCTAAAATTTACTGCTTTCCATAAATTCCAACCCGCATTTTGGGTTAATCAGTTACACTACTGACAAGTAGTCAGTAGTGTGATCATAATCTTATAGTAAAAAGTACAATGTTGGGATAATAATAAAATACACTCAGAAATCTTAGTACTGTTATATATTATTTAATTTTATACAAATTCTATCTATTCTAATGATTAGCTTGAATGTCATATTGAACAATTACGTGAATTACGAATAAAATGGGAGAATTATGTTAAAGAACGTGATACATTTGGTCGTTGGTTATCTGAACGTCAAACAGCTTGTCATCATTTGTTGGAATTGAGATCAAAATCAACACAACCCGAAGATGAAGAGAGTAGAGCACTTGAAGTAAGATTTCTTTTTTGCATGGAAAAATTCTCTAACACTTACCCTAGTAAATGATTTGAAGATCAAAGTTAGCAGTAAAACTATTCATTTCTAATATGAGACTAGTCATTGATGTAACTCGCTGCCCTGATAAGTGAATGAATCTATAGCTTTTAATATCGACTTCAGAAGGAACTGTCGGTCTATTGAAAATCTTTAACATAAGATAAATATTAATCATGAACTTCACTTCAGACATTCAGTTAAATGTATAAAAATGAAACCACTCATTGTTATACCACCATCATAAACATGGAAGCACTGAAAGACGGTCGTTTTGTCCTGGTATGGGACTTAACAGTGGTAGCGCGCATCTACGACTCCTACTATTCACAGGATTCGAATCCAGGACCTTGTGTCTTGTGCGCGAACGTCTAAATTCTGGACTACATGATGTACTCACTAGTGACTAGCTTCGTGAAGAAATTCTTGTAATTCTAACGAGAAGCTGTGACCAGCGGAGTTCAACCATGTCGAGTGTAAGCAGTGACTACGGAAGACGATGGGTGAGGTCTTGCGAAATCCCTGGATTGATCAGAATTAGACATTAACACTGATGGATGCCAGCCCAGTGGTCAAAAGTTTAGACGATCGCAGGCAAGACCGGACGTCCTGATTTCGAATCCTGTGAGTAGCAGGAGTCATGGATGCGTACTGCCACTGATGAGTTTCATACCAGGACGAAACGGCCGTCTTTTAGTGCTTCAATGTTTATAATGGTGATCTAACAATGATTGTTTGATGATTTCGATCTGTAAAAACACTGATCGAAAAATTGTATAATAGGTATGAGAGTAAAGTAATTCAGTAGGAGAGTTATCATTCATAAAAGAAGTTAGTTAATAAAATGCCTTCTGGAATATTAGTTTCTAACTATCATTTCGTAACACTGATCAGTCAAAGTTAGTCAGCTACAACGTAGGATTTCTTACGTACGCACATCGGTTCAAGTTGTCATACCATATTAGCACACATAAATCGAATCGTCAATTTGAATCCCATAGTAGTGAGAATGTTAGCAGTAATGGAGAAGATTAGGGTTCGAAGATATGATTCAAGAAGCATGACCCTGAGGAATCAATTAAAAAAAAAATAGAAAGAGAGGAACTCAGAAGATTAGAATTTTAGAGGACACAAATAATGAATGCACCTTCGCTATTGCAAACGATATCGAGCCATGTCATTCAAGGTCTCTAACCATCGCTTACTATCAACCGACCGATCGACCGACCTTAGCTGCTACCTTGACCTTGTTAATCGTGATGACCCGACATATGTTCCTCCATATCATACCATGCAAAACAGGTCGATTGGAGAACGGTAAGATTAATAGCAGCAACGAAAGGCCTGAGGGTGAAGTCGTAGTAGAGCTGACTGTAGAGGGTTTTGATAGCAGTTAGCTGTTCCTCTCGGACAAGCAACATCTGCAGTGATGTTGCCTTCTCACACAGAAGGCAGTGGTTAGGAAAGGTCAACCCTGAAAATGTGACACCTCATCTTATTATTCACGAGATTCACTATAAATTGACAAGATTTCATCATAAATTTTAATTTATGTCTCTGTTTAGTTTATACAAAAATTTCCAACTATTTATCAGGTAAGATATATGTGTATATACTTATTATTTTTACCAAATCAATGCTTTCTATGTGCAGCTAACTAAAATCAATATTTATACATATAAATACTATACTACTCATATTCATCACATTGATAATATGCTTTAAATGATTTAGAAAACAGAATAAAAATTGCACAACATTTTCAATTACTGATATAAATATATATTGCGCTTATTAATTAATGCTCATACTGCTTTGCACTCTGTCTGCGCTCATCATCGTTAAAAGCTGTAATTTCCATCTTTTTTTTTGTAAATGCTGTTTCATGTATTTATATCTTGTCATCCGAGGTTGATCTTGGTAATTTTTATTGCAGAAATTAGGAAGCTGTGAATCTGTAACTAGGTGATCACTAGTGAGTGGCTTCGTAAAGAAAATTCTCGGAGTTCTAGTTGAGAAGACGTGACCAATGGAGTTCAACCCTGACGGATGTAGGCAGTAACTACCGAAGACAAATAGGTGAGGTAGCGCGAAATCTCTAGATCAATCAAAGTTAGACATTAACACAGTCGGATGCCGGCCCAGTGGTCCGGAGGTTAGGTGTAAACACTCAAGACAGAAGGTCCTGAGTTCGAATCCTGTGATTAGCAGGCATTGTGAATGCTCGCTGCTGATGAGTCTCACACCAGAACGAAACGGCCGAGCAGTGATTACAGGTTTCTAATAGTGGTCTAACAATGGTTGATTCAATATTGTTGGGGACGTTAGATCCGCAGAACTCATTTGACAGATCTTAATTTTGTAATTTTATTCTGAAATTCTGAACTTCCATGTTTTCGCGCCAGTCGAGCTTCAGCTCATATTCCCCCCTCAGAAAATCCGTGACTGTCATTAGTTGATGGATTAATTTAGTACGCTTTTTTTGTGGCTCTTCCAAGGACGTTTCTATCGTGTATAAATAAGCTCGATTTTTGTGCTTAGACACCTCGTATTTTCTGGGTCCTTGAAGGATACACTTTCTACGCCTTGTCAGGATTTCTTGAAATAGTTAGCTGGGTCGGGGACAAACGGATTTGAATAGCCTGTCATATCACTGAGTCATTGTTTTTGTCCCGTTTTCCGAGTAACGTGTACTCGTAATAGCATTCAAGCATATCAGTAGACGAGCACAGCAAATATAAAATAATGATCTGCATATCACTATAATGCAAAATTATAGTCAGACGATAATGTCATACATGAGATAAGCGAAGCAAGTGTACCCACACACATACTCGGAGGAAAAACGACCAAGATATGAACGAACGATTGACAAGGTCAAAAGATGAATTGATAATAACTCGGAAAGAAGCTATGAATTTGTATTTCATATTTTTCAACATCAGTTTAGTGGTGGTATTTTAAAAGATTTTCATACTGACCGAATTCAGCATCTCCTTTAACAAGCAAAATCACATGAAAATGAATTTATTGATATTGAACCAGCTGACTTTGAGATGAAATCATAAATACTACAAGTGTTCCTATCGAATACAATTTTAAGGGAGATGAGTAAATAATATTTCAGAAAATTTATGAAACAAGAACAAACTACTTAGAGTAGTTAGTTGATAATCACAGGATCATAGTAGGACATCAGTTGGATAAGCGTTATATTCAAACATTACAATAGAAATGTACATTCAGGGAAATTAAAACTTACTGTTTACGGGATCCACTGCTCAAAGCGGCCACTTGCAAGTGCTAGTAATTATTTTTTTTCTGATATTAAATTTAAGGTGTAAATTGATCAATCTATGTCAAGGTTCAGTTAAGTGAACCTGTATTTGAAACGTTCCTTTGGTGTTTGTATTCAGACCAGTCTATAAATTCGTGTATTCATTAGTTCCACTCCTCTTGTGGAACAACTCGCATACGACCTACATTTAAGCAGGTTCGTCAGTGAATTTCCGAACGCCAGGCCAGTTGAATGAGTCATGAATAGTAGCGGATTCGTCAGAGCTTCATTTCTGTTCATTTGACTAATATAGATTATCAAGTGAACTTCAATTATCAGATTGTATTAGATATACCACATAGTTTGAGTTTGTGCACATACTGCTGAAAAGAGATACTCCCCCTACTACTACTCAGGTCTCATATAGTCGAAAAATGAATATTTCGGAACAGCGAAAAAATCACTACCGGATATGCGACAAAGTTTATTAGGAGTGTCTGGGCCTGTTCGCATTAGGCCGGGATGCATCTTCTGCCATCTCACGCCATATTTGTGTACACCATATGCTATGCTGATATATAGAGCTGAATGTTTCCTATGAGACCAGAGGTTCACTGTGAACATTGTGGATCGATTGGCATCGCATTGGTTAGCATCGCTAACAGTCCATATACAAAACTGGTTAGCAGGGCGACCGATTTCATTGATACTAGTGGTTGTTTTGCAACATTCCCGCGGGTTATTGTCATTAGGTTGCTGTATTGGATATCACCGTTGCTAAGCGGGATAGGTCGAAATGGTCAGTTCATGCAGTGCATATTGACTGACGAAGCAATCATGGATCGGAAATAATCACCATATATTTACTAGTGTATATAAGTGTTGTGAATGATCCACCAGGGTATCAGGTACCTTTATGGTTGCACCATGGGACTGAGCCGAGCTGTTCATGTCGAAATGCGAACACGTGAGCAGTCTCTTTGGTTCTCTTGAAAACCATCGTAAAATTGCCCTTGATAATAGAGGGTTATTCTTTTATATAATAAACTGCTGAAAAAGTCAGCATTTGTAGAAAGAAATTTAGCCAATCAGCTTAAAAGAGATTTATAAATATGGAATGATATTCTTGAAAGAAATAAAAGGTGATCGATGATTATTTTCCGCATTTCTTTTGAAAAAATGTTTTTGCATTCCGTATTTGTACATAATTGTAATGTTCAACCATTTACTCTAACGTAACCATGATTAATATTCGGCTTGGAATGAAAAAATATTTTGTCTTTGCTCTTATTCAATGTTATGCAGTTTGTAAAAACGTTTTATCTGTATGCTTGAAGCCATTTTTACAACTAATTGTTTTGAACCTTGTTGTCACCTCATCATTCTTCTTCTAATTACTTGGTTAATAATTCAAGTTTATTTGCGAGGAAACTGGTGAAATTTTAAATGATGCTTGCGTTTTTTCTGCCAAAATTTCAAAGTAAGGAGAGCATTTATCGTCTTATAAAGGGTAGTGAATGTTGATGAATGCCGAGAGATAGTTGACGTAAAAGCATGGTGAAAAACCATGACCAGTGGAGTTCCACTATTTCGAGCAAGTATCATTGATAAAGACAGAATGTTAAGAAATTGATTGAAGTGAAGACTGTAAACAATTGGGTACTAGCAAAGTGGTTTGAAAATAAGACGTTCCTTGTGAAACTTAAAGTTCGTGAATTCAGTTATTGACTTGATCACGTTTGCACATTGTTGATGAGTCCAATGCTTTCGGTTATCATTTGTTGTCTAATAAAAGTCGACCAGTTATGTAAAACTGTAAAAGGAATTTAAAATTGACTGGTGGATTTATTAAGAATAGAAATTTTAATTGACTTCGTCTCACCTGTGTAGAACCCTACTGGGATATATTCTCATATCTGTATTAGGTGGAAGAGATATCTACTGCCCATGTATCTTATTTCACAAGAACAATTAAACTGTTTAGTGTGCATGCAGTCGATTAGATGGAGACGGAATACTATACCTGGACCAGCGTCAGAGCTTGTATCCATTAAAGATACAAAGGCACATTTCAGCGTGCTTCGACAGATGTATGAGGAGTGGAGTTAAATGTTCCTAGCCGCTTATGTAGAGTTGAAGTCGTATTTACCTCCATTGAACTACAGTTACGCTTTAGTATAACCCTGGAATCATCAATCAATCATTGTTAGACCACCATTAGAAACCCGCAAGCAATGGACAGTCATGTCGTCCTATTATGGGACTCATCAGCATTATATATGTTAAGTGAAACGGAATTGTTTTCAATAATTCTTATACACCACTAGCTCTTCAGATAATTTATTCAATGCTCAGTGAAATGAAAATTACAGATTTACTCAGTAAAATTGGAAAACCATATCGTCAATTGTTAATTTGCAAAATATCAGTTCATCATATCGAACTGGACTGTTCCTGTTGCAAAACATCAACAATCCATTGTCACTATTCATGCGTTTCATACAAATTCCATTGTATTCTGACTCTTCGTTTCTTGATCTTCCCCCATCTTCTGCTGCCAGACATTACGTTGACTGACACTCGCGTCGTATACTACTTATAAGTAGCTCGCACCACAGTAGCACTGGACGGCAATTTCATCCTTATATGCAAATAGTCATTAGTGTACAATCCACAAATCCCAGTACTCATAGGAATCGAACCCAGGACCTTCAGGGGTTCAACGCTTCCAGATTTGTAATGATGGTCTATAGTGTGCCGATTTACTGCGTGTTCTTAAGCTCGGTAATTATTAGCTCGTCCACACAATCGTTACTAACTAGCGTCTGACGGTTTATAAATCAGAAGGTGAACTCGTAGTGATGAATACGTTTAGTTGGGACACACCACAAAGCGAAGCGGAGAAGCAGTGAATAAAACGAGTGAAGCGACGTGAATTGGAGAAGCGCTATTGAGCCAACTCCTAGGATTACAATGCAAACGAATGGGCGAAAGAAGTGAATGAACAGGAGAAGCACGTTGGAAAAGGCTAATGAACCAACTCCATGAGATAGAGCATGAACTAAGAATGTATACTCAGATAAAATAAGACAGACATGTGATCAACGAGATAGGCATGCACACACATGAATAAAAGTGACGAATAGTTGACAAGGTCAAATGACAAGTGGAACACGTCATGTGAGCTACTCATACAAACCAGACAATAGTAAGAAGGAATGGTACGTATAAATTGTTGTGGTGGTGTTTCGTTCTCTGAGCTGAAGTTCGTGCTGATGATGTTGTTCAGAAGAACAATGAAAGCTCCACAACCAAAACAACCAGCTCAGAGAACGAAACACTACCACAATCATCCACCTGAGCTACAAGTTTTCTCCACCATCTCAAAAAACATATAAATTGTTGCAATAAGAATGGCTTAGTTAAATAAATTAATCGAAAGGGCTTAACCAAGTTAGGTAGATGTAAGCGAACTGGAATGTGTGTGGAGGCAGTACAGGTCTACCACATTGATCATTGATTCATGATTTCAAAAGTAACTCAACACTCTTCACAACTGTTATAGTCTAGAGTTCATTCTGATAAATGGTAACTTTAAAATCTAATTTTTTCTTATTGTAAACTTATCGTAATCACTGTAAGAAATTTCATTGATTTCATTTAAATTTTCTTATTCTTATTATCAGGATTTTCTGCATAGTTTAGAAGAGAAACAATATCAAATCAATGAATTGACAAAAATGCATCAAGAACTTGTTCAACATAATACACAAATCATTGATCCACTATTAGATAGATTAAGCACAGAATTTAAAAATCTACTCAACCAAACAACATCAAGAATACGTCGAGTGGAGAAAGCAAAGAATGAGCGGAAAAGTGTTGAGGAAGTAAGTTCCACTTTATTTTCATTTTATTACCGAGATTTAATCAGAAAAATACAGTTTCCCGTAGTTTCAAGGTCACTGAATGAAGTCGCATTCAATATGATTTGTTTTAAAGTGCTTAACCTTTGGAAAGAGTTAAACGAATAATCCTAGTAAGATTGTTAGGAGATTCTATGTAGGAATCTGTTACGCCTGCACGTGAACGCGTCAACTTGATATGCTTGAACTATTACGAGCTTACCCCTTAGTCGGAAAACGAGAACGAGGATCGAGGATCCGGTGACACGACATACTAATCAAATCCGATTATCCCAACCCCGATATTTCGTAAAAATAAGAAGACATGATATGAAGTAGAACTTGTATTCTATAAGCATCCAGAAAGTACGAGGTCCAAGTCCAGAAGAGAATCAGCATCCCGGACCGAGTCCTGATCCTGGTCGTGGTCATAAAATGTTACAGATAATGTGTATTTATACATTTTGGTCGAATGAGAAACAGCATCGAATTCTGTGGCATTGACAGTTAAGACGACCAATAGGAAGTAACATTTGAAGTGACATTGATAGTCAGGACAACCAATAAGAAAGAACATTTGAAATGACACTGACAGTCCGGATGACAAATGAGAGACAACATTGAAGTATTTGACTTTGACAGTGAAAACGACCATATTTTTGACCAATAGAAATCGACCAATAGGATTCGATCCATAATTCTCTTAGGATTTTGGATGAATATCCTTACAGAATTGACACACTAACAACCAATGTCTCCAGCTTACGTATGATTATGTATACTAAAGTTTTATACAAATGAAACTGGTATTCTATGTGTGACTGTGGTCACTTACCATAGAAAATCGATATGATATATATATATATATATTAGCGTGTAGAAATGTGTAATCGATTGTGTTGCTTGATATGTTGATAGATGACAGACTATTTACTGATAAAATTGTTTCATAATGATTCCATTTAACAAAAATTTCATTCTATGTATAATATATGTTGGATGCGTAAGATTCCATGGCGGGCTCATCATTTATGTGGTGTGAGTTAGATTTGATGTCGAGCTTACCAATTTGTAACAGTTCACTACTGAACTTCACTGTGGACGAATCATCGAGTATGTGATGAAATAAATCCTTCTTTCCACTTCCGTATAGTATACTTAGGCTAACCGCGTTTGTGTGACGGTAGTAATAAAAAGGGCCAAATATGGTTTCTCCGATGAATTTATTTCATGTAATCCATTTATCCAGACAAACGTGCAAAGGAAAGCGTACAAGCGATACACGAAGCACATTGGAGAAGGCTAGTGAGTCAACTCAGAATAGATGAAGCATGACTAAGAATTTATAAATTCAAAACAGTGGTTCCCTTTGATAAATTTGAACAGAGAAATGAGAAGACATATTTTGTGAGATAGTAAGTACCATTTCGTGCTTCCTCGTCAGTCACATACAAGCAACATGTTATTTGTGTAAATACAGTTTTGGAGATAAGGTCAAAATTTCTGATTTAGCATGACATTCACTCACCAGAACCATGGTAAACAAAGGTCAACACACAGTTGTTTTTGAACACATAAAGTTGGACTTTTCCGACCAATCAAGATAGCTTCAAGTAGTTTCAGTGTATGTGGGTTTTGATGACATGTCACAACTTTAAAGGCTGATTATGGGTCAATTTGATGGCCACTCATCATTAGATGTCTTGCAATGGACGAGGCTGTGTTTCTTGATCGATTTTGAGATGACGGTCTAGGTTGATGAATCATGGATTTGATTATGGATTTGACCTTATCTTCAAAACTGTATTTACACAAATAACATGTTGCTTGTATGTGACTGACGAGAAAGCACGAAATGGTACTATCTCACAAAATATGTCTTCTTATTTCTCTATGAGTTCCAATGGTACACATAAGTTGTTGCTATACAAAAAATGGCTTAGTTAAATAAGTTGATCTAAAGGCTTACTTAACCAAATTAAATGTAACAGCGAAGTCAAATATATATATGTAAAGGCACTACATATATACATTATTTCCTAACCTCTTATTGAATTCTTTTATATTTAAACTACAAAAACATTCTCATTCATTACAAGGAGATAATTTTGCCGAAATTTATGCAAACCTATACAACTTATCCAGTGGATCAATATTATCACTACAATGAATTCCTATCACATTCCTATCACAATATGAATGAACAGCCGCCTTCTCCTCCTCCTCCTCCTCCTGCTATGGAGTATGGATTAAGAAATAGTGGTGGAAATAGAGGCATAGCTAGATTACTTTGGCCATATGATCATAGACGTGTAAATAATTATCATTGCGCATCCAAATTTAGTGTTTGTCTCATGAATTCTAGTTTGTGTTTGCCCGTTTGTTTGTTTAGTTGTGTTTCTGTGTTTCCCTGCATGGAACTAATCTGATTGATTTAGATTGCAAAAATTAACAACACATTTTCATTTTTGAAACCATGAACCGATCAATGTTAGACTGCCATTAGAAACCTGGAAGCACTGGACGGCCGTTTCGTCCTAGTATGGAACTCCTCAGCAGGGTACAGGAGTCGTGGATGCGCACTGCTGAGGAGTCCCATACCAGGATGAAACGGCCGTCCAGTGCTTCCAGGTTTCTAATGGTGGTCTAACATTGATCGGTTCATGGTTTCAAAAAATGTGTAGCTTAACAATCTTCACAACTCCGTAATGCAAATTACCTGTGCTCACTAGTGAGCACTAGCTTCGTGAGGAATCTTCTCCGAGTTCTAGTGGGAAGACGTGACCAGTGAAGTTCAACCTGTTCGGGTGTAGACAGTAACTACCGAAGACTGTGTATGAGGTTGCGCAACTCCGTGAATTTGATCAGGTTAGACATTAACACCGCTAGATACCGGCTCAATGGTCCAGTGGTTAGGCGTTCGCGCGCAGTACCGAAGGTCCCGGGTTCGAACGCTGCGGGGTGCAGGAGTCGTGGATGCGCACCGCTGAGAAGTCCCATGTCAGGACAAAACGGCCATCGTCCAGTGCTTCCAGGTTTCTAATGGTGCTCTGTCTAACATTGATCATCGATTCATGGTTTCAAAAAAAATGTGAAACTTATTATAAGTCAAAAAAATAACATTGAAATAGAGATTATGTTACTAACTACACATCATAGGTGGAAAAGTACAAGTTGATAGTAAGAAGACAAGTGTACTGCTAGTGGTATTGAGAAGACTGAGGCAGGCTCGATAGGTTGTACTCATCAACTTTACACTCGTAGTCAATTAAAAACGAAAACATTACATTGAACACACTCTATTTGCACACCATCTTTGAGTCGTGACTTCCAACGCTCCAGCCTTCTTCCATTCCTGCTGCTGCTTCCTTTACTTCCTGTTGATACTGCTCCATTTACTTCTTGCTTTTGCTCAATTTGCTTTCCGTTTTCCTCTAGTGATCGTGAGAGTTCTTCTTTCATGTCCCTTCTTTTACTACTTATATCGTTCGTATAAGTAGCACACACCACAGTATGAATACATGATTTCAATGAAAAAAAAAACGACAATCACCGTAACTCTTTAATGACTATCATAAATTTGTGCTCACTACTGACTGGTTTTGTGAGAAAAAATTCTTGGAGTTCTAATGATAAAGCGTGATCAGTGGAGTTCAATCCTGATCAGAATTAGACATTAACATTGTCTGATGCTGTCTCAATGATCTAAAGGTTAAGCGTTCGCGCACAAGACCGAAAGTCCTGGGTTCGATTGCTGCGAGTAGCGGTAGTCATGAACGCACACTGCCACTGATGAGTCCGACACGAGGACGAAACAGCTGTATTTCAGTGCTTCCAGATTTCTAATGGTGATCTAACTATGATTGGATTCATGATTTCAATGAAGAAAACGACAAGTTTTTATCAAAAGTTCAACATTGGAAATTGGCCCTATCGCTGTCCCTTTCTTAGTTGGATGTAACTTAATAAATGCATTTGAACTAGTTTTGCATTGATTAGTTTAACTTATGGGAGGTGTTGTAACTCTTGCTTAAGTAATTCCCAGCTAATTCCTATTACTTAGTATTCTCTGCCCACAATACACTGGACAAGTCCCAAAGAATCAAAAACACGGTGGGACAGGATGAGATTATATTCCAAACAGCAAGGTTAAGTGGAAATACGGAGCCGAAGGAGAAGACAACATAGATACAACGTTAGTTTCTTTATAGCATTTACATGAGAAGCTTCTGGGCTGTAATTCACGTGATCGGCTGAATTAGATTTAGCCAATCAGCATGCAGCTAACAACACGAGAATCGTCTACCCTGTTCTCCAAGAATCGATCAGGCGCTGATTGGATAGGAAATCAGCCAATCAGCGCGCAGCTGACGCAGTCATGCTTTAATTCCATCTATGTCCCACTAACAGGTGGTTTGAATTATTTTTTCTGGCGAGTTAGTTTTCTACAGGATATGGTGACTAACCTTATCGCCAACTGTCTCTCTACTTTATCCCGGCTTGGGGCCGGCAATAGCCTCACAGGGGCTATCATCGATGTTACAAGGTAGCCATTGTTTATAACAAATTTTATAAACGGATCTGTATGTCAACAATGAAGGAAACTGAACTCGATGATAACATTTTGGTTATTTTGAATAGTCTGGATTGGCAAATGCTACTACAACTCAGGATATCAACACTAGGGACCAAAGACAACGACTGAACTATGGGACTCTATGTTACGCCTACACGTAAACACGTCCACTTGATATACTTGAACTATTAAGAGTTTACCTAGTCGGAAAACGAGTACGAGGATCGAGGATCCGGTGACACGACATACTACTCAAATCTGATTATCTCGATCCTCATATTTAGTAAAAGTAAGAAGACATGATATGAAGTAGAATCTGTATTCTACAAGCGTCCAGAAAGTACGAGGTCCGAATCCAGAAGAGAATCAGGATCCCGGACTAGGAATCCCGGACCGGGTCCTGGTTCTGGTCGTGGTCATAAAATGTTACAGATAATGTGTATTTATGCATTTCGGTAGAATAGGAAACAGCATCGAATTCTGTGACATTGACAGTTAAGACGACCAATAAGAAGCAACATTTGAAGTGACATTGATAGTCAGGACAACCAATAAGAAACAATATTGGAGCGTGTGACATTGATATCTAGGACGACCATAAATTGACCAGTAGTAATTAACCAATAGGAATTGACCAATAATTCTCTTAGGATATTGGATGAATATCCTAACACTCTAAAAATATGGTTTTAAATAAAAATCTCTCTGGCCGTTCAACTAAACAGAATAGTATAGTACTGATACATTGTCATTGACACAGAAACCCATTTCGTTGTGTTCAGGATCCATCCAGCCAATGAAACCCTTAAACACGATGAAACATACATCCTGGATTCCACTGTTAGCAACCATCCATCTGTTCAGTGAAACTTGCGACGAATTGGCTATATCGAGATTATACAGACACAATTCACTTATACCTTGCGTATACTGATCGAATTTCAGTACTAAATATCAAAACCTGGGCAATTCATATTCTTACAACTGACTGCACAAGCAAAAGTAGTATTGATAAATACATACATTATCAATGTGCAAATACTTGAGATTGACTGTAAACTTTACATTGATATAAAAATATGAAAATGTGCTAACTTTTAAATTTATTCTTTTACAACAGAAGTTATTATTACCATTTAACAAACCAAATTTAAAATAACTTAGTGTATGCATTAGTTATTTATAAGATTTGTAAACTAAAATGTAAATACATTATTATATAAATGGGTGATTAATTATTTTTCATTGTTGTTTTATGAAGATTATAGGGTGTTGTTGAAATTATGAATCGATCATAGTTAGACTGCCATTAAAAGATACTTGTAAGCATTGGACAGTCGTTTCATCCTAGCACTGGACTCATAAACAGGTTGCGCTATATCAGGGATTGATTAAAGTTAGACATTAACACCGTTGGATGCTGGCTCATTGGTCCAGAGGTTAAGCGTTTGCGTGCAAGATCGAAGGTCCCGAGTTCGACTCCTGCGAAAAGCTGGTGTTGTGGATGTGCAATTCTGATGAATCACATACTAGGATGAAACAGCCATCTAGTACTTCCAGATTTCTAACAGTAGTCTACCAATGATCGATTCAACATATCAATCATTATTTTTCCATGTTTTCGCATTATTTAGATTGTTCTTTCCACTATTTGTGCATTGTAGTTTGAAGTGAATTCTTATTGGTTCATTTTTTCGATAGTTTTGTTAAATTTTCATTGGCTCTCTATGTGTTATTCTTCTCTCTCGTTTTTATTTCTCTCTTCCTCAATTCACTCGATGCTTAAAAAGTCACATTCTGAATATCGTGGTAAAATACCAATTTTACCAGAGAAAGCAGAAGCACTTGTTCATAGTTCAGCTAAAACATTGAAACATACAAAATTACTTCATGAATTAGCTAAATCGGTGAATCAATTGAAAAATGAAGTGATCACTGGTGAAGTGGATGCACAAAGAAAGTGAGTATCAACTTTTTGAATTAACAGAATGAGATTGTTATTGATTTTATTGACTGAAAGTTTTGAAATGTTTATTTTTGTGCTGTGCAAGAAGATAAAACTTAAGGGAAAGGATGTGATAGGAAATTGTCAACAATGTTGAATCATTAAGAGATACAAAGATCAAGTAACATGCGTTAAAGCCAATTTATAAAATTAGGCCAGTAAAATCATAGAACGTTCTGGTTAACGTTTTTTAGAGAGTTTATTATCGACGGAATAGGGTTACTAACCCTCCGCCCAACCCTCCTCCTTTATCCGGGCTCGGGACAGGCAGTAACCCTTGAAGTGCTCCAGGTGGAGTTATTCATAGAATACAGTGTACAGCTCGGAAACAGATAAACAATCGGGATTTCTCAGATGATTCTAGCTCTTCTATGTCACGTACAACAACAAATGTAGGAGAAGACGGCCAGTGTAGCAACAGCTTCTGGAGAAATAAGACACAAAATGCACCAACCAAATTACATTTGATGGAGGAGCTTTTGTAAGATGTAGAGACCTTTACATACCTCAGCAACATCACTGATAAACAAGATGGATGTGAAGTCAATGTAAAGACACGGATTAGCAAAGCAAGGGCAGAATTTCTACAATTGAAGAGCATCTGCTATTCAAAACAGATGTTTGTCATCTAACATCAATGTTAGAATTTTCAATACAGATATCAAGATAGTTCCTACATATGGGATGGAAACTTGGCGAACAATGAAAGACATCATCCACTAGATACAGGTATTTATTGACAGCTGTTTACACAAGATACTAAGGATCTGTTGACTAGTCACCGTCAGTTGCAAACTACAGTGGAAGAAAATATACCTGATTCCAAATGAGGAAGAAATCACGAAAAAGCACTGGTGGTGGATAGAACTTTCATTATGGAAAGCACCCAATTGCGTCATAAGCCAACCTCTCACTTGGAATCCTCAAGACCAAAGGAGAAGAGAAAGATCAAAGAACGCATTGAGCCGAGAATTGGAAGCAGACATGAAAAGAACGTACAGCGATTGAGTAGAACTGTAAAGAAAGACCCAAGACAGAGTAGATTGGAGAATTCTGGTTGTGGGCCTATGCTCTATGGTGGGTAACAAGAGTAAGTAGGTAAGTAAGCTCATAAAACCTGCGGTCGATAATAAAAGCGGTTGGCTTGTTGGATGTCGTTTACAGATAGAATATGTAATCTTATGAAAGCAAGTGACATATTTGTGACACATTATTTATTTAAAGAAACTATCGGTAAAGTAAGGTTCATACAGGTCATCATTAATCATTTTAACAACCTTCCTTTCATTCTTTCTCATTCAGATGCTCTGTTTAATTATGAAGTCGATATACTGCAAACTTATATGCAATGAATATAGTTATTGTCTTGGCATTTTTACATCGTAATTATATACTATCTGTATGATCCCATTGAGAAACGCTGTTATTAGGAATCGGGTGCTAGGTAAGAATGGCAGATCAATAGACACAGTAGTGACACTTCATCAGTTGAGGTAGTTGGGACATGTGTTGCATATGCCAAACCACCGACTGCCTCGTCGAGCTTTGTTTTGTAGTGTAGGAATAAGTTGGAAGAAAGTTAGGGGCGGCCAAACCAAAACATGGCAGAAATCCATGAAGTCATTGACGAGTGGAATTAGCCATGTCGGTAATTGTCGACTACCTGGTTGGGGTTGGTGAGATGATAATAATTGATGGTTCGAGACCTTGAATGACATGGTTCAAAATCGTTTGCAATGGCGCCGGTGCATTTATTCTCTGTGTTCTCTTAAATCCTAATCTTCTGAGTTCTTCGGCACCTCTAGTTTTGACTTTGTAAACTTTTCTGATTTAATCATACTTTTTGAATAATATCTTCTAATCCTCACCTCTCCGACTACTTCTAATACCTTTACTACCTCTTCTACTATTGGATTTGAATTGACAATTACATCTCTGTGTTGATGTGGTATGGCAACATGAACTGATGTACTTACGTACGAAGTTCTACGTTGCATCCGACTGACTGACTGACATTGACTTGTATTCTCTAAGTGTATTATTCTATTTCAACAATTTAGATAAAAATTTATTGTTCATTGACAATTCAACATCAACAATTGTCTTTCTTAATCAAGTTAGGCACTTATTAAACTGCTTGATTAAGAGAACACTCAGGTAATTTATTTCCAATACTTCATTGTACAACAAAATTCAAAAAGTACACTAGTCAAGTCAAAAAACAAGCTCTTGTTTAACATTTCTCTCTCTATTAAACTATTCATGCATCATCTAACTTTTCTTTTTATATGCTAATTTTCTTATTTTCCGGTAAATCATAATCATGGGTAAATTGTTTGTTGTTGTTGTGTTTGTTGTATTTTACTCTCTGCTGCATGCAACATTTTAAATTTCATTGAAACATTGATCATTTGAATTTGTAAATGTTGTAGTTCATTGATTTTAAAACAACATATCAAAATGTTGGCAGCTAATCAACATTATCATAATCATAATCATCATTAAAATAGCTATTTTAATATTATTCAGTCATTTATGTTGTTGAAATTAATGCTTTTTTTCTTACTGTTGTTCAACTAATTATTTGTGGTAATATTAATTTTGTTTTACTGAACTAATTTGTTTAAATATATGTAAATATTCATGTGTACAATTCAAAAAAATTGTTTACGCGGTTTTTTCAAATGAAATATAAAAAAAGGAACAATAAAATGTTGGGATTATTTTATTACTATTCTTATTATTATTATTATTATTTTTTAATTGAAATAAACTAGTTACTTGATCGATCAAAGATATTATTCGGTTCCTTCAAATACACCGATTCCTTCAATCAACATTGTACAACAAACAATGCCAGCAGAATCAATTCGAAAAAATCTACCGCCACTTTATCATTATCATAATTATTATTATAATTATCCAGAAATTCAATTAACTAACCCTAATCAGTCAACTAGCATGAATCGATTGCAAAAAGTTTCACTTGATGATTTACCTAATTGGTGTATAGATGATGTGAAAAATCCGCCATATCGATATGATAATTTTAAACAAACCGCTGGTTTTTCATCATCAGCATCAGCATCAGCATCATCATTATCTCATCAGTTTAAACATGATCTAGTTCAATCGAATACAACTAAATCTTGTACATATTCACAAAGAAAAGATGGATCACTTCATGAAAAGTAAGTTATTTTCTTTTCAAAAAAAGATTATTGTTTCAATATTGTTGTTGTGTTTTGAGAATTTTTGTAGATTAAGTTATGATTTTAATGTTTATGGCCTTATTAGTTAGTTTGATAGCTTTGTAAAGGGTATGCTGAATTGGAAACACTTATTATTATAAACAGTTATAACTATAACTATTCTATTGAACCCATTTTTGTTTAACTGTACTAGGGACCATAACTCTCGCGCACCAAGCGTGTTACTGTCATTGTTCATTTATCCTCGGTAGTTGTTAGCTGCTGTTTTATTTCGTTCGTGATATCTCTTTTCGATATCACGAGACCATGAATCAATACACCCTGTCATCCAGTCATACTCTTCCTTCTGATTTCTGGATTTAAAGAGATTTTACTTGGTGATCTCGCAACTAGTAGTTTCAATCTAGTCATTAAAAACTAATTTTTCCTATTTACGATATTCCTCTCTGGATACTGTTGTCAGGATCAGTTCCAATGAAATACCGTCTTTAGGGCGATTTTCAGTCGAATCAACTAGTTGTCGGCATCAGTGTATTTCTTTTACACAGACGAGACTTAACATTGATAATAACTGTCGTTATAGTGTCAGTGTTCAGCTTGTGATTGATTGAAAATCCATCAATCCAGATTCTCTGGTTGATAAATAAGACTAAATGCAAATATGTAACAAGAAAGTTACCAAGGTAATAACTACTCCATGTATGTACAACATATATAAAATGATAAAATGGCCATTTCATTGAATCGTATGTTGTTGTATATTGGAGTGAAACATGGCCAGTCAGAGTAGAAGATATTCGTAGGTTACTGGTTTTCGATCATAGGTGTCTTCAAAGCATTGCTCGTATGTCCTGGGACAACCGAGTGAGCAATGCTGCTGTAGCGTGTCAATTTACTGCGTATTCTTAAGCTCGGTAATTATCTCGTCCAGACAATCGTTACTAACTAGCGTCTGACGGTTTATAAATCAGAAAGTGAACTCATAGTGATGAATACGTTTATTTGGGACACACCACAACGAAACGGAGAAGCAATGTGGAGAAGGTTAATGAGCCAACTCCTAGGATTACAATGCGAACGAATGAGCGAAGGAAGCGTTGTCGAGAAGGCTAGTGAGCCAAATCAAAGAGATAGATCGTGACTAAGAATATATGGTCAGACAAATATACGACAGACATGCGACAAGCGAAATAGGCACACATGAATAAAAGCAACGAATGGTTTACAAGGTCAGATGACAAGTGGGACACGTCATGTGAGCTCATACAAACCAGAAAATAGTAAGAACGAATGGTACATATAAATTGTTGCAATACAAATGGCTACTTGGTTAAATAAATTAATCGAAAGGGCTTAACCAAATTAGATGTAAGCGAACTGGAATATTTGTGGAGGCACTACACTGCCATTAGGAAGCGAGTTCTAGGTAAGGATGGCATATCAATAGATGAAGTATTGAAACTTCATCAGTTGAGGTGGTTGGGACATGTGTTGCGTATGTCTAACCACCGACTGCCTCGAAGAGCTTTGTTTTGTAGTTTAAGGAATAGGTTAGAAGAAAGTTAGGGGCGGCCAAACGAAAACATGGCAGAAATCCATGAATTCACTGACAAGTGGACTGAGTCATGTCGGTAGGTGTCGACTACCTGGTTGAGGTCCGCGAGATGTTAACAATCGATGGTTAAAGACCCTGAATGACATGGTTCAAAACCGTTTGCAATCGCGCAAGTGCATCTATTCTTTGTGTTCTCTCAAATCCTGAACTTTTTAATTCTTCATCACTGTATTTTTATCTTTTTAAGTCTATTTCAATAGATTCTACTTCTTGAATAATATTTTTTAATCCTAACCTCTTCAAATACTGCTAATACCTTTGCTACCTCTACTACTATTGGATTTGAAATAGATTAGATAACTACCCAATATAGTATGACATCCCATTTAGTAGATGGGATGACGGTTCGTTGAGTAGAAAACGTTTATAGAAAGAGCTGCTCAACTTAACACTATACACACTTCAATAATTCTACACTCATCTACTACGAAAGCAATTCGATTCGATATTTCACAAGTTGAACAAACAAGATCTCAGATGATACTACTGAAGGGTTCGAGTTTACTAACAACATGCTGGCGGAGATCTGTTACGTGGGAAGTTCTTTGAGGAATTTCATGGGTACACGGAGAAAAATAAGTTATAGGTGGTGATTACTCGAAAGAAACACCGATTGTTAAAGATACAATTCAACAACCATGTAGCTAACAATACCGTCCATGATAGATTAGTGACAGCAGTGAATGGGGCATTCTAACAGATCAGTGATATATATGTATTCAAACAGTGAATAAGTTACCGCAGTGCATTTGAAGATCCAACTGCTTCTTCAGCGAAAGCTATCTTGAACGTACTATCAAGTAACTTAATTAACAAATGTGTGTAAATATCCCAGCTTTGTTTGGAAGTGGCCAGAAAAGGATGGTACGCAACTCTAGCCTGGCACACCTGGTTGACAGTGGTCGTATAGTAAATTAAACGAAACCGTTTCAAGTGATCCATCGTATACCTTTATCATTCTCTAACGGTTTTTAATCGCATCTCCTGATCTTACAACCCTATTTTGTGTTTTCGGAAGGAAATCTTGACACCTTCATGGCCGGATATGACTTGACCAACGATATTATTGCTTATTTCACATCCTGCCTTTATTTGTAGGTTTTCATCTCTTTCCGTTCATAATCTTCACCATCTGATTGTTTGCATGCTTATCACATAATTTCAATCATGTTTTGTGACTACTGTTTTCAATTATGTTTATGTTTGGTCAACTACTTTCAGTGTTGGACTATTAGCTAAAACTCTTGTTATTTTTATTGCTCTTATCATTATTATCGGTACACTTAACTTCTTGATATGAGTTTGTACTGGCTCGTAAGTTACCTTGATTTAACATTTTTCACGTAAATATTCTGGTATATTAGTGTAAAACCTGATAACGATCGAATTGAAAACAAAAAGTAAGTCTTGCATTGGCAATTTGGATCTGCTCATTGATAGTTAGGACTGCAATTGTTCAGTCTCATTCGTCATATATCCATCCTGTGTGGATTACATCAGTATAGTCATTATGACACAGGTTTTCATAGAATAGATGGATTGTGGCTAGCAGTGGAATATACGTCACGACTCATCAGCTGAATATAATTGCCATATCCCAGAGTTGATGTTCACACTCTGACAGACTGGAAGCCAGTACCGTTCACTTTAAATGCCGTCGTGTTATCCACTTAGCTACTGAATCCAGACAACCACTGGCTTGTTCGGTTAGGTGGGTGAAGTTAAATTCATGTTTACTGGTAATTTGAATCTTAATAAAACTGGATAGTATTGAAAATTATTACCATTCAGTAATCTGATAACTATATATGTTAATCTGTGAGAAGTCTTAAGATGAATTCTCAAATTTATTATCGGTAATCACACTGATATAATCCAACCATTTATTGCCCATAACGTTAGATGATTGATTGCCACACATGTCTTTGAGTGAATGATGCTTGTAATATAAGCGCTTGAATTGCAACTCACTGATTTAAGCGGAAGGTTTCTTTGCTGGTTTCTCTGTATAATCGTAAGTACTCACTAGGAATTTTCAATCCAGAATGAAATAGCCATTCAATGCCCTCTAGTTATCAATGGTTCTATATAACTGATAATAAGTCTGTGATAATATCTGTTCACAATCAAAATATCGTAGTCAGAAATGAGCTGAGCGGGTGGATGGGCTCTTTCAGTAGTAAATGGCTTAGCTCCATCCTTATCATTGGAATTCATTGAATCTGTACTAATTTGTTTACAGTTCATCTGGAAGTTCTATCGAGTATGAGCTTGTAGTGCCTCCACAAATATTCCAGTTCGCTTACATCTAACTTGGTTAAGCCCTTTCGATTAATTTATTTAACCAAGCCATTTGTATTGCAACAACTCATATGTACCATTGGTATTTTTTATTATCTGCTTTGTATGAGCTTGTACGACTGAGCATTGTTTACGCCTACGCGCTTTTTCATCCTTTTCGCTTTAATGTTAATCTCTTAATTTCCCCATGAACTCACATGATTTGTATCGCTTGCTGTTGACCTTGTCAATCATTCGTCGCTTTTATTCATGTGTGTGCATGCCTATCTCGTTGGTCACATGTCTGTCTTATTTATGCCTGACTATATATTCTTAATCATGCTCTATCTCTTTGAGTTGGCTCACTAGCCTTCTCCACATCGCTTCTTCCGCCCATTCGTTCGCATTGTAATCCAAAGAGTTGGCTCTTAGCCTTCTCCAATTCGCTCCGCCCATTCGCTCGCATTGTAATTCGAAGAGTTGGCTCTTAGCCTTCTCCACTTCCGCTTCGCTTTGTGGTATGTTTCGAATAAACATATTCATCATTACGAGTTCATGTTCTGATTTATAAACCGAGCTTAAGGACACGCAATAAAACGACTCACCACAAGCTAAAATCACACAGACTAATGTGGAAACATGGATAGTTTTACTTATTGTCACTTTAACTATGTATTAAAAGTTTATGTTATACTCAACTATACCATTATCACATATGCTTATTTTCCCATGAATTTTTGTTGAATTCTATAGAAAACGATCAAATACACCAGTCTATTCATCATCATCATTATCAACATCATACAAAAGTTCCATACCGAAACCAGATGTTTTCATGAAATCTCGTAGTCCTAAAAAAGCCAATTCATCACCAACGTCTCGTGAAAGTAGGCCAACATCAAAAAGTATGAATATACCATATGATACTAGAAAAAGAATCATCAGTCGAACAGAATCACCAATTATTAAATCTAGACAAATGACAACTTCTTCTACCAGTTTAAATCATCATAATATTCCAATGTTACGAACTAAAAGTGTTGCAAAATAATTTGAAGTTAGTGAATTTGTGTGTTTTTTTATTTCATTCTATTGTGTTTGTGATCCTGTAACATTTTTTATGATTAAAAATTAGCAATAGACAAATTAAATTTTAGTAAAAGCTAAGAGATATCATAGAAAACAGATTGAGATATTTAAAAAGGGCTCAATTTCATTTCATATTTAGTTCAGGCATATCAACTGTAGGTTTTGTAATGAACGCGACTGTAGCTGCTACCCTGACGTTGTGGTCGGGTTTGCCTATAGTGATAACCCAACCGAGCTATATTGGCTGGAACATATGTTCCTAAAGGTTCTACCACGCCAAGCAGGTCGATTTCAGTACGGTGAGACTGAAAGCAGCTACTCAAGGTCCGAGGGTGAAGTAGCACTGCTGACTGTAGAAAGGTATGACAGCATTATGGTGTTTCCATCGGATAACCAGCATCTGCAGTGATGCTGCCTTCTCACAATGAAAAGGTTAACGTTGAAAATATCAGACCTCACTTTACCGCACCGATTTCCATGAGGCTAAAACTTTAAAAACTTCCTATAAAAAGGTCATGCGTTACCGGCCTCAGGTAGTTAAACCCTTCGGCTCTGTGGTCACACTTCCAAGTCTGTAAGACCGACGCTAATATGATCTCCTTTCCAGGTTCCTCAAGAAGCACCCTTCTAGAGGTGTGGGCAACCGGGAAGTGACTTCCGCCGTCATACTTGTTACCGTACCCGACATTCGTAATTTCAACAGACTATAAAATGTTGTAACTAATATGATGACATTCCAAATTTGTTTTGTTATAATATTTATCAGGAGTTACTACCTGCGAGGTGCAGGAGTCATGGATGCGCACTGCCACTGATAAGTCCCATACCAGGACGAAACGGCCGTCTTTCAGTGCTTCCACGTTTCTAATGTTGGTCTAACAATGATTGATTGATGATTTCAAATGTGTAAAAACAATTATCTCCATAAACTCTAATTGAAAAATTTACATTTGTTTGTTCATGAACAGCGTTTTGATTTTTTTCTGTTTTTCAGTAATAACGTGATTAATAAATCACGTAATAAATTTCATCGTTAGTTACACGTATCAATACATTGTAAAATGCTCACTGTTTTGGATACGTGGAATACATATCTATCTATAATATATATATAAGGATAGCGCTCCAGTAAACCTGAATGTGCTTCCATTATCATTGCTTCTTCATATCATACTGTTCATTCATATCATTCCGAGGAAAAGAAAAACACAATGGTTGAACTTATTTTTCCAAAAAAACATTTCTAACTGAACAGAAATCGATATCTGTTAGTGTTAATTTTATCTCTGGATATTATTATCTCTCTCTCTCTCTATATATATATATATCTATAAATAACACACAATGAAAATGCACACAACTTACTGGTTAGTTTGTAAATGTCCTTGGCGAATACATTGAAAATAACATTTTCAATGATCAATAATCAGGCAACAATTATTCAAATAACTAACTATATACACACCATCATACATAAAATTTACATTTACAGATTGAATGAGGTTAATAAATTAACTTTCTTCTTTTTAAAAAACAAAAGTACTATTCTCTTCTTTGTATTATTTATTATATGAATAGAATATCAATGAAAACGAATAAAGTATTATTTTATTATTGATCATTAATGACAATGGTTTTTAAATAAAAATTCAAAAATTTGTATAATGTTTATTTGTTCGTACGTATATTTGCTTCTTTTTTTATGTATGTATTTTAGATTGTCAAATTTTGTTTGAAAGTAAATTAAACTTTTACCATGTAGTCGAAATAAACGGATTTTTCTTATGAGAATTTTATTTTCATAGTGTGTGTCAGTACTTTCAATGAGCTTAAATATATATGTGTATACTTTCATCTGTAATCTTTATCTTAATGAATAAGAAAAAAAGTGTTTAGAGTTGATATGTTTTGAAACAATATTTGTAGATTGATTATCTTGAACTCATGTTTAAGATCTAACAGTTGTTGCTAATGATTGTCATTCTAAGTACTTGATGAGTGGTTTTAGATTTTTCACATCTCATCTGACATCCAAATTCGTGCGAAAAACATTGACAAATTGTATCAAGGTGTCACATATTCTCTTCTAGGGTAAACATCACACTGGATGTCACTCTTCTTCAAAATACTATAGACTCAATAATCATAAACAACCATTGATATAAGCTATCAAGAGGTGTTGTATTTTCAGTGGTCCTATACGAAGCTGAATAGAATTCGAGAGCATAAATGGTTGTCAGTGTTTTAGATTATTATATTCATGAGTACGATAGAGGCATTGGTGTGTGATTTGTCATCAACAAAATTCCGTCCAGTAGTCCTACAAAACACATGGTACACATTTTTTAAAATTTCCATGACATGTGGTATCAGAGGATGACAGCTGACAAGTATATTTGGTGGCATCAAGAGACTGCTCACCATGATAAACATCGGAAGTTGTGCGACATATAACATCATAAATATAAGTCAATGAGTACATATTTCGTATATCAAACACTGGTCAGATTTATTGAAACAAAGAATGTGCTGGAGGTATTCATTTCAAACATTTACAGGGAGACAGATATTGTAAAGATGAGTAAACAGACATTGTGTTGCCGAGCGCTTACTATATATATGATGAATCATATATTTCAAAGTGGAAGATTATACCAGCTAGTGTATACAGGTAGTACTAGATGGGTAAATATAATTATCATTGATACAGTGTCTGTTATAATAAAAACTTATAGCACCTACTAGAAACATGTAATGGCTGAAGGACAAGAACAAACAAAAATTACTTTGAAAAATGTAGAGAGGTTCTTATTGACCTAGTGTTACGTCCAGTTTTTTGCTCGTTGATCTTACGAAGCACGGTTGTCGTCTATTTGTAATTCACGGTCCCAAATTTCTATACCAAGAACGAAACTCCAAAGTAGATACCAAAGTTTATTCCAAATCACAAATTCGACCAAAATACTTTATTACAAATAGACGACCAATGTCGTTCTAACAACAATAATTATAATAATTACAATTACCTTCTAATTTATTATCTCTTGGAGCAAAAAACTGCAACGAACAACAAAGAGAAACGGGAGTCCAATATGTCCGCAAATAATCATTCAAACAAGTTCATAAGTTAAGTAAAACAAATATACCCAAAAAACAGTGAAATTAATGATTATATATATAAAGGTTTGATCAGCAAAATGTCTTCGTTTCTCCCGTAACACCTAGGAATAATGTTCCAACTCAAAGAAGCGAAACTACTACATATCGAGTCGCTCGAAAGTTAGCTATCTACTGTAGACTTACCTAGCAGCCAGAAAGCTAATCACGCCTGTAAAAAAATCAGAAGCGGCTAGCTAGACGACTCCTAAATTTGGTTTGGGGGGTTTGGGGTTTCGCATACAACATTATTGGTTACCTGGACTGGACTCAAAACTAAGAATACAAGATGATGGGCGTTGAAGTAAAGGGTACTGTGTTCAAGTCGCGGAGTTAACGTCAGCTGTAGGATACAGATACATCAATCTGATGGGTATGAAAAAGGATGAAACGCACCATCCGAACTCCATTACTAGCCTGTATTAATCCTGGTAGTGCTCGTTTTTTAGTTCGATTGGCTGATGATGGTAAATTTGTTAGTCAGCTGATGAGTAAATCATTATGAGCTTGTAAAATTTTTGAGCGTAAACATGCAGTTCCTGTTTTGAAAGATAAGAAAAAAGGGTATATTATGTTTACATCATCATTAGGTAGCTTAGATTAATTCACCTCTGGTTCTTCCACATGACAAAGGAAATAGGTTTATTTCATCGAGTCTCTTATCGCCTCAGCTTTGTAATTCCAGGAATCAACTTAATTGCAGTAGCCAAGTTTATGAATAATGAATACTACTCACGGCATGCAGAATGTTCCAGCATCGACATGGCTGGAGGCCCCAGATGCTAGCGATAGGGTTCTAAAACTTTTGACGACTGTCTCCGGACATTTTGACATAATTTTTGACTATTGCTCACTGCGAGGTCACTGTGGTTCTCCATAACAGGTAGCACCCTATTATTTGCTGCGGTTGTTAGGTTCGTGCAAGCATCGTGGTACAACCCTGTAGATTCATCAAACAGAATGCCCCTTTCCATGGGGAACCAACAAGTAAAGGGTTGGTAATTGATCCTTTTAAACTGGTCAGTCATGAAAAGGGGGTGTCCGAGTGGCTTAGATACAAATACAGATGGGGACAAAACTGGCGGTTTAAAACAAAGGGAACGTAAACTGTTAAGTCCGAAGAAGCTGCGAACACAGAAAAGTGATGTGCTCAGTAGGATGAAGATGCAAAATTACTTTTGAAAAAAGGATAATCTGTGTATTGCAGCAACCAAAGTGATTGTCTTAATTAAGGTTCTTAACTTGAGAGAAATTTCTTTCACCAAACTCGTAAAAACGGCTTCACATCATGTAAGTCTACTGGATCGAATGCAGAGACAAGTAACTCAGTGGGTGATAAGGTTAAAGAATAAACCTTACGAAGACAGACTCCAACACTTGGGATCATTCCGTCTGAGTTATGGTCGAATAAGAGATGGTCTGACATGCAACATATTGAACTATCTGAATAATCCATGCACGTGTATCGTGCCAAAACATTACCACTACGCCCCTCCAAATAACCCTCACAAGACTGCATAATAAAAAGCAAACACCCATGTTTATGCACAGTTTTTCTCACTGTTGAAGGAACGCCGAGCCGAAATGACCACAGCCTCCTCAGTGGAGAGCTTCAAGAAGAGACTTGATAAACACGTACCAGCATACGAATTATCATCGCCTACTTGGACCAGTTATTCTTGATAGACGTTTCAAAACTTAGTTGTTGTTAGTGTTGCCATTTCCTATGACCACAAACTTATTCTCCCTCACTTAACACCTCTTTTTCATTTTCTATGCTTACACTTAGGTCCTCTCACAAAATCTTTCCCGCTGATCATTTAACTTATTTATTTAGTTCTTTAATTGTCTCGTTAGCTCTAGATATCCTCTGTGTTTTTACGTACATTGAAACTAATTGATCATCAGCCTGGTAATTCGATAGCTTTATGTATTCGAAAATCGTACAGCTTTGACATGAAAGCACACAAACCACGGAACATACCAACTCATAGTGTACTATCAACTGACTAGGATACAATTAGTCGATTTTATAGATGACTATACATACGATACTTCCAAAAACCGAGAATTATACAGAAAGAACAAGAATCAAGCTAAAAAATCTATTGATTCGTACTAGCGCGTGAAAAAGATATTGGATTTTGGAAAGGACCTTGACGTGAGTATCAAATTGTACGTAACAGTAAGCTGTAATTAACGTGATTCTGTTCTCTTTCTATTACACGGAGATCTAGGATAAATATATTGGAAGAAGAGCAAGACCCGCGTGAACTAAACTCTAAAGATGATGTGTGAGACTATTTTCATATAAGCTGTCTCTTTTTTACTAGGACCGAAGTGTGTTAGGACTAAAAACTACCTGAGGAAACTAAAGTAAAAAAAACTTAGCGAAGACTATGTTCTTTGCAATAAATTCTACCATCCCGGACGAGGTCTTATAAGTCTTGCACTCTACCCCTAATAACAGAGGACGTACTAATTCTGGACCCATGACATATAGGAACGGGAATGCTTGAACTACTATCTGCTGCGAGAATGGATATAGTCGCTAGGATCCTCACTCGCTTCTTGGTGACATGATAGAGACTGAATGGTCACCTGCTGAGTATCTATCGTCAAGGTAAACCAATCATCTGAAATTTTTCAAATATGCGCCGTTGAATTGCTCATCTCGAAACCGCTGGCTGTCGCTCTTTTAACTGTATCATAGTCTGGGTAAGGTAGGAGATAATCAGAGTGTTCTGCAATCGGTACTTTATGCAGACACACTGTCACTCTCAATTTCCAAGTAGAAACATCTAATGAGGTTTCAAGGAGTGGTGGTTCCTGAGGGGTTGTACAGGGTGTTGTTGTGACTGTGACCACCGGAAATTCGTCATGTTTTATCGTAGGCACCTCCATTGCGCTTGTATCACGTGTTAACAACAGTTATTGTTGGGCAGAGATCTGGAACCACAACATACAATGTTGATCAACAACTTTACACCCAGGAAGAACTCGGAGTGGTAGCCAAAGGTTCTCATTTTAAAATTAAATTACGCTGTCCTAGTACGAAACAGAAAGCTCGTTCTCAAAATAGTCTCATATCTTGCAAGTTCCGTCTACTCAGGGCTTGCTGTTCTTCTTCCAACACGTTTATCCTTGATCGCCGTGTAACAGAAAGAAAATAGAACTATGTTAATAACAATTTTGACACATACGTATTTTGTTGTATGGCGAAAATTATTTGATTGCTTTTGCTTTTCTATCCATATAGGCTGAAACAATGCTTTGACTCAACGCAGTGCCTACGTAAGTCATCCTAGTCTGGTCTGTTACGCAAAAATTTTTTTATGTATTTACACAACAATAATGCACTGAATTATCTAGTCAAATGTTTAGTAATTGAAAGACAGTAAAACGTGGTGTTTGACCTTGTACACCATATTACTCAGGTGCTCACTTCTCTGTTGAACGTCATTGCGCTCCTAAATGTTGCTAAAAAGCAAGTCAGTCAGTCAGTTGCAACGTAAAACTTCGTACGTATGTACTTAAGTTCATGTTGCCATACCACATTAGCACAGAGACGCAAATGTCAAATCAAATCCCATAGTGATAAATATAGTAGAGGTATTAATGGTAATGAATAAGACTATGGTTTGAAAATATTATTCAAAAGTTTGATTCAGTGAGATAAGGTTAGAAAGACAAAGGTAGAGGTGCTGACGAAGCAAGTTCAGAAAATAATACGAAATATGTTGACATGAATAAACAAGTGAAAAAGCTATACTTTGATATGGAGCTCCTACTGAATATTTTCGAGTGTTCTGGTCCCTTCACAGGACTTTCAAGTGCCTTGATAAATATACTTTTTGGGACTTACACCGATCTATATGAAATCTCATCTAAAGTGCAGTATCCTAACAACTAGTCCATGCCGGTACATTTAAGTATGTTAAACATGTGGGAACTACGTCAGTGATAGATTTATCCGACCTCGTAAAACAAAAAGCTAAAGCATCTAGACCTTTTCTCTTCATCATAGAAAATGAGCTGACTTACAATCGAATGCATCAGCATCTTTATGAAAAAACAGACTAGCCTCTTGAACGCTATATTTTAGGTGAGATATCATGTAAATGATATGTAAAATCCAAAAAAATTATCTTTTCTAAAGCATTTAAATGCTGTATAAAGTGACGGCAACATTCGGTAACCCTTAACAGCTGTCTCATTTCAGTACGCAGTTATGTTCAAGTGGTTGAGCTGCAGTTACTCCCAAGTCGTTTTGTGTATGTACCCATGGATGTAGTGCTCTATCGACTGTGTACTGATGAGTATTACCGTCATTGTTGTGCATTATCTTATTCGAATGAGAATTAAACTTGAAACCCTAGTTATGGTCCTATCTAATTAGATTGTCTGAATTAACTTGCATATCATAATGACCAACCGCATAAATTATTATTCTTCAGACCTTTACCTCATTTACAAGTGAGTGTTAATCACTTAGATAGTTCTGTTAGTCCACTGACATGGTGTGTGTCTAAGTTAGTGTTTTGAGGCATATCACGGTTTACCCATTTCATACAGATCGTATCCCATATACTCTCGGTTTCTGTCGTCATCCATAAAGAAGGAAGCTCCTAGAGCACTTTATCAAATGCATTGTATAAATCTACAAATCAAATGTAACTTTCTAACCTTAAAGCTTCTAAGTGATTGAAAAACAGCTTCCTGAACTACAGACACTGGTACTAAAGTTGATACTGTAATAATGCAGCTATGAAAAGTCTTTAATAACATTATCCTTGGAGTGTATACTTCAGTGAAATAGTTCAGTGAACTTTTGTCTTTAACAGTATCTGATTCAGCTAGTATATCTGAGTTCTTATGTAAATTCAGTGATAGGGAGTGAAGTAGTCGAGCGAGTAGACCGCTTCACTTATCTTGGGAGTCTCATCAGTGCCTATGGCCTGGTGACTGACGAAATCTCAGCACGGATACAGAAGGCTCGATTGGCTTTTGCCAACCTGCGTCACTTATGGCGTAGGCGGGATATCCGTTTGCTGACTAAAGGACGAGTATACTGTGCATTGGTTCGCTCCGTTCTCCTATATGGCTGTGAAACATAGGCAGTGAGATTAGAAGATATTCGTAGTTTACTGGTTTTCGATCATAGGTGTCTTCGAAGCATTGCTCGTAGACCGTGGGACACCCGAGTGAGCAACGCTGTTATTAGGAATCGGGTACTAGGTAAGAATGGCAGATCAATAGATGAAGTGGTGAAACTTCATCAGTTGAGGTGGTTGGGACACGTGTTGCGTATGCCTAACCAGCGACTCCCTCGTCGAACTTTGTTTTGTAGTGTAGGAATAGGTTGGAAGAAAGTTAGGGGCGGCCAAACCGAAACATGGCAGAAATCCATGAAGTCATTGACGAGTGGACTTAGCCATGTCGGTAGTTGTCGACTACCTGGTTGGGGTCCACGAGATGATAATAATCGATGGTTAGAGACCTTGAATGACATGGCTCAACATCGTTTGCAATGGCTCCGGTGCATTTATTCTTTGTGTTCTCTCAAACTCTAATCTTCTGGATTCTTCAACACCTTTAGTTTTGACTTTCTAAACTTTTCTCATTGAATGATACTTCTTGAATAATATCTTCTAACCCTAACCTCTCCGATTACTTCTAATTCCTTACTACCTTTACCGTTATGGGATTTGAATTGACAATTATACCTCTGTGCTGATGTGGTATGGCGACATGAACTGATGTACTTGTGTACGTAGTTCTACGTTGCATCTGACTCTGACTGACTCAGTGAAGCATTTCTATCGCTTCATTTCGTTCTTTTAATCGATTAAAACAATCATTTTGGGTAGGTGAGGCTGTTTTGTGCTTGCCACTGAACAACAAACAATGAAAATACATTACTAACCCGATTTACTCATGTAACAAATGCATAAATCCTTACTTACTTACTTACGCCTGTTACCCCCAAATGGAGTATAGTCCACCGAACAGTATTCTCTAACGTATTCTGTCTTTGGCTTCCCTTACCAGTTCTATCCAATTTTTGTTCATTCTTCTCATGTCTTTCTCCATTTCTCGGCGTAATGTGTTCCTTGGACTTCCTCTTTTCCGTTGTTGTTGTTGAGGGTTTGTCTTGTGGTTCCTATTCACTTCCACTGCTTGTTCCTGATTTCCTCCTCCACTGGAATTGATTTTGTTCTCTCTCACAGTAGGTTGTTGCTGATGGTGTCTGGCCGACAACTGTTAATGAATACTTGTATCTTTTGGATGATGAGTTTGGTAGTTCTCCAAGTTTCCGCCCCTTAAAGTACAACTGTCTTGACATTGCAGTTGCAGGTATTCTTCAGTTGTAAAAATCTTGATCTTGATTTGTCGATCCACGCCTTCATATATATAATAACTAAAGTTCCACTACAGTAATCTAAGTTAATGCCCATCTGATATAAATGTCTATTCCATAGTTATTCATGCCTAAAATATTAATTTCGTTGGTCATTTTGTTTTTTTTTCTTCATTACAGCACCCCTTAAAGACAATGGTATTCATACACATAGAACAAGCTTTTATTAATTCACTGAATAAACTCTATGAAAAAGATGACGAGAAAGTATGTTTTCTTTTTTTGTCTATTTTTTTTTTCAATGACATTTCATATATATTTAGAATCAAAATGAATCTCAAGCAATATTCCCGATAAAATATCATAATAATAAATCAACAATTCTACCAATGATACATAATGATGAAATAACCAGTATGGATTGTTTCTATTATTTATGGAATCTTTTCAATGTAACACCATTGGATTCTGATAATTTCTCTATTGGACGCGTTGTCATGGATAAATATTGTTTATTTCAATATTTTAGTCAAGAAAAATGTTGTTATATTTGGTTTACAGTAAGTTAGTGAGATATATATGTGTATATATGTATGTATAGCATAAATCTTTGTTTGTTTTAAGTCAGTCAGTTGCAACGTAGAACTTCGTACGTATGTACATAAGTTCATGTTGCCATACCACATTAGCACACAGAGACGCAAATGTCAAATCAAATCCCACAGTGATAAAGATAGTAGATGTATTCATGGTAATGAAGAAAACAAGGGTTCGAAGATATTATTCAAGAAATATAATTCAGTGAGATAAGGTTAGAAAGACAAAGGTAGATGTGCTGACGAATCCAGAAGATTAGGATTTGAGAGAGCTCAAAGAGTGGATGCACCTGCGCCATTGCAAACGATTCTGAATCATGTCGTTCAAGGTCTCTAACCATTGGTGACTTTCGTCTCGCGGACCCCAACCAGGTAGTCTACATCTACCAACATGACTCAATCCACCTGTCAGTGACTTCATGCATCGTTTGTTTTAAAGTTTGTTATCGTTTCCATTTGATAAGCTTTGTACATTGATGTTTAAGAGTTGCTTATCTACAGATCATAGGATCAAGAAACAGATCAAAAGGGGGGTGCAATCAAAACAAACTTGCAAACAACGACAGATCAAAAGACAACAGCAACCAATCAAGATCGAGGTTAGCAGAATAAGCTACAGGTCAAATGTGGAGAAGAAATTCGAATGCTTCACTTCTGCTATCTGAAGTTTGTGCTGATGATGATGTTGTTCAGCCGAAGAATAATGAAAGCTCCACAACCAAAACAACCAGCTCAGAGAACAAAACACCACCACAGTTTTATTGGTGTCTAACAGTACTAATTAAGTCATTTTGATCAATATACCCGACCGTGGCTGCTACCTTGACGTGGTGGTCGGGCTTGCCTATCGTGATGACCCAACCGAGCTATACTAGCTGGAACATATGTTCCTGCAGGTCCTACCATGCCAGACAGGTCGATTGGAGAACGATGAGACTAAAAGCAGCTACCCAAGGTCTGAGGGCGAAGTCGTACTGCTGACTGCAGAGGGGTGTGACAGCAGTAAGGTGTTTCCCTCGGACAACCAGCATCTGCAGTGGTGCTGCCTTCTCACAAGGAAGGAAGGGTTAGAAAAGGTTGACCCTAAAAATGTCACACCTCATCCTACCTCACGGATTTCCGTCTCCGTGGGTAAGGGTGCCCACTAAGGGCCTTTAAGAACGGAGCTAATCCTCTAAATACCTCTCATAAAAAGGCCGTGCGTGACCGGCCTCAAGCAGTTGTCCCTTGGACTCTGCGGTCACGCACCAACACTAATCTATTTTCCTTTTCAGGTTCCTCAAGAAACAACCTTCCACGGTGTGGGCAGCCGGGAAGTGACAACCGCCCTCATACCCATAACAGCACGCGAGACCAAATTGGTCAAAATCAAATCCTTCCTACACCCCCTAATGTCTCTCTTATCTCCACGACTAACTCTTCTTACATTCATTCATCACATTGCACAGCTAATGCAGACGATACGAGTTCGCGAAAGGTCGTTCCTGGTCTCCTTAAACCTCGCTCTAGACTACATGTTGGAGCATTTAATGTACGGACATTGTGTCAAATAGGGCAACAGGCTTCCTTAGCTATGACTTTAGAATCTCGTGCCATCGATGTATGCTGCGTCTCGGAAACGCGCATACATGATCCGAGTCACGTCATACACTTGACCACACCATGTCAAAATAAAGAAGCAGCTCGATTTACTCTTCGTGTATCCGGTAGCCCTGATGCTGCTTCCCGGGGTCTTGCTGGCGTAGGCATAGCATTGAGTCGTAGGGCAGAACAATCTCTCCTTGACTGGATCCCTATAGATAGTCGCTTGTGCGCCGTCCGACTGAACGGGACAGTAAGGACTCGGAAAGATAGGGACACTCGCCGTTGCCTCTTCGTCATATCAGCCTACGCCCCCACTGACTGCAGCCCAGATGATGTAAAAGATGAGTTTTACAGAAAGCTTTCGGACCTCCTCCAAAAAGTTAAGCGCTCTGATATAGTTATAATGGCTGGTGACTTTAATGCTCAAGTAGGTAGACTAAGTGAGCAGGAGAGACACCTAGGTGGATGTTATGGTGTCGCGGCTCAGAGAACAGACAATGGTGACCGTCTGTTGCAAACATGCTCAGACAACCGCCTATTCTTAGCAAACACTAACTTTAGGCATAAGGAAAAGCACCTGTTGACCTGGCGACCTCCAAAGTCGTCTCAACGTTGGACTCAACTAGATCACATCGCCATCAGCCACCGATGGAGGGGTTCGATAGAGGACTGTCGCTCGTTCTGGGGCACATGTTTGGATTCAGATCATGCCCTAGTGCGAGCGCGTATCTGTTTAAGGCTTACTGGACGTAGGAAAGACACCGTAAGAAAGCCTCTTAGGGTTTTGCTTAATGATAATAAGGCGAAAAATATATTTCAGGAACAACTAGAAAGACAGTTAGGCGACCATTTAAGCGATTCCCATCCGGAAGCAGGATGGAATGATATCAAAAAGGCTGTGGAAACAGCAGTGATATCTGCTAGTGAGGTTGACCATAAGGCTAGAATGAAACCGTGGATCTCAGTAGCATCCACCGATCTGATGGATGCCCGAAAACTCATCCCACCTGGCTCTGAGCATGATGAAGAACGAAGTCAACTTAGGCGCAGACTTATGAAAAGCCTACGTAACGATCGCGAGCAGTGGTGGGTGGCGAAAGCAAAAGCGATGGAAAAGGCAGCGGCGATCGGCAACAGTAGACAACTTTTCCGACTTATCAAGGAAACTGGTATTAGGAATCCCAGTGTAAGTGAGACTATCTCAGAAAATGACGGGACTATTATTTATTCTCAATGCAGGATACTGGATCGATGGGGAGAACACTTTAGGGATCATTTCAACTGGCGTCCAGCCACTCTTCGGTTACCCACGATCTCCAGTCATCCTGAATGGCAAATCGACCTAAGTCCCCCTAGTCTTAATGAAGTTGAGAAAGCGTTAGGAAATCTGAAACGAGGACGAGCTGCAGGTCCTGATAGACTTACCCCTGAGATATTTAAGGATGGAGGTCCAGTTTTATCAGCTAGGTTGACTGAGATCTTAGGTAGAATCTGGGAACTGGACGCAATCCCATCCGACTGGTCTCAATCCTTGATTGTCCCAATCTATAAGAAAGGACAGAAGTCTTCTTGTGACAATCACAGGGGAATAAGCCTAACTAACATAGTATCTAAAATATTGGCCTCAATAATACTTCGACGCTTAACGAAATCTCGTGAAGAGCAAACTCGGGAAAACCAATCTGGTTTTCGACCTGGACGTGGCTGTATAGACCACATTTTCACACTACGACAGGTCCTGGAACACAGACACACATTTAGGCGTCCTACAATAGTTGTTTTCCTGGACCTTAAGGCGGCATTTGACTCAGTGGATCGTGAGGTTCTGTGGCAGTGTCTGTCATTGAAAGGTGTACCACAGAAGTACATTAACCTTATACAAGCCCTATACTCGAACACCACTGGTCGAGTGAGGGCTTATGGCGAACTGTCACCGGAATTCTCTACATCAAGTGGTGTCCGTCAGGGATGTCCACTTTCGCCATTCTTGTTCAATTTTATCATAGACATGCTCCTAGAACTTACCTTATCCTCGTCTGAATTTTCAGGAGTAGACCTTTAACCAGGTGGCTCGCTTATTGACTTAGAATATGCCGATGACATTGTCCTACTTGGTGAAGACGCTGAAAAAATGCAGAGTCTTCTGACTACCCTAAGCAACAATGCAAGCATGTTCGGGATGCGGTTCTCACCCTCGAAATGCAAAATGTTGCTTCAAGACTGGGTGTCATCGGCACCTGAACTAGTGATAGGGAGTGAAGTGGTCGAACGTGTAGACCGCTTCACTTATCTTGGGAGTCTCATCAGTGCTGATGGCCTGGTGACTGACGAAATCTCGGCACGGATACAGAAGGCTCGATTGGCTTTTGCCAACCTGCGTCACTTATAGCGTAGGCGAGATATCCGTTTGCTGACTAAAGGACGAGTGTACTGCGCAGTAGTTCGCTCTGTCTTACTTTATGGCTGTGAAACATGGCCAATGAGAGTAGAAGATACTCGACGGTTATTGGTTTTCGACCATAGGTGTCTTCGAAGCATTGCTCGTATATCGTGGGACACCCGAGTTAGCAACGCTGTTATTAGGAATCGGGTACTAGGTAAGAATGGCAGATCAATCGATGAAGTACTGAAACTTCATCGGTTGAGGTGGTTGGGACACGTGTTGCGTATGCCTAACCACCGACTGCCTCGTCGAGCTTTGTTTTGTGGTGTAGGAATAGGTTGGAAGAAAGCTAGGGGCGGTAAAACCAAAACATGGCATAAATCCATGAAGTCATTGACGAGTGGACTTAGCCATGTCGGTAATTGTCGACTACCTGGTTGGGGTCGGCGAGATGATAATAATGGATGGTTAGAGACCTTGAATGACATGGCTCAAAATCGTTCGCAATGGCGCCAGTGCATTTATTCTTTGTGTTCTCTCAAATCCTAATCTTCTGGATTCTTCAACACCTCTAGCTTTTACTTTCTAAACTTATCTCATTGAATCACACTTCGTGAATAATATCTTCTAATTCTAACGTCTACGATTACTTCTAATACCTTTACTACCTCTTCTACTATTGGATTTGAATTGACAATTATATCTCTGTGCTGATGTGGTAAGGCGACATGAACTGATGTACTTACGTACGAAGTTCTACGTTGCATCTGACTGACTTAGCTCAACTAGTATTGGTTGACCCACTATGATTGATTGATAATTTAAACGGAAACAGATTAACTACAGTTCATTATTTTGAAGATTGTAAAAAGCAATAGAGAAAATGAAAAACGAATGATGTTCCAGTGTTTTTTTGTGAAAGATGATTTAGTACTAAATATTTACGAGTCGTTTGTAACAGTCCAAGACTAAAAGCTCTAGATGTAATGGTGTAGTCAAGAGGCGACATCTAGAAATAAATCTAACGAACACATGGTTCAGGTTTATGTTATAAAATATAGATTTGAGATATATGCATTACATTTGCCTACAATCGTTTAAAGTTAGTACACTTATATAACATTCTTTATGATTATATAGTAGGCATTTGTGGTCAAATTAAATTTAAGGTGAACACATTTAAATGAACGACAGAATGAGTATTTAGGTGACTCCAGTTTAAATGATCGAGTTTCAAACATCAAACATCGCTTCATGTTTATATTTGATATGAGGAACCAAAGAGTAATACTCTACATACAAGCATAAAATTAAACTCAAATCTGAGTAAAAAAAATTCATAAAATACGGTGTTGAGCTGTATCATTATGCTTATTGAGTTAAAGTTTTTTCAAGGGTTTTGAAAAGCTTAGTAAAATGAACATAAAATAGTTATGACCAACAAAATCAGTACACACTAGTAGTAAGCGTTACTGATCATTGATGATCTGTATGACTTTATCAGTATACTCAGTATGTTGGTAAGCAAATTCTCTAATTCAGTTTAAGCAACCAACCTATAGATTCTCAACACTTGCATAAACAGTATGATTCAGTTCAGTTAAAAATTTGAAAGCGATAACTGACTTATGCAGACTTTATCGATAATTTATTTGTATACGAGTTGTTATATTGATCAGTCAGTCAGTCAGTCAGTTGCAACGTAGAACTTCGTACGTAAGTACATCAGTTCATGTCGCCTTACCACATCAGCACAGAGATGTAATTGTCAATTCAAATCCAATAGTAGAAGAGGTAGTAAAGGTATTAGAAGTAATCGGAGAAGTTAGGATTAGAAGATATTATTCACGAAGTGTGATTCAATGAGATAAGTTTAGAAAGTAAAAGCTAGAGGTGTTGAAGAATCCAGAAGATTAGGATTTGAGAGAACACAAAGAATAAATGCACTGGCGCCATTGCGAACGATTTTGAGCCATGTCATTCAAGGTCTCTAACCATCCATTATTATCATATTGCGGACAACAACCGGGTAGTCGACAATTACCGACATAGCTAAGTCCATTCGTCAATGACTTCATGCATTTCTGCCATGTTTTGGTTTGGCAGCCTCTAAATTTCTTCCAACCTATTCCTACACTACAAAACAAAGCTCGACGAGGCAGTCGGTGGTTGGGCATATGCAACACAGGTCCCAACCACCACAACTGATGAAGTTTCACCACTTCATCTATTGGTCTGCCATTCTCACCTAGTACCCGATTCCTAATAACAGTGTTGCTCACTCAGGTGTCCCACGATATACGAGCAATGCTTCTTTAACATCTATGATCGAAAACCAGTAACCTACAAATATCTTCAACTCTCACTGGCCATGTTTCACAGCCATATAGGAAAACGGAGCTAACCACTGCGCAGTACACTCGTCCTTTAGTCAGCAAACGGATATCTCGCCTACGCTATAAGTGACGCAGGTTGGCAAAAGCCAATCGAGCCTTCTGTATCCGAGCTGAGATTTTGTCAGTCACCAGGCCATCGGTACTGATGAGACTCCCAAGATAAGTGAAGTGATCAACACGTTCGACTACTTCACTCCCTATCACTAGTTCAGGTGCCGATGAAACCCAATATTTGAGCTACACTCTTACCACTGAAAACTCATTTAGTCCCAGACTGCAGTAGATAGACTATGCATATTCAATCTCGCCTGCCTCATTGTGTAATAATTACTTCTCTTTGTGATGATTCGGTATGAGATTTTGAACCAATGTATATTCTACCTAGTCTGATGTTGCTATGTCTAACACGGCTTAACCTTGAATGATATGGCTGAAAACCGGTTGCGATGGTGCAGGTGAAAATCCATTCTTTGTCTTTTGTCAAATCGTAAGCCTCTGAATTTCTCACCACCTCAATCTTTCTCTTTCGAAGTTTATTTCACTGAATTATACTTCTTGAATCACATATCTTCGAACCCTAATCTCTCCAATAACTGCTCATACTTTCTACCATCTCTACTACTATAGGATTTGAATTGACTATTGCATCTCTGTGCTAATGTGGTATGGCAACTTGAACTGATGTACATACGTACGAAGTTCTACGTTGTTATTGACTGACTGACTAAATGATGTTTGACATACTTATATTATAATGTGTTCTTGATATTAATATTTCTCTAACAATCTATCTATAACTATAATATTTAAAAACTCTTTATTATTATTATTAATTAATTAATTATTTTCAGAAACATCCACCTAATATTGACAATCGAAGTATCAATTCATTAATATTCTTCTTAGAATCATTTATTGAATATATATTGTTTCAATCAAATTTAGAAATTCATTATATGGAATCATTATCTTGTTTAATACTGTTATCATGGTGGAATATTTCATTTGGTCATTTAAAATCTTATCAAATTATTGCCTATGAATTATATCATGTATGGATTCGTTTAATGCCACGATTAGTTGAAAATGCATCATTGATTATTGAACAATTTTGTAATTATCCGGAACATTTAAATTTGTTTATCATAAATCTGTTACGTATTTACGTAGATCATCATCATCATCATCATAGTTTACACAAAGAAACTATATCGCAGTTGTCTTCTAAAGATCCTGCTTCTCAAATGACTGGTATTCATGCATCGGTAAATATGCATAGTTTAAGTGAAATTTATTGTAAATCTATTGAACAATTGAATATGAAAAATCTTCCCGTTACAGATACATCAAATTGTACTCAATCGATCAGTACTGTTTGTTTAGCAATTATTGAGATTTTAAAAAAACTTATACGGTAAGTAATATCTTATATTATTATGAACTATGATGATGGATTATGTTAGGAATTTTTTGAAAAAAATTTCAATAACTGGTTAAAAGAGTCTTCAACTAAAATAATCAAATTTTATTTAAAATCTCGTTAATAGTAGTCATGTTCAAGGTTAACAGTTATACACAATGTAAAACTTAACGTGAGACATAGATGGAATTAAAGCATGACTACGTTGCTGCGCGCTGATTGGCTAATTTCCTATCCAATCAGCGCCTGATCGATTCTTGGAGAACAGGGTAGAAAATTCTCGTGTTGTTAGCTGCATGCTGATTGGTTAAATCTAATCCAGTCGATCACGTGAACTACAATCCAGAAGCTTCTCATGTAAAAAACTATAAAGATACTAACGTTGTATCTATTTTGTCTTCTCCTTCGGCTCCGTATTTCCATTTAACCTTGCTGTTTTGAATATAATCTTTTCCTGTTCCACCGTGTTTTTGATTCTTCGGAACTTGTACAGTGTATTGTGGTCAGAGAATAGGAATTAGCTGGAAATTATTCAAGTTAACGACACAACAGAGGAGTTTTTAGTGGCCTGCGATCTGACTCCGATATTTATAAACAGATAAATATGCTATGAAATAAATTTTTTCTTCCATTTCCGTATATCATACTTAGGCGAACCCCCGTTTGCGCAACCAAATACGGATTCGGTTGGATGAGTTTACTTCTTGAAATCGTTCACACAGACTGACTTGAGAATGTAAAGAGTGAAAGCCAAAGGAAACGAAACAGAGAAGGTGAATGAGTCAACTAAAAAGTACGAAACATGACTAAATATTTATAGTCAGGCAATAATACGCTAGACATGTATTCAACGAAGTAAGCATGCACATACTCACTGAATAAAAACAACTCAAGGTTATGAGCGAATAATTAACTACATCGAATGATTCGTGAATATCAACTTAAGAACAATAGATTAATTAATTAATTTGTCCGAAGGTTAGGACAAGCCCTGTGAGGTACACACTACAAATACTTGTACGACTAGTTCAACGGTCTATTATTACCCTAAGCAACAATGCAGGCATGTTCGGGATGCGGTTTTTCCCCTCGTAATGCAAAATGTTGCTTCAAGATTGGCTTGCCACTTCACCGGAACTAGTGATAGGGAGTGAAGTAGTCGAACGTGTAGACCGCTTCACTTATCTTGGGAGTCTCATCAGTGCCGATGTCCTGGTGACTGATGAAATCTCAGCACGGATGCAGAAGGCTCGATTGGCTTTTGCCAACCAGCGTCACTTATGGCGTAGGCGAGATATCCGTTTGCTGACTAAAGGACGAGTGTACTGTGCAGTGGTTCGCTCCGTCCTACTTCATGTCTGTGAAACATGGCCAGTGAGAGTAGAAGATATTTGTAGGTTACTGGATTTCGATCATAGGTGTCTTCGAAGCATTGCTCGTATACCGTGGGACAACCGAGTAAGCAATGCTGTCGTTAGGAATCGGGTGCTAGGTAAGAATGGCAGATCAATCGATGAAGTGCTGAAACTTCATCAGTTGAGGTGGTTGGGACATGTGTTGCGTATGGCTAAGCACCGTCTGCCTCGTCGAGCTTTGTTTTGTAGTGTAGGAATAGGTTGGAAGAAAGCTAAGGGCGGCCAAACCAAAACATGGCAGAAATCCTTGAAGTCATTGACGAGTGGACTTAGCCATGTCGGTAATTGTCGACTACCTGGTTGGTGTCCACGAGATGATAATGATCGATGGTTAGATACCTTGAATGACATGGCTCAAAATCGTTTGCAATGGCGCCGGTGCATTTATTCTTTGTGTTCTCTCAAATCCTAATCTTCTGGGTTCTTCAAAAACTCTAGTTTTGACTTTGTAAACTTTTCTGATTTAATCATACTTCTTGAATAATATCTCATCCTGACCTCTCCGATTACTTCTAATACCCTTACTAACTCTTCTACTATTGGATTTGAATTGACAATTACTTCTCTGTGCTGATGTGGTATGGCAACATGAACTGATGTACTTACGTACGAAGTTCGACGTTGCAACTGACTGACTGACGGTCTATTATATATTCACTTGGAAAATTATCAATCTCATGTAATGGTTTTTTTTTGAACCCTAGAATGGTAAACTTATCAAATATTATTATAATACTATTTAGAAATTTACAAATTTTCTTAACATCCGATATTTCTTTTCTTTTCTTTTTTACTTCAGCTTAGGTTTAGCTAATTGTTTAAAACAAAATCCTGATTTACCTATTATATCATATGCTGATGAACAAATTATTGAACGTTTTAATATGACACGAAATTATTTACTTGTTCGAGCTTCACGTTTATTAGCTTATGAATTAGAGTCTAGTGTGAATGGTACTTATTTACCGAAACAATTCACATGTTTAGTACATTTGACTGCACCGAAATATTTAATTCCTGAATTGTTAAATATTACGCTACATAAATCTGAAAAATTATCTACTAGTAGAAATCCTCATATTGATTTGATTTCTTGGATATTAGAACAAAATCTTAATGTTACTGGTAAGTAGTATTTAGTAAATGATCTTAATCATTTGATTTTATATTATGTTGTTGTGTAAAATAGTAATTTAATTCATTTATAGAGTGCCTCGACCGTAGCTGCTACCTTGATGTGGTGGTCGGGCTTGCCTATCGTGATGACCCAACCGAGCTACACTGGCTGGAACATGTGTTCCTGCAGATCCTACCATGCCAGGCTGGTCGATTGGAGAACGATGAGACTAAAAGCAGCTACTCAAGGTCTGAGGGCGAAGTCGTACTGCTGACTGTAGTGGAGGGGTGTGACAGCAGTAAGGTGTTTCCCTCGGACAACCAGCATCTGCAGAGATGCTGCCTTCTCACAGAGAAGGAAGGGTTAGAGAAGGTCGACCCTAAAAATGTCACACATCACCCTATCTCACGTATTTCCGTCTCTGGTGGTAAGGGTGCCCACTAAGGTCTTTCAAGAGCGGAGCTAATACTAAAAATACATTTCATCAAAAGGTCGTGCGTGACCGGCCTCAAGCAGTTGTCCCTTGGGCTCTGCGGTCACGCACCCAGGTCTCTAAGACCAACACTAATCTATCTTCCTTTTCAGGTTGCTCAAGAAACAACCTTCCACGGTGTGGGCAGTCGGGAAGTGAAAACCGCATTCATACCCATAACAGCACGAGAGACCAAATTGGTCGAAATCAAATCCTTCCTACACCCACACATACCTCTCGTCTCTCCACAACTAACTGTACTCACATTCCCTTATCTGACTGCACCGCTAATGCAAACGATGCGAGTTCACGAAACGTCATTCCTGGTCTCTTGAAACCTCGTTCTAGTCTACATGTTGGAGCATTTAATGTACGGACATTGTGTCAAATAGGGCAACAGGCATCCTTAGCTAGGACTTTAGAATCTCGCTTCATCGATGTATGCTGCGTCTCGGAAACGCGCATACAGGATCCTAGTAAAATTATTAATCTGATTTCACCTTGTCAAAATAAAGAAGCAGCTCGATTTAATCTTCGTGTATTCTTACGTACGAAGTTCTACGTTGCACTTACGTATGGCGACATGAACTGATGTACTTACAAACGAAGTTCTACGTTGCATCGACTAACTGACTGACTTTATAGAGTGCTGCTACCTTGACGTGGTGGCGGGCTTGCCTGATGTGATGACCCAACCGAGCTATATTAGCTGGAACATATGTTCCTGAAGGTTCTACCATGCCAGGCAGATCGATTGGAGAACGATGAGACTAAAAGCAGCTACTGAAGGTCTGAGGGCGAAGTCGTACTACTGACTGCATAGGGGTGACTGGTGTACTTACGTACAAAGTTCTGCGTTGTATTTGTCTGTCTGTCTGTATTTTTAGAATGCAGATCTATGCATTCCACTTCAAACCATACTATCTAAGGAGACTATTGGAATTATTAGCCGGTTCTACCTAAGCTGCGAAATAGGTATTGCGGGATTCACACTCTGAAATCTAATCCCGGGAAATTGACAGACTTTTCCATTAGGCTGAAATTTGTTATTAGGAAATATGAGACTAAAGTTTCGTACTAGTTGACCTGCAATGTTGAAGTAGCTAGTTAGTATTAAAGATTAAACAAACACGATATTAGCCATTTCTCAATATTCAGTTAATTATGAACATCTGACTTTTACAAATCAGTTATCGTACAAATACAATCTGTTGACTATATGGATTCGAATTTCACAGATTTTATTAATTCCTTCGAGGTCACAAGTACGTTTTGTTGAGGAATGTCAATGAATACATAACTTGGGCCTATAATTCCGTGTTAGCAATCTCCAACCATTTAGTAATGTCGAATCACTTAAACTAGTGTTCATATTGTAATTTGAACTACAGAATTCAATCAACGCTAAGGACTCGACAAACATAAATTTACATATACCTTAAATTCAGAGTGTTTATCATTTAAGAATTATAATCTAAGGTGTATTAATATCACAAAGAGTCCTGATTGTATGTACTCAATCAATAAAAATAGTAAACTTTTTATTGTAATGAATATATAGTGAAATAGATTTATGCTGGAGGTGTTGAATTCACTATGTTAATATTATTCTGTGGTTGAATTTAGTTGAAGTTATTATGATACAGGAATACTTCTATGAACTTTGAAATTGGAATGAATGATTTTCTTGTTTAATTTCTATTCATAGTGGAATTGCATTTGAATATTGATTAACTGATGTATCTTTGCTTACTTATTTACTTATATCTGTTACTTATCGTTGAGTTATAGGCCGCCGACCAGGATTCAGTTGTTTTATAACACTATTTGTTGTTTTCATGTCTGCCTCCAATTCTCACTGCAACATTTTATCCGCCTAAAGCCGTTCTAGGGTTATTGCTGGTCCCAAGCTTGGATAAAGGAGGGTTTGGCAAGTGGTTAACAGGAATAGAGGATATTCGTAGGGTACTAGTGTGGTGTGAGCTACTTATAAGTAGTATATGACGTGAGTGTCAACGTAATGTCTGGCAGCAGAAGATGGGGGAAGATCAAGAAAGGAAGAGTTAGAAGAACACAATGGAATTTGTATGAAACACATGAATAGTGACAATGGATTGATGTTGTTTGTCAACAGGAACAGTCCAGTTCTATATGGTGAACTGATATTTTGCAAATGAACGATTTACGATATGGTTTTCCGATTTTACTGAGTAACTCTGTAATTTTCGTTAAATACAATCGGGTTGCCCCACCTGTGTTCTCATTCACTACTATACTATTAATTAGTTCATCAGAGAGATTATTGAAGATATTTTATGTTATGATTTAGCATGTTTAGTCTTAATGTCTCACTGACTTACATCGTTCATGTATGTGCGTTTTTTTCTCTCATACAAATCTTTTTCAGATTATGCATTCTGGTGTATTACGTATATTGATGTGAAAGATATTGAAATAACAAATTAGTAAGTGTTTGTTAACATGTTGTTTTTTTTCATTGAAACAGTAACAGTAAGGGAGAAAAAGAAGGCAACCTCAGAATATATATACGTCTAATAAAAATGATATTAATTAGCATGGAATATCAATTCATTATGCAACGACTTTTTTGTGGTTTACTGTTTATTCTTTTAAGATGATTCCTATCGTAGCTGCTACGTTGACATAGTGGTCGGGCTTTTTTCTATGTTGATCGGCCAAATGAGCTATATTGGCTGGAAAATTTATTCCTGTAGGTCCTACCATGCCAGGCAGGTCGATTGGAGAATAGTAAGACTAATAGCAGAAACTTGAGGTCTGAGGGCGAAGTCGTACCGCCTTACTGTAGATGGAGGGGTGTGACAGCAGCAGTGAGGTGTTTCCTTCGGACAACCAGCATCTGCAGCGATACTGCCTTCTCACAAGGAAAGAAGTGAGGGGTTATAAAAGATCAACCCTAAAAATTTCAGACCTCACCTTAACTCATCGATTTCCATCTCTGTCGATAAGGCCATTTGAAGAGTGAATCTAACACTTCAAAACGTCATACAAAAAAGCGACGCTCCTAGGTCTCTAAGACCAATACTAATCCAACTTCTTTTTCAGGTTCTTCGCGAAGCACACTTCCATGATGATGTAGGCAGACGGGAAGTGACATCCTCCGTGATACTGGTAACAATACACGAGACTCTTGTTATATTCAGAATTAAGATGAAAAAGCCTTCTGATGCTCTTTAGTTTTTTTATCCTTTTTTCATTTACAATAAAATTTACTTTAATGCAGCAGTAGGTCTCAACATACATAAAGGAAAAAGCAAAAGTCTCCGATGCAACACAACATGCACCAACCAAATCACTCTTGATGGAGATGCCTTGGATGACATTAACACCTTTACATATCTGGGCAGCATCATCGACAACCAAGGTGGATCGGATGCAGATGTGAGGGTGCGGATTGACGAAGCGACGGCTGCATTTCTACAGTTGAAAAATATCTGGAACTGCAAACAACTTTCAACCAAAACCAAAATAAGGATTTTCAATACAAATGTGAAGACAGTTCTACTGTATGCAGCCGAAACTTGGAGAACTACGAAAGCCATCATCCACAAGATACAAGCATTTATGAACAGTCGTCTTCGCAAAATACTTCGTATTCGTTGACCAGACACGATCAGCAACAACGTACTGTGGGAGAAAACAAACCAGATTCCAGTGGATGAGGAAATCAGGAAGAAGTGGTGGAAGTGGATAGGACACACACTACGAAAATTACCTAACTGCGTCACAAGACAAGCCCTCACATGGAACCCTCAAGGCAAAAGGAAAAGAGGAAGGCCAAAGAATACATTACGCCGAGAAATAGAGAAAGATATGAGAGGAATGAACAAACATTGGACAGAACTGGAAAGGGAAGCCCAAGACAGACAGAGTTGGTTGGAGAAAACTGGTGAGCGGCCTATGCTCTATTGGGGGTAACAGGCGTAAGTAAGTAAGTAAGTATCCAAAATTTTCATAAAAACTCTGATATGTCATGTTTTTTCGCTGATGTCGTATAATTTTATTGTTATTTATTGTTCTTCTTTAGTTTATTGTCTCGTTTAATTCCTCATGCTAAACTCTTAGCCAAAGATCATTTATTCTGTTATTCACTTATATTACATCTTGATCGTGTTCGAAAAGCTACACTACCAGAGAATGAACATATTAAGGTAGGTTTTGATAATTACTGTATGTATTTATTAATTATAGAGAGTCAATCAGAAATTTTTCAATGAGTAAATGTGTATTTATGTATATTGTTCGGTAGCCAAAAAAAGATTTACTCTTCCACTCTTGTCTTCTCGCTCAAGTAGCCAGTTTGGGAGGATTAGCATGTCGTATCGCGTTGCGATCTCGGACACCATCCTTCCCATCATAACATATACCTAATACATCTTGATAAGGAATAACAAGCAGTCTTAGTACTTTCATCGTGATTAATAAACTAGATAACTGTTTTGTACTTCTAACTTGTTTAAAAGGTTAGTAAAGGTAATTGTGGTTGACTAAGGAACATGGACAAACAAACACTCAGCTTACTTACTTACTTACTTACTTACTTACGCCTGTTACATCCCTAATGGAAGCATAGTCCGCCGACTAGCATTCTCCAACCCTACTCTGTCCTAGGCCTTCTTTTCCAGTTCCATGCAATTGCTGTTCATTCTTTTCATGTATGTTTCCGATTCTCGGCATAGTTTGATTCCTCCTGGACCTCTTTTGAGGTTACTGTCGGTTCCAAGCCCAGATAAAGGAGGCGGGTTGGGCATGGAGTTAGCGATTTCATTCCGTAGAAAACCAGCTCGCTAAAAAACCCCAAATAGGGAAATAAATTCAAGTTTATTCAAACTCCGCCCTGAAAGTTAGATGGTTTTCATTTAGAAGAGTTATGTCTCAGCTTACTGACTATAAATTATAAGATTTTCTACGCTGGACTGTTTGTGTAATTTTGTTGAATGATGCATTGTCATTTTTTTAGTAGTATTTTAGTAGTATACTTCAGAAACAGAACATATTTTGATTCGCGAATTATATCAGTAACTTTTATAAAAAAATGTTGAAGGTGTTGTGTTGTCTAAGTTGAATAGTTAACTTATGAAGCTTCATTATCTTTCTGGACAATGTCATCAACACATATCTCTCTAAATGGTCCTACCCAAGGTCAATATGTGGAATGCCAAACTACTATCAGGGATGCTCATAGTGTATTTGTTGGGGACCGTAGCTGCTACCTTGACGTGGTGGTCGGGCTTGCCTATCGTGATGACCCAACCGAGTTATACTGGCTGGAACATATATTCCTGCAGGTCCTACCATGCCGGGCTGGTCGATTGGAAAACGATGAGACTAAAAGCAGCTACTGAATGTCTGAGAGTGAAGTCGTACTGCTGACTGTGGTGGAGGTGTGTGACAGCAGTAAGGTGTTTCCTTCGGACAACCAGCATCTGCAGCGATGCTGCCTTCTCACAAGGAAGGAAGGGTTAGAAAAGGTCGGCCCTAAAAATGTCACACCTCACCTTACCTCACGGATTTCCGTCTCCGTCGGAAGCGTGCACACTAAGGACTTTAGAAGAGCAGGGCTAATACTCAAAAAACCTCTCATAAAAAGGCCGTGCGTGACCGGCCTCAAGCAGTTGTCCCTTGGACTCTGCGGTCACGCTCTCAGGTCTCCAAGACCAACACTAATCTATCTTCCTTTTCAGGTCCCTCAAGAAATAGCCGGGAAGTGACAACCGCCCTCATACCCATAACAGCACGAGAGACCAAATTGGTCGAAATCCAATCCTTCCTACACCCACACATACCTCTCGTCTCTCCACAACTAACTGTACTCACATTCCCGTATCTGACTGCATCGCTAATGCAAACGATGCGAGTTCACGAAACGTCATTCCTGGTCTCTTGAAACCTCGTTCTAGTCTACATGAAAGTAGGGACGTTATTTCGTTTTTTCCTTAAGGAAAATGACACTCGTTCTACTATATGAACGTGTACTTACTTACTTACCTACTTACGCATGTGTTACCTACCCATAATGAAGCATAGGCCGCCAAGCAGAGAATTATTTTTGTGGTTAGCGTTTTTTTAACGAGTTGGTTTACTAAGGGATGGGGTCATTAACACCCTATGCCTCCGGGCTTGTGACCGTCAGTAACCCTAGATGTGAAGCAGTGCCCGTCGACGACAGTGGATAAGGTTGCCGCCCTAGACCGTGAATTGATCGAAGTTAGACATTAAGTCTGTTGGATAACGGCTAAGTTGTCTAAAAAGTTAAGCGTTCGCACGCAAGACCATAGGTCCTGGGTTCGATTCCTTCGATTGTGATTGGTGGTGGATGCGCTTTGCTGATAAGCCTCGTACTAGGACCGAACGACCGTCCAGTACCTTCCAGGTTTCTAATGGTAGTGGTCTAACAATCTCCACAACCCTATAATAAAAAAATGATATTTATCTGTAGATTAGTTTAAATCCTCATGTACAGACTATGTATTGATTGTTTACCTTTTATCATGTGTAGGCTTTTTATTACATAAATTTCAGCTTCTTCGTGCTGTATTTGAACACTTGTCATTATCAAGTAAATGTGATCTATTACAGTCGCTTCAATCATCATTGACAAATTCTAATCGTGCAACACCATTACCAAATTCAACTGGTCACTTTCAAACACGTATACGTCAATTATTTAATCGTTTAGTTGTTTCTAATGTTGATTCTAACGCCAATGACGTTGATGATGATGATGATGATGATGATAATAAGAAAAGTCAACAAATGGTAAATTTTTTCAATAAAGATGTAAGTGTTTTTTATTTTAGCATAATAATTCATTGTAACATCTCGCTAATATTTAAGTTTATGAAATAATTTAAGTGCAGTGTAAAGTCAGTCAGTCAATAGTGACATAGAACTTCGTACGTACATAAGTACGTACGTTAGTTCAAGTTGCCATACCATATTAGCACAGAGACGCAATTGTCAATGCAAATCCCATAATAGTAGAAGAGATGGTAAGGGTATTAGAAGTAATCGGAGAGGTTACGATTAGAAGATATTATTCAAGAAGTATGATTCAATGAGAAAAGTTTAGAAAGTCAAAACTAGAGTTGTTGAACAACCCAGAAGATTAGGATTTGAGAGAACACAATGAATAAATGCACAGGCGCCATTGCGAACGATTTTGAACCATGTCATTCAAGGTCTCTAACCATCGATTATTATCATCTCGCGGACAACAACCAGGTAGGCGACAACTACAGACATGGCTAAGTCCACTCGTCAATGACTTCATGGATTTCTGCCATGTTTTGGTTTGCCCGCCTCTAGCTTTCTTCCAACCTATTCCTACACTACAAAACAAAGCTCGACGAGGCAGTCGGTGGTTAGGCATACACAACACATGTCCCAACCACCTCAACTGATGAAGTGTCACTACTGCGTCAATTGATCTGCCATTCTTACCTAGCACCCGATTCCTAATAACAGCGTTGCTCACTCAGGTGTCCCACGATATACGAGCAATGCTTCGAAGACACCTATGATCGAAAACCAATAACCGACGTATATCTTCTAATCTCACTGGCCATGCTTCACAGCCATTAAGTAAGACGGAGCGAACTACTGAGCAGCACACTCGTCGTTTGGTTAGCAAACGGATATCTCGCCTGCGCCATAAGTGACGCAGGTTGGCAAAAGCCAATCGAGCCTTCTGTATCCGTGCTGAGATTTCATCAGTCACCAGGCCATCGGCACTGATGAGACTCCCAAGATAGATGAAGCGGTCTACACGTGTAGCGGTTATCATGGCTGCCTTCCAAGCAGTAGAGGTAGTTAAAGTATTAGCAATAATCGGAGAGTTTAGGGTTCGATGATATTATTCAAGAAGTAGAATCTAGTGAAATAAACTTAAAAAAAGAGAGAGACAAAGGTGATAAAGAATCCAGAGGCTTAGGACTTGACAAAAGCCAAAGAATGGATTTTCACCTGAGCCATTGCAACCGGTTTTCAGCCATGTCATTCAAGGTTAAGCCGTGTTAGACATAGCAACATCAGATCAGGTAGAATATGCATCAGTTCAAAATCTCATACCGAATCAGCACAAAGAGAAGTAATTATTACACAATGAGGTAGGCGAGATTGGATATACATAGTCTATCTACTACAGTCTGGGACAACATGAGTTTCCAGTGGTAGAAGTGTAGCTCAACTATTATTTGTTGACCAACTATTATTGATTGATAATTTAAACGGAAACAGAATAACAACAGTTCATTATTTTGAAGATTGTAAAAAGCAACAGAGAAAATGAAAAACGAATGATGTTTCAGTGTTTTTTTGTGAAAGATGATTTAGTACTAAATATTTATGAGTCGTTTGTAACAATCCAAGACTAAAAGCTCTAGATGTAATGGTGTAGTCTAGAGGCGACATCTAGCAAGAAATCTAACGAACACATGGTTCAGGTTTATGTTATAAGATATAGATTTGAGATATATGCATTACATTTGCCTACAATCGTTTAAAGTTAGCTCATTTCGTACAACTTTGTAATTAATAACCGAAACAAGAAGAAAGGTGTGTGCAAAATCGACATTCAGTCAATTAACATTGAGATGTAATTTTCACTTGAAATCCCATAGTAGTAGAGGTAGTAAAAGTACTAGCAATGTAAGTTTAGGGTTCGAAGATATTATTCAAGAAGTAGAATCTGTTGAAATAATCTGAAAAAGAAAGAGACAAAGGTGATAAGGAATTCAGAAGGATAGGATTTGATGGAACTTAAAGAATGGATGCACTTGCGCCACTGCAAACGGTTTTGAGTCATGTCATTTAGGGTCTCTCTAATCATCCATTACTATCATCTCGCGGACCTCAACCAGGTAGTCAACACTTACCAGTATGACTCAGTCCAGTTGTCAGTGAATTCATGCATTTGTGCTTGTATAATATCTTCTAATCCTAACCTCTCCGACTACTCCTAATACCTTTACTACCTCTTCTACTATTAGATTTGAATGGACAATTATGTGTCTTTGCTGATGTGGTATGGCGACATGAACTGATGTACTTACGTTCGAAGTTCTACGTTGCATCTGACTGACTGACTGACTGACGTTTAACTGACCAATTCTGTGGCGATGGATATTCGATACAACTCCTAAACTTCGTATGCTACTTTTGCTGATCACCGTTACTGGATAACGTCCGATGGTGGTATACAATTCAGAAGACGAGTATGACGTGTTGATGACGTTTATTATTGCATCACACTTAGATCATAAAAGCACAAGCAGACGAAGAAAAAGCTAAATGATATGCGAGTGCTATGAATGAGCTAGCGAATGTATAGGATTAAAATGTACATATATGTACATAGGAAAATGAATGAGTTACCGAATTATTGATCCAGCAACTAACATTAAAGCTAGTAGAATGAATGTATGTAGGCGGTAAGCACTACTGTAGCATAAATTACTCATCAACCTCAACAATAATAAAAGTACAGATAAGTTTTTGCTGTACAAATAACTCTGTCTGTTAAATAAGTTTACAGAAAGTGGATAATATGTTGTGTATTTTAAGCAAAAATGTATTCATTTAATAGCTCCACTTTTTTAGTGAATGGCAAAAGTTAGAAAAGTACATTCAAAGTGGATGAATAGCTTCTTGAGATCAGTTTAGTATATATCTACATTGATTATTGAAAAATGGGCATTTTCTGTTATCTATGACAGATAACCGGAAATAATTGCAATACAAAAACATACTACTAATCAGTAGTATGACTGAAAGTTTAACATAAACTTGGGAGGGAAATTATATATCCAGACGGAATAGAAGGTGCTGATCATATATGAAAAATGATATTATAAATAAGTCAGTCAATTTTGATTGTGACCGATTGGGTCTCATGTACTGTTACGGGTGTGAGGGCGGTTATCACTTCCCGGCTGCTCACATCGTGGGAGGGTGTTTCTTGGGGAACCTGAAAAAGAAAATAGATTAGTATTGGTCTTAAAGACTTGGGAGCGTGACCTCAGAGCCCAAGGGACAACTGCTTGAGGTCGGTCACACACGGCCTTTCTATGAAAGGTTTTTTCAGTGTTAGCTCCGCTCTTGAAAGCCCTTAGTGGGCACCCTTACCACCAGAGACGGAAATCCGTGAGGTAGGATGAGGTGTGACAGTTTTAGGTCGACCTTTTCTAACCCTTCGTTCCTTGTGAGAAGGCAGCATCGCTGCAGATGCTGGTTGTCCGAGGAAAACACCTTACTGCTGTCACACCCCTCCATCACAGTCAGCAGTACGACTTCGCCCTTAGACCTTGAGTAGCTGCTTTCAGTCTCATCGTTCTCCAATCGACCTGCTGCCTGGCATGATAGAACCTTCAGGAACATGAGTTCCAGCCAATATAGCTCGGTTGGGTCATCACGATGGTCAAGCCCGACCACCACGTCAAGGTAGCAGCTACGGTCGGGTTGTGATAGATTCAGAAATCATCTTATTTTACTATCTGGCAACATGGCTACTAAAACTAGAGGATATTTGTAGAGTACTAGTAGTCGATCATCGGTTTCTCCAAAGCATTGCGCGTATTTGCAGCTACCGCTGAGTAAACAATGCTGGTGTTAGGAATAGAGGGTACTTGGTAAGAATGGAAGACCGATTAATGGAGTAATGAATCTTTATCAATTGAGATGGTCGAAATATGTGTTACATATTCCAGACTGCCGACTGGCGTGACGAGCGATGTTTTGTGACGTGGAGGTAGGTTGTAAGGAAGCTGGAGGCTGCCAAACCAAAAACATGGCACAAAGTCACTGAGAACTTGACTAAGACATACATAGACACTGCGAGACAATAGTAACCGATGATTTGAGACTTTGAATGACATGTCTCAACATCGTTTTCATTGGCGCATGTGCATTCATTGTTTATGTTCTCTCAAGTTGTAATGTTGTTGCGTATAATGTTTAGCCTATAATTAATTTCCCTTTCAATCTATTTATCCAACCTTATTTCTTTTCAGTTTCTTTTAGATTGTGAATTATTGTTATTCACAAATCCTGTACGATTTTTAGTTGAATTAATTTGTTTACCGGTCAATCGTAAATGTCCTCATTCATTGATTGCAGTTCATCAAGTAAGTTTATTTAATGTCCGTGCTGCTGTTGTTGAGTAGCTGCTACTTACAAGTAGTATATATCGTTAGTAGGCGTAACTTCGTTTTTTTTTCTTTGTGGTTTTAAAGGTTTTCAGCAAATTATTTGACATTTCAAGTTCTCATCTTTTATAGATATAACTTGTATAAATTGTTTAACAATTAAACACTGGCTGATTCATTGACCAAAATATCAGCACTTTCAGATTTGAGTTTTAAAAAACATGTTTTTGGCTCATTGTGGTGCGAGCTACATATAAGTAGTATATGACGTGAGTGTCAACGTAATGTCTGGCAGCAGGAGATGGGGTAAGATCAAGAAAGGAAGAGTTAGAAGAACACAATGGAATTTGTGTGAAACATATGAATAGTGACAATGGATTGATGTTGTTTGCAACAGGAACAGTCCAGTTCGATATGATGGACTGTTATTTTGCAAATGAACGATTTACGATATGGTTTTCCGATTTTACTGAGTAACTGTGTAATTTTCGTTAAATACAATTCGGTTGTCCCACCTGTGTTCTCGTTCACTACATTATCAATGTGAAACAAGAAACCTTAGTTCATCAAAGAGTTCTTTGACTTTTTGATGGATTCATTTTAAGAGTTGTATAATCGCAGACATGTTTTTTTTTCCAGCGCGATTACAATTAAAGTAATAATAGTAGTCCGAATTGATACAACACACGTTATTAATGAGTCATGCATTGTTTTTATGCTCAGGAATTTTCGTGACTTCATGACGTCTGGTAGTGATAAATGAAACTTGAGTTTTTCTTTCCATAAAATAGTTTAAAAGTGAATTCTTGATCATATTACTAAATGAAGCGTAGCCTGAGACCTTGAGTGACGTGGCTCAAAATTGTTTGCAATTGCATAGGTGGATCCACTCTTTCAGTTCTCTCAAATTCTAATCTGGATTCCTCATGATCTTCATCTTTCTCAGAAGTAAGGTGTTTCCCTCGGACAACCAGCATCTGCAACAATGCTGCCTTCTCACAAGGAAGGAAGGGTTAGAAAAGGTCGGCCCTAAACAGAAGCAATATATTTTAAAAAACTTCAAATTTCGTTAAAATCATGACCTGATTTATGTTCTATCAGCATTAGAAACCTGGAAGCTCTGAGTGGGGCAGTTTCTTCCTCGTCAGGAATGCGTACCCACGACCCCGTGGGCAGGAGTCATACCCAGGCGCTTCAGACTTGCGCATTTCCTTACTGAATACAATGGATGGTGATGGCGCAATTTCGTGAAGTGATTGAAGTTATGCATTAACACCATTGGATGCCAGTTGATTGGTCTAGATGTTTAGGTGTTTTTACGCAAGATGAAAGGTTCTCGCTTCAGTTACTTAATGTATGATCGTGAGTGCGCATTGTTAAGGTGTTTTGCACTAGGATGAACCGACTGTTCAGTGCTTCCGGGTTCTCAATGCAATCCTAACTAAGTCTATGATTTAAAATCCGTAAAAATAACTAAAGTCACAACCAGTAGCTATGTCAACTCAATTATTACTAGCCTACAGATTGAAAAAAACTTTGATGTATAGAAATTATAGATATTGCCACTTATAAACGCACATATTCAACAGAGATACATTAAAAAAAAGGAAGAAACTACTAACAGTGTTAAGAAGAAAACACAGTTACATCGATAAATGTATTTTAATCTTACAGATTCATGTACACATTGAATATATGGACATTATACTCTAAACGTCCAAAAATGTTTGATGTTGATATAAGTTACTGAATTATAATAAGTAATATGGTCTATAGTACCGAAATTTTTATTAAATCAACTCACAGATTACATAATTATATTATCAAAACCACACTAACATATTTAATTTATTTAATTCCAGCTTCTTGATCAATTACTATATGTATTAGAAGTTCCTGTTAGTTTTTTCGCTGGAACAAAATCCCATCAACCTGAAGTAAACAATGTTGATGATTGTACTACTACTACTACTACTACTACAGTATCAGCATCAGAGCAACAATTTGTGCATAGTACAATTTTTCAAGAATTAATTTTAATTGATTGGTCAAATCGTAAATCATATTTAGACATTACATTATTTGGTCATGAAGATCCATATGATGAAGGCAATAGTGGAACTGTATTGAATGTGTTCAACGCACATTTCCAACGCAAAGAGGAAATCAATAAGAATGATTTATTAAACAATAATAATAATAATAATAATAATAATAATAATAATAATAACAGCAATAAACTATGTCAATTTAATATGCCTGAAGAAGCATGGTCAAGTTATAATTTATCAGGAAATCCTATATTGAATACCATCATTTATTTATTTAAAAAGGTATGTTTTAACACTTGTGTTTTGGTCATTTCCAGTTTCTGTGCTGATTTCGGCTAATACCTTCTTGATATGGTGGTGAGGTTTGGATCATTTAACCTGGCCTCTTGTTGAGTTAAATCGTTTAGAGTATTCGTTTTTTTTTAGGTTCTACCACAACAGGCCGGTTGGTTAGAGTGTGGTCACGTTGTAAGCAGCAAACTCGAAGTTTGAAGATAAACACCTTCTGTTGATTGTACACGTTTTTGACGGCGGTAAAGTGTTCCTTTGAGGTAAATAGTATCTATAGCGATGCTGTCCCCTCATAAAAGAAGAAAGTGGTTAGAAAAAAAGGTTGATCCTGTAAATATCATACCTCAACTTCCATTGCCGGCGGTAAGTCCTGTTAAAAGTACAGAGCTAATACGCTTAAAGCCACTAGCAAAACTGTAACTTGTGACTGACCTCAAGCACTTATCCACTGAGCTCTACAATCATGGTCACAAGTTTTGCTAATATCACCCTTAGCCCAGTCTAGTTTTTTCGGTATCCTAAAAAGAAGTATCCGTCCACGGTATAGGAATCCAGGGAGTCATATGTACATTCTTACCTCTAATAATACTTAAAATTTTCTTGTCCACAGTCAAAATTCACCTTTATTTCTATCATTTTTTTAATGAATGATTCATTTCTGGCCTACTTGTATCCATGACCTTACCCTCACTCTGTTACAAAGGTAATGAATGATGTAACCAATGTCTAAACTGTTAAGACACTGTATTCATTCGGATGAAGCTTAAACTAAGTATCAAGTATCATTTTGACTTCAGTCAATTAGAACGCACTATTATTCAAGGAATAAAGTATCAGTATTCACTTTCTTCAGTCAGTCAGTCAGTTACGATGTAGAACTTCGTACGTACGTACATCAGTTCAAGTTACCATACCACTTTAGCACAGAGATGCAATTGTCACTTCAAATCCCATTGTAGTGTAGGTAGTAGAAGTCTTACTATCATCTCGTGGACCTCATCTAGGTAGTCGACACTTACCAACATGACTTAATTCAGTTGTCAGTGACCTCATAGATTCATGCCATATTTTGTTTTGGCGAGATGCATTATTCTTCTAGTTTTCAGTAAAGATTATCTTTTAATTGTTTCTATGCTTTGTCAGATCTTTCTACCACTGACTGACTAAATTCATATGTCCAGATATCAATCCCGATTCCTGATTGTAACTTAATCAGCTTATTTATTTTCAAGTTTAATGATCCTTATTCGACCAATTACACATCGCGATCAGCATTAGTAGTTACCTTGAGTCTTCGAAGCAATGCTCGTATATCGTGGGACACCCGACTGAGTAACGCTGTTATTAGGAATCGGGTGCTAGGTAAGAATGGTAAATCAATGGATGAAGTAATGAAGAAAGCTAGGGGCGGCCAAACCAAAACATGGCAGAAATCCATGAAGTCATTGACGAGTGGACTTAGCCATATTGGTAATTGTCGACTACCTGGTTGGGGTCCGCGAGATGATAATATTTGATGGTTAGAGACCTTGAATGACATGGCTGAAAATCGTTTGCAATGGCGCCGGTGCATTTATTCGTTGTGTTCTCTCAAATCCTAATCTTCTGGATTCATCAACACCTCTACCTTTGTCTTTCTAACTTTAATTCACTGAATTATACTCCGTGAATAATATCTTCGAACCATAGTCTTCTTCATGACCATTAATACCTCTGCTATTTTTATCACTATGGGATTTGATTTGACATCTGCGTCTTTGTGTACTAATGTGGTATGGCAACATGAACTTATGTACATACGTACGAAGTTCTACGTTGCAACTGACTGATTGACTGACTGACTATTACTCTTAGAGTTTACCATCCCATTTCATATTTGTTGTAATATAAATCTGCTTAAATAATAATATTTTTTTTTCTTTTACAGCCAAATTGTTTCATTCAAATAAACAATATTATGAAATATTTCCTCATACTTGTAGAAAACACTATCGCAAATAAATTCTCTTCTCATATTGATCATTTAACGCCTACAACTCACGCTACTACTACTTCTACTTCTGCTACTCCTCCTTCTTCTCTTCACAGTGTACACATTCGATTATTTATTCATGTATTATTTTTATTAATGAAAGATAAATCTATCCACAAATTGTTACATAAAATTAATTTCAATGAATTCATTGAACAAATTATTCATCTGTTCAATATTTTATTTTTAAATTCATTCAACAATATTCATCATGATAATTCAACCAATCAAAATAATCAATCGAATAGTAAACCAATCATTGCAGTGAATAATATCAATTATCAATATTTAATTTCAAATGAAGTAGACATTATGTTGTTTGAGTTGATTCAATGTTCAATTGAACAATTCTACCATTGTTATTGTCTAGTCTCAACTAATGATGAGCAGCTATCATCATCATCATCAGCCATCATCATAGATGTTGAACATGAGAAAGTCAGTGATGACCGACTTTCTCAACAATTATCATCACTAAATAATATTTTTCTACATTTAAATACATTAAAACAACTTATTCTAAATTCAATGTATACATCGAATTGGTATAAACAAAGATGTATGTATTTGTTTAATGCGATATTTATTTCTTCAGTCAGTTTATTGAAATCTATGAATCAATTGGATGAGAATATGAAACAGACGGATAATGAGAATTTGAAAAATATTAATGAATTAAAAGATCGAATATTAGATTTATCAATTGAATTGAATAATGAACAGTGGAATGCATTGAAATATTTCATGGATATTGATATGTTTTATGAAAAGTAAGTAATATATATATATATATATATATATATATATGTATACATATAAATGTAGAGTCTGATACTTTTTTTGTAATAAGATATATAACAACTGATTTATGGAGTTGAACATGACCAGTCAAAGAAAAGGTTACTGGTTTTCGATCGTAGGTGTCGTCAAAGCATTGCTCGTTGATCTTGAGACTATTGAGTAAGCAATGTAGTTGTTAGGAAATGGGTACTAGCTAAGGATGGCAGATCAATAGATGAAGTAATGAAACTTCATCAGTTGAGGTGGTTGGGACATGTGTTACTGTGTTGTGTGCTACTTATACGAACAATATAAGTAGTATAAAAAGGGACGTGAAAGAAGTCTCACGGTCAGAAGTCAAGACTCAAAGATGGTGTGCAAATAGAGTGTTCAATGTAATGTTTTCGTTTTTAATTGACTCATAGTGTAAATTTGCATGATACAGTCTTCCTCGCCTGCCTCAGCCTTCTCAATTGGTCTTGCTGCCTCTACACAGGATGAAGATCCCATGGCCTCGGGAGTTTGAAGACGGAGATGTAAGGAGCTTCTTGAAGGAGTTCGAGGCCATGGCGGAGCTGGTAGGAGTCAAGGAGCAGAGGGCGAAGGCGGTGGTTTTGTGGACTCTACTAAGAGGCTGGGCGAGAGCGGTGTACGAGGGTGTGGAGGAGGCTGACTGGGAGCTGGTGTCGGAGAGGCTGCTGGTGGAGTTCGACAGCCCGGCGGATAGTCAGGACGCGCTGCAGAAGTTCCGAGAGGCGCGACTGTCGGTGGATGGCGACCCACTCGTGCTGGCCGTGGAGTTGACAAGATTGCTGCGCCGCGGTCTGCCGAATTCGGATGCGGAGTCGCAAGCACAGCTGCTAGCGTCGTAATTCATTGAAAGTGTGCCTGCAGAGGTTGCCTAACAGTTGAGACTAGTGAACGCGGCACAACTAATGGACGTCACCGAGCTGGCTAAAGTAAGAAGACAGCTGATGAAATCGAAAGTCGCCTCGGTGGCGTGTAAAAGACAGGCTGATGATGTCACGAAGAATATAGGAGAATCACAACGAGAGGTGGCAGCGTTACGAACAAAATTGTTTGTGATTGGCGCAGATACATTTACTCTTTATGTTCTTTCAAATCCTAATCTTCTGAATTCCTCATAACCTATATCTTTTTCGTTTTAAGTTTATTTCACTAGATTCTACTTCTTGAATAATACCTTTGAACCCTAATCTTTCCGATTACTATAAATACTTCTACTACATCTACTACTATGGATTGGAATTGACAATTACTTCTCTATGCTAATGTGGTGGTATGGCAATTTGAACTGATGTATGTTCGTACGAAATTCTACGTTGTAACTGACTGACTGACTAACTTATCGAGTTGAGCCATTTTCCACACTACAGTGTACCTGAGAATATAGTTAGCATAATATGAAATTCTTATGATGGACTGCACTGGGAAATTGTGCACGGAGGAGGCCAGCTCACAAATCCATTCCAAGTGAGGACCGATATCAGACTAAGGTGTTTGTTTCCCGCTTTCCTCTTCTGGTTGTCAACTGGATTACAGAGACTACATCAACTGAAGGGAAGCGCGGAAATCTCGGATGCAATTGGTCATTATTCATTTCGTAGATCGTATAGCTCATCGATCCTACATACAAAAACAAATGCAGATGAAGACGACCAGTGTAACGACAGCTTGTGCACTCATTAGTTTCAAATTATACAAAGCAAAAAGCAACATCCTTAGATACAACACAACGTGCACCAACAAAATCACACCGGACAGATAAGTGTCGTTGATGAGCAAGGTGAATCTGCTGCCGTTGTAAAAACACGTATTAGCAAAGCAAGAGCAGCATTTCTACGACTCAAAAACATCAAAGTCTGAATCTTGAATACGAACTTCAAAATTGTTTTATTGTATGGAGCTGATGTGGTATGGCAACATGAACTGATGTACTTATGTACAAAGTTCTACGTTGCATCTGACTGACTGACTGACTGACTGATGGAGCATAAACTTGGAGAACTACGAAAGCTATCATTCACAAGAAAGAAGTGTTTATTAACAGTAGTTGTCCGGCAAGATACTGCGGATCCACTAGACAGACAACATCAGCTTTTAGCTGAGTAAGAAATTAGGAAGACACGTTGGCGGTGAATAAGACACACATTGAAGAAATTGCCTGACTGCGTCATAGTGCAAGCCGTAACTTGGAATACTCAAGGCCAAAGGAAAAGAAGTGAACCAAGAAACACTGCGCCGAAAATCCGAGACAGGCATAAAAGGAATGAATAGCGACTGTGTAGAACTGAAAAGACAGTCCCAGAACAGATTAAGTTAAAGAATGCTGATCTCCGAACTTTGCTCGATGAGAGGTAACAGGCGGAAGTATATAATTTGACCAGCATTTTCTTTAAATAAAAGGATGCCTCAATATTGCGTAAATGTAAAGGTGTTTCGCTCCATTTGAGGCTCGTCAGCTGAATACACCTGAAGACGATTGCATAAATATCACGGATTTAGAAAAAAGAGATGATGAAGAAAATGTGTAGCTCAAATGGATGATTATGGCTGAGTTTCATTCTCTGAACTGGATGTTTTGCTTGTGAAGCTTTCATTGTTCTCCTGAACAACACTATCGGCACAAACTTAAGATAGCAGAAGTGAATTATTCGAATTTCCACATGTACGACCCATAGCTTTTCTTGCTGACCTCGGTCTTGATTTGTTGTTGTTGACCTTTAACCTGTCTTTGTCTACAACTCTATTTTGATCGTTCCCCTTTTGTCTGTTTCTTGATCCCCTATGTTTGTGTATCATTTTTCTGATTGGTTGCTAAGTTATCATACTACTGCTGTGTTTGTTGATTGCCGATTGATTTGAGTGCTAAGCTTCTAAAAATTCTTCCTATTCTCTTTATTCGGTATTTTAACATTCTCTAATCGAATCTATGTCCACAGTTTTCTGGATGTAGTGATATAAAAGAAATGTCTTGGCGCTTTATCGATTATTGACGAAGATGAAGAGGATGTCTGCTTTGTCCATTCTAGTGTTTTTCGCAGTCTGGATGTTTTATATTATAGATAATCGATTTTACTTATTTCGTCGTTTTCTCTTTTCGTTTACATGGAAGTAATAAAAGTGATTTGGTTAGTTTACTTGCTACACCTATTCTAAGCGTTTTCATTCTTTTATATCTGATAAGATGATCCGTTTGTTGGTTCCTGTAGTTGATTTCAGTTGTGGATACTTTGGGCTGCATAGATTGCTTTTCTGTTGAAAAATAGCCATCAGAAACTTTTCCTCGTTTTTTTGGTATTTCGTTTGTGCTGCAGAGTTTCTTCAATCTCTTGAATAAAGCATGTGTAGTGAAAGAGAACACAGGTGGGGCAACGGAATTGTATTTAACGAAAATTACAGAGTTACTAAGTAAAATCGGAAAACCATATCGTAAATCGTTCATTTGTAAAATAACAGTTCGTCATATCGAACTGGACTATTCCTGTTGCAAAACATCAATCCATTGTCACTATTCATGCGTTTCATACAAATTCCATTGTGTTCTTCTAACTCTTCCTTTCTTGATCTTCCCCCATCTTCTGCTGCCAGACATTACGTTGACGCTCACGTCATATACTACTTATAAGTAGCTCGCACCACAGCACCACACACGTACATAGTTGATTTTGTGAGTTCTTGGGTTGTCGCTATTGTCACTTAGTCAGTTACAACGTAAAACTTCGTACGTACGAATTTATGCTCATGTCGCCATACCACATTAGCGCAGAGATGTAATTGTTAGTACAAGTGGCCCATAGTGGTAGATATAGTAGCAGTATTAGCGGTAAAGAAGAAGGTTCGGGTTCGAAGTTATTACTCAACAAGTATAATTCAGTGAAATAAATTTAGGGAGAGGTGATGAGGAATGCAGAAGATTAGAATTCTAAATAACACATAGGGTGGATGCACCTGCGCCACTGCAAACGATTTTGAGCCATGTCATTCAAGGTCTCAAACCATCGGTTACTATCGTTTCGCGGATCCCAACCGGGTAGTTTACGTCTACCAACATGACTCAGTCCTCTTGTCAGTGACTTCTTGGTTTTGATTTGACTGCCTCTAAACTTCTTCCAACGTATTCCTACACCACAAAACATAGCTCTCCGAGGCAGTCGGTGGTTGGTTATTCGTTACATATATCCCATCTACCTAAAATGATGAACTTTCAATACTTTATCTATTGATTTATGACGTAGATCTTCATAGGTTGGCTTCCGAACTACTTGAGTCTTCGAACCAAAAATCTAATTCACTAGGCAAGGAAGTAGTAACGTTAGGATATACAGTCTGAAGGTAGCAAGTCACGAACAATAGATTTATACTCAATTTATTCTCTTAGTATCCTAAAGCCCATGTAGACCATTTGTTTGGAATGAAAGTTTTTCAACTCTTCTCCTAACTGGACTTGCATATCCCTTCAGTCAGCTTAAGTGACGATTACTCACTTTTTTCTTGTTCATTTCATAAACAACACCTATGTGATGAGAAGGCACTAATTAATACTTCCCTGGCACTGGCTATCTACACGTAGTCATATTGTGGTGCGCGCTACTTATAAGTAGTATATGACGCGCGACTGAAAACGTAATGTCTGGCAGCAGAAGATGGGGGAAGATCAAGAAAGTAAAAGTGGAAACACAATGGAATTTTTATGAAATGGCATGAATAGTGAAATGTCAGACAATGGATTGATGATTGATTGAAGATTTGCAAATTAACCGTTTACGATATGGTTTTCCTATTTTACTGAGTAACTCTGTAATTTTCGTTAAATACAATTTGGGTTGCCCTCACCTGTGTTCTCCTTCAATACAATATGAGAGCATTTCGTGAGGAAGAGTGGACTATCTTCACTTTTTCGTACCAGGGCATTTGGAGTCTATCACTATGGATCACTACTTCTCCTACTCTGATAGCTAGCTGCGTTGATTTGGTGTTACAACAGAAACTAATACATATATATGTATATATATATCCCAAGTAAACTACACTACCCGACCGTAGCTGCTACCTTGACGTGGTGGTCGGGCTTGCCTATCGTGATGACCCAACCGAGCTATACTGGCTAGAACATATGTTCCTGCGGATCCTACCATGCCAGACAGGTCGATTGCAGAACGATGAGACTAAAAGCAGCTACCCCAGGACTGAGGGCGAAGTCGTACTGCTGACTGCAGAGGGGTGTGACAGCAGTAAGGTGTTTCCCTCGGACAACCAGCATCTGCAGCGATGCTGACTTCTCACAAGGAAGGAAGAGGTTAGAAAAGGTCGACCCTAAAAATGTCACACCTCCCCTACCTCACGGATTTCCGACTCCTTGGGTAAGGTTGCCCACTAAGGGCCTTTAAGAACGGAGCTAATCTTCAAAAAACCTTTCATAAAAAGGTCGTGTGTGACCGGTTTCAAGCAGTTGTCTTTTTGGCTCTGCGGTCACGCATCCAGGTCTCTAAGACGAACACTAATCTATTTTCTTTTTCAGGCCCCTCACGAAACAACCTTCCATGGTGTGGGCAGCCGTGAATTGATAATCGCCCTCACACCCGTAACAGCACACGAGACCAAATTGGTCAAAATCAAATCCTTCCTACACCCCCTAGTACCTCTCTTATCTCCACGACTAACTCTTCTCACATTCATTCATCACAGTGCATAGCTAATGCAGTCAGTCAGTCAGTCAGTCAGTCAGTTGCAACGTAGAACTTCGTACGTAAGTACATCAGTTCATGTCGCCATACCACATCAGCACAGAGATATAATTGTCAATTCAAATCCAATAGTAGAAGAGGTAGTAAAGGTATTAGAAGTAATCGTAGACGTTAGAATTAGAAGATATTATTCACGAAGTGTGATTCAATGAGATAAGTTTAGAAAGTAAAAGCTAGAGGTGTTGAAGAACTCAGAAGATTAGGATTTGAGAGAACACAAAGAATAAATGCACTGGCGCCATTGCGAACGACCGTGGCTGCTACCTTGACGTGGTGGTCGGGCTTGCCTATCGTGATGATCCAACCGAGCTATACTGGCTGGAACATATGTTCCTGCAGGTCCTACCATGCCAGACAGGTCGATTGGAGAACGATGAGACTAAAAGCAGCTACTGAAGGTCTGAGGGCGAAGTCGTACTGCTGACTGTGGTGGAGGGGTGTGACAGCAGTAAGGTGTTTCCCTTGGACAACCAGCATCTGCAGCGATGCTGCCTTCTCACAAGGAACGAAGGGTTAGAAAAGGTCGACCCTAAAAATGTCACACCTCCCCTAACTCACGGATTTCCGTCTCCTTGGGTAAGGGTGCCCACTAAGGGCCTTTAAGAACGGAGCTAATCCTCTAAATAGCTAATGCAGACGACACGAGTTCGCGAAACGTCGTTCCTAGTCTCCTTAAACCCCGCTCTAGACTAATAATCGATGGTTAGAGACGTTGAATGACATGGCTCAAAATCGTTTGTAATGGCGCCGGTGCATTTATTCTTTGTGTTCTCTCAAATCGTAATCTTCTGGATTCTTCAACTTTGTAAACTTTTCCCACTGAATCATACTTCTTCTCATCCTAACCTCTCCGATTACTTCTAATACCTTGACTACCTCTTCTACTATTGGATTTGAATTGACAATTACATCTTTGTGTGCTGATGTGGTATGGCAACATGAACTGATGTACTTACGTACGAAGTTCTACGTTGCATCTGACTGACTGACTGACTGAAACTACACTACCAATGACTGACTGAATCTCTAACTGTATTGAATACTTAATAATCTACTCAGATTGCACATTATTTCTTTTTCATTGTTATTTATTATCTGTCCTTTTTGTTGTTGTTTCCAGTACTAACATACAATTTAAAACCAATTCCATGCTTCCATTGCCAATCGATCAAACAAAAGACAATAATAATAATAATTCATTGTCACAGTCAACTACTACTACATCACCTAACCAACAAGATCAATTTTTGATATCACCACGTTTATTATATTTAATATTTCAACTAGCTACTGTTTGTAATAAATTATGCAGTGAAATATTAAAGTCAATGATTAATCAATCATTCAAATCAAATCATCATCAGTCATGGAATAATTGCATATCGAAAATTAGTTCTGGTCATTTAATAATTGCTGTTCAATTGGTTAGTTTTTTTTTAATTTGACTATTTATTGATTAGTTAGTTAATGAATAAATCATTTCTTTTTCCTTTTTCTTACTTACTTACTTGCTTACACCTGTTACCGTCAATGGAGCTTAGACCGCCGAATAGCATTCTCCGATCTACTCTGTCCTGGGCCTCACTTTCCAGTTCTGTCCAATTATTGTGCATTCTTCTCATATCTTTCTCTATTTCTCGACGTAATGTGTTTCTTGGGCTTCCTATTCTCCTCTGACCTTGAGGATTCCATATGAGGGCTTGTCTTGTGACGCAGTTCGGTGCTTTTCGCAATGTGTGTCCTATCCACTTCCACCGCTTCTTCCTGATTTCCTCCTCCACTGGAATCTGACTTGTTCTCTCCCACAGTAGGTTGTTGCTGATGATATCTGGCTAACGAATCCGAAGTATTTTGCGTAGACAACTGTTAATAAACACTTGTATCCTCTGGATGATGGCTTTGGTAGTTCTCCATGTTTCGGCTCCATACAGTAGAACTGTCTTGACATTTGTATTGAAAATCCTGATTTTGATTTTGTTTGAAAGTTGTTTGGAGTTCCAGATATTTTTCAACTGTAGAAATGCAGCCCTTTCTTTGCCAATCCGCGCCCTCTCATCTGCATCGGATCCACCTGGATGCTGCTCAGATATGTAAAGATTTTTACATCCTTCAAGGCATCTCCATCAAGTGTGATTTGGTTAGTGTATGTTGTGTTGTATCGAAGAATCTTGCTTCTCCCTTTATGTATGTTGAGACCTGCTGTTGCTACACTTAAGAATTTAACAATTCCTATAGATATTTGGCGAGTTCGAAAATGCTCCATAGGGGTCCAGAAAACTCTTAGAAACAGATTATCCAATCCTGATTGATGAATAAATAAAACTTCTTGGAAACACTCAGAAGGTTGACAGATCGTATGTGGCGTTTTGAGTTGGATAGTTACCTTCATACCGCTAGTAGATATCGAACCCAGGACATTCGGTCTCTTGCATGCACACTTAATTTCTAAACTACTGAACCGGCATCCAACAGTATTAATGTCTAACTCTGATCAATTCAAGGTATTTCGCAACCTCATCCATTGTTTTCGATAGGTAACTACCCACATCCGACAGGGTTGAACTCTCTACCAGTCACAGCTTCTCACTATAGCTCTGAGAATTTCCTCACGAAGCTCTAGTCAGTAGTAAGCACATTTTCTTGATCAATCAATCAATCAATGTCTGACCAAACCTGAAAGCATCATTTCAATAAAACTCAGTCTTAACAGTCTTAACAACTTTAAATCTGATTGTTATGATTTTATATAGTTAACCAAAGTATTTTTAATCCTAAAAAAATAAAAAAATGTATCGTAATTTCAATGATATTTTTTTTTACCAGTATGTGAAAAATTGTATCGAAACGGATTGTCTAGGGAATTAAAAAATAATAAAACCCGACACACAGGTCATCCATTGAAATTAGGTCAGAAATAATTTTTTTTTAAAAAAAAACACTATTGACCTGTACTCTTTAGTTGACCTTTGTATAGTTTAAGTAATCGGTAAAATGTCTATTCTAGTCTCGGAATGAATAAAGAATCGTATTGATAAGATTAGACGATAAGATTTTTGTAGAAAAAAAAGTACGATTAAACTAATTATGAATTGAGATCATTGAATTTTTCATCGATCGCTATGATGATACTGATTTTTGAGCCTTTAAGCCAGTATGTTTCTTCGGTCGACTTCTCTTCACTTGACCTTGAGGTCTTCAAGTTAGGGCTTACTTCGTGATGCTGCATTTGGATGATTTCTACAATGTGTGTTCAGTCCACCTCCAATGCTTTTTCTTAATTTCTTATTGACTAATGGATCCTAAGTATCTTGTGTAGACGTATGGCTAACCACCGACTGCCTCAACGAGCTATGTTTTGCAGTGTAGGAGTAGGTTGGATGAAAGCTAAGGGCGGCCAAACCAACACATGGCAGAAATCCATGAAGTCACTGAAAAATGCACTGAGTCATGTTGGTAGGTGTCGACTACCTGGTTGGGGTATGCGATATGAAAGTCACCGATGGTTAGAGACCTTGAATGACATGGCCCAGAATCGTTTGCGATGGCTCAAGTGCATCCATTCTTTGAGCTCTCTCAAATCTTAATCTTCTGGATTCGTCAGCACCTCTACCTTTGTCTTTCTAACCTTATCTCACTGAATTATATTTCTTGAATAATATCTTCAAACCCTAGTCTTCTTTATTACTATTAATACCTCTAATATCTTTATCACTATGGGATTTGATTTGACATCTGCGTCTTTGTGTGCTAATGTGGTATGGCAACATGAACTTATGTACATACGTACGAATTTCTACGTTGCAACTGACTGACTGTGTAGGCAACTGTTAATAAATGTTTGTATTTTGTGGAAGATGAATTTTTTAGTTCTCCAACTTTCTTCTTCATATCATAGAACTGTTTTGTGACTTCGGTGTTGGTAGGCAGTTGTTCTTCATTTGTAGTAATACTGCCCTTGTTTTGTAAGTTCATGTCTCTACATTGGCATCAGACCCGTCTTGTTTATCGAATATGCTGCCCAGATATGTAAAGGTTTCTACATCTCCTAGAGCTTCAAGTATGATTTGCTTGGTGCATGTTGTATTATATCGGTGGATCTTGATATTTTCTTTGTTTATGTTGAGACCTACTGCGGCAGCTACACTGGCCATCTTTTTCTGTATTTGTTGTTGTGTATGGGATAAAAGGGGCTGGATCACCTGCAAAGTCCAGTTCGTCCAGTTATATCTGAGCTGTCCATTGTATCCCGCGTGTCCACTGAGATGTTGACGTTTTCATAATCCAGTGAATCATAAGAAGAAAGAGAAAGGGTGAAAGTAAACAACCTTTTCTGATACCGGTCTTCACTTGGAATGAGTCTGTGAGATGATGATACTTGAAGATATTAGTAGTTTTATTCTTATTCTCTTAACAGATTTTCTTCCTCATGCTCAAATTTGATTATCCCACAGTTAAAACAGCTTAGATCCTAAAAAACTAGCGGCGATGGACTTTTTTGCATTGTGGACTTTTTATTTAATCGCCTAAAATGAGTGTATTGACATCATCATCCACACGAATAAACCTCAGTTAAGCGATTATTGAAAGTTATAGAACACTAAATAGTATTCATCAATGGGTACCCAGGACACCTTCAAAACCTCTTCGGAAGCTCTTTGGTTTTTACGCAGTTTAATAGCATTTACCAACGTAAGTTCTATTCGGTAATGAAAAGAAAAACCAAGATTTGCAAAGTATCAAATCGAATTCCATTTCAACCTTAGATAAGATCAAAATACCTATGGGATGAGTGATTTTGAAAGATTCTGTTGTGGTATCCTCAACCGGTGATATGGAGTGAGGCAGTTGAGCGTTTCGACCGCTTCACTTACCTCGGGAGTCTCAATAGTGGTAATGGTATGGTGACTGATGAAATCTCAGCACGGATACAGAAAGCTCGATCAGCTTTTGCCAACTTGCGTCATTTATGGCGTAGGTGAGATATCGGTCTGCTAACCAAAGGACGAGTCAACTGCTCAGCAATTCGCCCCGTCTTACTTGATGGCTATGAAACTAACCAGTCAGAGAAGGAGATATTCGTGGTTATTGCTGGTTTTGGACCATAGGTGTCTCCAAAGCATTGCTCGTTTATCTTTCAGACTATTGAGTAAGCAATGAAGTTGTTAGGAAACGGGTACTAGGTAAGGATGGCAGATCAGTAGATGAAGTATTGAAACTTCATCAGTTGAGGTGGTTGGGACATGTGTTGCATATGCCTAACCACCGACTGCCACGACGAGCTATGTTTTTTGGTGTAGGAGTAAGTTGGAAGAAAGTTAGGGGCGGCCAAATCAACACATGGAACAAATTCATGAAGTCACTGACAAGTGGACTGAGTCATGTCTGTAGATGTAGGCTACCTGGTTGGGGTCCGCGAGATGAATGTCACCAATGGTTAGAGACCTTGAATGACGCAGGTGCATCCACTCTTTGTGTTTTTTCAAATTCTAATCTTCTGTATTCCTTATCATCTCTCTCACTGAATTATACTTCTTGAGTAATAACTTCGAACCCAAATGTTCTTCATTACCGCTAATATTTCTACTATCTCTACAGCTATGAGATTTGGATCGACCATTGCACCTCTGCGCTAATGTGGTATAGCAAAATGAACTTAAGTACATACGAAGTTTTACGTTGTAACTGATTGACTTATTAGTTGATAACTGTCTGTTTCATGACATAAAACAAGTTGAAGTTTGTTGATGACTACAGCTTCGGCAAACTCAAGAGACAAAGTGTTTTTCTGTCTGTTTCATAATTTTGAGAGATTTAGGAGCGTCATTTATGATGAATTCATATTCTTTTACCTCAATTTTTGTTCTGATAAAATTAGCCGGTTGGTTATATGAATTTACTTTATTGATTCAATAAATTTCAATCAACAATAAGTCAGTCAGTCAGTTGCAACGTAGAACTAGGTACGTATGTACATAAGTTCATGTTGCCATACCACATTAGCATAGAGATGCCATTGTTAATTCGAATCCCATAGTGGTAAAGGTAGTAGAGGTATTAATGGTAATGAAGAAAACAAGGGTTCGAAGATATTATTCAAGAAGTATAATTCAGTGAGATAAGGTTAGACAGACAAAGGTAGAGGTGCTGACAAATCCAGAAGATTAAGATTTGAGAGAGCTTAACGTATGGATGCACTTGCGCTATCGCAAACGGTTTTGAGTCATGTCATTCAAGGTCTCTAACCATCGGTGACTTTCGTCTCGCGGACCCCAACCACGTAGTCTACATCTAACAACATGACTCAGTCCACTAGTCAGTGACTTCATGGATTTCTGTCATGTTTTGGTCTGGCCGCCCTTAGCTTTCTTCCAACCTACTCCTACGCCACAAAACATAGCTCGTCGAGGTAGTCGGTGCTTAGGCATACGTAACACATGTCCCAACCATCTCAACTGATGAAGTTTCATTACTTCATCTATTGATCTGCCATTCTTACCTAGTACTCGTTTCCTAACTACAGCATTGCTTACTCGGTTGAACCACGATATACGAGCAATGCTTCGAGGACACCTGTGATCGAAAACCAGTAACCTACGAATATCTTCTACTCTCACTGGCCATGTTTCACAGCCATAAAGTAAGATGGAGCGAACTACTGCGTAGTACACTCGTCCTTTAGTCAGCAGACGGATATCTCGCCTACGCCATAAGTGACGCAGGTTAGCAAAAGCCAATCCAGCCTTCTGTATCCGAGCTGAGATTTCGTCAGTCACCAGGCCATCGGCACTGATGAGACTCCCCAGATAAGTGAAGCGGTCTACACGTTCGACTACTTCACTCCCTATCACTAGTTCAGGTGAAGTGGCAAGCCAATCTAGAAGGAACATTTTGCATTTCGAGGGGGAAAACCGCATCCCGAACATGCTTGCATTGTTGGTTAGGGTGGTCAGAAGACTCTGCATTTTGTCAGCGTCTTCACCAAGTAGGACTATGTCATCGGCATATTCTAGATCAGAGACTTTCCAGGTAGAAGGTCAACCCCTGAAAAATCTGACGAGCTTAAAGTTAACTCTAAGAGGATGTCTACGACAAGGTTAAACAAGGATGGAGAGAGTGGACATCCCTGACGAACACCACTTGATGTAGAGAATTCCGTTGACAGTTCGCCATATGCTCTCACCCGACCAGTGGTGTTCGAGTAGAGAGCTTGTATAAGGTTAATGTACTTCTTTGGTACACCTTTCAATGACAGACACTGCCACAGAACCTCACGATCAACAGAGTCAAATGCCGCTTTTAGGTCCAGGAACACGACTATTGTCGGACGTCTAAATGTGTGTCTGTGTTCCAGGACCTGTCTGAGTGTGGAGATGTGGTCTATACAACCACGTCCAGGTCGAAAACCAGCCTGGTTTTCTCGAGTCTGCTCTTCACGAGCTCTAGTTAGACGTCTAAGTATAATGGAGGCTAACAATTTAGAAACTATATTAGTTAGATTGTGATTGTCACAAGAGGACTTTTGTCCTTTCTTGTAGATTGGGACAATTAACGACTGAGACCAGTCAGATGGGATTACGTGCAGTTCCCAGATTCTACCTAGGAATCTGGAAACAATCAACAATAACGTATCTATTACAGATAGAAGGCTGGTTCATCTGATGTCAAATAAAATTTTAGTACATCAGCATATAAGCAAACAGTATTGTTTACAATTAGATTGTCATCTAATATTTTACCCCCAATTGAAGCATAGAGACAGCCGACCAGCATTCTCCAACCTACTCTTTTCTGTGCCTTCTTTTCCAGTTCTATCCAATTGTTTTTTCATTTGTGCAAACATTCCATGTTCGCCTGTATTGTAATGGTTGCTCTGGTTGTCAGAACGGGCAATCGGTCTCGTGACTTTCAAAAAAAACGCAGCTTTCATCATAAGATATCATAACTCTTCTAAATGAAGACGTTCTAACTCTCCTAGGCAGAGTTCGGGTTACTTTTTTTTCTGTTCAGTGTTTTTTTGGCGAGTTAGTTTTCGACGGGATGGGGTTGCTAACCCTCATGCCCAACCCTACTCCGTTTTCCGGGCTTACTACCGACATTAACCTCAGGAGGGCTTCAAGTGGAGTTAAGTCATCATCAAGCTTCACTCTTAAATATACATGAATGTTGTACTGTGTAAATGTTGCACTAATTTAAGGTAAATAAAATCTTGCTCAATTTTTTTTCATCCTTTTTCAAGTTTCTCCGAAAAACTGCTAAATCAAAACAATTGAAATGTTGGGAGAGATTATACTTTCTGTTGGGTCAATTACTCAAACTTGGTGTATTAGTTTATCCTATACCGACTTTATTAAGTTTCAATCAAGAAAAAAATGATCATACACTTTCAAGATTATTTTATTTATTCGATTGGAGTAGTAAGTTTGTTGAATATTGTTTTATAATAACTGGTGGCATTTATTTATCAGTATTGATAGTTTATAATGCGGCGTTAAAATGATCATAGGTGTCTTCGAAGCGTTGCTCATATATCCTGGGACACCTGAGTGAGCAATGCTGTTATTAGGAAACGGGTGCTGGGTAAGAATGGCAGATCAATAGATGAAGTAATGAAACTTCATCAGTTGAGGTGGTTGGGACACGTGTTGCATATGCCTAACCACCGACTGCCTCGTCGAGCTTTGTTTTGTGGTGTAGGAGTAGGTTGGAAGAAAGTTAGGGGCGGCCAGACCAAAACATGGCAGAAATCCATGAAGTCATTGACAAGTGGACTGAGTCATGTCAGTAGTTGTCGACTACTTGGTTGGGGTCGGCGAGATGATAATGATCGATGGTTAGAGACCTTGAATGACATGGCTCAAAACCGTTTGCGATGGCGCCGTTGCATTTGTTCTTTGTGTTCTCTCAAATCCTAATCTTCTGAATTCTCCAACACCTCTAATTTTTACTCTCTAAACTTTTCTCACTGAATCATACTTCTTGAATAATATCTTCTCATCCTAACCTCTCCGATTACTTTTAATACCTTTACTACCTCTACTACTATTGGATTTTAATTGACAATTATATCTCTTTGTTAATTTGGTATGGCAACATGAACTGATGTACTTACGTACGAAGTTCAACGTTACATCTGACTGACTGACTTTAAAATGAATCAACCGTTTACATATCAGGAGTTAAATTATACTCTCCTTTCACTTTCTATGTAAAAATATTAATCAATTCATCTTAATATCTCTCCAAAAGATGAAAGAAAGACAGCTTTCGATGGTAGCTATTTATTAGTCAGTTGTGTTTGAGTTTATGTGTTAAATATTTGGTGATGATGCTGTAACCCACTTACCAAGTACAAGTTTATGTAATCAATGTTGAATAACAAATTTTATTTAGCGGTTAATGTAACTGTCTAAATCTCTATCAAACTCATTAGTTCCGATACATATTACTTAAAATAGATTTGCCCCTAGTAGAAAATGGTTGCTAGGTGTTTTTACAATTTACGCATCCTATGTATTACTTTTTATCCGACAGTTTACATCTACTGCATCTATCATGAATCGACAATTGTTAGATCACCATTAGATACACCTGGAATACCGTTTCGTGATAGTATGGGACGCTTCAGCAGTGCGAATCTACGACATTCGCTTGCGAACGCTTAACCCCCCCCCCCAATGGTGCTGATGCTTAACTGTGATCAGTCGAAGGTATTGCGCAACCTAACCCTTTTTTCTTCGGTAGTTACTGCAATCTCCTTATCTCTATAATGAATACTGCATATTTGACCTAGTCTCTTAGAACAGACTGTACTATGCTGCGTGCATAACTTTTGAAACTGCCAAGTAAGTACATTACTATTTACAGATTCGAATACTTGGCTTTGAGCCATAATTATTAAAGAGTGAAGGTTCATGGCACTACTCGATTGCTGAAACCTAAGACTGAAAATTTGAATGTGTTTATTGAGCTAACTGCTCCATAGAGACTGTTAGTATGTTTCTAAGTACTAACCGATATTATTTATTGCTAGATAGAGACCTAGGATTTTAGACTCATTATCAACCATGGAATTTAGACTTGCACAAGTTTTCCTAGCTGTAATAGTGTACGAACTGGTGAAAGAAACTTTGTGCATACTACTACTCAATTTATTTTTTTTATTTTAGAACTTTGTGGTTCATTCGATCTGTTCACATTCACATCAGATCTATTCAATTTATGGTGTATGTCATTAGAAATGCAATCGGATCAATTGTTGAATCCTCCACAATTGACCAATCATCACTCGAGTGCTGCTAACAATGACAATATAAATAATCGACATACTGAGTTGTACATACTTTGTCATTCATTATCTGATTTAATTTCATCCTTATCTTCAGTGATTTCTTTACATTCTCATAAAAATGTTAATAACATTTGTAATACTGATAATGATAACGATAATACTAATAATAATAGTAATCTTAATCCTTGTAATGCTGATGATGATGATGATGTAATCGTTTCCTCATTAAAAACTAAACAATTTATACAGTATAGTAGACAATTAGCTATAAATTTACTTGATCAATTATCGAATCGTTTGTCAAATCATCATCAACAACAACTCATCTCTAATTTTCTAATCAATTCAACTTCTTCACCAATGAATAGTTCCAATGCATGGAATCGTTTGGAACAGACAATTTTATTAGCAAAACAAGAATTAAATCGAGATTAAAAGGAAGGAATGGTGTATATGTTTATGTATGTATATATGATGCTTAGTTTTTATTTTTGTAATTATTGATTATAATTAATAATAATAATAATCATAATCAACATTTTTATGTGAATAAAATTGTAAAAAAGAATTTCTTTTGTGCATTATTTGAAGTTTTGGATGTAAGTAATCAGTTTTTTGATCTGTATCCAGTAGTTTGAAAATGTCAACCAGTCAGCGAAAATGTAGAACTTGCTATGTATGTAAATCAGTTTAAGTTGCCATACCAGATTAACGCAGAAAGATTGTATTTTCAGTTCAAATTTAACTGTGGTAGAGGTGTGGTGCGCGCTACTTATAAGTAGTATATGACGCGCGACTGAAAACGTAATGTCTGGCAGCAGAAGATGGAGGGGGGAGATCAAGAAAGGAAGAAGAGTGGGAACACAATGGAATTTGTATGAAATGCATGAATATTGAAATGTCAGACAATGGATTGATGATGGATTGAAGATTTGCAAATTAACCGTTTACGATATGGTTTTCCTATTTTACTGTGTAACTCTGTAATTTTCGTTAAATACAATTCGGTTGCCCTCACCTGTGTTCTCTTTCACTACAGAGGTAGTAGTATCATTAGTGATAATAGAAACGATTAGGGATCAAAGATGATGTCATTTGAGAAGTATGGTCCAGAGAAATTAATTTAAAAAGACAGGAGATTAGGATTTGGCGAAACACAAAGGATAGATGGACCTGTGCCATAGCAAAACGATTTTTCAACCATGTCATTCAAAATCCCTAACTATCGGTTGCGATTATCTCGCCGATCCCAACCAACGAGTCTACATCTACCACTTGTCATGTTCTAGTTTGGTCACCTCTAGCTTTTATCCAGCCTACTCTCACATCAAACAACATCGCTCATTGAGGCAGTTGGTGGTGGTTGGGCATTTGTCAGGTGAGCTGGTTTTAGCGGTGGCATTTTTGTAAGGGTAAAAAACCATAAGAGATCTACATATCATTAAAAGAGTTCAGCTATGAGATTACTGGAATTGTTTACAAGATAAGTTGGCTCATATACAGAAGAGAAAATTCATATTGATATGATTGACAATTACATCTCTGTGCTGATGTGGTATGGCGACATGAACTGATGTATTTATGTACGAAGTTCTACGTTGCATCTGACTGACTGACTGATTGTGAGCGATTCAAAGTATTTATTTCTTCCGTTCTAAAATCAATAATTTATTGTTAAAACACTAAAATATAGGTTAAAATTTCTACATGACTGTTATCTATAGTAGAATAGTCAGTCATCTCAAAGGATGCGTCTTTATACCGGATAGTTTAGTAAAATACGTCACTTAGCCTACTGATTCAGCCGATGAATATCCACAGAGTAGACTTTCTATTGGATCTGTATTATCGAATATTTCTTTGTTTCCTAATATTCATGGTCCTAAAAATTGGAGCGATGTTTTTTTTCTTGTTACGAATGCACGTAAACACGTCATTTGATAAGCTTGAACTATTAACGGGTTTACCTTAGTCAGAAAACGAGAGCGAGGATCCGGTGACACGAAAAGATACTATAATCCGATTGTCCCAAACCCCCCATTGAGTAAAAGAAGACAAGACTTGATATGAAGTAGAACATATATTCTAAAAGCATCTAGAAAGTACGAGGTTCGAGTCCAGTAGAGAATCAGGATTCTAGACTAGGGATCCGAGTCATTAAACTTTACAGACAACCCGTAGTTACAAACAACACTGAAGTATGTGATATTGATAGTTAGTTCGACCAATAGGAAACACCATTTGAAGTGACATTGATAGTTAGGATGACCAATAGAATTAGACTCACAATAATTCTCTTAGGATATTGGATGAATATCTTAACATGCTGTGCAATAACATCTGCTTATATATATTCTAAAGTTAAATTACGAAGACTATCTGCCATGTGTAATATGACTGTAGAACTTATTTAAACATGATCAAGAAATGAGGTGGTAAACAAATTATTTTAATAGTTTAAATTTATGTCGTTTTTTCTAAAATAATCAATACTGAGATGTATAGTGTTAAAGATGGATTGCTTTTGAAGCTAACGCAACCAATACTTTTTCATCAGGGAAATATAGAGACTAATGTTTTACATGGAACTAGTGAATCAGTCCATGTTACAAGTTAGATTGACCAAAGTTAGACAAAAAACACCGTTGTATATCGGCTCAGTGATCTAGTGGACTGAAAGTCCTTGGTCCAATTCCCGTGAGCATGGCGCATGAGTCCCGTTCCAGTTTTTAAAAGTCGTCTAACAATAATGATTGATTGACAAATTCAATGTGAAGCCAATACTGTTTGTTGTGTGGCATTAGTGTTTACAACCAGGTATTTATTATTATATAGCTTTTTTTATTAAAATGAACAAACAACACAGGCACTATTTCCCAAACATACTCTTCAATTAGATTACCTTTACTTGACACTTTAAGTTACTTTTTTTTTCTTTATCTCAATGTGGACAATTAGTTTACTGCATATAATAGAAAACAGAGAAACTAAACGGGAGAAATGTGTAGCAACGGAGAACTTCGTACGTAAGTACATCAGTTCAGGTTTTCATGCCCCACCAGTACAGAGATGAAACTGTCAGTTCAAATCCAAGAGTGATAGTAATAATAGAAGTATTAGCAGTAATAGAGAAGATTAGAGAGTGAAGATATGATTCGAGAAGTTTACGTCAGTGAGATAACTTTAGAACGAGGAAGATAGAGATTATTAGGAATGCAGAAGCTTAGAATTACATAGAACACAAAGAGTGGATGCAATTGCAAACGATTCTGAGCCATGTCATTCAAGGTCTCTAACCATCGGTGACTATTGTCTCACAGACCCAACCAGGTCGTCTACATCTACCAACATGACTCAGTTCACTTGTCAGTGACTTCATGGATTTGCGTCATGTTTTGATTTGGCCGCCCCTAGCTTTTTTTCTTACCTACTCCTACACTGCTAAACATAGCTCGTCGAGGCAGTCAGTGGTTAACCATACGCAACACATGTCCCAACCACTTCAACTGATGAAATTTCACTACTTCATCTATTGATTTGCAATCCTTACCTAGCACCCGTTTCCTAATAACAGCATTGCTCACTCGGGTGTCCCGCGATATACGAGCAATGCTTCTAAGAGATCTATGATCGAATACTAGTACTGCTGCGCAGTACACCCGTCCTTTGGGTTAGCGAACGAATATCTCGCCTACGCCATAAACGGCGTAAATTGTCAATCAGTGTGTATACAATTAGTTTACTCCATATAATAACTAAACAACGAAGTAACTAAACGAGACAAATATTACACAGTATGTTCAATGCACTGTTTTAAAGTTTACTTTACCGAATCCCAATCGATCATAAGTAAATAATAACGTTATTCTATGAGAAAGTTGTTTTCTTCTAAAAAACCAACAAGAAAATGATTCGTAAAATCAATATTTATTATTACATGATCATTAATGTGAATATACACCGGGTGGTACAAATGATCCAGTGGATAAATTTTGCAAACGATTCTGAGCCATGTCATTCAAGGTCTCTAACTATCGGTGACTATCGTCTCGCGGACCCCAACCAGGTAGCCTACATCTACTAACATGACTCAGTCCACTCGTCAATGACTTCATGGATTTCTGCCATGTGTTGGTTTGGCCGCTCTTAACTTTCTTCCAACCTACTCCTACACTACAAAACATAGCTCGCCGCGGCAGTCACTGGTTAGCCATACACAACACATGTCCTAACCACTTCAACTGATGAACTTTCACTACTTCATCTATTGATTTGCAATCCTTACCTAGTACTCATTTCCTAACGTCAGCATTGCTTATACGGTTGTCCCAGGATAGTTCGGTTTATCAAACTCAATCGATAATTTTATTCTGTGAGAAAGGTGTTTTTTTCTAAAAAAAACCAACAAGAAAATCATTCGTAAAATCAATATTTATTATTCCATGATCATCAATATGAATATACACCGGGGTAGTACAAGTGATCCATCCAGTGAATAAATTTTGCTTGAAAATAAATAAATCATTGTCATTTTTTTTTCAAATTAAATTATATTACGAAAAATTTTTTTCACATACAAAAATCTCAAAATAAGTATTTTTTTTTTTAGATATATAAAAAAATCGATTTTTTTATCAAAAATAAGAGGTTTATTGTTATCATCTTAAAAGCAAAAATCTATATTTCCATTGCTACTGGAGTCAATTCGTTATTATTTTTATTATTATTATTATAGACTACTGATGAATTTTCTGTTATGCAACTACTATTATTATTATTATTTGAATCGGAATTATTCGAATCAGGTGTAGGTCTTTCCGGTAATAGAATATGTAAATAAGGATGTGTTATATTGACTGCACCCATAGCTGAAAGATCTGTATAGATTGCTGTATAAGTTTGATGAAATAGCAAACCATCACCGGAAACACGACGACAATCTACAAGAATTGAACCAGCCAATGGATAGAGTAATACTCGAAAAGCTGTTGCTGGATGTTCAGGTGTTTTGATATCCACCTGTAAAAATGAATGTTGAATGAATGTTAAAGAAGTTTTAATTTAAAATTTTAGTCAGATTGATGTGGGATTAAAATTAAAAAACTGACATGTTAAAATGTAAGATAAAGTTAAAAGCGAAGAAAACACAAAGACGAATAGCTTATAATGGCAATGAAGTCTATTCATAGTGAGAGGATAAATTGATGAATAAGAATTCACCAGTGGTCCAAAGGTAAGGCGTTCGCCTACAATGCCAAAGGTCCCGGGTTCGAATCCTGCGAGGAGCAGGAGTCGTGGATGCGCACTACTGAGGAGTCCCATACTAGGACGAAACGGCCGTCTTTCAGTGCTTCCAGGTTTCTAATGGTGGTCTAACAATGATTGATCGATGATTTCAAATGTGTAAAAACGCAAACCTCCAAAACTGTGCCCCGAAATATCGTAACAGTGCTCACTAGTAACTAGCTTCGTGAGGAAATTCTCGGAGTTCTAGTTGAGAAGACGTGACCAGTGGAGTTCAACCCTGTCGGGTGTAGGCAGTAACCACCAAAGACAAATGGGTGAGGTCGCGCAAAATCCCTAGATCAATCAGAGTTAGACATTAACACCGTTGGATGCCGCCCCAGTGGTCCGATGGTAAGGCGTTCGCCTACAATGCCAAAGGTCCCAGGTTCGAATCCTGCGAGGAGCAGGAGTCGTGGATGCGCACTGCCGAGGAGTCCCATACTAGGACGAAACGGCCGTCTTTCAGTGCTTCCAGGTTTCTAATGGTGGTCTAACAATGATTGATTGATGATTTCAAATGAATAAGAATTTGCTAAAAACTTTAAGTAATAAACAGTATTCTGTACAATGCATACAATATACTTGATATAATCATATGCTTTGGATAATAAAGTGAGTCAGTTACAACGTAGAACTTCGGCCATACGTAGATCAGTTCAAGTTGCGATACCACGATAGCACAGAGAGATGCAGTTGTCTATTCAAATCCTAAAGTAGTAGAGGTAATAAAAGTATGAGCAGTAATCAAAAAGATTACTTAAGCTTGTTAATAACCCCAATGGAGCATACATAGGCTGCCGACCAGTATTCTTCAACCTACTCTGTCCTGTGCCTCTCTTTCCAGTTCTGTCTAATTTTTATTCTTTCTTCTCTGCATAACGTATTCACCGGTCTTCTACTTTTCCTTTGGCCTTTAGGATTTCAAGTGAGGGCTTGTCTTGTGACGCAGCTGGGTAGTTTGCGCAATGTATGTCCTATCCAACTCTACTGCTTCCTCCTGATTTTTTCTTCCGCTGTAATCCATATCTCGGCATAATGTGTTCCTTAGCATTCCTATTCTCTTTCGACCTTGAGGGCTCGTCCTGTGATGCAGTTGGGCGCTTTACTTACTGTCTCATTCACTTTCAGCGCTTCTTTCTGATTTATTCCTCCACTGGAATCTGGTTTGTTCTCCCTCACAGTAGGTTATTGCTGGTCGTGTCTGGCCAACGGATCCGAAGTATTTCGCGTAGACAACTGTTAGTAAATACTTGTATCTCCTGGATGATAGCTTTCGTATTTCTCCAAGTTTCCGCTCCATACAGTAGAACTGTCTTGACATTTGTATCGAAAATTGTGAGTTTGGTGTTTGTTGATAGTTGCTTTGAGTTCCAGATGTTGTTCAGTTGTAGAAATTCAGTCCTTTCTTTGCCGATCCGAGCCTTCACATCTACGTCAGATCCACAATGGTTGTCCATGATGCTGCCCAGACATGTAAAGGTTTTAACGTCCTGCCTTTATGTATGCTGAAACCTGTTGCTGCTATACTGATCCTTTTCTCTTGTATTTGTCGTTGCGTGCTCGATAGAAGAGCCAGATCATCCATCTGTGAAGCCCAGATCTTCCAGTTGCATCCTATGCTTCCCTCCATATGATGAGGTCTTGATAACCCAGTCGATGATCAGTAGAAAGAGAAAGAGTGAGGGTAAGCAACCTTGTCTGACACCGGTTATCATCTTGGAAAGATTAGAAGTGGACAATAAAGAATAATCCTTAACTCTGCTTGTTGTCTTACAAGATAATTACGTTATTCAAGCATATCAGTCAGTCAGTCAGTCAGATGCAACGTAGAACTTTATACATATGTACATCAGTTCATGTTGCCATACCACATCAGCACAGAGATATAATTGTCAATTCAAATCCAATAGTAGAAGAGGTAGAAAAAGGTATTAGAAGTTATCGGAGAGGTTAGGATGAGAAGATATTATTCAAGAAGTATGATTAAGTGACAAAAGTTTAGAGAGTCAAAACTAGAGCGGTTGAAGAATACAGAAGGTTAGGATTTGAGAGAACACAGAGAATAAATGCACAGGCGCCATTGCGAACGATTTTGAGCCATGTCATTCAAGGTCTCTAACCATCGATTATTATCATCTCGCGGACACCAACCAGGTAGTCGACAATTACCGACATGGCTCAATCCACTAGTCAATGACTTCATGCATTTCTGCCATGTTTTAGTTTGGCCGCCCCTAGCTTTCTTCCAACCTATTCCTACACTACAAAACAAGGCTCGACGAGGCAGTCGGTGGCTCAATAAAATCATAGTTTCAAAAAGAAATATACATCACATACTTCAGTCGGAATACTTAAGCGGTAGTATTCCAACTCGATAAGTAATCATGCGAGTTATTTTTCACGGCAGTATAAACTACATTGTAACTATTGAGTGGAAAGCGTAGTACTCTATTTGTAATTTTAAATAATCCATGCAACTTTTCATAACCAAATAAAAGATCACAAACATCGGTTGAATCGTCGTAAGTACTATGTTCGATCTGAAGGTATGCTTTTGGATTCTACTACTCAGTTGTTGAATTCCAAAATAAATACTTTGAGCATTAAATACAATGATTCAATCAATGTCATTTATAACAGTCATACATTGTAATACAATTTTTAAAGAATTATTAATTAAGCCCTATATTAATATTAATACCAACAGAGTATGAACAGAATGATGCGAACATACCAATAAATTATTTGATCCTTTAATTGTTGCTCGTAAATGTCTTCGTTGAACAACCACAGCTCGTATTACTTCCATTGTATGCTCAACTGAAGTGAGTGCTGAAAAGAATCGAGTCATACGACGCATAAGACATGAAAATCCTAAACGATCTTTAACATAGTCAATATTTCCAACCATTTGAGATGCCTGAAATAATAAGAGACAATTACAGAGGAAGAATAAGAAGAAGAAAAACGAATTCCTTAGTTGAAGTATACATCAAATCAAAAGAAATTTTTTCCAATGGTGCGGTACATGTTGTTTGTTACTTGTTAGTGGTCTGTTTCTCAGAATAGCCTTGGTCGCTGTACGAATATGAAAGCTCACCTACCAGCGAAAGCAGATGCCAAACCTACTTCACGTCCGAGACGCCCTATACCATATGCTGTTCATGAGCCTCAACAAAACTTATCGGTGGGGAAGCAGCCCGATCGACGGTTGTTTAAAGATATGGTTCCTACAAAGCAGGCGGCTCGTAAGAGTACGGGTGGCAAGGCACCCAGGAAGCAGTTGGACCCTAGCACCAGATCCTACGAATCTTCTCAAAGGGGAGGTGTTAGTGGGACATAGATGGAATTAAAGCACGACTACGTTGCTGCGCGCTGATTGGCTAAATTTCTATCCAATCAGCGCCTGATCGAAGCTTGGAGAACAGGATAGAAAATTCTCGTATTATTAGCTGCTGATTGGTCAAATCCAGTCCAGTCGGTCACGTGAATTTTCTTCCAGAAGTTTTCTCATGTAAAGGCTATAAATAGACTAGCATTGTATTTATCTTGGCCTTCTTCGTCTTCAAGCCTTCTTCGCCTCCTTGCCTTCTTTGCCTTGGCTTTCGCCATCACCTCCAGCTTCTTATTCCTTGCTATTTTGGAATACAATCCTTCCTGTTCAACCGTGTTCTGATTTGGGTTACCTGTCCAGTGCTTTGTGTCAAGAATACTAAGCAATAAGATTAAGCCGGGAAATATCTTAAGCAACCGTTACAACATTACTTATGATTATCTGGTGTTCCTTACACCGTTAATATGCACTTTTCTTGAAAATTTAATGTCAGGACATATAAGATGGTACTGAATGCACTTTCATTTGTTGGTGATACTGTACCAAGCTAGAGCTTTCTGTCTTATAAACTAACTTTGACTCTGAAATGTCAAGTCATCATTCATTTAGTCCGTGGGAAAGCGCCAAACATGACCAAACATGTTTTGATATAAAACATGGACATTCATGTAATTCCGAAATTATTGAAGACTGGAAGCTCTAACCCTGTCTTCGCTTCCAAGACCAAAGAAGCCAATTTGTCATTAATAGCTTCCAGGAAGAGTATAAAAGAACTTTATGGACAATCTAGTTGGTGGGGTGATAGTGACAATGATTATTCTTATCCACATACTTCATCTTTTAGAAATCAAGAAACTTTACAATCTGTTGTTGCTTCACGTAAACAAACAGACATGCATTCAACATCGAATGAATATTCGAATCGACCTTCAGCTGAAGCATTTATCATAGATTTTATTTAGTTCATCAAAACCTCGTTTAGAAAGACCTGCTCTTCATTATCTGGTAGTAGTCTTAACCAATGTATTCCAGCAAGGAATTACATCAAATTAAACTTGTTTTACAATTCCAGATACTTGGGTTTAATTTAATCAGCAGTATATTTAAGAAACTGAAGTAGAAAAAAGAACTTACCATTAACATACTATCTGTATCCACTGGTTGAGATAATTGAAGATCATTTATAATTGAATCTAATTGAGCATGACATACTGGGATAGGCTGAGATGAAGGTACTTGAACAGTGAATAATAAAACAACGGAGAAAATAAACAAACAAAGTAAGCCAATAATTTCATTACAAATACATGTTATATCTCATAAGTAACAACTGAAAACAGTATTGATAACTACTAGTTATTATTTTAAAGGTTCATAAATGGACAAATTGATTCGGCGGTTGATGGTATTAATGACGTCAAAATAAATCCGGTGTGACAGCAATGAAAATCAAGTCCAGTGTCATTCATTATTACCCAACTGTAGTTGGCACTTGGACGTGATGGTCGGGCTTACTACATATCGTAATGACCCAACCGAGCTATATTGGCTGGAACATATGTTCCTGTAGATTTTACCTCAGGTAAGACTAACAAAAGAAACTAAAGGTCTGAAAGAGAATTAGTACTACTGCTGACTGTATTTACAAGGGTGTGACAGTAAGTAGTAAGGCGTTATCTTCGGACAACCAGCATCTACAGCGATGTTGCCTTCTCACAAAGAAGGAAGGGATTATAAAAGTCCAATCCTTACAATGTCACACATCACCTGACCTCATGGATTTTTTGTCTCCGATGGTTAAGCCGTTTGAAGAGTGGAGCTAACACGTATAACTTCTTATAAAAAGGCCATGCGCGACCGGCATCAAGCAGTTGTTCCTTCAGCTTTGCGGTCACGTTTCCACATGTCGAAAACCAACGTTAATCCAATGACATCAGAATGTAAACTGATTCATATACTAACCATACGGTTTACCAGTCAGACTGGTCAGTCAGCTACAACATACAACTACGTATGTACGTACATCAGTTCAAGTTGCCGTAAGCTTTATATAGATAAACTAGGTAGTTTAGTCATTGTGTGTTAACAAAATCGAAATCGGTTTTACAATCGTGTAAATATCTACAACTTATCCTTTCAGAAGTCAAAGTAAGTAAATTAAAAGTGAAGAATACCAGTTCTATTGGAACAAAAATAAAGTTTATCTGAATCGTTGGTAACAAAATCTTCATTGAAATAATCCATATTGAAACTATTAAATCTACATTGATTAAATGCGGCAAGGCGATGTAGCTACTACTGTGGTGAGAGCTACTTATAAGTAGTATATGACGTGAGTGTCAACGTAATCTCTGGCAGCAGAAGATGTGGGAAGATCAAGAAAGGAAGAGTTAGAACATAATGGAATTTGTATAAAACGCATGAATAGTGACAATGGATTGATGTTGTTTGCAACAGGAACAGTCCAGTTCGATATGATGAACTGATATTTTGCAAATTAACGATTTACGATATGGTTTTCCGATTTTACTGAGTAACTCTGTAATTTTCGTTAATACAATCCGGTTGCCCAACCTGTGTTCTCTTTCACTACACTACTTGTATTTATTTACACATTTGTCTATACTAATACAAATTTTTTCTCTGATTTAGACTATCACAAGCCTTAGCATATAGTGTGTGTATAGTAAGATCCATTTTTTGAAGGTTTTGTTTGTGAAAATCCCTTCATGTATACATTTGTAATTTGTCCTTATTGAGATTCCTTCAGTTGTACATTTTGTTAATCTGTTCGATTCCATTTTGGAGATGATAATATTTGTATTTTATTATAGTTTATATTTTCTTGTGCCTTTGCTGAGTTTGCATGTTTCTTTCTGAACTGCATTTATGTTGTTTAAGCTGATACTTAGTCATGGCGACAGCCATATTGATTTATTCCTCTTTTGATCGGATTGCTTGCTATGATTGGAATTGTGCATTGAAGCACTCTCCCAACCGTAGCTGCTACCTTGACGTGGTGGTCGGCCTCGCCTATCGTCATGACCCAATCGAGCTATATTGGCTGGAACATATGTTCCTGTAGGTTCTACCATACCAGGTAGGTCGATTGGAGAACGATGAGACTAAAAGCGGCTACCCAAGGTCTGACGACGAAGTCGTACTGCTGACTGCAGAGGGGTGTGACAGCAGTAAGGTGTTTCCCTCTGCAGCGATGCTGCCTTGTCACAAGGAACGAAGAATTAGAAAAGGTCGACCCTAAAAATGTCACACATCACCCTATCTCACGGATTTCCGTCTCCGTCGGTAAGGGTGCCCACTAAGGGCCTGTAAGAGCGGAGCAAATACTCAAAAAACCTTTCATAAAAAGCCCGTGAGTGACCGGCCTCAAGCAGTTGTCCCTTGGGCTCTGCGGTCACGCAACCAGGTCTCTAAGACCAACACTAATCAATTTTCCTTTTCAGATCCCTCAAGGGACAGCCTTCCACGGTGTGGGCAGCCGGGAAGCGACAACCGCCCTCATACCCGTAACAGCATGAGAGACCAAATTGGTCAAAATCAAATCATTCTTACACCCCCTAATATCTCCCTTATCTCTACGACTAACTCTAGTCACATTCCTTCAGCTCACTGCACCGCTAATGCAAACGATGCGAGTTCACGAAACGTCGTTCCTGTCTATTGAAGCACTCTTGCAGAATAGGAAACACTCTGTATTATGAAGCAACCAAATATTATCTGTCGAATGAATTTGATCTATACAGGACGGACAGAATATCATTTATCTGGATAATTGAACAATTGTTGTTGGAATAACTGAGTGGTAATATTTGTTTAGGTAATGATGTATATTTGTATTTATGATGAATATTAGAACCATTATTTACCCAAATCACTTGTTTTGGATTTCAACTGGGCAAGACGCGTGTCTAAGCTTCCTTGAGAGTTATTCTTCAGTCCAAAACTCAGTTTGGATCTTACATGTATGTCGTAGCTTCTGAGTGAATTAGCATTCATAGACATAAGTTTGTAAAACGAAATTTGGTTTTTTCTTTTTATAGTACGATGTATTACCAATCATTTGCCACATAGAAATTTTTACAGCTATCTTAAGGATTAATAGTATCAATAATCAGCAGAACCTTGACCAAAACATACATACACATACCTGGCGCATCTGTTTGATAAGTACTGCGTGATGTGTTGGTACGGTCTCTGTCTGGTACATCAGAATTTACAGATACACCTGAGTCTTGTCTGTCTCGTGGTGATGCGACAGGAGTTAAACGTCGGGCAAGACCAAGACGATACCAAGGATGATTTTTAATGCATTCAACGGTAAGACGATCAGAAGGACGATGAGCTAAGGCTCGTGTAAGGAAGTTGGCCAAGTCTGGAGGAAGTCGGGAAAACACAGGACCTGTATGCAAATCTTTATGTTCGGTCCATTGACGATATACAGGATCGGATGTATAACTGGCACGTGACCAACAACGTTGACCAGTGACAGCTGTGAGAAGTGTCACACCGAGTGAGAAAAGATCAGCCGGTGGTCCAAGGTAATGACTAGATTAAGAAAACAATATTTGAAGCATAGTGATATTTAAAGAAAATATCTGACAACAGAATATAATTTAATCGTTAGAAAATCTCTTTCAGTGAACATATATAAAATAACAGATAGAGAAGGAAGGAATATAAAGAAATTTTTTTTTTCATAACGAGACACATTAGGAGCTCTCTCTTAAAGCTGACTAGGTCTGATCGACGACCATAAGTTATTATAAGGATTCATCATAGAAGGAGTACTATTAAGGTGCAATTCATAAAAACACATGAAAGCATGTGCAATTTGCAGAGCCGATTGAAAGTAGTTTTTTGAAACCAGAGTATAGTACATAGATTGGTATACTTCTCATCTACTTGATTTTCAGCACGTATTATTCCATAAAGAATGAAAATTAGATGATAATAGAGAGCTTCCGTCTTTTGTCAGCACCAGGTAATTATAAGCATTACTTGGAAGTGAGTGACACATTAGCTCTATACTGGAAGATTGAGAGAGAGAGAGAGGATGAAGAATTTAGAGGAATCGATATGATATCAGGTAGTACAAAAATGTTCCAGTTCTATGACTCGACCGTAGCTGCTACCTTGACGTGATGGTCGGGCTTGTCTATTGTGATGACCCAATCGAGCTATATTGGCTGGAACATATATGTTCCTGAAGGTTCTACCATACCAGACAGGTCGATTGGAGAACGATGAGACTAAAAGCAGCTACTCAATGTCTGAGGGCGAAGTCATACTACTTTCTGACTGATGTACTTACGTACGAAGTTCTGCATTGTATCTGTCTGTCTGTTCAGTTCTATGAAAACTTGTTATCGATAATACTAATAACAAAAGGCGCGTTGTCCAGACAGAGAGACAGACAGATTCAACGCAGAACTTCGTACATAAGTACATCAGTTCAGGTTGCCATACCACGTCAGCACAGAGACGTAACTGTCAGTTCAAATCCAAGAGTGATAGCGATAGTAGAATTATTAGCAGCAATGGAGAAGATTAGGGAGCAAAGATATGATTCGAAAAGTATAATTCAGTGAGATAAATTTAGGAGAGAGGTATATATTAGGAGGAATTTAGAAGGTTAGAATTAGAGAGCCATGTCGTTCAAGGTCTTTAACCATTGGTGACTTTCGTCACGCGGACCCCAACCAGGTAACCAGCCTACATCTACCAACATGACTCAGTCCACTTGTCTTCAGTGACTTCATGGATTTGTGCCATGTTTTGGTCTGGCCGCCCCTAGCCTTCTTCCAACCTACTCCTACACCACAAAACATACCTCGTCGAGGCAGTCTATGGCTAGACATACTTAACACATGTCCCGACCACCTCAACTGGGACATGTGTTATCCAACAGGATTGAACAACTGTTATCTATCAATTAGAAAATAAATAGTATGTGCACAATTACTTTTTTCCAAAAACTTCAGGTGCAGCATAACTTGTTGTACCAACTGGTCCATGAATAAATTTTTGTTTACGTAAATCTACAGCCCATCCAAAATCAATCAACTTTGCTTTATCTTTTTTTGTAAGCATAATATTTTCTGGTTTTACATCTAAATGTGCAATATGTTGATCATTATGAAGATAATTTAATGCATCTAAAATCTGTGTAAAAGGGGGAAGAGAAAAAAAGCAGAAGAAATAATTCTTTTATGATTGTGGACGTTACATGATAAAGTAATCATTTAAATCAGTCAGTCAGATGCAACGTAGAACTTCGTACGTAAGTACATCAGTTCATGTTGCCATACCACATCAGCACAGAGAAGTAATCGTCAATTCAAATCCAATAGTAGAAGAGGTAGTAAAGGTATTAGAAGTAATCGGAGAGGTTAGGATTAGAAGATATTATTCAAGAAGTATGATTCAGTGAGAAAAGTTTAGAAAGTCAAAACTAGAGGGTTGAAGAATCCAGAAGATTAGGATTTGAGAGAACACAAAGAATAAATGCACCGACGCCATTGCAAACGGTTTTGAGCTATGTCGTTCAAGGTCTCTAACCATCGATTATTATCATCTCGCGGACCCCAACCAGGTAGTCGACAACTACCGACATGGCTAAGTCCACTCGTCAATGACTTCATGGATTTCTGCCATGTTTTGGTTTGGCCGCCCCTAGCTTTCTTCCAACCTATTCCTACATTACAAAACAAAGCCCATCGAGGCAATCGGTGGTTAGGCATACGTAGCACATGTCCCAACCACCTCAACTGATGAAGTTTCACCACTTCATCTATTGATCTGCCACTCTTACCTAGCACCCGTTTCCTAATAACAGCGTTGCTCACTCGGGTGTCCCACGATATACGAGCAATGCTTCGAAGACACCTATGATCGAAAACCAGTAACCTACGAATATCTTCTACTCTCACTGGCCATGTTTCACAGCCATAAAGTAAGACGGAGCGAACTGCTGCACAGTACACTCGTCCTTTGATTAGAGAATGGATATCTCGCCTACTCCATAAGTGACGCAGGTTGGCAAAAGCCAATCGAGCCTTCTGTATCCGTGCCGAGATTTCGTCAGTCACCAGGCAATCGGCACTGATGAGACTCCCCAGATAAGTGAAGCGGTCTACACGTTCGACTACTTCATTCCCTATCACTAGTTCCGGTGAAGTGGCAAGCCAATCTTGAAGCAACATTTTGCATTTCGAGGGGGAAAACCGCATCCCGAACATGCTTGCATTGTTGCTTATGGTAGTCAGAAGACTCTGCATTTTGTCAGCGTCTTCACCAAGTAGGACTATGTCATCGGCATATTCTAAGTCAATAAGCGAGCCACCTGGTAAAAGGTCTACTCCCGAAAATTCAGACAGCAATGAGGTTATTTCTAGCGGCATGTCAATGATAAAATTAAACAAGAATGGAGAAAGTGGACATACCTGACGGACACCACTTGAGGTAAAGAATTCCCTGGACAGTTCGCCATAAGCTCTCACTCGACCAGTGGTGTTCGAGTAGAGAGCTTGCATGAGGTTAATGTACTTATTTGGTACACCTTTTAATGACAGACACTGCCACAGAACCTCACGATCCACTGAGTCAAATGCCGCCTTAAGGTCCAGGAAAACAACTATTGTAGGACGCCTAAATGTGTGTCTATGTTCCAGGACCTGTCGTAGTGTGAAAATGTGGTCTATACAACCACGTCCAGGTCGAAAACCAGACTGGTTTTCTCGAGTTTGCTCTTCACGAGCTTTCGTTAAGCGTCGAAGTATTACTGAGGCTAATATTTTAGAAACTATATTAGTTAGACTTATTCCCCTGTGATTGTCACAAGAGGACTTTTGTCCTTTCTTATAATCATTTAATTGGAAATGGTTGGTGGTAGTCTACATTTTTCTTAGATAATGAGAACAATGATTGAGATGTAATTAAGTGATTTGAATACCAGAGTTATGTATTTCAAACTGATTATACTGTACAAACGTTAAATTGTATATTTTTTTTGTTTAAACACATAAATCATGGTAGTAAAAGGAGGCACCTAAATATTTATGCAACACACAAATTAATGAACTGGTGAGTGAGTTGGGATACTACCCAGACGCTCTAACAGAAAGAAGCCAATGGTTATCTTGTAGTGTAGTGAAGGAGAACACAGGTAAGGGCAACCGAATTGTGTTTATCACGAAAATTACAGAGTTACTCAGTAAAATAGGAAAACCATATCGTAAACGCGTAATTTGCAAATCTTCAATCCATCATCAATCCATTGTCTGACATTTCACTATTCATGCGTTTCATACAAATTCCATTGTGTTCCCACTCTTCCTTTCTTGATCTTCCCCCATCTTCTGCTGCCAGACATTACGTTTACACTCGCGTCATATACTACTTATAAGTAGCGCCCAACACAGTAGGGCCACACATCGTATTGTTGACCCAAAAATCTAATTCACAAGGCGAGTGGAACAACGTTACGAGATGTTGTCTCATGTTAGCCGGTTACCAACAATAGATTCAAATGCAATTTATTCTCTCAGGATCATGAAGCTTATGTACACCAGTGGTTTGGAATCGAGGTTTTCTAACTACCTTAAGTGTATGCTACATACCCACCAATACAGTTTAATCGTCGGACACTCACTTTTTGTTCTCTCAACTTCGTAGACAAAAGCTGTGCTACGAGAAGGCAGTGAGTATGACTCTCCTGACAGTGAAAATATACACATGGTCATTTGAGAGTATTTCGACTAGCAAGAGCACTCTATCGTAGGCTTGCGTTCAATAATTAATGTCTAGAACGCATTATATTGTGGTGTGAGCTACTTATAAGTAGTATATGACGTGAGGGTCAACGTAATGTCTGGCTGCATAATATGGGAGAAGATCAAGAAAGGAAGAGTTAGAACACAATGGAATTTGTATGAAACGCATGAACAGTGACAATGGATTGATGTTTGGCAACAGGAACAGTCCAGTTCGATAGAATGAACTGATCTTTTGCAAATGAACAATTTACGATATGGTTTTCCGATTTTACTGAGTAACTCTGTAATTTTCTTCAAATACAATTTGGTTGCACCACCTGTGTTCTCGTTCGCTACAATATGATGATTATGGGATTAAACGTATATTCCAGTGGAGGAAGAAGAGTTAGAAGTGGTTAGGACACACACTAATGAGGAGAAGAAGACCAAAAAACAGATTACGCCGAGAAATGGAGACAGACATGAGAAGAATGAACAACAAATGGACAGAACTGCAAAAGGAAGACCAGGAAAGAGTAGGTTGGAGAATACAGGTCGGCGGCCTATGTTCTATTGGTGGTAAAAGACGTAAGTAAGTATTGTAGTAATTTATGTTTTAATATTGAATAGATTTCATTCTTAAATATTACAACTTTCTTACTGTCGAAAAAGATAGTAATAAGCATAACACTCGTTGTAAACTTAGCCGTTTGGATTGATTTTCCAAAGAAAATGATAATTCAAAAACAATAAACGTAGAAATATTAAATAAATAAATATTTTACACCAGTTTACATCAATGTAAACGATAGACAAAAAACTTTGAAGAATCAATGTAACATTTAACACAATGATAGTTTGTTGATAATTTTGATAACAGTCGATAGAATTGATCGTTAGATTCACCGATATTAAGCGGCGTACTTTTTTCAAAAATAATACACAGTCTGAACAACTTTGCGACCTTGAATGACAAGTTCATTTCTTTGGCTTATAGTTCTTGAATAATATCATCGAACCGCTAGTGATGCTACTACCTCTGGGATTTGAATTGACAATTCAATCTATCCGTGGTAACATGGTATGGCAACTTGAATTGATGTATGTGCGTACAAAGTTCTACACGTTGTAGCTGACTGGCTGAGAATTAGATCATGTCTGTCTACTCTCTCTCTAACCAAATTAAACTACCATAAATAAAACACACCGACCATATACAAAAATATTACATGTTAAAGAGAAGAAACATATCTATTTAACCAAACAATATTATACCTGTGCATAATAAATAAACATCTGTTGAACATGTAATCCTACACCAATGGGAATACGTTCAAACAATTCACCACCAGGTAATAATTCCATAAACATAAATGTGAATGTGGGAGTATTTCTGTAATATTACAAATAAAGAACAACACACTGATTAGTAACAATCTATGCGTGTCTGAAATATCAACCAGTCTACATACAGATTATAGAACAAATTAAAATACTTCACCGTGATTCATTTTATGAGAACTGCAACATTTACTTACTTACTTACTTACTTACGCCTGTTACCCCCAATCGAGCATAGGCCGCCGACCAGTTTTCTCCAACCAACTCTGTCCTCGGCTTCCCTCTCCAGTTCTGTCCAATGTTTGTTCATTCCTCTCATATCTTTCTCTATTTCTCGGCGTAATGTGTTCCATGGCCTTCCTCTTTTCTTTTTGCCTTAAGGGTTCCATGTGAGGGCTTGTCTCATGACGCAGTTAGGTGCTTTCCGCAATGTGTGTCCTATCCGCTTCCACCGATTCTTCCTCATTTCCTCCTCCACTGGAATCTGGTTTGTTTTCTCACAAAGTACGTGGTTGCTGATCGTGTCTGGCCAACGAATCCGAAGTATTTTGCGTAGACAACTGTTAACAAACACTTGTATCTTCTGGATCATGGCTTTCGTAGTTCTCCAAGTTTCCGCTCCATACAGTAGAATTGTCTTCACATTTGTATTGAAAATCCTGATTTTGGTTTTGGTTGAAAGTTGTTTGGAGTCCCATAAATTTTTCAACTGCAGAAGTGCAGCCCTTGCTTTGCCAATCCGCGCCCTCACGTCTGCATCGGATCCACCTTGATTGTCAATGATGCTGCCCAGATATATAAAGGTGTTAACGTCCTCCAAGGCATCTACATCAAGAGTGATTTGGTTGGTGCATGTTGTGTTGCATCGGAGAATTTTGCTTTTTCCTTTATGTATTGAGACCTACTGCTGCAGAGGCTGCTTCTAGACTTATCGTATTCTCTTGCATTTGTTGTTGCGTGTGAGATAGAAGAGCCAAGTCATCTGCGAAGTCCAGACCGTCCAGCTGCGTCCTAACTGTCCAGTTGATACTGCAACATTTAAGTAGACTTAAACAAGTCATATATCAACATGATTCGCATATGTTTTCTGCCAAATATTAACCTACACATTACTTAAACGAACAGTGAGTTATTGAACCGTCCAATAACAGTCAATAAACTTAGCGGATGGGAACATGGTTCCCTTATTTCAAAGATAAGCAAAACCTCTTTAAGAAAGGAAGGTTACAAGTACGTCAGCCAATCTAAGCACGCTAAAATAAATACTACAATAATCATTTATGAAAGGAGACAAAGGATGAATCTGTTAGACGTTACTGGATTGAGATGGTGGAGAAAATTTGTAGCTCAGGTAAATGATTATGATGGAATTTCGTCCGTCGAGCCGTATATTTTGGTTGCGGAGCTTTCATTATTCTCCCTGAACATCATCAGCTCAGAGAACAAAACTTCATCAAAGTTACCGGGATTCAAATAACAAAATACTTCCGCAACTTCTAGATTCACTTATCTGTTCAGTTCCTTTATACCTTCAATACAGCATTATTCTAAAAAAAGTTTATTTCACGATTTTACCTACTTTTTTTAATATTATCTTCGGATTTTTCACAACTTCAGTTATCATTATTGTTACAACTGTTATTGAGTTTTGATAAACTAACCAAATAGTAAAGAAGATATGAGACTTTGTGTGTTACAAAACAAGTACGCGTATTTCTGCGCAGTAATCAATGATGTAATTCGTCTGCAGTTAATCCGAAAAATAAGTGGAACCAAACTTTTCTAATAGATTAGCGTTAAAAAAAAACAATATTATCTGCTGATGAGTCCCATACCAGGACGAAACGGCCGTTCAGTGCTTCCAGGTTTCTAATGATGGTCTAACATCGATCGATTGATGAGTTAAAAAAATGTGTAACTTACTCAATCTTCACAACCCCGTAATACAAAAATCAAATATATTGATAATGAAACATTGACTTCTCTTACCTGATTCCATATAGCGTAGCAATATTGGGATGTTTTAAACGTCTTTGTAATTCCGCTTCTTGACGAAGATCTGCTCGAATTTGTGTTATGTTAACTTCGACTTTTTGATTACTACGTAGTTTACTTTGAGCATACACATTGACTACTTTAGCTGCTAAACAATCTTTAGTATCAGGATTGACAATCAAATATACTCGACCAATTCCACCTTCTGCAAGACAATGTGATATTTGATAACCTGGAGGCAAGATAGGTTGTGCTTCAGTTTTAATTGACTAAAATATTATTGAAGAAACAATTAAACAAACAAAAAAATAAAACACGAATATACTTAGAAACGATCATAAAAGTAGATGATATGCTAAGGTGTTTCTACAGTGTACAAACAATGACAGACGTATGAACTAGTAAGAAAGTAAAATGCATTTGGGTACATACAATGAGAAGCATTTTAAATCAAGAAGTAATACTGTGGTGTGAGCTACTTATAAGTAGTATATGACGTGAGTGTCAACGTAATGTCTGGCAGCATAATATGGGGGAAGATCAAGAAACGAAGAGTTAGAAAACAATGAACAGTGACATTGGATCGATGTTTTGCAACAGGAACAGCCCAGTTCGATATGATGAACTGATATTTTGCAAATTAACGATTTACGATATGGTTTTCCGATTTTACTGAGTAACTCTGTAACTTTCGTTAAATACAATTCGGTTGCCCCACCTGTGTTCTGGTTCACTACATACTGCATACTAGGAGTCTATGGGGCAAGACGTGCATTATGAATTCGCTTCTCACTAAATGGATGGGCATTTCAGTGAAAAACGGAATGACAACAGAATAATTTAATTCTAAATTAGCTGAAAGTTGATTTAACTTTCTTTACGTTGCTATTTACTTCACTATAACTATGTGCACATTTGTTGTGGAGGTCATAAAGAGCTTATCATTCTGGAATAAATTATCCAAGAAGTATATCCCAGTAAAATAAGCTTAAAAAGAGCAGTGATAAAGGTGATGAAGAATTAAGAAGATTAGAATTTGAGAGAACAGAAAAGAATGGATGCATCTGCACAATTGCAAACGCTTTTGGGTCATGTCATTTAAGGTCTCTAACCACCGATTACTATTGTCTCGTGGGTCCCAACCACGTAGTCTACACTTACCAACATGACTCAATTCAGTTGTCGATGACTGCATGGATTTAAGCCATGTTTTGGTTTGACTGCCCCTAGCTTTCTCCCAACCTACTGTTACACCATAAAACATAGCTTGACGATGTAGTCGGTGGTTGGGCATTCGTAGTAAAAAAAAGACAGCAAACCAAAAACATCCTCCAGTTCAATCTACAGTCTCAACACTAAAGTATTATTTTTCCAACCAAAATCTCAATGATATATTGGGACTGTGATGAATGATATGTTCTTACTTCATCAGTTGACAGAACTATGCTAGACCTATGGAGCTATTCATACCGTATGTTTATTGTTAGCTAAGAATGCTTAACTGCATGGCTAAAGGTTTGGGGAGTGTCCCCTCTATGAAAACCATCTATCTTGGTTTGGGCACAAATTTATTGATTTATGTGGTGCATGAGTATTTAGATGACTATTTGTACCAATCCCGACCGTAGCTGCTACCTTGATGCGGTGGTCGGGCTTGCCTATCGTGATGACAGAATCGAGCTATATTGGCTGGAACATATGTTCCTGAAGGTTCCACCATACCAGGCAGGTCGACTGGAGAACGATGAGACTAGAAGCAGCTACTCAATGTCTGAGGGCGAAGTCGTACTGCTGACTGTGGTGGAGGTGTGTGACAGCAGTAAGTTGCTTCCCTCGGACAACCAGCATCTGCAGCGATGCTGCCTTCTCACAAGGAACGAGGGGTTAGAAAAGGTCGACCATAAAAATGTCACACATCACCCTATCTCACGGATTTCCGTCTCCGGCGACAAGGGTTCCCACTAAGGGCTTTTAACAAGAGCGGAACTAATACTCTAAAAACCTTTCATTAAAAGGCCGTGCGTGACCGGTTTCAAGCAGTCGTCCGTTGGGCTCTGCGGTCACGCACCTAGGTCTCTAAGACCAACGCTAATCTATCTTCCTTTTCAGGCCCCTCAAGAAACAACCTTCCACGGTGTGGGCAGCCGGGAATCGACAATCGCCCTCATACCCGTAACAGCACACGAGACCAAATTGGTCGAAATCAATAACATGGCCAGTGAGAGTTGAAGATATTCGTCGGTTATTGGTTTTCGATCATAGGTGTCTTCCAAGCATTGCTCGTATATCGTGGGACACCCGAGTGAGCAACGCTGTTATTAGGAAACGGGTGCTAGGTAAGAGTGGCAGATCAATCGATGAAGTACTGAAACTTCATCAGTTGAGGTGGTTGGGACATGTGCTACGTATGCCTAACCACCGATTGCCTCGATGGGCTTTGTTTTGTAATGTAGGAATAGGTTGGAAGAAAGTTAGGGGCGACCAGACCAAAACATGGCAGAAATCCATGAAGTCATTGACAAGTGGACTGAGTCATGTCGGTAATTGTCGACTACCTGTTTGGGGTCCACGAGATGATAATAATCGACGGTTAGAGACCTTGAATGACATGGCTCAAAACCGTTTGCAATGGCGACGGTGCATTCATTCTTTGTGTTCTCTCAAATCCTAATCTTCTGGATTCTTCAACACCTCTAGTTTTGACTTTCTAAACTTTTCTCACTGAATCATACTTCTTGAATAATATCTTCTAATCCTAAACTCTCAGATTACTTCTAATACCTTTACTACCTCTTCTACTATTGGATTTGAATTGACAATTATATCTCTGTGCTGATGTGGTATGGCAACATGAACTGATGTACTTACGTACAAAGTTCTACGTTGCATCTGACTGACTGACTGACTGACTGATTTTTAATAATAATTGTGTTTAAATATAAAAACGTAAATACAGCAATAGTAATAAATCATCAAAGTTCGTGCTGTGTAAGCAACCATCTATAGAAGAACCATTACTATCGTGGTTTTCAACTCAGTGAGTCATAATGTTTATTGAGGTGGAGTTTGAAGTGCGACTTAGGGAAACTTTGAAAAAAGAAAATTCTAAATTCTTGAAGAAACTAACGTACACAACCATACAATATTTGCAAAGGATATTTTATATATAAAAAGAAACATTGAAGAAACTGATGTAGAGCATATTTTAATTTACGTGCTAAGTAGCAGCAACTGTACACGCTTGATTTATAGATTTTTACTAACCTTCTGAATGGATGCTTCTTCTGAATCTTCGGAGTTTGTTGTCACATCAGGGCTTCCTTTAGTCGTCTCACTAGTGTCTTGGAGATCAATGGACTGCACGGAGTTGCTTAACTCATCGGCATACATAGCACCGCAAACTCGAAACAAAGGAACGATACCTGTAAAAAAAATTTGAGGAGTTAATTACATTCTGAAGTAACTATTATCAAGGACATTCAGTCAAACCAACTGAAGCTTAACATAATTAAAAAGCATAAAGGGAATCAAAAACACTGTTTGCACATAAGTTACTGGAAGTCCTTACTAGATTACTGTCTTCAGGTCAGTCAATCAACAGCAACGTAGAACTTCGTAAATACGTACATCAGTTCAAGTTACCATACCACATTAGCACAGAGATGTAATTGTCAATTCAAATCTAATAGTGGTAGGGGTGGTAAAGGTATTAGCAGTAATCAGAGAGATTAGGGCTCGACGATATTATTCAAGAAGTAGAATCAAGTGAAATAAACTTAAAAAGATAAAGATAAAGTGATGAGGAATTCAGAAGGTCTGGCCGCCCCTAGCTTTCGTCCAAGCTATTCCTACATCGTAAACATAGCTCGATGGGGCAGTCGGTGGTTAGGCATACGTAACACATGTCCTAACCACCTCAACTGATGAAGTTTCATTAAATCATCCATTGACCTGCCATCCTTATCTAGTACCTGTTTCCTAACAATAGCATTACTTACCCGGTGATCCCATCATACACAAGCAATGCTTCGAAGACACCTATGATCGAAAACAAGCAACCTACGAATCTCCAATCTTACTTTTATAGGTAAGAGGGTCGATGTTACTTCCCGGCTGCCCACACCGTGGAAGGGTGTTTCTTGAGGAACCTGAAAAAGGTTGTGTCGGTCTGAGAGCGTGACCGCAGAGCCCAACGGACGACTGCTTGAAACCGGTCACGCACGGCCTTTTAATGAAAGGTTTTTAGATTATTAGCTCCGCTCTTTTTAAAATCCCTTCGTGGGCACCCTTACCAATGGAGACGGAAATCCGTGAGGTGTGGCATTTTTAGGGTCGACCTTTTCTAACCCTTCCTTCCTTGTGACAAGGTAGCACCGCTGCAGATGCTTGTCGTCCATCAAAACACCTTACTGCTGTCACCCCCGCACAGTCAGCAGTACAACTTCGCCCTCAGACCTTGAGTAGCGCTGCCTTTGGTTTCATCGTTCTCCAATCGACCTGCCTGATATGGTAGAAACTTCAGGAACATATGTTGCAGCCAATATAGCTCGATTGGGTCATCACGATAGGGAAGCCCGACCACCACATTAAGGTAGCAGCTACGGTCGGGGGCTTTTTGTCAGCCTGCGCTTAGGCTGACTTCGATCTCCATCAAGTTTAGAGCCAGGTGGGATGGGTTTACGAGCGTCTATCAGTTCGGTGGATGCTGCTGAGATCCACGGCTTCTTCGTAGCCTTATGGTTTAGCTTACTAGCAGGTCGATTATATTAAAATGAAAAACGAGAACCTGAAAACATTTAGAGAATTTCCAAACCACCATTGGATACTTTTACTTTGGTCATCACTAGTTTTATTGGTTTCATTGTTTCACTTGTGAAAAAGTACCCAGAAATCTTAATGTTTAATTTCAATTCTAAACCATGTACTAAACTGAAAGATGTATTTATGGATGTGATAAATAGCCCCTGAATATAAGTTACATTTTAGAGCGTTACTTGATCAAATGCCTTAAAAAGTGATATTAATAATAAGTATAGAGTACTAATAAGTGGTAAATCGGCCGCCGAAGACAGTCATTCCAAAGGTTCTTTGGATATTCTATTTTTGCACTGATCACAATATGACTTGTTATGCAGGATTGGGATAAGGCAACGTATTAACAGGAGTTGTGCTATTTTAAGAAACTATCAACTCTTTGTCTTAGAAAACAATAAGTGCAGGTCGTATGGCTGAAGCCCATCATTCAGTCGGCTAAAACGTGAAACTTCCTACAGATGCACATCAGTTTAGGTTGCCACACCATATTAGCACAGGAAGATCGAATCTCATAGTGGTAGGTGTAGTAGCAGTATTATATGTTATGGAGAAGATTAAGGTTCGAAGATATCACTTAAGAAGTATAATCCAGTGAAATAAATTGAAAAAGGGAAGAAAAAGAGCCATGAGAGAAGACAAAGGGTGAATGCACCTGTGCTATTTGTTTGTTAAGACACAAGCAGTGGTACAAAGAAGTGCCTATACACGTATATATACATTTATATATACGCCACACAATCGCCCTTCCACGGTGTGGGCAGTCCGGAAGTTACAACCGCTCACATACCCGTAAAAACACACGAGACGAAATCAGTCACTATCAAATCCTACCTACACATTCTTATAACTCTTCTATCTCCAGGACGAAACCTTCCTTTGTCGCTGAAATCCTAATCTTCTGAATTTCTCACGATAGTTTTTCTCTTTTTTAACTGATTCAACTGGGGGTATACATCTTGAATAATATATTCGATTATTAATCTTTATGCCTACTGCTAGTACTTTGCCTACCTCTACTATTATAGGATTTGAGTTGAACATTGCGTTTCTTTGCTAATGTGATGTGTAGCAACTTGAACTGACGTTCTACGTGGTAACTGACTGACAGAATCGTCGAAAGCGTACTAGATGGGATACTCATTCGGTGCCTAAAATGAATCAGGTTGTTGCCAAGAATGACTTAGAAAATGCATTTCGTTTTACCTATGCTACAACACATCTAGGTATAAAAAGTTTTTGAGAAGTGAAGAAACTTTTACATTTAGGTTTAATCACATAACTCAACAGAAATACACAAAACAAACAGCTACAGGAAGTACTACTCAACAGCGACCTTATTTTAAAGCCCATAATACTCTGATAAAATGAAGAATAAGTAAAGAAATTTCATTTGTGTGGTATATTATCAATTATCCTTTAGTGACGAATTTGTTACAATTTTAACGTCATTTAGCGACCGATAGGTATGTTCCGAGTTAGAAGTGACCAAAAGATTTCGACAAAAAGATGTAGGGTCCATTGATATATTCTCAAACATAGGTCATTCCCGGATATGACGTTACTAAGCGTTAATTATACAATTAGTTTTTACATGAAGATGATTGTTCTGCTTATTTCGCTCAGTGAAATACCTATCAAACGATCAAGAACTAAGAACTTGCTAGCCAACATGCATGCATTGGAACTTATGATGAAATAAAATACCGCGCTGAACTTAAAGTAACGTGTTTGTAACATCAGGATCTTCGTAAACATGAGTCAAATAGGATTAGCTGCAAAGTTAGAATACGTCCTGGGTTTTAAGGCTTATCCCATCCAACTTATTTTTAAGAAGGCTTGGGTGCAAACATGGATCTAAACGTATTAGGGCGACAGCACATATTTTAGGATGTTGGGGACTAAGAAACACAGAACTTCCTAAACTACCGATACTCTTGTTGAAGGTCCTTGTTTTAAATGTTCATTACCCATCAAAAAGTAATGCGTCAGGAAATACTTGCAGAAGACGATAATTTTATTGATGGAAATTACTGTTTAAATATAAACGGTATGGATGAAAAATTTGACACACCGTACTCCCCACTGGCAAGGACAGACAACACAACCAAACCCCCCGGGCAAATCTGTTGAACTTATTCCTGATACAAACTAACAAGTTTAAATTTCAAATAAGGTGACATTCTAACGTCTTTAGAATTACAAATTTTATTTACATAGGAATGTTAATAGGACTGCTATGAGCTTTCTTCTACTCTGTTAGGCAACCAGGAGATAGTATATGCTGACTAGGCGTGGAATGGCATCACAGCACATTTTTGTGAGAATTATGTGTCCATTCTTCAGCTGTGAATAAGGCTCTGAAGCCAGTGTATCTATATGGGATATTACTATGCAAACCGTAGTATTGGACTCCGCATATGGTATGAACTGAACAGCGATTACAGCCGGTTAGATCTTTGTTCACCATATAACAGGTCCTTCCCAGATGACAATGAATGTGGGGAATCACCTACTATGAGTCTCTTAGACCAAGTAGAAGTTGGATGTAGTCTTTACATCAGGAAAATGACGTTGTAATAGTCACATCACCACAGTCCGTGTCTTCGACTGTGGTGTCTCTTTGAATTCTACTGCCTATCTGTAATTCCCCAAGTCTTTTTAAGATACCTTCAAACCCAGATCGTATCCTAACATTTGAATTGTTGTTCGCTATTCTGTAATTGTCCTTACATTTTAAACTTCTACTACTTGTAAGGAATATATAGTCGTTCTCCAAAAGCTGGCATATTTACTGGTTTCTTGATACTGGAATACTTTGTTAGAAGCCATCAAGATACTTTCAAGAAAGCCTAATTATAACATGCTCCGCACAACAGTCAGATGCTAAAGATAATGAGTCCAAAATGATCCTACCTGTTTTTATTTAAGAGGTACACCAATTTTTTATCCACTTTGACGTTTCTTCCATCTGAAACACTGCCAGGCCAGTTTGTTTTGATGTATACAGCATCTACTCCGGCTCGCTCTTGAGGCTATAAGGATCAACTCATTCAGAATTAACACACTAATTAATTAGTGTGTTCCTTGTCATTTCTCTTCTCTATGGACCTTGAGGGCTCTACGTGAGGGGTTGTCTCGTGACGAATTAGGGTGCCGTTCACAGTAAGCGCCCTGAAAGTTGTCTGGAGTTCTGGGAGTTCTTTGATTGTAGAAATACTGTCTCCGCTTTCACAATCTGCATCAGATCCACCTTGCTCGTCAACGATGCTTTCCAGATATGTGAAGGTTTCAACGTCGTACAAAGCATCTCCATCAGTAGTAATTTTGTTGGCGTATATTGTGCTGCATCGGAGGATATTGCTTCCCCTCTATGTACGTTGAGACCTTCTGCTACTGAGCACACTGGTCATCTTCTTTTGCATTTGTTGTTGGGTGTGTGACAGAAGAGCCAGATCATCTGCGATGTCCATGTTAGTTATTTCCGTAACTAATTGTAGTTATGCCATGACTAATCAATCAGATTGGTTAAGCGCTCACCATGCTATATAGTCTGGCCGGTCTATAAACTTTCTTTGTTGTGAATGACTTATCGATTGAAGGATGTTATTATTTTATTTTATATTGATGTGACTCATGTTTATTAATTTTCTAAAGACACGCTATACTGGTCGGTACGTTTGCTCATCTTACTTGATAATTGCAATTTCCTTATTTATTGTACTAATTTAATTCCTACATTCCAATTCGACCAGCTGCATCAACTGTATCTCGTGCTCCCCTCCAGATGTTCACGTCTTCATAATCTAGTCGATCACCAGGGGAAAAAAGTCAGAGTAACCAATATTGCTTTCTTGTAGTTACTGAAGTTGATGTAGAGTAGTGAGTTCCATTCGACTGATTGTTCCACAATGATCCGTAATGTTACAATTTAGTCAATAGCCTGTCGATCCAGCCTGTTGATCATGAAGTTGGGCGTCTGTGAAGTATTGCAGTCTATTTAACAACACCCTTTTGAAGACTCTGCCTATTATTGAGAGAAAAGTGATGTTTCAGTAGTTCTCACACTTGCTGAAATAATCTTTCTTCGGTATTTTCTTAGGTATCCTTCTTTCCAGTCTGCTGGTGCTTGTTCTTCCTCCCAATTGTTTCAGTTGCTTCCACGTCTGCTTTCATTGCCTCTGCCAGGATGTAGTCTGATCCTGCTTCTTGGCCACTCTTGATTTGTCTGATGTTCAAACAGATTTCTTCAATTGTTGGTAAGCCAACATCGATTGGGAGGTCCATAGATGCAGCTTCGAAGTTGGAGTCAGTCGATTAAAGAGTTCCTTAAGGAGCTCTACCCACCTATTTCACCATTCTTCAGTGTTGCTGATTACTTCGCTTTTCTTGCTTTTCACTGGTCGTCCCGCTTTATGACGGTTTTCAGAGAGCTTCTATAGTATATCGTTCAATTGTCCCAAGTTTCCTTCTCTTGCGGATTTTTCCGCCATCATTGCTAGATCTTCCACATATTTGCGTTCGTCGTCTTTGATTCTCTTACTCACTTGCTTATTTGCTTCTGTGTATTCAGCTTGTGACTTAGCTTTCTCTGCTCTTGTTCGGCTGATATTGATTGCTGCCTTCTTGGTCCTCCTTTCTAGAATTTTGTCAAGGGTACCAAGAGAGATCCGTTCCTTGAGATGGTACTTCCTGTGTCTCCGAACCTCGTGACATGTTGAAGTGATTGCCTCCTCGATCCCTTTTACAACTGTTCATTAAAGCTGTTTCCTCTCCATTGAGTATATCGTGTAAGGCCTGGAACCTATTGCTGAGGTCTATCTTGAGTTCGCTGAGTCTTACGGTATTCCGAAGAAAGGCCGTAATAAACTTCGGTGCTACTCAATGTGTGAGAGAAGCATTTTATTCCTCATGACCAGAGTATAAAGGCAGCTCCCCTGAAGCTAGTCTTAGCTTTTCTACCTGCGACCAATGTCTTTCACTGATTCCAAGTCTCATCAGGTTGTATCATTTCATTTCTGCAGCAACTTGGAATAGTCTTCCCGTCTCACACAGTGTTCAGACGTTCCACGTGCCTAGTAGAATGGTTGCTCTGGTTGTCAAAATGGGCACCGGCCTCTTGAATTACGAAGGAACTTGGCTTTCACCATGAGACGTCATAACTCTATTGACAGAAGACCTTCCTACTCCCGGTACAGAGTTTAACTGGTGTGAATAATGTTTTTCTGGTTAGCGATTTTTAGCGAGTTAGTTTTCTACAGGATGGA